AGTTTATGTTTGCGTAGTCTTCATCTGTCAGGTCTTCACCGGCTGCCTTTAAAACACGCCGTGTTAAGGAACCCTTGTGAAAGTTTCAATCCCTGGCTGAGATCTTCTTCATCTACGTCAGACTGCTGCTGTCTCTTCGTCTGGATTGTGCCATAGGCAAGTGGATTCAGAACAAGGCCATTGGTAAAATCGTTCATTTGAGTTTGAACCGAGTTATACCTTTGTCTTGTGCCTGTAGGGGTACCTTGTCTCGATAGCCATGAAACATGCGATCTCCTTCAATGTCACAAAGAGAGCCTGTATCTAGACCTCTTTTGTTCCCTGTACACATTCAAACACTGCAGCCTTGGGAGGATTGTCGAGAGGATGTCAGTTAGGACGTGTTCAGACAGATACACATACCGAAGGGGGACGTAAGGAAGTCTGTTTTTTTTTTTTTTTTTTTTTTTCACTCCATTGTTCTCTGGCAAGAAAAGCTCATCGAACAATAAAAAAAATAGAGAGCTTTAATAGAGAGCAATCGACTGCAGAATATGCATGAGGATTCTCTACACAAAGTTATATCTTTGTGCTCCTGTGGTGAATACAGGGTAGATTTGACTCGGTCTGTAGGAACTGATTTGAAACAGGTGGCTACATCCTTGTCAAAGGTAACAACAAAAGAAAAAAAGTCTTCTTTCTTCTTTTTATCAGAGAATGGCTTCATATGATACTCTTTGCTCCAACAGCTCCAGCACTTTTGCGTTAAAGCAGAGATATTCGTTGGCTCTCGGGCTCCGGCATCATTGGTGGAGATAGGAGTGATGTAGTTGCATGCGCTTATTGCTTGTAGTAAGAACTATCTTAGTACCTTTCCTTACTAGACGACGCCCTGTTAATGGTGATATTGTGCAGCGCCTTGTGGAAGGAGGGAGAGCAGAAGCGAGATTAATACCGACGCGTTTGATCCTCTCCTAGAAGTATTTTTGATTATGGAGTGATCGCCAAAATAAAGTTTGTTCATTTCTTCTGGAGGCATCAATGGAAAAGGCTTGTGTTTTAGCAAAATGTGTTTGTGCATGCACAGAAACAAAAGAGATGCTTCAGCTGCTTATTCGTGCACACAGTGATTGACGAACAAAAAAGGAAAAAGATTTGCCAAATAAAAAAAAAAGCCCGCGATAAAAGAAGGCATATGCAGACAACTAATAAACACAGCAACTGTTTGCTCACACACATTTTTTTCACCGTTGTGTCTGTAACTCTTCTAAGCTTTCTGTCTGGCCGTTTAACACAAGGAACCCTCATAAAAAGAAATACCTCGCATGATTGGTGCCAGGTCTGAAAACAACAATAATGCAATACTGTACGTGGAAGATAGGGTCTAGAAGCTATACCATTGATCACAACTGCTACTCATGCTCTCTTGCCAAGGACTTGAACAGGCATACCAACCCCTTCTTCCTTGCTCTCATAACCGCTCACATCCTTTCGATGCATTCTTTCGCCGTTTATGTCCACTACATCTGAACCACACACAGTTCATCACTCACTCCAACAGAGATATTTGTATCACCTTGGGTATGATATGTTGCTGTGGTTCCCTCTGGGTTCAACAGGCCCAACAAACTCTATTAGCAGTGTATATCAACCCAAATACATCAAGGGAACGCAAGAAGACGAGTAAGCAAATGATGCGACAAATCAAGTCTCGTCGAGCTGTACAGAAAAAGATCAAGTTAGTCAGGCTGTAGAACGAATCAACTCAGATTGCCTCAATCATACGACGAATATTATCATCACTATATCACATCAATCAATCAATAAACGATACAATGAGGCCCCCCAAGCGGACAATGGAGTCATGCGAAAGTCTTCATGAGTATTATGGTCTAACCCAACAGTTCGAGAGGAAATAGTCCAATTGTTGGAACTAAACATGAGTACCAAGGGGGCTGCGGAGGACAAGATCCTTAACCACAAGGGGATATTGTTGCAGGAACTGTTTTCCTTGAAAGGATACAAGGACGTTGGACTGCAATCTGATGATGGTCCTAGAAGGAAACTACGGACATCGTTCTTTACAAACGGCCTTACCCTAACACTTCTTGCCTATGACACATCGAAGCAAAAAAGAGGTAGAGGTTCGCAAGCTGCCCAACCTTCGGATACTCAAAGATCTCAAGCAGTCCAGGCTTCTTCAAGTGCTCAGCAGGGATCCTCGTCTTCAGGCCATGGTGCAGGTGATGGTGGTGATGATGGAGACGACGACGGAAATGAAGATGACGATATCTTGCTGGGTATCAGCGATATTGACTTGCTGGAAGTTGATGAACCATTCTTAGATGGCGACGAGGGAGAAGAAGCAGCTGAAGAAGGTACATCGAGCACAAATCCACTGTCCCCGGTGAGTCCCAGTCCCCGGCGTGAGATCAACTGGAAGCAGAGATCCCGTCTCCTCGAGAATGTAGAAGTTAAATATGACACCCAGGCAGCATGCCCTCCCCCCGAAAGTACCATTATCATTGGGATCGATCCAGGCGAGAGGTACTCGATGACAATTGCAAAGTTGGATCCAAGGAAACCTAACGAACGTGAGATCCTCCGGATTTCTAGAGCGTACCTTTACAAACCATCCAAGAAGTTTCAGGGCGAGCTAGAGAGGCGAAAGCTTAGAAGAGGAATTACAGAGATTGAAAGCAATATTCCGTCATTCTCAAGGCCTACTTTAACACAGTATTTCGCTTATATGAGCTTGCCGCTAAATCAAGCTCCATCAAGTACTGGAGGTAGTTTCTCTGGTAGTGGGGTTGGGGCCAGTAGTAGCAGTGGAGCAGGGACCGGTAGTAGCAGTGGAGTTGAGGCCAGTAGTAGCAGTGGATCTGGGACCAGTGACGACAATAGGGAGACTATATATAGGGCGCTTGGCGATTTCTATAATGACGGGTGGTTTGTTCGGAATAGCTGGGATAATAGAAAAGCACAGAACGGATGCGTTGATTATGTGATCAAGGCAATTCTGAAGCTTGCGGGCGGAAGCAATGGAAGAAGAAGAGATGCCAATACGAATGCGGTGATCTGTATTGGACTAGGATCATTCAAGACAAACCGAGGACAAGTATCGAAGCATGGGATATTGATGAAGAAGCTTGTTGAAAAGGTAAAAAAAAAAAAAAAAAAAACCCTTGATCAATGACATTTAATTTTTGAGTCTCTTTTTAACGAGTATTAAATCTGGCTCGAACAGGCAAAATCTCTAGACTACCCCATTGCAGGTTGTCATGAATACTACACATCTGCCAAGTGTCCACGGCCTCACTGCGACAGTATATTGGAGAATGTTCCTTTTCGATCCAAGTACTGTCGAAATTGTAAAGCATACTTTGATCGAGATGCTGTTGGTGCTGAGGACATCGCAAGGGTCTGTGAGTCGCAGATAAGAGAGCAAAAACGACCTGCAAAATATATGCCGCCGGACGGAGGAACTCAAGGCCAAGCTTCTAGCGGTAGTGGCGGCGGTGGAGGTAGTGGTGGCAGTGATGGTAGTAGCAGAACCACAAAAAGGAAATTTTCAGATGTAGGAGGAGGAGGAGTAGAGGGATCAAGACCACCGAAAGGACCTTTGCTGGGTCCAGGAGGAGGGGGAGAGACAAGCCGGCAACAACAGTAGGACACAATCTACTACAAGCATGACTAGGTCCAGAAAGGCCTTCGTCTTAAAAAAAATTGTAAGTATTGGCTTGATAATACTTTTCTTTTTTTTTTTTTTTTTTTGGTTAATTTATTTACACTAGATGGAATGTCTCGTTTTTTAATGGGACGGACTATATGATTGTTTTTGTTATGGCCAACATGTGACAAGGAAAGCAATATAATTGATGCATCTCCAAATTATGGCGGGAACATCGTGATCACTTTCATTTATACTTTCTGGAATCTATCCGACATCATCATAAACAAGTCAGAGTGCATGTGTGCTCAATGGCAGAAAGGAATATCAAGGTATTTCAGCGCTTTGCTTGGTTCGTTATTGACATGTTGACATGTTAAATTTTTGATACCAAAAAACAAAAAACATTGTCGTAGTGACGAGTGTATGTATGCTGTTGAGGAAACAAGTTACTTCATTCAGCGCCCAGCTGTCCGTGTGACACTTTTTGATTTTCCCTCCAGAAGGGCTTTAAATAATTGCTATAGTCTTTACAAATATTTATATAATTCTGCTCTGTGCCTCATCATCATTCATAATCTATTTGTCTTTTTTTTTTTTTTTTTTTTTTTTTACAAAAGAGCAAAAGAGACCTGAACATGCTGACTGGTCTCTCACCCTTGACTAAGCTTGCCTTAGTCTTAAACTCTGGCTGAACCAGCTTGCAATATTATCGGAGGCTTGTAGGGGCCAGAACGGAACTATATAAGAAGGTTAGATCCATGATGACAATCGACCATCCTTTGCCATCTTATATAATATGTAAGCCTAAATCCTCCTATTTAGTCTAGTAGCCTTTTCAACACTACTCTGAACATGGTTGATTCTGCCCCTGAAAAACTAAACCATAAAACATTGAACTTGAAGCACAGGCACAGGCACAAGAAACTATTGAAGGTTTCCATTTGCAACATTCACACATTACAGACACTCTCAGCTGGTCGTTGTTGCTTTTCTGAGCCCATGACAACTTCATGTAGAGAGTATTTACAATCCTCCAACTGAGGAGTTGTTGTTCAAAGGATCTCGCCCACGCTCCCACCAATTGTCTATCTGCTGGTTTAGAAAAGATTATATTATATATACATGCCTGTATTCAAGTATTAAGAAAAAGTACAAACAAATAATTATCGCCTATACACGCGGTCCGCCTCTTTCCATATTTTTCTTTATTCTTATTTCTCGCTGGTTTTTTTTTTTTACCCCTTCTTTATTTCTCCCTTGTGCAATTTCGATTACTTTGTGTGTCCAAAGCACTTCCACACATTCACACACTTTGACTCTCTTTCCTCCCTTTTTTTTTTTTTTTTTTTTTTTTTTTCTCTCTTCGGCACATTCTCTTCCATCGCTTGCATTTCCATTTGCATTGTTATATTCATTCTAGTCCTCACCATTCACTTAGTCTTAACTAGAGCGATCGCACTTTCGTCTTGTTCACCTATAACTCTATCATTCATATGTACAGACTGGCGATTTCAATTTTTCTTAGACTGCTGTGACTTGAAAATTGCCCCTGCTCCAGACCACGCCCATACCCATCGCCACTGCACACAACGATATTCACCCTCAAATAGACACTACACTGATATCTCAACACTAAAACCAGCATGGCTTCTGGATCCAACCGAGTAGGCAATATTGTACGTCGCTCGATCGTATTATTTGCATAAGTGATAGAAATGCAAACAATACAATGCTGCAGCCTGGCAAAATTCTCCGAGCACCTGCGCAAATGGCTTATCAACCTACTTTTTCCCCTACTCCATCGATACCCCCAATTTAGGTGCTCGGAAACTGCATTGGAAAAGGTGCCTTTGGTTCCGTTTGGCGTGGATTGAATGTAGAAACAGCAACCACCGTCGCTGTTAAACAAATCAATCTTTCAGATATTCCTTCCGCAGAACTAGAAAACATCATGGTATGGCTCTTTCATCTGTCTCCTTCTCGTCAAATATTATATGACAAGCGGACTAGTGTCTTATTATTAAACAAGACACTACTCTATTCTTATATGATCACTAATAGATGGAGATAGATCTTTTAAAAAAATTGAATGTAAGTTCGTTGAGACAAATGTGATTCACTATTGATGGAAGATAGCCGTTTAATTTTATGAATTTTATGGCCGGTAAATGATATCTCCTCATTTATTAGCACCCAAATATTGTCAAGTACCATGGATTTGAAAAAACAAGCGACTATCTCAACATCATTCTAGAGTAAGTTATTGGCTATTAACAACACTACATACACACCTACTTACCACTCTCTCTTTCATCCGCAGTGCGTGATATACAGCTCTTTTATTGACATTTGAGCGTTATCATACATAGATTATGCGAGAACGGCTCATTACGAAGTCTATGTAAAAACTTTGGAAAATTACCAGAACACCTTGGCGCCATGTATATCACACAGGTCCTGGATGGACTCGTATATTTACACGATCAGGGTGTCATCCATCGGGACATTAAGGGTGCTAACATTCTTGCGACGAAGGATGGCTTAGTCAAGCTGGCAGATTTCGGGGTTGCGACATTATCGAATGATGTTGGAGATATGTCTGTCGCTGGAACGCCATATTGGAGTATGACTATTATTATATTCAAGAGTGTGGCGAATGTCGATGAATCGGACATTGGACTATTATGGCTTCTGTTTACTCACAAACCGCATCTTCCATCTTGCTCACTAACTCTTCAATAGTGGCACCAGAGATCATTGAGCTTTCAGGAGCAACCACCGCGTCAGATATCTGGTAGGCGAGTGTGATTGTACAAAAAATTGGTAATGCATCCTGTCAATGTCTTGTATTACGTCTATATTGACCCTCATTCCCTTTGTTACATTGATATAATAGGAGCGTAGGGTGTACAGTTATAGAGCTTCTGGATGGGGAGCCGCCTTACCATAATTTACCACCTATGGGGGCTCTTTATCGCATTGTTCAGGATGATCATCCTCCTATTCCGGATACCGTGTCAGCGGTATGAAAGCACTCGACGCATTGATTATTGGATAAAAGCGTAGAAAATTACACGCCATACCCAAATCTAACATGCTAATGCTGATCGAATGAAATCCGTAGATTGTTCAAGATTTCCTCATGCAGTGCTTTCAAAAAGATTGCAACTTCCGAGTATCGGCCAAAAAGCTTTCAAAACATCCATGGATTCAAATGTCAAGGAAAAAGGCATCAGGGAGTCAGCGCAGTCGAGAAAAGGCGATCCCAGCATATGAAGAGGCTGTTAAGAGCGTACAGCAATGGAATGAAGCTCTGAAGGGCTCAACGTCTCTGAATAGAACCTCGGGCAACAAACGGAGAAATCATAGCAATAGAGGTATATAGCTTTTATTTATTTAGGGATGCAATGTTCATGTTTAATTGTCATTTATAGGCTATAGCTGACTCAATTTTCATTGTAATAAACAGGTGGAAGGCCGGCAGAGCAAGGTATACCGGCAATAGCGAATATTTTTCATATGCCAAGCTCACAGGAAAAGGGAACAACTTCGACGTCTCCACCACTTGATCAAGCCACAGCATTAGCATTACCTCCAGTGACATTCCAGCTCAATGCATCAAAAGTTACAAACACTAGTAACTACGAACCTGAGGTTTCAACTGATAACTGGGATGATGACTTTGCGGATAGCATCCTGTCTTTCCAATTAGCTGCCCGTGAGTTTAAAGATCAGGAAGATGAGGTTTCTAAAACCATTCGCGCCATACCAAGGCAGTTGCAACAGGGTCAACCAACTGGCAATATAGATGACTGCCATTTTGAAGAGAATGAGCAAGAATTGCGAGTGAAAACGAAAGTCAAAGCTCTCGAGGTAAGAATAGCTCGATCAAAATGGAGGTATTAAAGCTGATTTCACATCATCCATCGAACAGTATTCAAATGAAATATCTTCCTGATATAAAATTTTGGTGCTTATTAATCAAGAAAAAACAGGCATCTAGACAACAAGAGGGCAATGTAAAACAAAATGGATCCTTGGCATCTCGGACTAAAGCTTCAGGACCCCATGTGCCGATTGATTTAGTTCGATCACGATCCGCGCCAGGACAGCTTGTACTCTCTCCTCCACTAGTAACTGATGAGTTTAAGAATTATCGAGAGGAAGAGGAAGATGATTTCTCAGACCTCTTTGATGAAGTCGGTGAGTTATATGGAAAAGGAAAAGCGTCAATAATTGTTTGCCATGATATCATCTGAGAGATTTAGTCTGTTTACCCTGTTCCCTGCCTCTGTTTACTTGAATTGATATTTCCAGAGTGTCAGAATGCAGTATACCACGACGAAGGGCTCACATTGCAGACAAGACTTTCCAATCATAGTTGGGTACGTGAGAATTGCCTTTCGTTAAATCATCACTGTATTCAGTGCTTGTTCTATGTCTAACAAAAATCTACTTTTCAGTTTGGAAATGATGCGGGTTCTGATGAGGAAGACCCATTTGCTGAGGTTGATGAAGGGTTCGACGAGATTGGTAGGAATCTATCTTGGCTTGTTTTTCTACACTGACACATAAGAAATGCGTACAATTTTTTATATTTTATTTATTGATTTTTATCTTTATATATCCATCTATATAGATCTGGAGGCCAACATTGCTAGAGAAAAATACGCCAGAATATATGCCAGCATAGCAAAAGAATTCCGGCTTCTAGAACTCCAACGACCGGAGAAACAACTTGATGTTTGTGATCGCTTGGTATGCTCTCATACTGACAGGATGACCTCTGCTTAGTAAATGCCATGTCGAATGTTTGGATTTTCCTAAGAATTTTTCTTCTTTCCTGGATGCTTAGATGGTCCTACTCACAGAGAATCCGGATATGCGAGGCGCCATGATCGCTAACCATGGGGTGATCCCGCTTTTGGACTTGATCGAGAATAGTGGCAATTATCAAAATCTAACCTTGAAGCTGCTCAATATACTCAACCTTGTGATAAGGAATGATTTTGCGCTACAGGAAAGCCTTTGTTTGGTTGGGGCAATTCCTGTGTTGATCGGATACACATCCAAGCGGTATAACAAGGACATTCAGCTGGCTGCTGCCATATTTATACAACAAATCTGCCATACAAACTCTCTCACATTGCAAATGTTCATTTCATGCCGTGGATTGAGAGTTTTCATCGATTTTCTGCAGCGTAATTACGCCACACAGAAGGAATTTGTTTGGATTGCGATCAGTGGCATCCACAACGTCTTTAATTTGCAGGTAAATGAAAAAGAGGGAAAAGTATGTAGATAATATTCCCAATTCTTTGATAGCTCATCAATAACATATTTTTTTCTTTTCTATGTCACATTTATCTTTTGTTCATTAGAGCTTGACACCAAGAAACGACTTTTGCCGTCTGCTGGCGAAGCAGGGATTGCTGGATCCTCTCTCATCAAAACTTTATGATACCATGCGCGATCCACAAGATAGTTCATATACAGAGAAAATTGTTCAGGTTCTATTGATTTTCTCACAGGGTGATTCTCCAGTTAAAGAGCTTTTAGCGACGAGACAAATTGTCCATCGTAAGTTGCCATCCATAGCGGCGTAAAGTTTAATGATGATTAACTTTATACATAACGTTTATCATTTTATGTAATTACTAACACAGTTGCAAATGGGTAAAAAAAAAAAAAAAAAAAAAAAGGCATGCTTACTTCGCTGCAGAGCCTCCCTCCCAGTCTATGTGTGATGATGCTCAAGTGCATCAAAAATATTTCTATGAACTCCAACACTTTGGATGTGCTGCAGAACGCCAGTGCCATCCACACGCTTGTTCAAGTTCTTGGTGAACGAACAGGATCAATCGCTACAGTATGCAAAAAAAAAAAAAAAAAAAAAAAAAAAAACGGAGTGGCTCAAAATATTTTATTGATAAAGGAGCCCTTTCTCACATTGCAAGTTCAGAGGAATTTAACTCTTTGCCTTTTTATTATAGGATGTCTGTAACCACGTACTCACGACGCTGTTCAATATGTGTCGAATTAATAAGTCGCGTCAGGAAGAAGCTGCCCAGGCTGGCATTATACCTCATCTACAGCAAATAGCGGAATCTAGCTCGCCACTGAAGCAGTTTGCACTACCAATCTTGTGTGACATGGCACATGCCGGCCGTGCATGTAGAAATATTTTATGGCATAATGACTGTTTACCAGTCTACCTTCGGCTATTCAAGGATCCATATTGGCAAGTAAATGCAATTGATGCCGTTCTCGTATGGTAAGTTATTCGATATAGAAATCGCTATTTTTTGCTTTCGAGATCATTTCTTCGGAATAATACGACTGAACTAGGTCCGTTACAAACTTGAATTTATTTCTTAGGCTGCAGGATGAAACTGTAGACGTCGAGCAAGTTTTGCTTCAACCCTCTTCGCTGAATCTTTTTGCACAAGCATTCTTGACAGCGAAAGCCAACTCTTTCGAAAACATCCTTGAGCCTCTGTACAAAATCATTCGTATCTCACCAGCGATTGCACGCGGCATTGCAGTCCCTGCACTTTTCCAGCGCCTTCTTGACAGACTGTCGCATCCAAAACCTGTGGTGCGATCCAATTTACTCCGCATTCTCAAAGCCATCTTTGATGCTCATCCAGAGCGCCTGCAGGTTGTCGCGCGCTATGGTATCACAAATGTAGTAGCCAAGATTGCAGAGGAAGACACGGCTGCCTTGGTCACAGGTTTGGCCAAGGAGATCTTAAGTGCGATCGAAGAGAGTGATTCGGAGGCAATGTTGAGTTGCGATGAGCGAGAAAGGGAAAATGGTAGCCTGAACACATACGAGGGCTCGTCAAACAAGAATAGTTTCTTCGATTTGGGACCACATAAAGGCCCCATATATAATTTGAAGGGTACACAAATGAGCAACAAAAATACACAACTTTCGATTAATGCTGACGAAGCTTTGGGTGACGAGCGAAACGATGTGGATGATCTATTTCAAAAAGAGGTGGATGACCTAGATGTGAAGACAAGCATGGATCCAAGACGATCTTCGCATCAACAGGAGTTTGGACTGGAGAAAAACAGTGAAGGAGTTGTAAGGCCGCATCTGAATATCTTGCGGCACTATTCATCATCTACCACTCAACCTGCTCGAAAAGATGAGGAAAGTGAAAGTAGTAGCTCGGAGGAAGATCATTTTGTGACAAGTCGGACTTGGTCAGATGATGAACAAAATGGCTCGCATATAGCCACTATTGCATATAAGCCTACAGAACGCACTCATATTAGGGTGAAGAGTATGCAGGAGCGAGATGAAACATTGAGGCCCAAGACAGCAACCCCTCTGCGGCAATTTGGTCATCAAAAGAGCAGAAGTTTGGGCGAGGCTCTCGAGACCTGTTTTAATGGAAACGTTGAAGTGGGGCAGGGAGCGCTTGAAGACGTTCACTCTGTAGGTTTATCCGAGAGCATGATTCTTCGAAACGAGCTACCAAAAATTCGGTTGGAACTCTTGGACTTGGACCGTTTTCCTGCTTGGGATCGCCGAAAGCTAGAGGCAGAATACGAGAATGATGATGATGGGGATAGTGGTAGTGAGGATGCTGCTAGAGCACTTAAATCTCCGGAGGCTTCAATATTAGGGGCATCTGGCCCAAGTATCTCCTGGGCGGAGAGGCTCTACATAGAGAGAGCTGACACCCCAAGAGCGACAAGACTAAGGAGTCTCTCCACCGTTGACGAAGCTTACGAAAGCGTGGAAGGCTTTGCTGAGCCAAGTAAGAGAAGAGGACCCTCAACTTTTAGTCGTCAGCTCCAGAACCGAGAGCGGTCTAGACGGAACAGCACTGGGACTAGTTCAGGAGAATCAACAGTTCGACTTCGAGGCACGGCCTTATCATCACCCATCTCACCTTTTGTTCAAAGGAACACCCATATAGAGCTTAAACCAACCCCAACACCCTCAGCAGTCAAAGAGACTATCATGTCAAAAAAGAGTTTTGATGAGGAGGATGACTTTTCTATTTCTGGGTTAGTTCTAGCTGAACGCCAAGAATATGGGTCAACACTTAACTTTAGTGGTGATGAAAATGACGACAGTGACAATGATGATATGAAAGAACCAGAAATGAGAAAAGATTACGACGGCGCTAAGGACGATAGGGATAATGACGATAACGACGATGATGATGCCTATAGCAGTGCGGAGGATGTTTTCGACGACAATGATGACCCTAACCATGACAATTTCTATGACAACGATGGTGGCAGCCATAATGATTATGATCCTAACGACCTAAAAGAAAACAAAGTACAGACATGGAATTGGGGTTCAATACAAGAAGATACCATTCTTGCAAACGGCAAGGCTAAAAATGATAAGAGTAGCTATTTGATGGAGGAGCAAGAGATAGATTGGGATCGTGAGGAAGTACGTCGGGTTTATGAGACTCCAGTGAGCCCAATTAGCCCAATTAGCCCAGTCACATCCACCCTACGCCGGCGCTCTTCACATCGCAAATCAGTTGAATGACAATCAGGGCGGGTGCAAACCAGACCTTTGGCTCCGATAGACAATATCAGCCATGGACTTGTCCTCCAGAATGAAATCGAAAAAGAAAATGATGTCCATGGAGCTTCCACTAGAATAACCAAGACAGTTAAAGACGAGACGACAATACGAGAGTCAGTTACACGCGGCAACTGCATCATCTCTTGAGGGCTTCATTGTGTTTATCAGATGTGGTGTGCATCCGCCATATTCCTTATATCCTATCCTTTATGAAAGCAACATGTATGGTATAAATTTATATTAAATAATGATTCTAAAGATTTCAATTTGATTGTGGCAACTGAATATTTTACCGTGTGGCTCACTTTTCAATCCCCATTGAATGTCTCGTCTTGTCTTTGTAGCGTCCTGTTAGCTCATCGACTTTATTATATTATCATATCAAAAGCAACATGTCACCGCCTACGATCTTAGAAGATGAGGAAACAATGCGAGCTTTCTCGTTACTGGTTCACTCGTCTAATGTTGACTTACAGCGCTCAGCAGCCATTGCTTTTTCGCAACTTACTCGTGAAGGTTTATCCTCATATCATAACTTCATTAAGATGATATTCTAATAATGAAGAAGTAATGTTCCATTTAACGTAAAATGCAATCTCTTTCTTGTTTCTGCCACGTAAGATTTTATCAAAGTAGAAGCAAAGGTCATTAAGTTAATAGTGAGTCTGCTCCAAACCAATGATTCCCAGACACTTAAAGCAGCATTGGATACTTTAATCAATCTAATGACTTCTGGTATGAAACATCAAGACCATCTGTAAAAACGGCTCAAGAGATATACCTAGTTAAACCTTTCGCACTTTTTTTATTCTTCGTAATAGTAGAGAACGTCTTATCATTTGTTCAATCGGGGGGACTAGAATGGATCAAACGCATAATAACAATGATGCAGGAAACTGAGATCGTTCTCAGTGCTGTTCGTTGCTTGTCTCATCTTGCCATTACAGGTACATGAAAGTCGCATATAAACCCAATCAGAAGTCATGAGTTTAACGAATAGCTCTCGCTAATGTGTTTTTTCCGATTCGAATAGAGTCTCTTAGTATTGCTGTCGCCGAAGCAGGATTGGTGATTCCGCTGGCACATCTCACTCAGTCGGAAGATGACAAAATAAAGGAGGACGTTGTGAGTATGCTGGCGAGACTGGCAAAAACTGGTGAAAATAAACAGCATTTGATCGACGGCGGTGCAATTCCAGCATTGATCAGAGTATTGAAATGCCATAATCCAGATGCTCAATCGTACGCCATCATGGCCATCGTCGAAATGGGTGCAAGTCCATTTGATGTCACGGCTTTAAATATGGCGTCCTCTGAGGTGCTCGGAATTTTTGTTTCACTTACAGGATCTACTAACGTGTTGCTCAAGACTATGGGAGTCACTGCTGTTCGAAAATGGCTGGAAGACAAGCATTGCAACATTGAATTCGTTCGAGCAGGGCTTTTGCAGTCTCTCTGTCCAGACCTTCAGTCAACAGATGCCGACGTTCTCCTTCGTTCTTTGACCTGTATCAACATGATATCAGAGTGTCTGGAGAATCAACCGCAGGTGCTAAATATGAAAATCGAGGGTCGTTTGATTGAGCTAATGGAAGATACAGAGAATGATTTCGCCCAGGGCTTAGCTATCTCTACTCTATTTAGAATATCACATAACAGTGAAAGAGGCAGACAAGTCCTATTTGATGCAGGAATTGTTCAACGCATGCGTCCAGTAGTTCTTCAAACAATCCCTAATAACCAAGCTCTGTTAGCGGCGATAGTGTCTACACTTTCTGATAGCGGTAAGGGGTATGGCAACTGTTATGATGGCACAAATGCATAGATGAGCTTAAGCACAAGTCTGAATTTATCTACTCATTACTTTTTTAGTTAATTTACGCCAGAAAATTTTACCACAAGGTGCGATCGAGATTTTTGTGTGTTGCACCACATCTTCATTTGATCGGGCACAGAGGTACGGCATGGACGCTCTCAATAAGCTTTTAATGAAATTGTCCGATCTCAAATATTATGTTGCAGCGTGGGACGTCCCTGCTGGTGGGATCCATGGCTGTTTGACACGATCACTTGGGGATACGGACATTGCAGCTCAGAAACGCGCTCTTATGATGATCACAGCACTCCTAAAAGGGAACAATGGAATCCTTATAAAGCGGCTCAAAAACTCTACTCAAATTAAAGCAGCAATCTCGCGTATCAGCACGACAAGCGGCACGGTCCCTATCCGTTCCGCAAGGGATATACATGATACAAAGTCAATGAATGCGCATATGGCGAAAAATATCTTGACGTGGATAAAATAGCATTCAATAAATTAAGACGCAAAAAACTAATTAGAAAATGCACAGCATACAACTATCAGCTGGCTAACGTAAATGCTCCTTAGTAACATCTATTAGAATAGCTTTAGGAAGAAGGATTGACTTGTTCAAAGCTCCTTCATAAGAGCGTGCGCTTTCATCCCTAAAAAGTCTAGTAGTGATGACTCAGAGTAACATCTTTGCACCACAAAGGCCACCTAATATTTGGAACTTAACGAGATAGGAAACCGTCTGACAATCTGTTTTTTTAGCATACATATTGGATGACACGTCTAGAGTGCGGAGAGAAGAGTATGGCCGGGTTGCCGACAGTATTTTGAGAGTGATAGGAGGGACTATTGGAGTCGAAATACCCAGAAATCAAAGTTGTCTCGGAAGAGTCACTTTTTGAACATGATAAGCAGTCATCGTATTCGCGTCTCATTTCGTCTTTCATTCTCTTAAGCGATGTCCTATCTGCGAAAAAAACCGTCGTTCAACCACGGCTTGTGCAATGCTATCCAGAGATGCTTCGAATGTTTAGAGAGAGTCTCGCTATTGCAGCCCATCGATGCATCGGGCAATTATTATTATTATTATTATTATTATTATTATTATTATAGACACTTTTCAAATCTTAAGAAATCAACTGCGATATCCTGTGACTTCTTCTTGTGGAAACTGTAGCTTTTATCCAGATTGTAGCGTAATTCTGCGACAACTTCACATTTGACACCCCACTCCTTTGCTTTTTTCAGAATATGTTCACGTGTCGAGGTCTTGTGGAGAGAATAAACAGCATGGTTGGCAAGATCGATACCTCTCTTAAGGAACACCATATCGATCCCTTTCTCTCTGGTTCCGAAGGGGGGATTCATAAGGATGGTATCCAGCTTGCCCTTCATCATTGTAAAAGAATCATGACTGCTAGTTGAATTGCCACTCGAGGACGGTAGAACCGCTGATTCTGAAAGATCTGCTAGAATAAAATCCATCTCGATCTCAAACTCCTCGCAGTTTCGCAGGGCAATTGCGATGGCATCAGGATCGATATCAAAGCCAACATTGTACCTATGTCACAAAGTGAGAGAGAATGCGTATATTGTTGTGTACAATTATAGGAGCACTTGCATTAAAAAACAGGGCCCTTCATATAAAATCACTTCTTCAGAGAAGGCAAAGGGACTAAGAATGCAATATATGGAGATCTTACGCTGATCCCATCATTGCGGCTGCGATGCTGAGGATACCACAACCACACCCAAAGTCTCCTACAGCTTTATTCTCAATGTCATCATAGGTCGTGTGAGCAGTGTACAGCATCCGTGCTGCTAAATGAGGCGTTGTTGGGTACTGCTCTAACTTAATCTTCGGCTCTTCGAAGACAGCGACATCTTGAAGGTATCCCTCAAGCTCTTTGAGCTTCATGGTGTTCAATGGCAAAGAACAAGACGATGAATTCAACAAAGCTTTTCTTTTTAGTTTAATTGTTTTTGGTCACTTCTATATGCTCAGCCACGCTCTTTTTTTTTAAACCATGACATCTTGTGGGGTATACATTCTTAGCTTTCGGCATTCAATTCATAATCAACGCAAATAACATTCTATTTGATGCGCTCATCAGTATCACCCGGGCCATCCAGCGCTAACAGCAATATGCCACCATTCAAGAAACGCAAACCAGATAGAATATCAAGCTTGATGACAAAGACTTTACAGGATCCAGCGTCTCCACCTACACCTGGCTCAACGCCGCCTAGCAATGCCTCTTTGAGCAAGACAAGGAACAGGAAAGGAAGGACAAGCAGGGTAAGGACAGCAGGGAAGAATAAGGAAGCTTCTGAGCCGCAGACAATTGAGTCCGGTAAACACTACTTCATTCCAGTTGCAAAGGACGTTATGATTTTTCATCTGAACTTTTTCTAATGCTTTTATATATATACACCCTGGAATCCAATGCAGCCGTAATCAAAGATAAGGAGTATTCGGATTTTTTGCAATGGCTCAAAGAAATGGGATGTCCAAAGACAAAGCTGACATTAGCAGAGTTTTCAAGTACGTTCTCTAGAGAGCTCTTATGTAATAAATACAAAGAATCAATTAACTAATAGGATTGTCGATTTGATTTTAGACACCGGTCGTGGCATGATGGCGACAAAAAATATCAAGGTCTCTATGAAGCGCTAAGAATTTTAGTGCAAACCAAGAAAGAATAATTGAGAATGCTACGCAAGCCCATCAAATTTCTCACGTCAAAATTTTTTTTTTTTTTTTTTTTTTTTTTTTCAAGGCAGGAGAAGTCATTGTTCAAGTACCAGAGCGGAACCTCGTGACCATGAAATCTCTACAGTCAGTTTATGGCGCTAGGATTGCAAGGTAAATGGCATTAATCGTACTTCTTTCTCGATTGCATGGTGTTGATTACGAAGCTCGAATATAGATTTTAAGTGGTATAACCCATAATCGATTATGAGGAGGGAAGAAGACTATTGTGTTTTCGCCTATGTGGGTGATGGCAACTGGGCTGAGCATTAAGTAACATGCTTTTTTGTACTATCACCCGAAGGTTCGGCAAGAAAGTTAACTCGCATATGATCATTGCACTTCACATCGCTCTGTTGCAACAAGCGCCTGAAAAATCGGGATGGCTACCTTACTTGAAAATGTTGCCAAAGAAGTTTGATACGATGCCTGTCCGATACCCACCAGAGCTTTATGAACTTCTGCCGCAGAATGCAATGGGTAATTTCCACTTTGTATGCAGGAATAACCTCTCTACATAACTTGAAACTGATTTAAATATTAATTCCGCAGCGCACGTCAATAGACAAAAAGCCAAGATCTTGGCGGATTACAATTGCGCTTTGGAATTTCTTCAGGTACGCATCGTCTTTCTGTTATTTTACTTTACATTGCTACTCTTAGCTTACCCTTTCTTTCTTAAATTTGCTCTCCCGCAGACAAATGCTGATCTTTTAACACGTCCGCTACAATATGAGGATTACGAATGGGCATGGCTTGTTGGTAACACCTAGTTGTTTTAGTCTCATCTGTGGTTGCAAGGGGCTGCTGTACTATTGTGATTGCCACTTACTCCGTTCCAACATTCATCAACCCGATAGTGAATACTCGCTGCATCTATCTCGATGCCAAAAAACAGATAGCAGCTGACAATATTGCGCTTGCGCCTATGCTCGATTTCCTCAACCATACTCATGATGCCAAGGTACTGTACCAACCGTCACTAAATATGACAGAATAATGGCTATTGTATTGATCTTTTTTTTCTGTTTCTTTTTTTTTTTCTTGTGGGGGGGAGGGGGCAATAGACCGAAGGCTTTTTCTGTACGAAAACAAAATCTTACAAAATAAGAACATTACTTCCGTATAAGAAGGGCGAACAAGTCTTCATCAACTATGGACCGCACGACAACTGTTTTATCCTTGTGGTGAGTTAAGAACATAATTCACTAATGTAGTTTTGCAAGTATATTTGTGAATTAAATAAATAAATAAACTATTGAATCTAACAGCAGTCGCTGTATTCTTTAACCCATCGTATTCTGCTGTCCATAGGAGTATGGTTTCGTTACGCCTAATAACCCTTTTAACTATGTGGTAGTTGATAACAACTTTTTGCAGCTTCCAATCCCTGGTGAAACAAGCGGTGCAAAAAAGGAAAAATTGGAGTTGTTGGATAGATCGGGATTCCTTGGGTAAGCAATCTTGATCGAATTAGCGCATCCTTATAGCGCAATGAAATTATTTAACAACTCTTTTCATCATCATTATTTACAACTCGAACATCGTAGCGATTATGTTTTCCATCGAAATGATGTCTCGTTCCGCCTGTTAGTGAGCTTGCGGTTAAGGCTCATCAATCCATTCCTCAAATCCTCTGTAGCGACTCAACTGGCGATAGCCCAATGGCACAATGTCGTTAATGGCAAGCTGGACCAAATCAATCTGGAAAATGAAAGAATGGTACCGGTGCTTCTTGAAAGGCTTTGTGATGAAATGCTTGTTCAAGCTAAATCGAATTTGAACATTTTGGTGAGTTGATCCAAATTTATGAATTTTTTAAGAAAAAGTACTGTCATATCTTTTAACTTATGGTATTACCGGTATATGTTCTATTGCGAATGCAGGCCAGGAAGAAGACAACATTTCCTGTGATGCACCTGCAACAGGTCTGGATCGAGGCTCGCGATATCATTCTTTCTATACTTGATAAGGTCCATAGAAAAGAAGAGTTATAACGTATAACTTTTTCCCTTCTTCATTAATATAATTTAATAATTTAATTGCAAAATTTACATTCAAGGAAGTCTTTCAAACTGCATAAAAGAATGTCATTCAAGGCCTGAGATACTCCTGTACATTGTGCTTTTTATTAGCCCATGTCGATTGATATTATTTACATTATTGACAACGAGATTAGTCTAAAGGCCAAAAAACAAATAAAAAGCTGTCTAATCGCTTTGCTCGACATCCATTTCTGATCCCTACGTAAATTTATTAAACCAAAAATAAGCATACAGTCAGTAAATCACAAGGTTTGTGCAACCATGATCAGCACATGTTCAACAATAATATTAAAATTAACAAGAGCACAAATAAAATGAACACAACCCATGTGAAAAACACTGCCCATTTTGCGCACAGGACTTACAGAGTCGTCCAAAGGGTCACCCAGATGTGCCTGGAGCTCACGCACCCTGCTCTTGAGCTCATTCTTTTGATTCAATAGTCGATGGATATAGTCGACAGCTAATATGAGATAAAGAAGGTACAAACAAAATCAATCCATGCGCTTGTCTTTTGCAACATCTGAAGCACATCGTTTCAGACAAAGGCAAAATTTACACTTCTGAAGAATAACAGCCTCACTCCGATGACAATCACTCAATGTAGGAACAATCTCCACAAGAGAATCAAACCCAATTCGGATGTTTTGTCGGCGCTTCTGCTCTGAGGCAATGTGATTTGCCTTCTTTTCGGCTTCAGTCAGCAGTTCATGATGGGGTTTCTTGCCTGAACGCGACTGTACTCCATTGGAGGAACTCTGAGATGGGATCGGCGAGCGTGCTGATTGTTGTTGCGATTGCTGCTGTGGTAATTGTTGTGCTGTTGACAAAGGGCTTGATCCGCGTTCAAGCCCCATACTGTTCTCCTCCGCTTTTTCATGCTGACCATCAAAACCCAAGTCAACTCCATCTGCTTCAATATTCTGTGAGCTCGACAAAGATACCATATTCTTGGCATTAATATCGCTTTTGGCTTTCCTACGCAGGCTTCCTTGAAGTGGATCGAATCCATCACGATTCGTACGATGTGGTGACTTGACAACAAGTCCAGAAGAGGCTGGCATTGTTGAATCAATTGAAAAGGGTTGCACTGACGATCCTTTCCGTCTATTTGGCCTCCTTGGTGATTGCGAAATTGAAATATTCTCGATGTCGCCCTCTTGCTTAATTCCCTGTGAGGAACTTTTATTTCCTTTGGAGGTATCTGTGGAAGATTGGTGATCACTTGCAATAACAGCTTGTTGAGCTACAGGGCTTGGAGAGCGAGGAGAGACAGATTCACTCATGGCTTCTATTCCATCAGTAGTTGAGAGACCATCAGTCTTTGACCTTCGTTTTGTCCCTAGTTTCCCTGACTGTTGAGTACCATGTAAGGTTACAATGTCGCTCGAAGGAGACAGAGGCTCTTGATGGGACGACAATGCCTGTTGCGTGTCCGAATATTGCGGCCGATGTTGCTGCTGTTGAGTGTGAAATACTGGCGCCATGCTGTTTACTTGTGGTTGATATGACTGCCCCTGTTGTTGCGATACTGGATTAAGTGAGTGAGAATGAGCATTATATTGAGACTGAAAGTGCTGCTGTTGCTGTTGTTGTTGTTGCTGCTGCTGCTGCTGCTGCTGTAGCTGGAGTTGCATCTGCTGTTGCTGTTGTTGTTGAGCGAGTACCATTGCTTGCGAGATAGCATTGGCCTGAGCCATTAGGAGAGGATTTTGTAGCATGGCTTGACTCATGGCATGTGGATTGATTATGCCTCCTGGTGCCAGTAGAGGATTAGAGGCGATCTGCTGGATCCAGTCGCGATGCTGCTGAGCAAGAGCTAACTGCTGAGCAGCCGCATCCAAAGACATTCCTGAAGGCATCAGGGGCGGCGGTGGAAGCCGAGACAGTCCCGTAGTTCCATTTGGAGCTTGCTGCTGCTGCTGTTGTTGCTGTTGCTGCTGTTGGTGTTGATACTGCAGTTGTCGAAGATGCAGGTGATGTTGAAGCTGAAGTTGAAGCTGCTGTTGCTGCTGCTGAGTAAGAGAAGGGTCTACCCCATTAGGACCCTGGCCTCCGTTAGGTTTTGGAAGATTGGTATCCTCTTGCGCAAGTTGATTCAGAAACTCGGAGAAGGCCCTCTGTTCATGATCAGAGAGCAAAGATGGAAAATTCATTGTTCTAAGTGGAATAGATGTTTGCCTATGTGCATCAGGATCCATCCATGATGTAGATGAAAAAGAATACAGAGCTACCGTAAAAGATAAAGGAAGTGAGAAACAAATGCTTACTACTCTGCAGAGGATGTGATGTTTATAGTTCCTGAATGTAAGTATAAAGAGGACGACAGACGTAGAGCAGGGATGAGATGATGTTGTAGAGATGAGATGGAGAAAAAAAAAAAAGAAAGAGAGAGAGAGAGAGAGAGAGAGAGAGAGAGAGAGAGAGAGAGAGAGAGAGAGAGAGAGAGAGAGAGAGAGAGAGAGAGAGAGAGAGAGAGAGAGAGAGAGAGAGAGAAAAAGAGCGAGAGATTAAGTGTAAGTTGGTGATGGAAAGGAGCTGGACAGTGTGTGGAGGGGAACAATTTAAAGTAGACTGGCCTAATAAACTTTTTATTTGTATTTTTTACAAATTTCCGGACAAATTTTTACTTGGTAGGCAAGTGTATGGTGATTGTTTCTCGCATTTCGACTGTAAGGACGTCTCAAGGGGAGGTGTAAAGTCCTTGAAGTTGGATCCGAAAAGCACTAAGGCCACGGGTGCATGAACCAGAATAGCCTGTGTATACACTGCTTCTTTGGCTCCAGGAATTCCATGTGAATATCATCGGTATACATATGTTATTAGGAGGTTCTATGGATAAATGACACAGAGTGAGGATCCTTATTGTGACCAGAACTGGTCATTTTCCCTTGATCAGTAGAGTCTCTACCTCGATAGCCATGAAGGCAAGAGCCATCAATCGATTTCACTTATAAACTTACGGTTGGCACAAGGGAGAGCCATGACTCTCTAATTACTGTTGACCTTGAATTTTATTGTTAATCCTGCTTGTTGCCGGTGGTGGGCTGTGCAAATAAGAAGCTGCTGGTATGATGGACTTGTCTTGTCAGATCCTTTTCGAAAGAGCGCATGGGCCAAGCAGACGTGAGCGATGTTTTCCGCTCCGACCACATCGCGATCGAAATAGACCTGGCATTTGCGGCACTATTTTGAACGTGGAAAATGACTTCGAGGAAGCTGCTGTGCTTTAACTACAACAGGAATGGAGGTAACACACACCAATGAAAAACCTACCACTTGGTCTTTGTAAGAATATAAAGTTTCCAATCTTCACTCACCGCACCAAGTGGAGCATAAGTATGTATATACATGCTTGCTTCTCGGACGTGCTTTCAAATGGTTCTAAGCCAGTTACACCTCTCTAGTCGGTAAGTTTCAGCAGTTGGCAAAAGGTGCCCTTTACTACCTTTCTATTGCACAATGTGACTCTTTCAAGTTCCAGAGTTCACTGAAGTGTCCATCCTTGGCTGCTTTCCCTACCTTCTCACTGTCTTTGTAATCTGCATGCCCTAAACCCAGATTACGTTGACGTTTCGGCCTTGTTGAGCGAATGCGCCATACACTGATGCCAGTCATATAACATAAGTTAAGCAGTTGGACGGTTGAGCGAAGTTGTTGTCGTTCCGCGTACTCATTTCTTCCACTTACTAGATCCTTGAGCTGTTTTATTAGTCTTTGAACTGTTAGGTATTGCTGTGAAAAGACCTAGTTCTTTCTTGGTGGATGTGGCACAATCATCGAGGCTTCCAGGCATTACTGCCGTATATTTGTTGACACTCTCAACAAAGACCTTTTGTGTTGATCCCTTACCTGCGAACATTGCAGTTATGGCATGCAAAAAGTCAAGCTATATCAATGTATGCATAGCAAAGACGATGAAGAAACTCTTACACCCATTATTCGTACCAGCGACCCTTCTCTGTCCTTTACACGGCTACCATTGAACTCAAAAAAAAAAAAAAAAAAAAAAAATAGATTAAGTGTAGCTCGAGGGAAAGTTGGCCATGTTTCGGATTTGGTTAATTCCATCATGTAAACAGGCTGTGGGGTGCTGTACTCGTTACAAGGGTCCTATTTCCTAACCAAATTTGCTATGATCTAGACCGATTTGTTCTTAAGAAGTCGCGTATTGCTCGTATCAATCGCGAAGGGACCCAATCTCTTCCACGCGTCCATCATTTCGTTATTATCCTGTCTAGACAAGCCTGCAGTTGCTTCCGCTCGCTCTATCCTTTTTCTTTCCTTCCCTTCGGCTCTCGCTGCCTGTAATTGTTGTAGCAAAGATGGTGAGAAGAACTCTTCGAGAGGCTGTTCAAGTTGGAGAATCAAATCTGATATAAATTGGCACTCTTAGATAAAAGGTAGCCATACAGTGCGTACAATTGGTAAGCGCTATTCGGCACAGGGAAGCCAAGTTACTGCAAGAAAATTTACTTGAGTCGCATTCCTGGCACGGTTATTATTATTATTATTATTATTATTGTTACTATTGTTATTATTGTTATTATCATTATTATTATTATTATTGTTGTTGTTGTTATTATTATTAATTGGCTTGAACATCCATTAACCTTCACCCGTTTACGGAACATAGTGAGCTGACGCGAGCCACGACTCAGCACGTATGCCCCTCAATAGATATAAGACTGTTTGCCATCCTACCTCGCGGGACACAGAAGAGGAGCCCCAACAAAGTTCTCGCAGACACCGACCTCGATATGCCATTAAGTATTGTGTTCTTGAAACCGAACACCTGGCTCCTGACGCCATGAAGTAGTACGCATGGAAGGGATACTAAGCCCAGTACTCCAACCTGAGAAGAAGGCGAAGAAAAAGAAGGAGGGGGGAAAGAAGGACATAGACGAGATGGGTAGAGGAGATCTAATCCGGGCAATGCGATGGGGTCACCACATTGTAACCCTCGGTGTTGGGACTATCGCTGTGGACGTTAAGGGAGCCTTGGAGGATGTAAAGTTAGCACTTGAGATGAAAAGATGTCTTGAGGAAGCGCTGCGAACGCCAAATGAACTTGTCAGAAAATTCTGGGTCGGTTTTTGGAGCAAATATTTCCTTCTTATGCCATTGGCAATGATGGCGGAGAGATCCTTGGTTGTATTTGTAAGCGCATAGCAATGAGCGAGATGAGCCAAGAAGAGGAGAAGGAGGAAGAAGAGGCATTGATACAAGACGATGACGAAGACGCTGATGACCAGCAATATGCTTTCAATAGGATGTTGATGCGGAGCCTTTATAGCGGCAAAGATCTTATCGAAAGGGCTAAAAAAAACCAACACCACCATGGTCAAGGGTTTCTCCAAAGTCTGCGATGGCATAATAGGCAAGATCGATAGGGGATCAATTAACAAGGAGGTGCCATATCCTGCGATAGCCCTACTGCGATCAGTTTCACTTCAGCTTTTCGTCGAGCTAAAGCGCATGTATAGAGGTGGTTGTAAGGAGCTCTTTGAAAAGGTATTGAATTTGTTGTGTCGTGAGTCCGTTGCAAATCTGCCTTATATTTTGTAAGTGACACTGACAGGACACTTTTTCTTAATAGCCTCAGCCATTTCTGCTATCGAAAACTTTGTCTACCTGAATCGACTCACTAAAAACAGCCGTAAAATGATTCCCTTCACACCAATGCAGCAACCTTTCGTCTCATTCTCAGAGGGTGAACTGCTCGCTATTTTTTTTTTTTTTTTTTTTTTTTTTGGAAAAGCAAGAACCTAATGCGAGAAATCAAGAGTTGGAATACAGAAGCCAAGTCGAAGGATTACGACCAATGTCTTTCACAGCTTTGCTGTGAAGCAAAAAGTAGCGTACTAGCTAACATTCAAGTTTTGGCGTTGGCTAGAAGAAAAGAAGAGTGCTGCGCCTGCAGGAGCCGATTCTATCAACGATCTGGAAAGCGGACTGCCGCCTCTACATGGTGAGGGCGCCAGTATTGAAAGATGTCTATCTGAACTAGAAAAGGTAGAGGATCAGCTCGAAGAATTTTATAACGGAGATTGGCTTGTTGCGAGGCACCAATGGGACTCCAGAAGGGCCAGGGGCGCTAAGTATAGTATCATTGCCGGCCGCCTTCTCAGCATGATCAGAAGGCCAATTGGTAGAACGAGAGGCAGGCGTAATAAGGCTGTAATTAGGGCTGGGCTTGGCAAGCTTGGAGCGAGGTGTCCCTACATGAATCACTTGCATCGTTTTTTATCTCCAAAGTAAGACGTTTATTTTATTTTGGATTGTTTACTTAATATCATGTTTATTGTTGGGCTCGCTCTAACTATTAATTCCATCCTGATCTTGTGTCTATCTTTTTGCCCCTTAATATTTACGGTGTGACGTAGTTTCAAATACAAATCTACGGATTCCAGTAAAAATAATAATAAATGAGGTTGATCGGAGATCTTTTTGTTCAAAACTTTCACCATGGTCAAGAAAATCGCACCCAAGAGCGGAGGCAATGCCTTTACAAACTTTATCCGTCAAGAAATCACTGCTCCCGAAAAGAGAGCTGGCAATACCTCCATTGCCATCTCACTTACTGTCTTCGGTCTTGCTGTCACCTTCCTTCGTAGCCTCGGTGATATGCTAGGTGTTTAAGATGGCCACCGAAGGATACATTCAAACTGTCGCCGTATACCGCAAACCTGTCATGAGAGATTAGAGGAGGGTTCGAAGAGGCAAGATGAAGGAGGCTATAGGTCAGGTGTTGATGAATACATTACGATGGTGACTTGCAAGGACCAAGTGGTTGATAACCTAGCTGACATTGAAGCAGGTGGTTTTCTAGTCGTCTCAAAAATCGACTAGATGCCCAAATAGTAAGGAAAGAGATATTCAATAAACATTAATGGCTTGGTTCTCTGCAATCTATCGATAAAAAAACATTATGCAGCAAAAATCTTTTCCAACTAGCGGTGATGCGATCGACCTACATGTCTTGAAGGTTTTCCGCACTTCTACGAACCAGTTTAAGACTTGAACTTAGTGGGCATTTGCTGAATTCTGAACTGAGTCAAGTACGTCGGAGTTATGTCGTCGGACACGCCTGGCGGTTGTGGGACCGGTTCTTACAATCATTTTAGAGGAACTAATTGAAATTGACACCTAGCTAACCCTATGATATCTAATGAGCACACCTATAGAGTAGACAGAAGTGAGTGTTGATCTTAATTTAGGCAAATATCTAACTTATGCCAATTATGAACTTTTTTCAGTCATGCTCATGGGCTAGGGGATATATACAGTGGCATCACAAAGACGAGTCTATGCTATCGACTTTTCCAAACGCAGCTCCACGCTGATGCTTAACTCCAGGATTAGGAAAATCGGTATGATATAAATCTGGGCGTCAGTGGAGCAAGAAGAGGGAGGGAAACGTGTATTAACGATCTTTCTATAAAACTTTCTAATTAATTGGTGGATTTGCCTGGCTAACAGTTAAGAGATAAAACTTTGCATCCTTATAGGGTTTCCAAATGCTTGGCTCCAATCCAGGGTCGCTGTGGATTGAAATTGTTGACCTCAAACATGACTTTGCTTCCCATACTAATATTCTGCGCTTCTAACGGGTCAGCTTTGACTACCGTTTGGAATCCCAGAAGGGTGGACATGACATTATATCCATCTTCAGTCAAGTTCAAGACCATACCCTCATACACACTTGATAATCCAGCCTCAGAGCGACGACGGAGCATCTCATATAGCCAAAACTTAACCGAGCGTGCCTCCAGCATACCGAGCATGCGTTCGCGATCACGGATATGGTTCGTTAAAGGAACAAGAGTGTCTAGATTGAATATTAACGATATGGATGGTATTGCTGCTGCTAGTGGTGCTGACAAAGACGAGTCATGTTTGCTCAAAAGCATCCCCTTCAGCTGCCAATGTGACACCATGTCTGTATATCTTCTGAGTGGTGAAGTCACCTTACAATACCCATCATGAATTCCCATTGACCAATGTTTTAGAGGCTGTGTTGAAATTTCTGCACCTGGGATGTAAGGCCTTAGTGGCAACATGTCCTTCAAGGCGAGCACCCCTGTTATGGGATCAGTTTTTTCTCGGATAACTTGCTCAAATAGAGGCCTGTATTTCTCAGCGGGTGCCTGTTGATTCCTATACATGTTTGGCAACCCGTTTTCTTGCGAAAATAGGGCTGCCACTCTTCCTGCGATGACCATGTACTCTGCTACCATGAGCCTTGAGGGCGATGCGAATGCTGGATCAGCTCGGCAGCTGATCTGAGGTTCTTTCCATTGCTCATAGTCGATCGGAGACTTCCAGTCAGCCTGGGCAACGGGTGGAAGCGGGTATGGAGTAAGCTCGATCATCGGCCGTCCAAGAGTAAAGTTAAATCCACCAAATTTGAGCCTGGAGTCTTGATGCCTTCCTGAAACGACTTGCAGTCCTCGCAGTTCATTCACCAGCTCCTTATCAGTCGTGTCAAGACTCCCTTTACTAGAGCGATAGTATTCACGTTCAATCATCATTTCCTCCGGTGTTCTCAACATAGAGTTTCGGACACGATCACCTGCTGCCTTACCACCATAGACCCGGTTCCAGGAGAGAATTTCGTCCACATCATCATAATTAAGAGTAACCAAATTTCTGACGATACCGGGTCGGACCTTGTACTCTAAGATTTTGCCATCATCATCGTCCAGCCTCGCTGAAAACGTCATGACTTTTTTAGGTTTGCCATCGTTCTTCAAGCTTAATGATTCTTCCGTCAGTGAACGGGGAAGCATAGGCCATGATCCTTCTGGAAGATAAATCGTCTGCACGCGGGCGGCAGCCAACCTGGATAATTCGTGAAATGGAGGTAGAATAGATGTTGGATCTGCCACGTGAACGTGAACCCACGTGGAAGGGGTCGGTGTCAGCGTTGTAATAGGAACCGGTTCGATACAAAAGGCATCATCAAGCTCAGAAGCCGAGGGATCATCAATGGCGTAAACTGGTTGATGTCCGAAATCATATCGTATAGAGTCGCATGGATCACGTACATATAGTTCGGTTGGGTCCTGTAATATTAAGGGGTTGATACGTCCTTGTTTAATAGTCTTTTGCTTGTTTTTAATATTTTGCTGAACTGTGATTATAGCATCCTGTTTTGAATATTTGATCTCCTTTTCAACGTCTTGATGAAGCACTTCAGGGTGTCGTTGCTCTATACGTTCCATGATTGCTTTCTCCTCTTCAAGGGTTTCTGAAGGAGTAACCGTTGAGCGATTGATCTCCATATTGTACCAGCTTGGCCAAATTCCAATTTCTTTCAAGAATAAAAATGCCGTGCTTGGATCAATGTCATCGTACGCTCCCAAAGGCCTTAGTAGCCTTGGAAGATAAGCAAGGTGAGGGGTCAGAAAGATGTCGTCATAACCATGAAAAGCACTTTGTCTCACAAACTCAATTAATGCTCGATCAGAATCTGAGAAAGCAACATCTCTCCAATTTCTCTTGTTGCCTGCACGGTAGCCTTGCACTAACATCTTGGCTTTATCTTGAAATTGTGTCAGCCGCGGATCATCTTTGCGCATCCAATCAATCACCGTTTCCGTCAGCTGTACCTCTGTAGGTGATCGTATAGAGAACTCACCAGTCCAGCGCACCGCTACAGAAGGGATGAACTTTAGCAAACTTGTATCTTGAGTCAAGAACATGTGCGTTGCATAAACCTCTTGTAATGTAAGAGGTACAGAACCCGGATCTTCCTTGTTAAAAACATATTTTGCTGCCTCTATGACTGTGAACGATGTCATTTTCCGCTGGTACCAAAAAGTGTTATACACTGTGTCGAATTTTGTGTAGTGAGTCCCCATGATGACTCTCGAATTCTCTGCAAACTCTGTAGCAGCTTTGGCGGCGCCTGGAGGTGCTGAATATGGGTCAGCATCTACATCCCACCGTCCAATTTCTGCTTGAACTTTGTCCATGAAGATATATCCTGGAACTCGGAATGTCACCTCGTTAGTTCTATGTTCCAGAATTGATCCTCCGAGCGAAACAGATGTGGATTTTAATCGCCCTTCAGCTGCATCGAAGTTTGAAATATAGATACCATGGATTGCCTTCCCTTGTCTATTTCAAAATACGATAATATGCCTGTTAACATGACGAAAATACGATCATATAAGAGGTTACATAAATGCATCTAAGATCAACAGGTTTACCTGCGGACTTCAACAAAATCACCAGGGAGGACCTCACGGTTCTGAACAGATTCTGGCCCAAAAAGGCTGCTAATATCACCATGAACAGCTTTCGCCAGTTGGCAGGTGTATACCGGTTCTGAAGTATCGTTTCTTGCCTTGACTGTTCGCACCGACAAGGTTTTTTTCCGCTCATTGCGCGCGGATATTTTTCGGGCATATGCCAGTGAGCTGTTTCGTTCTTGCATAAACTCTTCTGAAGGAGTCATTTTCGTGGACCTCGGTTCATGAACTGACATATGGCCAGATGAAGAGTGGGGGCGCAATATTGAATGTGTATTGGAAGCCCGACCATATAATTTGATCTTTGTAGTATCCTGGGATGCCGATCTGTGACCAGTTAGCTTGGACTTAGAGGTCGTAACACAGCGAGTTTTGGTCTCTGCGTCCCGAAAGCTCCCTTGAATATCATTTCCTACCCTGTACGAAGTCGGCATAGTTCTGAAATGGCAGAGTTTACCCAAGTATGGTCTCTGGCTAGCTAGCCTTAACCTTGACCAGATTTTCTGTGTTGTGAACATACTAAGCATGTTGTGATAATGTTTATGGGTTTGCTTTCTGGATAAGCTAGAGTCAGTATAGGCAAGACTAACAGAGTCCTGTTGAAGGTCGATTCTAAGTTTCCCTAATGGAATGACTTCCAAGGTACTGGAGAGAGAGAGTAAGAGAATGAGAAAATAACGATAAATACTAAAGATAATAAAGCAAAAACACTTACTCAGCCACTGCGTGACTGACTACTAAACCTGAACTTTAAACTATAAAAGTCCAGAAAATCTTTGGCCAAATAGAGTATGAGAAACCTTTCCCTCGAATTGACCCAAGCGCCTATCGAATCAAACACGCGTTCATGAAAACCTCTCTCACTTCCTCCTTTCATTTATGCTGAATAACACTTCAAGGTAGACTCCAATGGCCGCCATCTCATGGAAATAGAATTAAATGGGTTTTGCACTAAATGTACTTTATTTAACCATGGCTGCTACTACCTTCATCAGTCTCTACGACAGAGCCAGTCAGTATAATCATTAACACTGCTAAATACCAGTCCGCTCAAAATCAGGATTATCTCCCCGTGTTTACTACACTCAGCTGAAGACATCTCCAACATTACTTTCAGTAGGCTATTTAAAAGGATGAGACAACTGCGTCGATGCGCATAACTGAACCTTTATTTTAATTTATTCTATTTTTATTCTGTTCTATTTTATTTTTATTTTTTTTCTTACTCTTATTTTTATTCCTATTAGTTTCCTATTTTATTTTATTTTGATTTTTATTTCACTTTATTTCTTTCTTTATTTCCACTTTATTTTCAATTTCGTCTTTGTATCTATTGTCGTTATCTTCGTATTCCAAGATCAGAGCACATATCTCTGACCTTTAGGACATCTAGCAGTCCGAACGAAGCATGTTCGGGATCAACAGTCCTGTTACCTTACCATCAGCGAATAATAATCATCCACCAACACAGGGATATAGCCAGGCCCCAAGTGGCACTACACTCACGCCTGATGTCAATCAGGCTATGCGTAGAAATGCAGGGATGACAAGTCAGCCGAGTCAGCTCCACAGCTCAGTCACAGGAACTGACCCATCTGTTCTCCAATATCAAGCACGTCTGCATCATCTTCAGCAGCAGCATGCACAGCAACTACAAATACAGCAGGCACAGCAGCAGCATCTACAGCAACAAGAGCATCAGATGCAACCTCATGCTCCACCGCATTTGATATTGGCTCCTCAACATATGGCGTCCCCAAATACACGTCAGAATGTGGTACCCCAGCTTGTTAATCAGATCCAGATATCCTCGCTTGTCCAGCAAACGCAACTACAGCAACAACGATCTCAGCTACAATCACAACGGCCACAACAGCATCTACTATTCTTACAACAGCAACAGCAAGAGCAAATGCATCATCCACAGATGTTCCAACAACAACTTCAGTTTCAACCCAATTTTTCTGATCAACAGTTGGATAGGCTAGGTCAAAATCTTGCGTTGCCATTCAAAGCAGGCCAGCAGGACCATCTACAGGCATTATCCGGTCAGGTAACAGACGCTGGAACCAATGGTGGGCTTCAGCAATTGACGGCCTACCAACAGGCACAGTTAAATCAGCAGCAGCAGCAGCGACGCAACGAAGTCCAACATTTACAGCAACATGAAGCTCAAAGTGGACAGCCAGAACACCAGTTGCATGCTCATGAGCAAGTACAAGGGCAAGAACAGGCCAAGGATCCGCAACAAGAACGAATTCAAACACATAATGGGATAGAACTTCATGACAATCAAACACAAGGACAAGATCGTGAACGACAACAGGCACAGCAAACAGAGTATCAACAACAGAATCAATATCAACATCAACGTCAACAGCAGCATGAACAACAACAATCATTACAACAAAAACAGGACCATGAACATCAACTATCGCTTCCTCCATCACAATTGCAACAAAATCTACACCAACAGCAAGCGCTAGGAGCAATGTGTTCTCCAATGCAGCGCAATGTCATTCAGTCAGCATTACAGGCACCAAGGTACAATTTACAGAGCATGCATTGGCTCATGTATGTAATAAATGATACTGTCTGATCAATTCTAATTTTTAACATTTTCTGTAATATTGCCACCGTCATCTCAGCTCCTTAGATCCTATCATTACAGACGAACGGTCATCAAGGGCGCTTCTGCGCCTTATGGAATTTGGACGAGCAATTGGGTTGAATATTGAGGTAGGTTTATGGCGTGTAAACTCGCTATATCTCTTTGACATTTCATCACTGACGGCCCTTGTTTTGGTCTCGCTTTGTCAGCATCAAACAATTGACTTCTGGCAAGCTTTCGTAGCCAAATTCTTTGGCAATGCCGGCAAGTTGAGATACAAGCTTGTCAATCCAGTGACGAGCGAAAGCAAGGTCTTTGGTATGCACAAAGAAGACGAAATAAGATTTATGTGCGCGTTCGTAGTTTTTGGGGACAACGAAAACGCCATCTAAAACCCATTTTTCGTGGCTTATTTCATTTAATAGAATTGACGGCGCCATCATTGCCCCGATTTTACTTGGGAACTGTTGAATCAGGGATCAAACAATTACAACTTATTTTGGAGCAAGCATTAGGGCAGACTGCTCCCTTTCCTCTTATTGTCGAGTGCCCGAGAATCACTCTTGTTTCACATCATATAAATGGTTCTAAGGTATGTCATAATGATATTTTCCAAGCTTCAAGTCTTTTTTTTTTTTTTTTTTTTTTTTTTTTTTTCTTTTCTTATGTACTAATACTTGTTTATGGATTGTGATAATCATACTAGATTTTTGCAAAAGGGACTATCAAAGCAACGTTTGCAACTGATTTTAAATTTGATCTTCTGGAGTTGACTTCGTTAGGCTTCGAAGAGTTCATATCTCGACCTGTGGATGAAACATTGGGCAGTCCACTCCTAGAATCAAAGATTGAAGGCAAAAAGAAGGGAAACATGAAAAGAGCCTTGACCACATCTAAAAAGGCAACCCAGAGTATACCTGAAAGCATTGTGAATGAGTTTGGAATCACTCATAAAGCTATGCGACTGTTGGAGGTAGGCATAGCAAGCATTTAATTGAAGGGAAGATAGAACAATATCTCACATCCTGGATTACGTTCCCATACATCTGCTTCTTTCCTCTGGTAGTTGTCTGACGTATGCTCCAAAATGACCGAGTTAATCCAACACAGTGCTTATACGCGACGCGGGCCTGCCGGTAAGTATCAGACCGCTGCCGAAGATTGAATATAGAGGCATCGCTTATTCATGAACCGACACTATAATCACTAATATGGCCAATCTACCATAGAAACTCTTGCAATGTATTCTCAGCTACTGCGAGATAATAAACAAGTACTACTTAGAGCGGGACAGACAAGTGCTCAGTCCAACTCACCAAATCTCACCAACTCTTTTGCTACACCGGTACTTTCCCATATACCGACTCTACTCACTCATCAAAGCGGTGCATCAAGTACTGGTATCATAAGCAGCCAAACTCATTCTCGCGCATCGGCTTCACCCAGGTCTATGAAACGTAGGACATCTGTAGCCATGTCGCCGTGCGAATCTAGCCATGTGAGCTCACCTTCAGCTTCTCCAGCCGTAGAGGACACACAAGGTCATGGAGTCGTGAATGCTAGCACCCCTTCGATAAAGCATGCCATCATTAACAACATGGCCTCCGGCCCAACCTCAAACCAAACCGCAGGGACAGGACTTGGACTACGTCTTGTAGGATCGCCTCTCCAAACGCCTTCATCATCCATCACATCACCGGTTTTCTCACCGGTTGTAACAGGCAATATATTAACTGCGACCGGAATGTCACCTGTAAAGCCCACTAAGCGAGCACGTACGGCATCGATGACGCCTACGTTAACAACAGCTGGAGCGGCCGCTCAAAAAGGGTCAACGGGTGGTGCTATTGGTGGTAATAGCGGTAGCGTGAATGGGACTACGGTAGGACGAAATCGAAAGAACACTGGACGAAAGGATTCTGGCACTAAGAGAAAGGCGAGCATGACTGAAGAACTGAGGACCGACGTTAGGGCGTTAGCGGCTGGACCGCTAGAACCTAGTGCACATGCAACTGGCCCGTTGGAGGTTGGTTCACAAGCGGCGCTAAGCGCAGGGATGATGATGCTGATGTCCAGCAACCATCCTCTTCCTGGACCATCTCATGGTAGTCTTGCAGCTGATCAAGGGCTAGGTCAGGCCCAAGGGAGTCACGGGATGCATCTCTTTATGAATGCGACCACATTGCCAATGATGGCTCTAGGCAAACACCAGGATACCGGTACGTATGTCCCAGGAACAGCCCTCCAGCAAGCATCGATGCTTGGAATGCAAAATGGGCTGGATAATATGCGATCAACAATAATGGGGGTTGAATACACTGGAACAGACCAGGAAGGTCCATCGTCAACGCAAGGGTTGCTGACAATACATGACCAAAATCAAAGTATTGCACCAGCGCGGCCATAACACCAATTCATTTTGAGGAACTTGGGCACAGTAGTTTTTTTTTGTTAATTTTTTTTCTTCATGTGAAGGAACATTAATGTTTAATATTTTATGTTATTGACGCATTCACAGCTATCTTTTCTACCTTTATTTCTACATTCATTCGTTCAAATCCTTTATTTTCTGTATTTCTTTCAGAGTGGTGATCATCCAGATAATGCACTAAAGCATTAAATAAACAATACGATAATAATTATTATAATATTATTCATTACAAAATGTTGAAAAAAACGAACATGTGCTGTCAGACAACACATAATCTGTGGACGAAGTGTCCTGCAAATCGTCTTTTGGCGATCGTCTCCTAGGGTCATCTGATATTGGAGATCAAAGGCATAGAGAGCTCACCTGGACTCAAGGATGACCTTCTTGCCAACGTGTCCTACCTTTTGGATATTGCGACGAGAAAGGTTTAGATCAAAGTCAAAGACCATTTCCAGAAGTAATACCGAAAGATACAGCCACTGTTTTATTGGTCAATTACCTTGGTCGAGAGAGGTACTCATTCTGCTACGTCCAGAAGGCCATATGGCTATGGCTGTAGCTATGATTGCGGCTGAATGGCCTCTAGAAGACGATGACGATGATGCTAAATCTGTCGCTCTAATGGATTAAAATGAACTGCAGCTCGGGACTAAATTTGGTATTGAGCAGATATATTGCACGAAGTTCTTGGTGCTTGCTTTTGGCCCTTTCTAAATCTGTAATGGTTATCCGTAAGAGCATTTAAGCTAGTTAGTAGTACTCTCCTCCATAGTGACTCTGGACCCACCATTATCTGAAGCCTCAGGCGAGAGTGGTAATGAAGCAGCAGTTACAGCTACTAACTGAGAAAAGTGACGATTGAGGCCAGATTCAAGTTTATCAGAAATTTGACGCAAGAGGCTTTTTCAGAATTCGTCAGGAGAGAGAATCAAGGAGACATTTCTATGACTGAAATTATCGAACGATCCTGACATATTAATGCGCCTTGTGAAAATGTTGTGGCATTGGCAGTCAGACCTTGATCCGATCGTGGAAGGATATACCCAAGCTTGGAACTTGGGCCCCTTAAAGAGTGGAGGAGCTTAATGCATTTTACCGCTTTGCATACGCATCTTAAACCTAAATAGCAACCATCCATACACGATAATGATAGCTAAAAAAAATTCCGGGAACGAAGCTCTACCCTAGACAAATCGGCAGTACTTCTTCTAAACGGCTTAGTAATGTTGCTATGGTCTGCGCTATGATTTGCACTATGGTCTGAGGCAGCATATTCAGAGCTGCTGGACTATACAAAGTATGGAGCAAGCGCTGCATGTGGATTCATGCTGTCTCTCTTTGTGGCAGCGGTCCTCATATCGTCGAAGCGAAGACCTAAATGCATTAATAGAACTAAATAAAAAGGTTCATTTTGATTTAGGGTGCTTGTTTGCGAACATTCACGCAGAGAGACAGATAGGGAGGTGGATAGAAAAGAGAAAAGGAGTTGGGTTGTCGTTATCATTTGACTTTATCACTGTGTCCCAGTGATTCTCATCGCCTATTGAAACTGTGCGATGAAAAAGCATCACTATCAAAGCAAACAAACAAACTAATAACAATGGTAATGTAAAGTATTAGTGATGAATTCGAGTAGAGGAGTGGGAGACAATTAGACAAACGTCGTTCGTTTTCTTTCTTTCTTTTTGTCACGAACACACAAATACACACATAAAACAGTCGCCGTACTTCATGAGATGAAATGGGATCGACATCTTCTTGTATAAAACTGAATACCCTCTAATTCTTCTTTTCTGTTATTGTTTTACACTTACACCCACGGTTGACTTTCGTTAGACTCCTGAAGACGCGCTTGTTAGCAATGACCAAGTTGATCAAAGGGTTCATCTCTAGAATAGGTTACAATTTCATTTGAGCAATTGCTCAGGCACAGAGCAAACAGGATAGCATTTATTATCGTTATTACTGGTATCATACTTTACGTTTAGCACAACTGGTAAAGCGGGAGCATCCAAAGAGATACATGTACGCTCATCTGCAATGTCACACATACGCACAAAGAACTGGTCACTCATACGACTCATGCTTCAATATCTTCAATAAGCACTCATACACAGCCAGTATGATATAAAAACATAGCCACTAGCTCGGCAAATGAGCCAACACCATGGTATGCTCCATATTGAAACGGTATTGCCTCCCACACTTTGTCTACTTGTGAAAAAAATAAAAATAAAAATAAGAAAAACAACAGATGTCTCTCGGTAAGCTCGCACTACAAAACCATATGTATACTGTTGCTAATGTACTTCTTGTTTGCACACAATCCCTATTCATCCGAATTAAAGATCTCGGTGCCGATTCAGTTCTCCAAAAAAAAAAAAAAAAAAAAAAAAAAAATTCTTGATACAAAAGAGTTAAGTATTTCATACACGTGCACCAGGCTGCAATGAACCTCCTGTAAAAATATGATATGTAGACACGTATTATATTTCCTATGAATCACTAATACGCATTCCCGCGACTTACAACTGTCATATGCTCTTCTCTTGAAGCATGCAACCATGCCAATCGGTAACTTCATCATTCTTCATTATTTATGTTGCACCTCCTTGTTGTATTTTTAGGCCACATTAGGAAATGCAATTTTTGAAAGAAGCTCAAGGCAATGTTTTCTTGGTATGACTTGCACAATGGCAGCCAGTTTAGATAATGCGCTTCTATTTCTCAATGATGAATAGTCAAACTTTTTTTTTTTTTTTTTTTTTTTTTTCGTGCGTGTAGGCTGTGGCTGTCACAGCGATGGATATTAACGTGAAGCTTAATATTTGCCTCTTTCGCCTCGATATAGTTGATGGCACCATGCCGTATGCCATGGATTCGGAAAGGCCATTGATACCAAAAATGAGGATATTTGTATCAAACATGTTGTGTAACAAAAAAAAGCGCCCCCTCTTGACATTTTCCTTTCGTTGTGTCTTAATGTGGTCAATTTTGTCCGAGATTTCTCACACCATTTTTTGTGTCATGCTCTCCTTCAGCATAACCATTCCATTGCTACATGACTAAACATTGGGCAGGTAGACGCACTGTCCCCTTGTCTTCTGCCTCCACATATCAAGCTTCCGCCTCTTCGACCATCCTTATTCCTTTTTATTTTTCTTTGATTTTCTTCTCTCTCCTCCTTGTCTTTATCGACATTCCTCTCCCACCCCTTTCCATCCTTATTTCAGACAGCAACTACATATTCACACATACACCATATATCAGCGTCATTATGGCCACGTTTCACTCGCTTAATCCGCCCATGGGCACACACCTCAGGCGACAGGCGCCAGATATGCTCTCTGTTGAGCTCGAGTTATTACTTCCACAAGGCTACTTTCTTCCCGCGGAGGACATCCAGGCAGAGGTGTGGACAAACGTTTTGCACAAACTGAACCCCGATGGACCTGCAGTCTGGTCCGCTATCCCTATGAAGCTGTCGCACGTAATCCCTGGAACCAGCATTGCCGTCTTTGCAGCAAGATTTCAGCCGACAGGCCGAGGTGATTTTGGACTGACTGCGCGTTGGAAGTCACATAAAGATGTAACCAACTGGCAGTGGGTGCCTGCTGCAGAGGCGGAAGACACAGCCAATAGTAACAATTCCACGCTCGAAGGAAACAAGGATGTTTCTATTACTGTGCGAGTGCCACGCAATATTTCAAAGACTAGCTCTTGGACCATGGGTCCACAATCCGTCATGGTCTTTGGTCAGGATGGGCCCCGTGTCGAGGGCTATAACGCAGGAGGAGCAAGTGTCGGAGGCCCAGGTTTATATCTGGGCAACCACGCTGCCGCAACTCGTGCGAGGATTTCCGGATATGATTCCGTTTTATCGCTTGTGGGAGATATATTGGACTTTGATGAAAAGATCCCTGAGACTGACAAGGAGCTCAACAAGATCGCATGGATAGAGCAAGCCACGGCAAACACTCAACGTAAACGCTATTCTTCACTTTCTAGGTCGTCCTCGATCACTCCCTTGGGCACTTTGCCTTCTTTAGACTCGCATATGCCAGAAGAATATGGCTATCAGCCGTATCCATTAAAAGATACTTCGAGGCGTTCATCCGTACATGAGTTTATGCTCAACCACGAGCCTGGCTCCACCTCAGATGATCTCCTGCCCCTCGTTGTGGATATACCCGAGGAGCCAGAGCGCCTTACACACAGAAACTCGGTAACAGACATGATGGTCAAGCTTCCATCATCCATTAAGCAATCAAACCGTTCATTGACCTCCGTTGACCCGCCTAATCCCCTGGATAACATCAGACAGAATCAAGAGCAAGAAGCTGCTCCCGCCGATGCAGCCTTGACAGTTGCGGCTCCTAATATCGGTACAAAGCAAGCCGATGCTTCAGAAAACGTTGCAAACGCTCCAGCCTCACAAGAGAAATATACTCAGCAGTCAGCTTCAAGGAGCAGGAAGGCGAAAAAATCCTCCGGAAAAAACCAAGAGCAGCCAGGTTCGAACACACTATCACTTGAGCATCCATCTCCCACCATTGAGTCTCTCGAAATAACAACTGCGCCTGATGCAAACGCTCTTCCCCCGATAGCCTCTGCCAGAATTGGCGTCAATGGTAATAGCATGGCAGGCACGGCAGAGACAAGCGACTCGACCCATCCTCATACATTGTCACCTACCGCAACACAAGGAGGCAACACCTCTACTACACCAGCTTCTATCGATACGGCTCCCTCTTCGCTCAACGATAGCAACCCGCCTTCAAGTGCTAAAGTCATTTCGGGCCTTTCCAAGCAATTTTGGGAAAGCCAACCCTCGCGCCCATCCTCAGGATCAAATGGCAGCTTTGCGAATGGTCAGGAAAGACAAGCAAAGTGGCCTTTTCAGCACAAAGTCCTTACGATGTCTCCAGGCGCGCACAATGTGATTTCCGATGCAGTTCTGAAGGAGGCCGTTGAATTTCTGAGGAAGGAGATTGCGCAGGGCAAGAAAGTGTTGGTGCACTGCAGAGATGGTAACGGACGAAGTGGCAGCGTTGTGGTTGCATATATCGCCTCACAGATGCAGATCTATGCTAAAAGGGCAGGGCATAAGGACTCTGAAATAGAATCTTACTATGATGCGTCTTTGAAGGAAGTTTGGAAGTGGAAATGTGATGTATATCCACACAAAGGGCTGAAGCAAAGCATCGAGAGGATCCAATGGTGAATAGCAAACATCTTTCATTCCTCTTAAGCGGCAACATCAGCAATCAAGCGATAACCTTTATCATTTAAAACTCTGCTGTAATTCTAAATAATAAAACGGCAAAATCTCTAGGAAGCAGCGACGTAAAAACAAATTGTTCATTTATAGCTAAGCTAGTGCACTTGATAATGACAAGTCCAAGATGAAAGTCTCGTCTTTATTTGTGTTTTCTCTTTAATTGGCAATGATTCCCAATGCAATTAGTATAGGAGGTCTGGGGGCGATCGTGAATCTGATGGTGACACTACTGATGGGCCGGAATGATTGTATTGCTGCTGCTGGTGTCGCCAGTTCTGTCTAATATCTGGATCAAGCCTATATTCCCCATCCTTCTGCAAACGCTCGAGTTTTCGGACGCTAGCAGCAGCTTTAGTGTTCTCAAGTTGTTCTTTGAGCACTTCAATCTCATTGAGAGCATTCCTTACCGCCTGTTCTGAAGCCAGGACACTCTTTGTAAGCAACTATAAGTGATAAGTAAGAAAAGTCAGCATTAGAATTACCTGCACATAAAAAAAAAAAAAAAAAAAAAATAGCCCACCTTGGTTGTCTCAAAAGAATCTCTGAACATTGCTTCATGTCCATCTACTAAAGTTATTGTTGGAACGCTTCTGATCGTATTCATCATTCCATAACTGGAAGAGAATCTACAGATTATATACTATCAGTAAGAATACCCCACTTGGAAGCAAGTTCTGTCTTTTAACAACGTTTGTTTGTTTTAGTTACCCCGAAATCCCTGTCGCAAGGTTTGACTGAAAAGATTGATAATCCTCTTGCGGACTCTCAATCATGTTGGATATGTGCGCTGGTATCACCTTGAATGGACTAAACAGAAGATCAAACGCAGAGTCGCGTTAGTAAAGATATGGATTGCTTCGGAATAATCCTGCGAACCTCGGCATTTTTTTCCCTTCAACTCACGCTGTGCCATCCTCGATAGACCAAAAGGTGTAATCATAGTCATGTGTCGATCGGTTTTCGTTGGTCTTGGCAGTAAAGAGCGCAAATATGACTATGAATAACTGATCGTCCGATGGCGCAAATGGATTCGAAGGTTGGAGCGAAGCCCGTTTCTTTTCTAAATACATTTTCAGGTTGAGTGCTACAGCCTTATCACGTAAAGAAAGTTCATGTGTTTCTGTTCGCCTGTACTTAAGATAGCCAAGGATCGAAAGCTATCGTTTTCATATAAGAAATTACTCTAATCAGCGATGCCGTGTCAAAAGTAACTGTTAAGGACTACCAAGGCCATACGCGGCAAGGAATAAACTGATCTAGGACTATGTCTAGATTGTTTACATTCGATGGGATATTGTACTGCTCTAGAACTTGTTCGTTGATCGATCCTGAATGTCCATAAAACTTTGGCAAGGTGGGCTCGATTTTATATACACCTTGGACGACTAAATGGTGGTTTGGTAAAGAAGAAAAGGAGTTTTTTTTAGACCACGCTACGTAAAAAAGTGGCTACAAACTGTAAAATATTGATGGCCATGGGTTTAATACTGAAGAGAACACGTTACCAACGGTAGTGTAGACAGTTTTGACGCGCGCATCTGAGGCATCATCGATAACAGAGCGAGTCTTAGAGACGATAGTACCTAGAATAAGCCCTTCCTATTTAAAAGTTGAAAATATGGACACTGAATAGGTCAGGGGTCAAAAAGAGTTTCAAGCCTGCTTTTGCTGATGAAAAGACTTGGGATAGTGGCAGCAATGATGTTTACAAAATCGATTCTAGCATTGGCACATTCAAATAGCAACGTTGAGAGGAGAACACCGTTGAGTTGGATACGGAGAGACGGAGTTGTAACCATAGTAAATATAATATAGAAACTGAATGTTGGTTGTGTTGTCTTGGTTGGAGAAGCGATGCAAAGTCAAGCTCTTTGCATGAAAGTTTAAAGTGGCTGTGAATATCATTAATTCTTTTTTTTCCTAACTCACCATTTAAGAATTCATGGAGAGACGACTTTTTCCAGATTCGTCAGCGCTGAGACATATCACCAACCGCCATTCAAAGGATGCGCTCGTTGACATGGCTCTCCGTTGGATTCACATTCATCCCATTACTCGTCCTCATCGACAACCTGAAAAGGAGTTGTATGTAGACGAAGAAAGCTATGAAAAGAGGGAAATGGAGGATCACGAGTATAAAGCACAGGTCGAAAAACGATATTGGTGGATAAAAGAGAATGGCAACAGAAATACTGTCGTGGATAGGATGTTGAGAGTTGACTGGCGTACAGGACTGAACTCCACGCAAGTAGCTGATTTGGATCTAGCTTATTATTCACAACATGCCAACTTGAAAAACTGGAGAACACTTAGAATGAATTATGGTGACGAGAGTAAGGACAGTGAACGACTATCTCTAAGGAATTACACCGTTAATGACATATTACTGTATTGAATTACGCTAAAATCCTTCGTGTTCTATAGCCACCCTAAGAAAAAGATGGCTTGATCCCTCAAAGATTGAAAGGACACTTTCGCACCACCTTGCGCCTTTTCTGAAGCATGTAAGACGTTTAATCTATTGAAGCACCTTAACCCAACATTAAAGAGATAAATGGCTCGCTATTAAGTACTTATCGCGACGTGTTGTATCCATTTACTGGGTAATAGCATGTTCAAGTATTACAAGACAAAGAAAAGGTTTGGATCAGATTAAGCATCCATGACGGGTTGGCACCTCATACACTACCGCCTCCAACAGCCGTTATATACTTGATCTGGTTTATAAACTCGAAGTATCTTTTGTGCGGGACATTTAAAGCGGAATGGAGGGATTTCGTGATGCAGGTAAGAATTTGCAATGTCAACAGGTAAAAGATCATAGTCATGATAGGTACCGTTCCAACTAACCAGCATATGCAACGTGTCTGTATCCACTGACTGATAGGCAATATTACGGTTATTTAAAGCGGCTGAAATTGAAGAGTGGCCACTGGCAAGCAAGTCTCCAACGTCCCTTCAAGAGCTTTTGTTGCATAAAGATTCTCAGGGACCACATAGCCGGTACCGACTTGGTCAGCTGGATAATAACCCACTAGCGAACATCCCAAAGAAACGAAGACTAGAGGGTACTATTGAGTATTCGGGAAATGCGAATGTGGCGCTCTCTTTCCAAAATTGACTAATATTTCATCCCTAACAAATAATGGCATCCATGGCATCTTCTACAGATCCACTAGATAGATATACGAACGGATTGAGGGATATCTGTACTGAAGATCCAACCAAAATAATAGCACGTGATCGATCCATAGTCAGTGATTTTGGTCCTAATGCGCAACCTAGTCTTCATAGAGTGGATCTACAGCTTAATCTGCCATACACAAACAAAAGTAAAGACTTCGGACTTGGACGCTCGACAAAATTGCCATTTCCGATCAAAGTGGTCCTTGAAGGTGGCAATGTGATCGAGGGAATCAAGTCTCTAATACCTCTTGGTGTGGCACAAAACCCCATACCAAAGTTTCTAGCAGAATTACATTCGATGGCAAGTAACCGCCTAACTATAAACATGGATGAGGAAGGAGAGTCATTGCAACAAATATCACCAGGCTAAAAAACTAAATATTGCGATATCTGGCAATAAAATGGATGCGACGCCATTGTACATATTTGTTTAGGCATGTGGCAACAAGACAGTCCTGAGTGGATGAATACCTTTGCCCCCTTTTTTAGTGTGATTATCCTTTTTTTTCATGCTCCTCTAAATTCCTTATTCACATCCTCTTTCCTTTCATAATTCATTTTTTCACCAAGGCTACTTCTCATTCTCTCTCTCTCTCTCTCTCTCTCTCTCTCTCGCATGGAGCATGCTCAATTCACCAGCCAAAACCCAAATAATTCCTTTACCATCAATACATCTGAACAGACATCTTTTCAACAGCTAGACATATTAGAAAACTCATACAGCAATGCATCAATGGCAATAATGAACTCAGAGTCCGTAAATTCCTTAGACAATACTTTGACTGAACCTTCAAATACTTCAGCAATGCAACAGCCGGAACTAGCGTCGTCGCCGGTATCAATTCGCCCAATACAGTTGCCTCGCAATGCAGTCGGTGCTCGTAATGACGGTGAGGATAGGTCAAGAGCCAGAGCAAATACGGGGGAGCAAAATATCTCACCAGCGTTGGCGCCCAGATCTTTCTCAGAATCACAACAAGCGCGGCAAATGAATGAGTATTCGCCTACGCCTGCACGATCACTTGCCCAAGTGCTTCATTCTGCTGAAGAAGCAGAGAATACTAGAACTGATATCGGACAATGCGGATACGGCGAAGCTGACCGTGGTCAATTGAGTACATCTGGAGTACAATTTCAGACTCAGAACGATAATCCTAGTCGCCGTGGGCACCCTGAATCAGGTATTGGTTCGACAGGATGGATGGGTACCAGTATACCGGAGAGCCGCTTCAGTGGATTTGAGGTTGTTTATGACGACGGTGTCCGCAAGCAGAGAACGTTTAGTCTAACAACACAGGTTGATGATGAAGAGTATGTCTACAATAATGAATTTTTCTACCAGCTGAATCTTTCTGCGAAATTTGGAGAGTTTAACTCGTGCTTCATGTCTTTCTGAAAAACAAAATCGCGATTAGGGAGAGCAGTAGTGAGAACGATAGTGGTAGCGCATCTGAGAGCAGCCCGCTACTCAATTATCAGCAAACGGGGCCGTATTCGCGAAAATACACGGGCCATCAGCAAGGTGATGGCGGAAGAAGGCCTGTACATGGACTCGAGCATGCACAAGGCGATCCAGTCTCTTCTTGGCCTTACTCTGACTCACTCAATGACCGTCATCATTCATCTTCGTCTGGATATAACAACTACCCTTTCAAGTGCTTATTCAACAGCATCCTAGCCGTTTGGCTCTACATCACACAATTCACACTATCAATTCCAAATCGACGTATCCTCAAGGCATCCTTAGCGTATCTTTTTGCGTGTCTTATTTCATTCACTCCATTCTTTCTGCCATACATCGGGGTTTCAGGTCATTTGGCTGCGACATCAGCAGTGTTTTTCAATCCTGCAAAAACCTTGGGACGAATGGTGGATGCTGTCGTAGCTGGACTCTGTGCGATCGGATTTGGTTTTCTTGTCTCTATCGCCAGCATGGCTAGTGCAGTTTGGTTCAACAATAGGAGCCTTTATATCTGGGGTCATGTAGTCACTGTCGTCATCTTTGGTGGAGGGTCTACGTTCATCATTGCGTATGCAAAGGCGTACTACAATCGGCCTACGGTAAACGTAGGTAAGTTAGATATCCATATGCAACGATTATTCGAATGGCTTGCTCAAATATCTTCACATTGGTCTCATTAATTTATCATTTCCAACTTGTTCCTCTTGACGTCTAATCGTAGCTTGTACTCTGTCTCATATCATAATCCTTGTGACACTGACAAAGGAAGGTGCTCTTACTTTGATGGAGTTTAACATGACTCGAGTTCTCGCTATAACGACATCGATGCTTCTGGGAGTCTTTATTTCAACAGCGATCAGCATTATACTTTGGCCCGAAAGTGCACACGAGAAACTCCGGTTAGTTATTGAGTTGACTGTAAATGTGATAGACCTGCTGGATGTTATCAAATAAGAGCCTAATATATATATCTGCTCTTTATAACCGTTTCAGACAAGATATGGGCAAGTCTTTAAGCTCGTTTAGGCTTTTATTAAAGCTGTTGACCAAGACATTCCTCCTAGAAGATGATACAACGCCTTTTGGTTCTGAATCAGTGCAAAAAATGATAGAGTCGCAAGTCAAATCCTTTTCAGCGCTTGCGAAATCACTAGAGGAAGCACAGCTGGAGGACCCTGGAAAAGACATTAAAAAGTACGAGGACTGTGTCAAGTCCCTGAACACCTTAGCTCAGTATTTAAATGGTCTTCGGAGCTCGTGCGGCCTACAATATGACATGCTCAAGAAAGATGAGCAGCGCAAGGATGGTAGAACGTCGGTACATCCCAGCTCTAGCAGTACTGATATTAACGCCGCTTTCATTAGGCCTCAGGGTGAAGGGGAACACGGACTTGGGGTGGGAGGGCACATGTCGTCATTTAGTCTTATTGGGAGCTTGAGCCTAGACCAGGATCAGAGCGCAAGTGCGGATCTGATCGAGTTCTTGGATCACGTTGGCAAGCCAATGAAATCTCTCGCTCTTACATGCAAATTGACTACTAAGCACCTTCAAGATATTTTCACCGACGCTGATGTGAGTCGCGTATCTTCAGCTGTGCCGTCTCGATCTCGCTCAAGGACCATTCAGTCTCATTTGAACCAACATGGCTATGACAGCGCAGAAGCACACTCAGACTCTGCTTTTGAGGGTGGAAACAATTCACTTCATCCCGAACTTTCACGCCGATACTTTAAAAACAACCCAAGTCTCCAACTTATGCGATGTAATCTCGCGAAAGCGCTGGATATCTTTGAGGCGGCTAACTCAAAAGCACTAAAGCGTTTCTATACTCACCATTATAGACGACACTCAGTCACCATGAGAAGATCTAATGGAATGACTAAGCCCATGAGCGAGCCATCATTGCAGGGGCTTATGGCTAGCAGCAGAGCGGAAGCAGAATCGACTCCTCAGCCAAATGCAATGGGTGATTTTGTGATGGAGAAGGCACCTGTTGGCGAACAGATTTTTTTGGTGTATTTTTTCGTATTCAATCTTATGGAATTTTCCAGGGAACTCTCCCATCTTGTGAGCTGCGTGGAGAGATTGGTGGGTGGTGATGATGGTTTGCCGCTGTGGATTGAGAGAAATAGGCAGAGTTTGTGGCGTCGGATCTGGTTTCAGCTCACAGGCTATCCAAGGCGATTGCGACAGCAACCCACGAATAGGACCATTATCAATGATGCTACTTATGGTAAGAATATATCTAGAGAGCCGTAAATATCCAAGATGCATGCAATGACTAAAGTGACTGAACTTATCAAACAGATCCTGAGATAGGTTTGAATTCACCACCCAGCAACCAGAGCGCACGATTAATACATGAGCCTGCGGTACATGGTACTCCTGACTATCAGCAACATGGTGTCTATGACTCTATTGGCTTTCGTAGACGGCGCAAACAAAGACTGTTTCCAAAGCCCAATATCCACAACAAGGCAAACACACTTCAAACGCCTGTACCTTCAACATTTTCACAGCGTTGGTCGACTCGACTATGGAAGTTTCTGCATCTTTTTCGATCCTTTCAGATCAAGTATGCTGTCAAGGCAGCTATTAGTGCTACAATTATCTTAATACCAGCATTTGTTGACTGGACTAGGCCATATTTTGTCCAATACCGAGGCGAGTGGGCCTTAATCTCGATGCTTATAGTAATGGTGCCAACTGTAGGCGGCACCAACATAGTAGCGCTATACAGGATATTGGGTACGCTCGTAGGATGCTGCGTGGGCGTCGTCGTGTATTTGATCTTCCCTGCGCATGAGATCATGCTCCCAGTTTGCTGTTTTTTCTTTGCGCTGCCCAATTTTTATCTTGTGCTCTGTTCAAGTTACCCGAGAATTGGACAAGTAACGCTATTGGCTTTCAACCTGGTGCTTATCCAGACATACAATCGTAGAAATGGCGATGGTACTGTCCCTCCTGACGATGATGATGACGATGTTCTTTCTGGTGGCCACTTTTCGTTCTCTAAGTTCAGGAGCGTACCTGAAGCGCCGAAGCCTGAAATCCCTGATGATCCATCGCACGTTTCCACAGTTTGGACCATTGCCTTTCACCGTGCGGTGGCTGTCAGCATAGGAGTCATCATTGGTGTTTTAGTGACCAGCTATGTGTGGCCATATGAAGCGCGTGTAGAACTTCGTAAAGGACTAAGCGACCTGTTACTGAACATTAGTTGGCTGTATAACCGCCTGGTTTCTGTATATTCGATCAATCTCGATCGCGTCAGCATCATACCGACCGAAGGCCCCCACCAGAAGGATCAGTCAAAGTTTCGAGAGCTCGCCAGAAGATCAACTTTCCAGGAAATGTTCCAAACCTCTAATCAAGGGCAAGAAACCGCGCTTGTTGAGTCAGGCGAGATGCATATTGAAAAGATGAATAAGGAGTTCATGGCGATCGAACTTTCACTGCAACTGCAGCTCTTGGGACTGTACGCTCTGTTGGAGGAGACGCCGAATGAACCGCGTCTTAAGGGAAAGTTCCCCGTCGACACTTATAAGAACATGCTGGGAAGTTGCCAAAACATCCTGGATCGGTTCCTATCAATGCGCCTTGTCATTACCAAGGATGAATGGGTTGAGAGCGCAAGACGAGATTTTATCATCCCTGTGAACAGAGAACGACGAGAAATGGTCGGTAATGTGCTCCTGTATTTCTATACGATTGCATCGGCATTGCGACTCAAGACACCCCTGCCACCCTACCTTCCTCCGGCGAATAACGCTCGTTTAAGGTTGATCCAAAAGATTAGACAACTACCTGTGGTTCAGAAAAAGGTGGTTATGGCAGAAGATATCGATGAACGCTATATCTTTTACTACGCCTATGCCCTTGTCATGGAAGATATCATCCGTGAGCTGGAACGGCTTGGTCGCTGGTCCCAAGATCTATTCGGCGTAATTACGCCAGCCGCTGAGTTCGAAGCATGGTTCACGGATACGGGAGAAGCGCCACCTGCATTGCCACCTTCATATCTACCATCCTCTGCCACAAGAGAAGCACCCCTTTCACCTTACCGTGATGTCGATCAACCATACCAGTACCCAACGGTGGAATCGTATGAGCGAGCTGCAGCATCGTCACAAGCACGACATGTTCGCTCATTACCTCAATGCCAGAGCGGCGTTGCCAATTCTAGTATACCCCATCGCCATCCTGATGAGACAAGCGGAGTCATTGATTCTGAAGCACAGATTATCTCTGATTACCGCTCTCTTCAAAATTCAATCAACGAGCGTGATCACATATTTAATTTTGATCCTCAAGACCCTTTTCGAGATCAGCCAGTGGGGCCAGAATACAGAGTTACTAACCCTGGCCAGGGATTAGAAGCCATGATACCAGTGTTACATTCCCAAAGCGGCAGCAGTACTCCGTTGAGCTCCATAGCATCAACATTGCATGCCCAACAAATACAACAAGCAGCTAACAAGGGGGATCGAGTTAGCCATGATCTTAGGGCCTCGATTTCGCATGCTGCTAGTCAGTATGGCACGATCTCTAAACCTTCAGGAGAAAGTGGTGGAAACATGGTCGGAACGCGTCAAAAGAAGGTGGACACGAGCTCGTCTCAGTCATAATCATCTCGAGGTACAAGTCTCGTATGCGACGTAAAGGTCGCGCTAACTAACAGCAAATACTAGCTCCACTAACAGATCCTAAACATCGCTAACATTTTTCTCTGCTTCGCGTCTGGCAAGTGAACAAAGCATTAGTCAATTATAACATAGCAATATGACACTACTGTTTATTCCTCTACCCAAATAAGACATAATAGATCTATTACCATTACTACTCTAGTGCTACTAAAAGTATCAGACAATGGTCAAACAAGGGGTTTGAGAATCTTCTCCATCTCATACAACTCAAGCAAGTCTGGGTGACGAGAATTGACCCCATAATGGTCCCTGTAAAGTGTTATTGCAATCTGCACCTGCTTCATCGCTTCCTTGACTTGCATACTAAGGCATGGTAAAGAAAAAGGTGTCAGTCATAAGACACTTTTCATTTTCACATAGAAGATGCATATTGAAACACATTAGCCGTGCTCCATTCTCGATTATATGGCATTAGTTATGGACCCTGATTATGAATTTTGAGTGGTTCGATCTATAATCGATTATGAACATGGCTGCTATGGATGAATAACAAATGGATAGGTTTTTTTAACTTACTTGTTGAATAAAAGCCCTGCAAGTTTGAGTGTTTCCTGAGCAACTTCGATTGAGTTGTGTGCAAAGTGGACAACAACTGCTTTAAGTGCTTTTTTGCACCATCCAATTGACTTGTCTAAATCTCCTTTTTGCGCATACATCATAGCTAATTGATCGCAAGTATTGCCGTATAAAATGTAAGTGTCAACAAACATCTCGGACTGCACGCTCTCCAAAGTTTCGAGAAGTGCCAAGCGCTTGGATGGGATCAAAGACGGATCCTGAGTCTCTGTAAGAAGACGCTTAATCGCTTGTAGCATCTAAAGTACACCAAAAAAAAAAAAAAAAAAAAAAAAAAAAAGGAAGATGAGCAAGATAGATAAAATAAACACTTATACAAAACGAACTACAGGTTTAGGCATTTCGCTCAGCACATGTACTTTTTGTCGCTTCTTGATGTCGATCGGTGAACTACAAGTTGGACACCTTTTGTCCGTCTCGGTCATAGGTTGACATTCGTACCTATTCTTTTGACACAAATAAACCTTTTTCAAATCTGATTCTGCATCTCTACGCGGTTTTATATGATATATAATCAATAATTAATTGAACAGTATTTAACACAACAATTATAGAAGCATTTATACGTGGCTTTTTTTTTTTTTTTTCCTCACATCGTAAACTTACTGGTCATCACAAGCAGAACAATCGCATTCAAATAAATACGACTGTCGCAGATATTCCTTCCTCTCTTTGGTACTCATTCTTCCTGCCTGCGGCCCGTATGAAATCTTTATGAACACAGGAAGGTCAGAGTCGACTCTTAAGGCCTTACTTGTGATAACATTGATTAAACGGGGATCAGGCTCTTTGAAATCATCCTTAAGCCCTCCACCAACGCTCTTGTCTTGCAAAAGCTTTCCGTCTTTACCGAAAACAACCATGGCATTAGGCGTGCAGCTATGATTGAACATAGATGCCAAAGGATATAGAGCTGATCCAATAGTATATTCATTTCTCTCCGTTATATTCTTAGATCGATCCATAGAAGTCAGAAAATGAGCCTTGATGGCAAATGAGTTAAACTTTACAAGGGCCTGAAGATACGCCAACTCCACTGCTAAGTCCTCTGGAAGATCAATAAGCCATTGAAGGTAGTATCCTGTCATTAGGAACGCCAATTTTGTTACACGGTTGAGACGACCAAAATTGTGACAGAGCTGTGAAGGTAAGATATCGGATCCATTGGTATTTATGGAGCGTGGCGAATAGCAAAGTGAATTATTACTCATGTCAAGGCTGCTGCCGTCAGTATCGAGAGAAAGGTCTGCAACGGTATTTATGAGAGAAAATGCAGGGTCAGAGGTCGTGGGTGCTGGGGTTAATAGATCCAACAAAGAAGCCGTAATAAAGATGCCATGACGAACGTTTTGCCACAAAATCCTTAGAGCTAATCTAGTCAGTTGACTGTGTCCCATCAGTTGAGCTGAATACCCACATTCGTATCCATGCCATGCTCGCCATGCGCTTTGTAAACAACTCTGACTGCAAAAACGAGCTACCCCATCAGACTGCGGTATCTTTTGGTCTGTAAATCTTCCTTGGGATGTTGATGATGACAAAGAACTCCTATTGAATGTTATTTCGGCTGAACTCGCATTGGATCTAACCTTGGGACATGAAGGACATGCCACGACCTCACTATCCTTTGGCAGGCGTCTTAGACATTCTTCACAGAGTCTATCTTTCCAAACTTTTTCTATGACACTTGCATATGGCATCTCGTCATGCTCAAAGATATAGGTCCCTGATTCTACCCTTCTTCTTCCGTGTGCCTCAAGTCGATTACTATCGTTGCTCTTCCTGTCTATCTCCACAGCATGCCCATGTAGCTCTGAAAACCCCACCTTGAACCGTGGATCGAGACGTGTCCGGCCGTCAATTGGTGGAATTCCTGATAGTGTCACTGGTGTTGTTCTGACAGTGGCTGTTGTGGTTGTAGATGTTGTTGTCATAGCGACTACATTGGATATTGACTGTATATCTGGTAATGGATCAAAGCCTGCTGCTATTATTCTATCTATGATTGCTGCTCTATTAGGCATAGTACATGGTGGCATGAAGGCTTCTTTGATAGAGGCGATATCCAGAGTGGGCAGTGCCATAAGGTCTAACAACTTTTCATGGTTATAGCAATCGAGAACAGGCTTCTCAATGATAGTCTCAAGCGTCAAGGATCCTTCCTTGCATGCCGCTGTCAATTGAGCATGCACATAATCTTGAATGATGTCATTCTCATGGCTGACTGACGTTGTTGTCATTGGTGAGTTCAACACTCTGAATCAATTTTTTAATATCCCTTTTCAAGATGAGTTCAAAAAATAAATAAATAAATAAAATGAAATAATGCAAAACATAGTAAAATATAATGATTGAGTGAGATAAAAGAACAGGTTGGACCATGTGTCCACCCTCACTCACTTTCGCCAAAAATAATCGCATCCATTTTTAATGAAGGGATGACATACGCAGAGACTGTCCGTCGATTTGGCTTTCCGTACACTTCAGTAAGAAGTATCGCACAGACGTTTGAAGAGGAGGGAAGAATGGAACAAAAAGAAAGAGGCGGTAATCACCATTCAACCCTTCAAGACAAGCATATTGCATGGTTAAAAGGTCGGCTTGATGAAAACCCTGACCCAACTGTCATCAGTCTTCAAGTCCCCTCAATGAGGCTTTTCGCTTCGATCCGTCTATGTCCTTAACTGCCGTCAACAGAGCGGTTAGTAAACAAGCAGGCTACACGGTCAAATTATTGCGCTATGAACCTGAGGATTATAATAGCCCAAAGAGGATTACTGATCGTGTCCTATGGAGTTGTCGCCTCAGAAGTACGCTTGGATGCCTTCAATACTCAGACTTTCCAAGCCTTCCCGACCTCAAGAGTCATCATCATGGATAATGCGACTTTCCAAACATCACAGGATGTACAAGATGACATCAAATAAACACACTGACCTGCGGCTGCCTCCCTACACCCTTCAGCTAAATGCAGCCGAATGGGTCTTTGGAAAGATCAAGACGCATGTACGACCCCAAGATCTTCATGACTGGGAAACATTAACAGATCACATCAATAACAGCATTCTAAGTATTACATCCGGAATGTGTTGGTGGATCCGTGAGGCTGCAGAGGTAAACCCTTGGGTTGCTTTCTAGTCTACACCTACCAAACATCAAATAAAAAAAATCTACCACATGTTTATGAGATTGATAGAGGCACATTATGAAACCAAAACTTGTATTTTTGAAAAAGAAAAAAATTTTACGCATCTTGAAAAAGGATATTGATTTCAAAGTCGAGCTGTCTCTTTTTTGGCAAAGAACTGAGCAATCGACTGCATAAATTCGCCACTGGTCAATGACTCCATTCCCAGCTCAAACTCCTTAAGCATGGCCTCACGGATAGGACGTGAAAAATGAGTACTCAAACGGTCGCCGCGCATACATATTTGTGGATGCTTTGCTAGAGTTTCCGCTAACGCAACGGCCTGTTCTAAGGCATTTGTCTCACTAACAGTCTCGTACGAGGATGGATAGCACGTTGCAAGCTTGATTCTCAGTGCCTCTTGAGCTTTCACAGCACGACTATTCAGACAATTTTACCAACCAAATTAAGATTATCGTTCTTTTTTTTTTTTTTTTTTTTTTTTTTTTTTCCTGTCATTATTTACCCTGTAAGCATCAAATCCATTGCCACACCTCGCCCAACGACATCAGGTAGCCGTATAGTGCCGCCATCAATCAATGGCACACCTCGTAATCTGCAGAACACACCCAAGATCGCGGTTGTGTCCACTATGCGTATATCGCACCATAATGCGAGCTCCAATCCCCCAGCGACGGCAAATCCGGAAATGGCTGCAATTACAGGTTTCGAGAGGGTCATGCGTGTTGGTCTAGAAGAGGTACCAAAATACTGCGATGAGGAGGAAGGGAAAAAAAAAAAAAAAAAAAAAAAAAAGGCAAAACTACGCGCAGTCCAGCCCTCTCTTGCTCGGAAACATTTCACTTTTCCTTTTAGTCACACATCAGTTCAGGGAAGTGAATTTTGCTTATTTTTTAAACACAAGTCTAAAAAGGTTGTCGAGAGACGGATTTACACCTGAATGATCTGTATTCCTTTTTCCCAACGCTATTAATGTACTGCTTCTGTACAGCTCCTGCGTGCCTATAAAATTAAAATCTCTGTTTATGTCCACCTTTCCTCTGCTGATGTGTGATTTATAAAGAGACACTGATATGTTTGTAGTCACTCTTTAAGCAAGAGAGGTGGAGTCCACCTCGAAAAAAAAGATCATTCGATTTACCCCATGGGGCCAATAGGCCCAGGAAGTGTGTCTGGCCAATCAGAGGACAATGGATTGGCATCATCTTGATTTTGAATAGCAGCGAGATCTATTATAAGCATGCCTCTGCTTCATTAGTTGGAAATGCACAGATTGAAAGCATGACATGGAGCAATTTGTAAAAAAATGGAACATATCGCGGTTACCTGCTCCAGCACTAAAATTGCCGCCTTGATTATTGAGTAAATTTTAGAACAAAAAATGGTAATGTATTATACTGAATGTCCACATCTACATGAAAAATACAACGATATTTTTAAACACGAATCTACAAGGGAAAAGATACCTGCGCCAGTCAAGACCGCAACGGAAGCCTTTCATCCCAATGGAATGGCATAGCAGCGATGGAAAAGTTCTCGCGTAAGAGTATTGCAATATCTCCCTTTTTTTCTTACGTGAACAGAATATGCAGCACTAAAACATTAATACCGTGGAATCTGTTTCAAAATCCAAAAAGGCCTGGTAAAGAGCTCTTGCCGTTGGTCCATTTACGCAGTTCCGTTTATGAGGTCTGTTGATGGTGATAATACGAACTGACCCACGTGTCTCAATCAACACCAGTGTAGTGGGATCTTCATGTGTTATTGCCATTGAAAGCGTCGTGAAATGCTTTTTTGGTGGTTAAATAGGAAACAAAGGGATGAAAGAGCGAAATAAACAGCGAAATAGATGAATATTTAATTATATCTAACTTCACGCGACCCCCACCCGATCCGAAAACTTCAGCCGAGTACAGCACAACCTTGACTGAATCACGTCATTGAAATCTAGCAAGAAGCGTGGCTCAACTATCTGTCTCTGATGTGTGCAACACAAATGCTAACTATTTTGTTATCATAAAGATGGACATTGAGAGGATCATGCAGCTACCAGGGGCAGCAAGGTCGATGAAGAAGGCACTGGACAAAGCCTTGGATAGCACTGACTATTCCTTCTGTCTTGCCACCCTTCTTTTAAGCGGTCAAGGTGGGGTCTTAATACAGGCTCTCTTTTGTGACATTGGAGGAGATCGCATGGTTCATGGATATCGAGACAAAGTATCGCTGCAGTCACTAGACAAAGTTATAACTCGGTTCAAACTCGAAGGAACGATTTCTACCAACGGCCTTGTTCTGAATCTACTCGCCTATGACACAACCCAGACGAAGAGACAGCGGTAGTCTGACGCAGATGAAGATGACCCCAGCCAGGGATTGGAGCTTTCTCAAGGATTCCTCAACACGACGTGTTCAAAGGCAGCCGCTGAAGACATGACAGATGAAGACTACGCAAACATAAACTGGAGGAGGAGCTCCAAACTGCTTGAAAACGTTGAACTCACACTCAACAAACCGGGGTGATGCCCATCTGCAAATACCAGAACTACCGTCGGATGCGATTCTGATATTGTTAACGCCCTTGCGTTTTCCTCGATGGATCCTCACAACCCTAACTTGTGGCAAACGGTGAAGGTGAGAGGCAGGTTCTTGTACCTTCCCGTCCTCCGCTTCAATCACCCGTTGAACAAAAGGAACCGTGAAAAAGAAATGATTGAGATTGAGAGCGCCATCCCAGTAATTGAAAGGAATACGTACAACGAGTACTTTCAATGGGTGAATGAGGAGTCCCAGACACAGACAGGATCAACGAATTTGGATGTGCTTTAAGAGTTCTACAAGTCCAGATGACACCTATAAAAAAATGGGACTTACGAAAGGCTCAACGAGCTACGTTTGAATATGCGGTGCAGCGAGTATTGAAGATGCTCGGGGAAAAAGAAGTGCTTGCTGTCGGCCTAGGGCCCTTTAAAGTAGTAAAGGAGCTCGCAGCAAGCACACTGCTATAACGAGATACCTTGTCATACAGTTATAACTTTTTTTAAAAAAATAAGAATGCCTGAAAAGCCATAGAATCCTTGCTGATAAACAACTGCCATTTGAAATGCTTAGGTCAAAGCAACGAGGACACTTCGTGCAGGGGCGCACGAATTTTACACCAGTGCCCGCTATCCCTGACCCCCCTGCGATAACTTTTTGTACCCTCGCTCCAAATATTGCCGTGCATGTATAATATTCTTCGACCATGACGCAGCTGGAGCGGAAAACATCGCAAGAGTCGGTCTTACTCAAATTGAGAGACAAGAGAGACCTGCAAAGTACAAACCCACGGGAAGAGTCGCCTGCTCCGACTGCAAAGCGAGCATGACGCTAGACACAAGTATTTGGATGCCAGCACACAGAAAATTTGTAAGTTCTGTTTATTTCCGTCTCCTGTAATCCTTCCACTTAATCTTTTGTCCTTGAATTTCTAGTCACTTACAGATCAACAGATATAGCCATATCTTATAATGTTTTTGAATAAATACCTCTAGGTATGGTGTGTGAACCAAACTTACTTTCCTAACTATGAACTTGTCTAGCTCCAAGACTTCCCAAGGATTTGGGTGTTTCTAGTAAAGAGGCATTACATGCAGTTAGAATGACTAAATTACTCGTGGTTGCCGACTCCAGATAAGAATTACATGGTACTTTCAAACATCGTATTACAGTGAGGTCGATAAAATTTATAATCGAATTTATATGATATGCGCATGAATGTGATGTATGCTTAAAAAAATCGTATATAGTATGAGCAAACAGCTTTTAGTCACTGTAGTCGTCCTCGTCACCCACTTCCTCTAAATCATCTTCATCCATCGACTGGTCTTCATCTTCGTCACCATCATCCGAATCATCCTTGCTAGTCCTTGATGAACTACTCGTTGTCTTATCCTCTCGTTCTACTCGGTCTTTGCGTGCCTCCTCTATCATCTTCCTTTTTGCCATCACGCTCCGTTTGACGCCCTTCCAATAGCTTCCCAATGGGGTTTTCTCCTTGTCTTGGTACTTCAAGAATGCAGAAACGCCCGTCGCATCGTTAGGCGAGAAATCTCCCTTGTTACGCTCGGCTTCTACATATCTAGAGTTTTGCTCCAACTTGTCAACCAAACCAGCAAATTGTTTAGTCAACTTGACCAAACTGGATTTCTTGATGAACCGTTTGAGCTGAATGATAGCAGGAATAGCTAATTCGGGGAATGAAATGGATGTACTGAAGAGAGCATAATACTCTGTCATCAGCTCATACACCTGCTCTCCTACACCGTCCTGATAAACGCGGGAGCCTTTGTAGTCCTTACTGCATTTGAAGCCTAGGTCCCATTCCACTGGCTTCAACGTCCCTTTGCGGCCAGGACGCTTCATCTCGCCGCTTTCAAGGACCTCGAACAGGAATGGCGCCAAAGGAATAAACGTCCCTGTATTCTCAATTAACTGAAGCAGGTTGCGGATAATCTGGAAACGGAGAGGATAGTACGTCGAAGTCGGAATCAACCTCAATGCACCCAATGAAACCTGGACCAATGGAAAGACTAATGCATGTAAAGATGTAGGCTGTCCTGCATTATTCAAGGCATGAGTTGAGATTACTTGGGACCAAAGACTCAGACAATGAAGGTATTGCCAGTTATAAACTGCCTTGAACGATTCCTTGGTTTTGACCAAGACGGCATTGCGGAGATGAATAGCGAGCTGACGGATATAAACAAATCCATGCTGGTAAGATCTACCCAAGTCGAGTCCATAGAGTTGTGCGACGCAATTTTGCATCAGATGCAGGTTGGGCAATGTGTGCATGGTAGTTGTCTTGGCATAGCGCACAAACGTAAGATAGACGCCTTTCAACCCTAAGTCCAAGTAAGTGGATCCTAGTTGCAAACACATGGTGCGAATCGTCAAGAATGAAATGATACGTACACGGTCTGATGCAGTCGACCATAAGAACAACAAGTGCTATGATGGCCAGTGATGGAAATGAGACATTAGCGGTGATTTCTTTTGGAATATTTATATAACGTTAGAAAAAAGAAAAAAGAAAAAGAAAAAACACGACCTTAAAAACAAACGAAATCATCAAAGAAAGTATAAAAACCCCATACCTTCAATAAGTCCTTAGCGACCTTGGGGAATCCAACAAGATAGCGAATAGCCTTCTCTGATTCTCGGATTACAAAATAGATCATCTCCTGATCTGTTAGCTCCTTGAGCAAGAATAGAGTGTTTTGAAGAAACGACTTAATCAATGGTTGAAGGACTATATACTTGGAGCCAGAGTTAACAGGCTTCGGCTTTCCTCCGGCTGTCGTCTGAATAGGAAGATGGTAGTTCAGAGTTGGGATAACATACTTCAGACAGGTAACAACCAGCTTGTTAAAAACGACAGGACTGTTGATCCTGTAGGCATAGACACGTTGATCGTCTGCATCGTGTAGGTGAGCTCCAGCACGGAAGGCGAGCAAGAGGCGACGCAAAGCACGAAGAGAGTGCTTTTCAACAAGGGCTGTTTGCCATGCAGCCACCATGTCCTTAGTCACAAGTGGAATACCATCCATACTTTCATCCTCCTGTTCTCCTTCGTCCCCTCTTATTTCTGCTTCTTTCTTACCCTTGCGTTCCTATTGTAAGAAACAAGAGCAACAAGCAGGATGATGCAAATTAGAAAATGAACTAAATGATCATGAGAACAAATATAATGAGTCGTAGCAAGAGTATACCTTCCCCTTGGCCTCCTTCATTTCTTCGTCGCTTTCTTCCATTTCTTCATTTCTCTCGCCTTCTTCGTCATCATCTTCATCTTCATCTTCGCTAATCAAATCCTCCATTTCGCCATCAAATTCCAAGAGCTCTTTATCGTTCTCCTGTAAGTACTTGTAGAATTGAGGATCCTTCTCCTTTAAAGCTTCCAAATTGATCTTACGAGCAGCCTCTTCCTTAGCAGCCTGTTTTGCCTTTTGATCAGCAGTCAGCTTCTTAGTTATAGGTGTTTCCATGTCCGAATCATCATTTTCCTCAATAATAGTATCAATGCCGGTAAAATCCTCATTACCAGACTCAGGCTCCTCTTCATTATCACTACCATCAGATTCCAGACCGTTGTTAAAGAACTCATCCACGCTCATACTCTTTGTCCTAAAACATGATGAGAACCATTCACACAAAACAAACAAAAAAGTAAACGAGTATTCTCATTAGAAGTATTGATGATATATTTAGGCATGATACCTGACATTAGACTCAAAGTGGGTATCTGAATCAAGATTAAACAACATACTTGTCATTTTCTTGCTCTTCTTTGTCGTTGTCATCGCTCTCGGCGTTTTCATCCTGGTGTCCGCCGTCTCGGTTTTGACCTTCACTGCTTCCACCTGCAGATCCTTCGGCAATGGTACCTCGCCCAAACTTCTTTGGATTGCGCTTTTTATACAATTGAGTAGCTTTCTGCTTTTTCCTGCGCTTCTCAATAGCAGACTTCAGATGCTTCTTCTGAAATTTGATAGTTGCTTTTGTTGCTTTTGCCATATTAAAGATATAGCAGTAAAAAAAAAAAAAAAAAAAAAATACAAGTGAAGGGAAGAAATAGAAGATGGAAGGAGAAATATAAATCGCAGCAGAATCTCAAGATCAATGTAGACAATGCAGAATAGGCAAGGGAAGCAATGTCGGTCGCAAGAACCAAGAACAAAATGTTTGTTTGTGGCCTTAAAAAAAAAAAAAAAAAAAAAAAAAAGAAAAGCCACATGTGTATTTTGTTTTTTACAGGTCACTTCTCACTTATTACCAGTGTTGTGTTGAGACAAAGTAAAACTTCCTTCTCTTCCTCATTCACAAACACACATACGCAAACCAAACCTTCTCTCTTTCGCCCACACGTACTCTTTTTGCATGAAATAAGAACACTATGGTAAATATTAAAAAAGTCTTCAAAGCCTTGGACCAGACCTCAACTGAAGCGAATAGATAATTTACTTTCTTTTCCGCATCGTCATAGAAAGTCAAAGTTCTCTCACGCAGTACAGAAGAGTTTACTCGCCAACGCTCGAATGATATCCATAAAATCCAACGTAACCTTGACCCAACATTGCATCCATTTGAAAAGGCCCGTGAATATACTCGCGCTCTGAATGCTACCAAAGTCGAGCGAATGTTTGCAAAACCTTTCATCGGTGCTCTTTCGGGCCATGTGGATGGTGTTTATTGTATGGCCAAGCACCCTAAGCAGTTAGACTGGCTCGTCTCAGGCGGCGGAGATGGCGATCTTAGAATGTGGAGCCTTTCTGAACAAAAGACCCTCTGGAGCACCATTGGACACAAGGCCATGATCACAGGCGTTTCCAGTTTCCTCGAAGGCAGTCGGTTCCTCTCTTGCTCAAACGATCGTACGGTCAAGATTTGGGACCCTACAATAGACCGCGGAGATAGTACAGTTATAGCTCCTGTGGAAACATATCCGGGAAAAAATGCCTTCACTGGGATTTCACACCATCGATCTGACAATATTTTTGCTACGTCTGGATCAGAGATCAGCATTTGGGATCATAACAGAACGGAGCCGGTGCAGAACTTGAACTGGGGCGTCGATACAATCAACACTGTCAAATTCAATCAGACCGAAACTAGTGTTATTGCATCAACTGGCTCAGACAGGACCATCATTCTGTATGATCTCAGGACATCCCAGCCAGTGACCAAGCTGATTCTTGCTATGAGGACAAATGCAATTGCTTGGAACCCAATGGAAGCCTTTAACTTCATGGCGGCTAACGAGGATCATAATATCTATGCTTTTGATATGCGCAAGATGGACAAGGCTCAAAACATCCTCAAGGATCACGTCTCTGCAGTGTACGTATAAAATCGCATTCATATGTATGAAAAAATAACGCCAGGGACATGATAAATTTAGCTAGGAACTGATCTTTTTTCTATGGGTTTGAATGTTTGCATATGTAGAATGTCAGTCGATTATTCACCGACAGGAGAGGAAATTGTTACAGGAGGATACGATCGTACTGTTCGTTTGTTCAACGCTCGCCAAGGACATTCTCGAGATATCTATCATACCAACCGTATGCAGCGTGTCTTCACTGTGCTTTATACAATGGACAATAAATACGTGCTTTCTGGATCAGATGATGGTAATGTCCGTCTTTGGAAGGCTCGTGCGTCAGAAAAGATGGGTCCGCGCGACTACCGTGAGAGAGCTCATTTGGAATATTCAGAGAAGCTCAAAGAGAAATTCGCACATGTACCAGAGATCCGCAGGATTAATCGTCATCGTAACGTACCAAAGGCCATCAAGACAGCTACTAAGAAGAAGTCCATCATGATTAATGCACGCAAAGTGAAAGAGGAAAATGTCAGGAAACACACCAAAACTGAAAACCTGAAGGAGAGGATACCGGAGCGCAAAAAACCTATTGTTGCTGTCAAGAAGTAAAAAAAAAAAAAAATCCATCCAAATCTGTTCATTTTTGTATTCATTCCCCGCATGCAATACTACATAATACATATTCAATAGTAAGATAAACAAAAGCTATCAATGCACCTTGTTTAAATTTTTACTTGTTTGTTTTGTTTGTTTTTATATTCGCTTAAATTCCTTCTACTGCTGCCCGCAAAAATTCTGGCGGAATTAGTTTATCTTTCTCGGGAGCAAGGTTCCTAAAGCAACCCATCAGTGTGGCACTCACAACACCAACTGCAAGTGCCACATCTTTGGGTTCCTTTTTGATCCACCCTTTATCTTGCATAATGCTAGGATGGTTCTGAGAAGTTTGGCATTGACATCCGAGACACTTGTAACGCTGACAGTTGGCCATCCTACGAGCATCATTCCATGCAAAGATGCAGAGATATATCGCTGCCGCTCCAACAGAAGACGGACACTTGCCTGATGTAAGATTCAAAGTGTTGGCTATACTAAAAACATGGACAGCTGCCCGACACACCAATGGAGACAATGACAACGATTCACACCAACGTGTCTAAACAATAGGATGTCAAATAAAATTCTTAGCAATCTTTTTTACTTCTTGAAGAAAAAGGTGATCAAAATGCATTAGAAGAATATTTTTGTTTTACCATGAAAGCTTCAGCATCTGTATCCCGGGCACTGGCAGTTGCATTCTTCGAAGGTTCCAAGATTTTGAGCATCAATCGATAGTAGGCACCAACGTCTCCGCGCTTAACACCAGATGCAGTACAGATCTCGGAAAATGTCCTAGGAGACCCTTGATCACGACAGACAATGTACAAAATTGCAGCTAAAATGGCATCTCTCTTCCGGACTGGTTGCCGGTTCTTGAGCTCCTTCAAGCGCTTGACTCTTTCGTAGGTCTTGTAGGACTCCTCCTATTCACATGTTAAGCGAAAGAAAATGAAGCAGAATGCGACAAATGTTATTACCATTATGGTTTCTCTATCTCACAGGACAAGAGTAGAATGGCTCATGCATTTCATTGCTCGCTTTGCCTACCCATGCAGATTCGGGCATTTGCAATCGATTTACCCAGTCGCGCCCTTGCTTTTGGATATCGTCCGGCATCTCTATACTTTCTTCTCCTTTTCCCGAGGCGCCACTGTTGCTAGTACCTGCCTTCATAACACCAGATGGCTCTGTAGAACGCTTATTCTCTTGCTCTGGTTCACAGTCATCTTCCATCTCAGTCTCAGAACATGATGACTCCTTGTCGGTCTCTTCGATACCAAACATATGAGGACATTCAATGTCATCCTCCATAGGTAGGTATTCAATGTCCGTCTCTAGTTCCCCTTGCTTCTTGCCGCTCTTCTCTTTACGAGGGCGGCCAGGTCTCCCACGTCCAGCAGGCGATGGACGAAGACTTGGATCCTCGCCCTCCTCTGGTTCTCCATCCTTCTTAATCAAGGCTTTTGAACCACTAAGGTTCTTGGAGCCTTCGGATGCGGAAACAGTACTTAATGCAGATGAAGGAATAGCAGGGACATCCTTACATTTTTCTTTGGTCTTCTTAGTTGGACTTGCTCCCGGTGGGTTATTGCCAGACTTGCGTTTTACATATTTGCGCACACTGTCCCCAGTAGATCCACGACTCTGACTTGAAGCACCACCACCAGCGCTAGGACCATTGCCAGCGCCAGCGCCACCACCAGTACCACCAGTACCACCATCACCACTATTACCGCCACCATTCATATTTTTGTCTTCCGTCCCTTCATCATCTTCATCAGGCGAACGTCGCTTGTTTCCTTCACCATGATCACGTTCACCCTCCTCTAGTACCTCGTCCTCCATGTCGCCTGGCGTGTTATCCTCGCCTTCACCAACACCGCCTCCGCCACTATTCTGCTTGATGCTTCTTATGTCCCAGCTTGAGCTGTAAACCTCATTATCAACGAGAACGCTAGGCTTCTTGTCGGATTCACCCGTTTCTGTAAGGGATGATGACCTTTGAACTTGTCTTACATCCTTTTCTTCGATTTTGATCCGCTTAGGCTTCCGCTTATCACTCTCATTGAGAACCAAGGAGGGAAGAGGAAGTCGTCTTCTCGTTCCTATAGCATCAGCTAGTTTGCTTAAATGCGTACCTGCAATGGTACTAGTGGTAGCAGCAATAGCTTCGCCATTAGTCATGGAATCATTAACAGTGGTCCTGTCAGCTGTCATCCATGGAAGTATCGGGCTCTTTAAAAGACAATCACTTCGCTCGATATCAACTTCCAACCCTTCTGAACCAGCTATTCCTTTCCGTAGTCTATTAATGCCTTTGCCCCGAGAAACTGCCTGGGGGACCGGAGGGTATGGAGATAGAGGGGATTTTGGCTCCTCCTTGAAGGACTGTGTATGGTGTGGCAGCTCTATGACATTATGGCCCATCTCCTTTATATTCGACTCATGTTCCTGAACTGCGTTTGTCCTTTTCTTTTTGTTAGAATTGCTAGGCACTGCTGTTGCAGACGCAATCATAGTTGATGAAGTCGACTCGGTTGCCAAAGGAGGACCTCGTGTGACTCGGGTCGATAACTGGGATGGGGGAAACTGTTTTGATGCTTCAGTAGAATATGATCTTCCATCAGGAAGGTTCTTAACCAAGATCATACCTACCCCAAACAGCATTTTATCATGTGTTGTAGACTTGCTTATTTGTGAAGTACCGCCAGGCACTAAGCCACCGTCCTGAGATTGCATAAAGTCAGCCTGATCTTCTTTACTCTCAAGCTGGCGACGAGACCCTGTATGGCAGATATTGGTGTCCATAGATTGATCCAAATGCATCTCTAGGTCTCTAGCCCCATCAGGTTCATAGGCAGAGTACTGATGATGAGGATTCTGATAAACTGATGACTGAGTTAGGTTCTTGTTTTTAGTCTTATCTCGCTCAGATTTTATACACATCCTCTCAACCGATGCTGGTTTTTGACCTATAGACATCACATCTCCATTCGATTGAGAAGCGACACTCGGCAAAGGAGAGCAGCGTTGATGTGGATCATTATCGGTGTCATCAACCCTTTCCATTTCTGAAGGTATTCTTGATAAAGATTTTGGCTTGACTTTGCCCTTAACAGGCTTTGGCTTTGATGAAAGCGCTGTGCCAGCGGCAGAGCCATTCTCTTTAACCCTTTGCTCGGAATCAACCAACATCATAGTAGCATCCAAACCCATGCTTTCCTGGCGATAGCTGGATGAATGACTACTACCTGGCGGATGCTGATGATAATAAGGGGCCCCCTTCGAAGAGTAATGCTGAAGATGAGGCACCTGCGCTTGTTGATGCTCATTGTATGCAATATTTGGAAATCCCTTTCTACCGTATGTAGACAAATCTTGATGCCATCGATCGGCTTCTTCTTCTGATGGGATACTAGCTTGCGTTTTTGGTCCATCTTCAGATAAGGATTCTTGTTGATGCCCATCTATGTTTAATATTCAAAAGAATATACCTTAAATGATGAGTATAATATTGGGGTATAATGGATAGAAAGCCACAACTCCGCATATTTCACCGTATGGCCGTACCTGCTTTATAGTTGCTCGTATCGCGCAAGTGATCATGGTCCTCATTATTAGTCTCATCACTCTCCTTGAGTTCATGCAACAAGGAAGACTCCATAGATGTACCAAGTGTTGAGTGACGTGTCCTGTTTTTTTTATCTTCTAATTTCACATCAGAATATCCCTGCGCGCTCCTATAAGAACCACGAGACAGAAGCTGCTGTCCTGATGGGGAGTATTGAGAATGCTGGAAATAGCGCTGCTCCTCTAGCAGTGGCCGTTGCTGCGATCTTTGGTCATAGCTCGCTTGGGCTCTATCATATTGAGACGACTCCAACGGGGTATGTCCATTCTGATCAGGGTCAGTAGGTTGCGAATATGCTCCTTGATGCTCACGAAGAGTCATTTCGCTATGAGGGGAAGTTGATCGTCGAGTGTAGCTTGCAGATAATTCAGGAATATGTTGATGATGACCAGGATGCTGCGGCTCCAATTGTCGCTGGGCGTGAAGAGTAGAGCCCAGATGTTCGAATCTTTCAGCTTCTTGTTGAGCCATTTGGCGATGGTTCATCATACCTTGTAGGATAATAGCTGTCTCTTGTTCGTCCTGAGCCAGGTCTGGACGAATATTTGTGGCAGGTTGAGTACTGGACTCCGCTATAGGCTTATTTCCATCCACACCTATAGAGACGGGACGACGATGGACGTGGTGATATTTAAGATGATCATTATCATCAACAAAATTATCTACAGGGCGGCCTTGCGATCCCTGAATGTGCCGCTTGTGATCCGTTCCAGGATTTGCTGCCGTCTCAGGAGGCTGAAATTGGTTGTTGTGCTGGATATCAACTAAGGCACTAGCCACTGCTGCTTCAAGATGATGTACTATCCCAGAGGCTTTGCCAGCAGCTATTGGGTTGGGTGTATCTAACACAACTTTGTTAGCATCTGCTTGGCGTTCATCATAATCAGGGACTGGTCTAGACGTTTCCAGACTGTGATGGAGTGAAGACTCTTGAACGCTAAACTGAGATGCTCGATGGGACGAAGAGGGCTGTGAATAGTGGATGGTGTGTTGTTGCTGTTGTTTTGATTGCTTTGTCTGCTTTGGTTGTTTTGATTGTTGTTGTTGCTGTTGCTGTTGCTGTTGCTGTTGCTGCTGCTGTTGTTGTTGTTGTTGTTGTTGTTGTTGTTGTTGTTGTTGTTGTTGTTGTTGTTGTTGTTGTTGTTGTTGTTGCCGCTGCATTTGCTCTTGTTGTTGCTCTTGCTGTGACTGCAGCTGCTGACGATCATACTCTCCAACCACTCCTCCTGGAGCGTGTTGGCGATGTATAGAGGAAGGTCCAGATTGCGTGGACATCTGGCGCTGATGGTTTAATGTTTTCCCTGCAGATACCCGGGCCCCTTCAAGGTGCTCTGGTATTTGCCTTTCTGCTGGAGACAAAGCTCTCTCTTCATCACTTTTTAATCGAATAGATGGTTTGTACTCTGTCCGATCTTCCATCTTCTTTTGGTCCATGCTTGGCTGTGCCCTGTTCCAAACATCTGCCGGTTGGATACTACCATCAAATTCTGATATCTCTGTATAGTCATTTGATAATCTGTGAGTTTCAGGTGTGATCACATTCCAGGGACGATGGATGGCCTCCTTTCTATCCAGTTCACGATCAGATTCTGACTTTGGCCGTCTACCTCTTCGCTTAGTCGGTGTTTGTGGTTCTGATGTAGAGTCAGCAACTATAGTAGGTGTCTGAGCGCCAGAAGATATACCATCAAATGACATGCTTAGTTCAGATGGGCCTCCATGCTCGAGCACCAGCCTTCCTTTCGGCTTCCGTCCCCGCTTTTTCCGATCCGATTGAGAATTTTTTTGCAAGTTGTCGGGTGAGAGCGAACGCGCTGACTCTGGAGGACTATCTGTTGTGATGCCTGCCGCTTTTGACGATAGATCTGGTCGGCCAGTCATATCGGCCCCTGGTATAATTGAAGGATGAATTATTTGTCCTGACGCGGCGACCTTATGATTATGCATGACCAGACTGCTTTGAGCTAAAGATTCATGATCGAGTCGATTTAGATTTTGGTTTGGAATTGAGCCGCGATTTCCAGTTGTAAGCCCTATATCGTGGCCTTGCAAATCCCCAGCTGTCCGATGTACTGTAGCGGGATTGTACTGCTCCTGGTATCTCGGTTCTGCTGCATTCCAGCCTTCGCGTGCTAACGTTGACTCATTATGATGTCGCTCTTGCAGAGGAGCAGGATGGGGGTATGACCCGTCTCCTCTTTGCTGCTCATCAGAATTAAAACCATTAGGATTATGATAAACCTCGAGCTCTTGTCCCTGCGGTTGATGTGTACTATGCACTCGTTGTTTCCGATCATCTAACTGCTGTAGAGCTCCATCAGTCATGTGTCCCGGATGCTGCTGTAACTTCTGGATGGATAAACTCCCAGCTATTTCAGAATACAGAAAGTCGTTGATAAAGATGTTAAAGACGTAGGATGACGAGAGTTTGATAAACCAATGTTTAGTTGCTAAGCCCTGGCAGATAAACCTCTATAACTGTAATCCCTACCATGTACTGCTTCAGAACGATATTGCCCGTGGACCTCAGAAGCACTACCCGGTGCAGACAGGCCTGAAGTGTTGACGTCTGATCTATTATGAGATAAATAGGGTAAGTGCATTTGGTGTGGATGTTTCAAGTGAGTTATGTGATCATCATGACCGACATAAGAAGTATGGTTTGTGCCGTGCTCAGCAGGGTCTGACTGAGAATATTGCTTCAAATCCTGCTGAGGCTTTCTCAGTCCTCCGTCTGATAGTCCTGAAGAACGTTGATTGGACGATGGAGGTCGCGATTCATTATGGTCATTGTGGTCATGTTGCTGACGATAAAAGGATTGTCTTCCTTCCTGGGGGTGCTGTTGCTACATGTTGATCCATATTTAAAGAGGAAGAAGCATATGAATAAAAATTATGTCTGTACTCAGATAGATGCAAAACAAGTCGCTCAGGAATATATAAACTTGATGAAAATACCCACCACTCGCATTTGTAGTTCGTCATATGGGTTCGATGGGGCAGAAGCATGACGGTGATGGATATAACGTGTATCAGGGCCTGGAATACTTTGATATCCCGTCTGCGGATTTAGGGGTGCATCTCCCGGTGGTATAGGTTGATAATCAGAAAGGGTAGTGGACCACTTTTCCCCAAATGGTCTTTCCTCTGAAGAATGATCGTGGCCTCGCCCAGGATGAAGACCCTGCCCCGAGGGCAGGCGATCCACCGAGCCAGAAGCTGTATTATCCTTACCGCGTCTGTGCTGCACAAGTCGCTCTTCCACGTGCACAGCTGGGCTCTATGGATGTCCATCAGCATGCAACGTATTTTGTTAGTCACGCTCATGCATTGATTAATCTTTCCTAATTTAGTAATCACAGCCACTAAAATCTAAAGCATATGGACTTACGCGCACATCATGTCCAAGAGTGTAGGGACCGATCGAACCATGCGGATGTATATGGACTTGGTCGCGCGAGAACTGCCGTACAATTTGCGTTTGATTCGTTATGGTTTCTTGCTGTCGTGCATCTGAGGAACTCATATCCTCGGTGTGATGAGTTGGAACAACTGAAACACTTGGGCCAGCCATACGATACTGTCCTGGGTTAGATCCAGGTGGGGTTGGTGTTGGTCCATAGTTTTGACTAGATGGAGGCCTTTCACGATGCTCATACTCTACTTGCACACGGTCCTCATAAGATTTTGCTTCTAAATGGCCAGATAATGACCTTTCGTGATATGAACTTCTCCCAGAGTTATGGAGGCCTGACTCCACTCCATGATACACAGCGCTACCACTTTGATTCTGAGCTCGGGCTGCAGTAGGTATGGGGCGGCCTACAAGAGGAAATGGAGTTGCTCGAAGATGAGTATAACGCGCTCCTAACCCCTGGTCATAATCATCCGCAGAGCCGGTAGAAGACAAGGATGTACCATGCTGATGAGCCATTAGCGCCTGATTTTGTTGCTGCTGCTGCTGCGATTGTTGTTGTGGCGGCACTGGCTGTTGTTGCTGCGGTTGTTGCTGCTGTTGTTGTTGCTGCTGCTGTTGTTGTTGCTGCTGCTGTTGTTGCTGCTGCTGTTGTTGTTGTTGCTGTTGTTGCTGATGCTGATGATACTGTTGTGAGTGCAGGCGGGAGCCGGAGGAAAGCGGAGGAGCATACATGTGCTCAAGCGTTTGATTAAGGTGCTGTGGCGGGTCCACTCTGGTAGGGTGACCATTCATCGACGTCTGGGATAGAGTAGATGGTTGGAGAGGTGGAGAAGCATAGCGTTGAACACGATGTTCCTTGGCAGCTATTAAGGATTGGCGTTGTTGAATAGACGTCTCCGAAGAAGTGGGACCATTTGGTGATTCAATATAGGGGTATGAGTGTCTATGTGCACTTTGCTGCTGCTGCTGGTGTTGTTGATATTGTTGGTGCTGCTGATGTTGGTGTTGAGAGTGCTGCCGTTGATGTTGGGATTGCTGGCGTTGGTGTTGAGGCTGCTGGCGTTGTTTTTGCTGTTGCTGTTGCTGTTGCTGTTGTTGCTGTTGCTGTTGCTGCTGTTGCTGCTGTTGCTGCTGTTGTAGCGGTGGTGGCAGTGGATGCTGTTGGTGTGAGTGCTTGTAGAAAGGAGGCTGTTGGTGGCCCAACAGTTCTTGTTCAAAATGTAGGGGGTTCGCATGTTGAGAACGACCATGAGGATGATGTGTGAAATAAGAGTCATTAGAGTCATATGGTCTTTGGGTGGTCATGACAACTGAAGACGCCGACGAAATGCTAATGGCACCAGTAGATAACGATGGCTCATGCTTCCGTCCTCTTCCCGGAGAAGAGGGGCTGTGCACGCGCTCTGTTGGCGTGTGCGGATGTGCAGGAGGCGAGAGCATGCCTGGGGTTGTAATAAAGAGAGGCGGGGTCATGACCGAGGTATGGCTTTGACTGCTGCCACTGGCATGGTGATGAGGTGAATAGAGTGGAGGAGTGGAGACTGGCAGGCGAGAAGTCTGATCAGGATATTGGAATGAACGAGAAAGATGCTGTTGAGATTGGTTCGGGTATGGATGTTGTTGCTGTTGCTGGTGTTGTTGCTGGTTCTGTTGCTGGTGTTGTTGTTGTTGATGCTGTGGGCGCTGCTGGTCACCCATAAACTGTATGATGGGAGGCAGTGTGAAACCCGGCTTTGAGGGCATTTGTCGACGAGATGGCTCTGTTTCTGTCAAACAGTCTAGTGTACAACTTCTTATGGCTGAATTGAGTTTCAATAGTATTTACGAAATGAATGACAGAAGAAACATGAACTACAGGAAGAGGTGAAGGTGAAGGTAGATTTGTAGCCCAAAAACCCGTTACTTGAACAACAAAATACAGAAAATGCTGCAAGAAGGACTTTGGATCCAATTTGAAGGAAGGCCAACTTGAAATACGCTCACTCACTCCACACTTCAAAAGAGAAAAGGAATGTGTAAGGCTTGAGTGTATGGAAATGAGTGTGAATAAAAAAAGGAAGGAAAGTGAAGAAACATGAGCAAAAAAAAATACATACAAAGATTACAATAATAAACAAAAAAACAACTATGGCGCAGGGTTTTGGAAGGGTGTAATTGTCCAGTTAAAATATCACTATCATTTCATGCAGGAAAAGAACGAAAAAAGGAACGGTATATATTAGACATGGAGGATTTGATTGCAAACAAAGTGATTGCGACTCAATCTCTTTTTTTTTGTCCCAGCATGAAATGCTTTTTACATTTAAGTTTATGATCAATAGCTATACCCGTTTTTTTACAGGGGACATGCTTGTGTTCGGTTTCAACTTCCAGTCACCTCTTCCGCTTGAAAGAAGGTTGGATTGGATATTAGAAATACTGAAAATGAAGGCGATGTTAGAAAAAAACGGCACACTTTTTTTGTTCCTGGTGATGTTGTTCTAAAAGTCCGTGGAAAATGAATGAAATAGACAGGTTGCTTTTGAAGTAAATAAAAAAAAGGGGTGAGTGGGGCGTGTCCTCTTCCTTGCATGCAGTGAACACCCTCGCGTTGTGATATGGTTGGCATTTTTGCTTGTAGCTGCATTTGTAGAGCAACCTCTCACTGGTAACAGGCCAGATGAGATACTACTGTCCACGCGCAGTGTTCTTTATTTAAATTATCATAAATTACACTACAGAGCTCCTTCTCTGGCTAGCTTATACTGGAGCCACCCCCAACGAACATTTATATTTAACATTTTATCATATTAAAAAACTTTATTTCTGTGATCAATCTCAATCCAAAGGAATGCCTGTGTATTCACCCAAACCAAGCGCGAGATTCAGATTCTGAACAGCTTGGGTAGCAGCACCTTTCAACAGGTTGTCGATCGTAGCCACAACGACCACCCTCTTCCCGCTTGAATGAACACCAAACCCACCAATTCGTGCAAAATGCTTCCCAGAGTTCTCTTTCACCCATGGTACACCTTTGATCACATGCACCAACTTCTCATCACCATATGCGACCTCATACAGCTCTCGAATGTCGCCTGCAGTCATAGTTTTGTTCAATGGCATATTAACTGTCAAGGAAATACCTTGGAAGAATGGTGCAACATGAGGCATGAAGTTGACATCATACCCTAAGTGGTGAGAGACCTCACGTTCATGAATGTGGTTGGTCAATGAGTATGGGATCAAGTTATCTGTAAGGTTATTCAAGTCATTGTTGGGGGAAGGCTTCGTCCCTGCACCTGAATAGCCAGAAACGCCAAAAATCGAAGGAGCTCCTCCAAGGTGACTAAGTAATGGGCGGATGGCTAACTGAGAGCCCGTTGCATAGCATCCTGGATTAGAAATACGTGTTGCGCCAGGGATTTTGGCACGATTGAACTCAGGAAGGCCATAGGTCCATGAGTCTGTGAAACGGAAATCGGCACTGAGATCACACAACACCATCTTCCTGCCTTCCTCAATACTCTCAACGGCTTCTACAAAGGGCTTGCATACACCATTAGGCAAAGCAAGGATCCATGCATCGACTTCGCCAGACTTGGTCTTTTCTTTGACCTGCTCGGCAGAAAGATTGACATAATTAATAGAGCTCTTGGTGTAGCCTTCCAAAGGCTTTCCCTCCAGCTCACGAGATGACACAAACGAAATTTCAAGAGATGGGTGATTATTAACTAAACGAATCAACTCCTGTCCAGTATAGCCGCGAGCTCCAATGAGACCGATCTTCTTGACATCACGCTGAGATGATGTAGAAGTCGAGAACATGCGGCGGCTACCCACGGCCAACGATCTGGAAGCCTGCTTCATAGTTGAGAACGAGCGACGCTGTCCCGCAGCAAATGATCCTCCTGACGTGGCAGCATTTACAGCCCTCTTGCTCTGGGAATCCAAAAAGTTAGATACGACCTTTTCGATCGTACCGATGTCACTCAATCCTTTCCAGAACAGAGTCTTACCACCCTTGGTAAAGCTTCCTTCAGCCTTATCAAAGTGCCAACCTTTGTTGGCGTCATTCTCATCCACCTCCCAAGTTAATGCAGGATAATCCTTAGAGAGCAGAGCCCAGACATTGTCCGTAACATTATTAAGAACCGCGGCCTTAGTGGCAATGAACTTGTCCAGTTTTGGCACACCTGAGCCTGCCTCGTCATTGTTTCTGACAACTGCGAGCACTTCGTAAGGCTCATCACCATAGGCTTTGAACCCTTCCTTGGAATTCTCGAGTTGATGTAGGTAAGAAGACACGCTAATTTGGCCAGACTTGACTGTAGGGTCTTCTCGCTCCATGATCTTTCGGAAACGGTCCTTATCCAATTGCTGAAGCGAATTATGGTGGAACAACTTAAATCCGCGGCGTATGAGCGTACCAGCACCAGAGTCTGTAAACAGCTCTTTGTGTAAGTGCCCAGCAGAAATGATGGCCACGGATGAGCTCCGAGGCAGATGGTCCAAAAGCTCCTTAATCTCTTTAATTTTCAGCTTCGTACCATACTTCACCCAAGGTTGCTTAAGTAAATCCTCATATTCCTGAAAAAAAAAAAAAAAAATTTAATCTTCGTGATCACAAGAGTCTTAATCACATTCGTTTTGGAGAATAATTATGGGCATGTACCTCATCAAGATTGATAACATCAATCTTTTTGCCAGTCTCTCCATTGTATAAACCGTTCTTCTCATTCAGATATACAATTTTAAGCGGCTCTAGCACGCGAGCGAGCTCCCCAGCAGCGACATCAGCGTTGACATTTAAAATCTGTCCAGAAGGTGTTTCTGCTAAACTTGTGAGAATGGGCAGTGCGCCAGCCCGAATAGAAGCCTCAATCACTTCCTTATTCACGCCCGTAATCTTGCCAACAAAACCATATCTCTCTTTATCGAGGTATTGGGCCGTAAATACGCCGCCAGGCAAGGGCCGAGCTCGAGTCCCCATTTTTTCTAGCGATTCGACAAGCTTGAGGTTCTCCGCCATAAATACCTTGCGGGCAATCTCGAGGGTCTTCTCATCTGTGATGCGGATCCCATCATGGTAGTCGGGCACCACGCCAGCCTTTTCAAGGAGATTGTTTAACTGAGGACCAGCGCCATGAAGGACGATGGGATAAAGCCCCACGCGGTTGAGAAAAGTAATAGCGGAAGTGAGGGTATCGAGCTCGTCCGTTAAAACGGCCCCTCCCACCTTGATAACAGCAAACTTTTGGGACTCGACTGAGGAGAAATGACGCAAGTATTGTTCAACTTCCTTTCGTGAACCAATGTTATATAACAACTTTGTGATTGTTTCCTAGCATTACCAGAAATGAAAAGCAACAGAATGCGTCAAGATATCGCTGAAGTAAAAAAAAATCCCCTCATTTCTGATTAAATGAAAGTATAATAATCAAATCTTTCTGGGGACTGATCATCTTCATCACCCGATAATTAAAAAAATTATTCAAAACAAAAACTAAAATGAAGCTTTTCTATTACCTTCTCAGACTGAGCAGCAGAGGTACTGCCTGAGTAGCTGCGTTGCTGTGTTTCACATGATGATCCTCTCGAATTGATAAAGCAGCGAACAGCTGTGCGTGAAACACAAGAAGGATAGGCAAACGAGGCGCGCAGGGTGGTAGAGCGGGCCAAGTGAGCTGCGATAATTGTGCGTGGAATCATTCCGTCAGTTCGATACAAGTTAATGAGATCAGGTGGGATCTACTAAGGCTGACTGCTAACTGTTCAAAAGTATGGCGTCGAATGGGGAGGAATGAGTGATGGAATGAGAGGAAGAAGAAAAGCGAGAAGTGAAAGGTGAGAGAGGTAAGAGTGGGGAGAGGGGAAAAGTAAAAGGAGGAAGAGAAAAGTCAAAATGCTTGCTGCCATCTTTCTATCAAAGTGCCCCTCTTTTTATATGCCTGCGTTTTATCACACATGGAGCGATCCGGTCGTTGCCCAGGCACACCTCACAGACCACGTTAATTGAAGAAAAAAAAAAGTGACTGTCAGTTCTAAGTGAAAGACTTAGTCATCGGCCATCATCCAAACTCAAATATGTGTAATTTTGTTCAAATTAACAATAGTTTATAATCTGTAGAGAACACAAAATCTATGACAGATCAAACCCTGCCTCTGAGTGAATAGCGTACAGCAGCTTCTCTTTCAGACGTTGCCGAGTGGTGAATGCTGGTAGTTTCAGCAGATTCATGCATGTACTACTTGTTGGCAGTCTGTCTTCCTCATTCCCTGCATTTCGGATACACAACTTCGGGTTCAACTCTGCAAACCCTAGAAGAGGCGGCCGTGCGCAGGATGTTACAAACTTGACAAGCAGCCGCCGATCCTCCTCGCTCATCTCCCAAACTACTGACCAGAAATACTCGATTGTAGGGTCTGTCCGCTCAAAATTAGAGTATACCACGTTCTGTTCCAAATCTGTCAGAGAGATCGGAGTTTGCACTCCTCCTAACATGACCTGAAGCTCTTGCTGATTGAACATCCACAACCATTTCGGATCGACGAGGTCTGAGAGGCCATGAAAGAAAGCCCTGCATTGACGGTCAATCTGCGTATTGAGTCGGTAGTGTGCTGTAAGATAGATGTAACGGATTCTGTTCTCACGGGTGACTAGCGTGTTGCTGCCGTTTTCAATCAAATCACGCGTTATTGTCCGACCCATTTCTATTTATTATTTAAGGAAAAAGTTAGTACGTGAAACGTTCTTACTCTGGAAAACTGTCTTGTTTCAGAGGTTTCTAAGGCCTTGCCTTCATCATCGACAGTGAAATAAAGTGATAGATCCTCAACATTTCCATCGTAATTCTTTAGGAACATTAAACCTCGATAAAGCTCTGGATCTAATGATGGTAAATCATCCAAATAATTGACTTGGCCCAGGCATTTAGCCAAAAAGAAACCTGCAAAGGCAGCATCAACTAAAATCCCTTCGTATAGAGCCTTGCCCAGGATTCGGCCTAAGAATTCGTAGTGTTTCAGTTGAGTCCTTTCCTGCGCGAACCGGTGTGGATTAGGGTATAGTAGCTGGTCTGATGTGCTCATAAACAAGCCATAATTTGTGTCAAATGCTTCATGCACAAGCGATGTCAGAAACTCTTTAAAAACGCCGCCACCATCAATACCAGCTTCAGGTACCCCGAACTGATCAATAAAACTGATTGAAATTCGGTCCTTGAGCCGTGAGCCTATACAATGACCATTTTGATTTTTTGAGTTATTGACTTCACAGTAAAACATTATCTCATTGGAAAATTAGTCTTTTGATAACTAGAAACTATAGATAATGCCTTACCAAGGTCATTGAGTTGGTCAAAGCCATCCTCAAACACATGGCCACGACGGATTCGCGCTTGACCAATAGGGTGAAGAGGAAAAAGCGATGCATGAGGCCTCCTTTGGCGATCTGCTTCGACAAATTCTCGGAAAATAGCCACACGATCTTCGAAGCGAATGACAAACGGAATGCTGCTTAAAAGAGCAAGCCTCGGGCTGAAACGTGCTAATTGGGAGCGCTTGAGCTGCTTTTTGGGGCTTTGCTCAAGCAAATCCAAGTGAGCGCTAGTCATTCGGATATCTTCCTCAGGTATATCACGGTTAGCTAGATGAAGACGGAGATTTTCATCATCCTGTATTACCGCTCTTTTAAACGCTGCCATATCCAAGGGCATCGAGAGCAGCCAGTGATCCTTTGGACAAAATGATTTTCGTGAGCTACAAATTCATTTGAGCCAACCATATTATTAACATGATTATTTAGTCATATAATTCTTTCACAGCTCAACTAAACAAGTAAGCAACCACTCATACGTACTCTCGTGCATGCAATTGTCTTGTGAGTTTCGTAGTAATGTCACGCAAGTAACCGATCTTGAGGTTAGTTGGATTCTGCAGATTCGACCCCATATCGAAGGCATTGTCATTCCACCATAGCAAGAAAGCTATATCCTATTCACAATTTGAGCTCTCAGGTCAAGGTTCTTTTTCTCCAGACAGAAAATAGGATGAAACATTGGTCATTGTTACTTTCCATACTTACTCTAACCACAGATGATAGAGCGACCACACTTGAAAGGCTGATAGGGTTCCTGGTTTCATCATGGAACTCATCATCACCCATGGTGATTAAAATCTGACAGTAAAGCTCCGAGACAAAGGCTAGTAGGCTCCAAGCCTTTTCATGTCCAGAGTCTAATGCCAATTGGAACTTCTGTAATGAATCTTGTTGCATTGGTTGAGCCAGCTGAGCATATAGGGCTGTGGATGTAAAAGCATCCAGAAAAATCCTTATGATAGAAATCCCAAAAAATCTGCCACTGCCAGCGCTGCGCGCTTGTTTTGGCTTGCTGCCAAATCGAAAGTATATTAGGTTGTTCAGAATGTTGATTTTTTGTGACGGAAAGAGAGTTATAAGGTTGAGAAGCAACTGTGTAATTTGACCTATAGACTCCGAGGAGAAAACTTCTTGAGTTCTATCTGTTGTTACCGTTCCAATCGAGGGCTCTACTGAACCGAGGATGTCATTTAGATGATTGCTATTGTAAGCCAGTGAAAGCCACTTCACGATTCTGGGATCTAGCCTAGCTGCCGATGCCTGCATATCCGTAGCAGATGAGGGACCTAGCGACTCGTCCACTTCCCAGTCCATGCCATCTTCACCTTCATCATCATCCACTGCGCGCTCCTTTGCGACTGAATCTACTAAGGACTGTGGAATCATTCCAATCAGCATCGTGAGTACCCGGAGGTAAGCATTTGAAACTGTAGGCGCCATGTTTGCCACACGCTGATACGCAAAGGCAAGAATGTTGGCAACAAGAGGAAAGACCTTGGATTGCGGTAGCTTCGCGATAGTAGAACATGAATTTGCTGATAAATGTAGTAGGATTGGATCCAGAGGCAGACGTGACGTAAACGAAGTGAGTGTCTCCGTCGATATACGGTTTGGCAAAAGAGGAATAGCAAGGATTTGAGTGATAAATTGATCCAAAACAGAGTATTCCTGCGTGTTCTCATTTGTACTGCATATGCGAATGGAGAGTAGCAGTGCTTTAGCCACGGACTGTCGATCTTCTTCATATAATGACTGTAAGTAAAGAGAGAAATATAGCTCAGAACAATGGATCAAGAGAACTATCCGCCATTCATCATCTATAGAAAAGGTCTACAGTTCTTGTCGTACTTACAGTCCGATCCACAAATTCTGCAATAAATAAAAATGCTTCAGATCTTGATAGGGTTTCTAACAACTCAAGAACAATCTTCTCAGAGTCTTGTACTGATTGAAAGGAATCTTTGAGTGTAAGCATATCGAGAAGTGCTATAACGGTTGCTGAATCGCTTTCAATCCTATTAAAATATAAATAATAGTCATGTGGGTTGGTATTAACCCGCATTTATCTATGGCAAACTTGCTTATGAAAATAGAAAACACATATAGGATTGTATGTGCCATACCATGTTGGATATTCTCCTAGATGTTTCAGAAGCACTGGCAATAGTCGTGCCAAAAGGATACGCCACCCATTGTGCTGGTCAGAAGAGCTACGGAAAGAAGCAATAGCAAGGGATATGCCTGTATCGGCTTCATTCGTCATCAGAATATTACAAAGTCGTACGAGTCGAGAATGGTCATACTGCGGTCGAAAGAAAATCAAAAACCGTTGGACTAAAGACTCTGATATATCACAAAGCTGATCGAGGGCTACATCTGACAACTTTTGCTCAAGCGTTTCTGTTTCTTTATCCCAGCTCGTTCGAATATCCTGTCGCAATTTAATGGCAACAGTTCTCCCGCGGTACCATGACTTAAAATAAAGAAAAAACGATAAGACTTTGACCAATCTAGCCAAGATATCATACCATACACGTAAAAAGATTAGACCTTTTACCTGGATGCGTTCAGCTGCTCTGAGCCGCGTCCTTTCTACTTCTCGGATTCTGCGCTCTTCCTGAGCTTGTCGTAGTAGCTTTTGCTTGTCAACCTGTTGCCTGTTGCCCCCGAGGTTAATGTTTCTTCTGGACTTGTAGCTGCCGTCAAACATTGCTATATTGCTCTTTAACTCTGATATTGATTGAGATTTTATTTAAAGCTGAGATAAATCAAATGGTGATAATGTACAATATGGAAATGAAGGAAATGGAAAGAATGAGAAAAATGTACAAGACTCAAACTTGAGAGGATGTCAGCGCCAACGCGCGTCCCTTCTTTTCTTCAAGCATCCTTTGCATGCCAGAAATTAACCACAACTCTGTGGAGACCAGTCACACCTTGATTCACGTGTTAGGGGAGTGCATGCCAATAGACGCGGAAATGGCCTGTGCCCGCATCTGAAGGGCAGTAGTCGTTTCCTTACTTGTCGAACTTGCCAGTTCTTGCTCTCGTATTCTTCACCTTTGCGGCGGCAATCGTACTGTTTTACGGACTTGTCGGTTTCGTCCTTTTTGTCTTGCATATTATCATGGTATACGTTGTCCGTATGTGCGTATCCTTTATCTTGAGAAATGAAGTCGGCATCAATATCCTTCTGGCCCCGCTTTTCTTATTAATTAAAATACGCGGCATTAATGAGAAACATCGTCCAATCTTATTTTTTTTGGAATATTGAGGATGCGAGACGTCAAAGATACGCAGACCAAATAACAGTGCCTTTGACATAGTCTCCTGAATATTTTTAATAGACTCCTTCAAATTTGAGTTACTTTTCCTTACGTCAGTATCATCAACGCCAATAGAAATGGCACCATCATTGCTGATACTAGTGGTGCCAATTGACTCTATCTCCACACTACCTCTTAATACTCTTGATTCTGAGCAGACTTGAATATTCAACTATCAAAGACGCTGAGCTGATCAGCATATTTCTATGCCAGGCAAGTAACCTACAGAGACTTTTAAACATTTTTTTTTTCATTCTATTAAGGAATGTCAATGAATCGACTGAATCCAAGGGCCGCCTAGCATAATGATATGGTGATATATCAATTTTCTAAAGAGTCTCTATCGAGACAATGAAGCTCTACGAAAATCTAGCTGACTAGCTGCTTTAACCTCTAATGCCTGCAATGAGAAGCTTTAACACAAAAACCAAGGTCCAAGCTGGTTTAAAACTTGCAACTATTGTTTGACAACCCAGCTAACATAATGTTTATTTAGCTGATCAATGTTCAAGCACTCCTTTTCGTTAATAACTGGGATTTAAGCAATAAAATAAAGATTCTTTTAGAAATGTAGAGGGCTTACACTGAATGAGAGTTCATGGTCACTTCACTACAGGTAAGTATAGCTTGAATTCAGCTGGAAGATCACTCTCTTGAACCAATCGATCTGAAAAATAAATTCTGCGTATTCTACAACTGGCGTTGACTGTGATCCTTTGTGTTTCTACATACGCTGTTCCGTACGCACGCTTAGTGTAGTCTGCAAGATTGAGTTGAATCTGATTCCATCCTGGATCCATCCGCAATGGCATAGTGGTGATATGCGGCTTGACACGTGTTGAAGTCTAAACAAACACGCCAAATAACAGAGAATAAGGGATGTTGAAATGTGTAAAGATAATGAAAATATAAATCGTATTGTTAGTCATTAAAATGTTCGTATATGTTGTGCTTGTGTAAGTTCTAATGGTCCAGCTATTGCATGCACAAGAAGTATGAAGTAGGGATAACATTTCATCCAAAGCTGAGGTCATCATAGAGAAAGTTAACTTGATTCGTCATCCTTGAATTTCACAATGGTAAGCCAATGTTTGTGTTTGTTCCCGACCTGGAAATTAGATGCTCGGAACCTTCGTTTCTCTCCGCGGTCATCCAAAACAGTAACCTCAAAGCTCCAGTACTTCCCAATGTTCTTCGTCAGAAATACAAGGATCGGTAGTCTGATCCCTAATGTTCTTGTAATCAGGGGCGGGGTCGTAATGAAAGTTGAAGAAAGGTTGGTTGAGAGCAACTCCAAAACCTGAGAGTTGAGGATATTATCGACAACAAATTCAATATGCGACTCTGATTGTGAAAGTGGTGTAGTAGCTTGTGTTGTATTTGAATCATTGGATGAAGCTATTGCGGACGACGGTGTCGCGTTTACTTTGGGAGAAGTTGAAGATGGTGGTCCGACGCATTTTGCCCAGAGTTGTAATGGATCCGATCTTATTTAATAGAAATATAGTCATTTCAGTTAATATCATGGTAAAATACATTCGGTTGTATTAAATTGAGTTCAAATGTACTCACCCAAGACTATAAAATATAGACAAGAAGCCTGACTGTATGCATGATAACATATTTCGGTGAAGAATTAACATTAAGAACAAAGTTGCTGATCACAGACATGACAAGATTTAACTTGATCTAGTAAGTATATGCAGCTCAACTTACTTGGAATGTATTTTTAAACATGATGCTTGTTTACTCTTTATGAATAATTTTCTCAATCCCATGTGTTTGCTGATCGGCTCGCTGATGTTTATGCACGTGAGACAGTGTCCAAGGAATATTGACTGTGGCTGAAACCCACTTTGCAAAACAATTTTAGCCCTCTATTACTCTCACAGCATAACACTCAGACTCCTACAAGTGCCGTAAGGTCATTGTTGTCTTTAGACAAAATGTGCACTTTTAGATAAAACGATAAGGCTCTCAGAACATATTGAATAGACAATTATAGATATCCGCAAGCTTTCCGCGGCAGTTGATACTGTTTAATAGTGCTCGTCATCTAATTAAGCTTCATTGGTAAGCAGGCAACTGCCATTATTACAGAAAAAATGAATCTCTGTCTTCTCTTCTCTTTCTAGATATAACAGCTCCGTATCGACTCTCTTATGTAAAAACTATCGAAACTAAGAGTTAATATGAGTTATTATACTTCTCAATAACACAGCAGTGCCTCCAGTAAAGACACCAATGGACGTTAGATGATGAATCCTACTGTTTCTTCCTTCTGAACACCGGATGTTAGTTATGTTGTAGAGATGATATTTGTCCAGTCTCGACTAAACAGGAGACTCGTTGAGCTACGTGTCATTATGTGCAACCGTCAAAGATAATCATGTTAGGGGAATGGGTCCGAGCGATCTAGCGTGTTTTTTCAAAGAAAGTCTGATACACCAATTATACTTTGGAAACAACAATGGAATCAATAATAGGGCCTTACAGATGTCCATTTCTATTTATTATCCTTTTTCGAGATGTGTTCGTAGACTTCATAAATAGGAGCTATGGTTTCGTAATGTGCCTCTATCAATTTCATAAATATGTGGTATCAAATTCGTAAATTTTATTTATTTGAGATGCTTAGGTGTAGAAGCGACCCATGCACGCCAGGGAAAAATCCCGGTTAGCCTCGTGGATCCATCTACAACACATTTCGGATGTAATGCTGCTATTGATATGATCTGTTAATGTTTCCCGGTCATGAAGACCTTGGAGTCGTACTTTTTTTTTTTTTTGAAATTTACGAGTTTGACACCACACATTTATGAAATGGATAGAGGCATACTAGGCTCGAATCCAGTCAGAGAGGGAAGCTTGCATCTAACATGTAAATTTTATGCCCATATTGAATAAATTCTGCTCTGCTACCAAGTGGATCCGTATCTTGATAGTGAGCCAGTACATGAAGAAAGAAAAGCAAGAATGAGAGAGAAAAGGGGGGAGGGGGATATATATGGTCCCGGCTCTCGTATAATAAGCCTAAGTCGTTATATTATTCAACTTGGCCAGCTAAAAAGGATTGAGCAAAAAAGTCAGGGTCCAAAGACAGCAGTGTTCAGCGCTCCGCTCTTTCCGCTTTCTTTGCGGACCGTATGAAGCCCCAGGTTGTAATGAGCCTGCTCTTCATTAGATAGTGATACTATCGAGTTTGTAAATCGAATTCTCATCTCCATATTTTCTTCTATGATCATGTGCTGTGAAAAACTACAAGACTTCATAATTATTGACAGGAGAATAGAGGACGAGAACGAACAAAGACTAGCATCTGTGAGACAAAACTTCAGATGGGAAAACAGGTCTGCCAAGTAGACATCCTTGAATAGCGATATCTTCTTTGAAAAACTTTGAGATACTGTACTCGTAGTTACTTTGATACTTGTGATGTATACGCTCAATTCAGGGCCTGGTAGAATGAATATAAGCAGTGTATCGTACTGATGTACTAAGCATACCAACATGAGTTTTCTTTTTTTTCTGAAATAGAGAAATGAAAATGTTGACATGATAGTAAAAAACTATATCCGTCTCATGTATATCACTGCAAGGAATATCTTGCCTCAAACGAAGATGCTCACCATACAATGGACCACTTCATTTCGTAGATCACCTGTAAGAGAAAAATACAGCTTTGGTTGTTTCCGTGTTTCACATGTTTATTGTCGTTCACACTTTCTGAACATGGATGTCAACGTTGTTATATGGATACTCCACAAACCATAACAGTTGCCATCTCTTCCAATACCACAAGAGTGTTAACATTCTGAACATTTCCTGTTGAACAAGAGGAGGCCCAAGTCAAAAGATTCGTGTTATGGGGATGACAACTTGATGATCTTAGAGCCATAAAGGCCCCCATTTCAAAAACAATCAGCGCCGAGAATCTAGAACTATTGAAAAAGAGCATATGCCAACAATCTTCTGTTAAAGAACTGCATGAAGATCGTACCCATTATGGCCAATAAAAGATCGTACCCATTATGGCCAATAAAAGATCTAAAATAATAAATTTACTTTTTCTCATGACACCACACTGGGCGGAAAGTCATTTCAGCAGAAGAGGGATTGGTGGTGTTTTAACTCCGTCGTAGGCGAAGGTTTGCCTTTCTTGTATGTCCTCTCATCAAAGACGCCTCTCTTCGGGTATAATAATATTCATCTAAGAGATGCCTCGTTCACAAGATAAAAGAAAACAAGAACAAACATCAGGCACCAAAAGCAGAAGTCTGCAAGAAATGAGGCCTGAATCAAGAACACTTCATTATAGTAGAAACATTAAATCTCTATTTATGATACCATTAATTATACGGTAGCGGCAGGTCTTGTTTACATCCTCATTGTTATAAAGATAATAGTAGTAAAAAGATATGAAAGAATAATTAGTGCAAGTGCTGGATTGCTCCCATGAAGCAACATGTAAATCAGGTATCAATCAAATAATAATAGCACATTCACAGATATAATTATACTCTTGCCTTTTTTTCACGAGTGTTCGAAAGCGAGAGTGTCCAAATGTTCTGGAGACGCGCCTTTGATACAGGGTCGGACATCCAATGGTGTAGTCTTTCTTGCTTTTTTGTCCTGTCCCGCACTTTATTAGCCTTTTCTGCTACTTCTCTTCTTCGTTAGTACTTTCGTTTACTTTTTCTTTGCATTTCGTTATTTGGTGTTTTCTTTTCTTACTTTTACTTTCATTGACTTCTTGGTACTTACCTTACTTACCTGAGACTGTCCACCCTACCACCCTATACAGTCCCTTACCCTTGAGGAAGAAAAAAATATATATAAAAAAAACTTCTTTCCGGTATTCGCTTTCTTTCCTGTATTTTCATTTGCTTTCACTTCCTTGCTATACTTCCGTTTGTTTTTCTTTCTACTTTCTTGCCATGCTTTCGTTTGTATTCCTTTAACACTTGTTATCTTTTGACTCATTCTCCTTTGCTGGTACACTTTCTTGTTATCCTATGATGGGTTCACTTTCTTATTATCCTTTGAAGGTTTACTTTCTTATTATCCTTTGATGCTTTACTTACTGGTTATCCTTTGATGCTTCACTATCTTGTACTTTCATTTACTTCTTGATAATTGCCTTGTTTACTTGAGACTGTCCACCCTACCACCCTATACAGTCCCTTACCCTTGAAGAAAAAAAAATATAAAGAAAAAAACTTCTTTCCGGTATTTGCTTTCTTTCCTGTATTTTCATTTGCTTTCACTTGTTTTTCTTTCTACTTGTCATGCTTTCGTTTGTGTTCCTTTAACACTTATTATATTTTTTCCTTTACTGGTTCTCTCTCTTGTTATCCTTTGATGGTTTACTTTCTTGCTATCCTTTGCTAGTTCGTTTCCTTGTTATTCTTTGCTGGTTCACTTTCTTGCTATCCTTTGCTGGTTCACTTTCTTGCTATCCTTTGCCGGTCTACTTTCTTGCTATCCTTTGATACTTCCTTTTTTATTATTCTTTGCTGCTTCACTTTCTTGCTGCGCTTTGATGGTTCATTTCCTTGTTATCCTCTGATGATTCATTTCCCTGTTATCCTTTGGTGCTTCACTTGTTATTCTTTGCTGGTTCATTTCCTGTTATCTTTTGATGGTTACTTTTTGTTATCCTTTGGTGCTTCACTCTCTTGTTAGCCTTTGATGGTTCACTTCCTTTTTACGCTTCCATATTTTATCCTTCAGTGCCTCACTTGATTGCTACGCTTTCATTTCTTTCTTCCATGCTTGACTTTCCTGTTATGCTTTCATCTCTTTTTCGGTACTTCACTTTTGTTATTCTTTTCTATGTTATCCTGGGCGCATCTCTTTCGTGTTATGTTCTATTACGCTTTCCTTCATTGCTTCGCTTTCTTGTTATTTTTTCATTTGCTTTTCTCGACACTTCACCTTTTTACTATCTATTCTTTGTTTTTCTTCCCTGCTTCACTTCCTTGTTATGCTTTCTTTCTTGCTGCTTCACTTCCTTGTTATGCTTTCTTTTTTGCTGCTTCACTTCCTCATTTGTTTTCCTTGGCTCGTCACTTTTTAAATATACTTTCATGTGCTTCTCTTCGACGCTTCACTTTCGAGTTATCCTTTCCTTTGTTTCCCTTCGATGCTTCGCTTTCTTACGTTGTTTTCATTTGTTTTCTCCCTTTTCTTATTATAGCTTCCTTTTCTTATTGTAGCTTCCTTTGTTTCTCTTTGTGTGTGCGTGTATGTGTGTGTTTGGTTTTCCTTGTTATACTTTCGTTTGTTTCCCTTCTGTGCTTCTCTTTCTTATTATGCTTTCATTTGTGCCTCCATTTCTTTTTTGTTTTCTTTTTTTTTCTTTTCTTTTCTTCAGTGCTTCCCGTCCTTGCCATATCTTACATTTTTTTCCCTTTTGCTTTTCTTTCTTATCATATTTTCATTTATAGGTGTCGACATTTCTTACATATATTTTTGTTTGTTCTTTTCCCTCGCTTTACTTCTTTGCTATGCTTCCGTTTGTTCTTTCTCGACTTTCCCTTCCCCTTTCTTTCTCTCTCTTTTTTTTTTCTTATTTGCTTTCGCTTACTCTTCCTATGTGCTTCTCTTCCTTAGTTTATTTTCATTCGCTCTTTCTCGGTGTTCCTTTCTCTTTCTTATTTCTCTTTCTTTTGTTGGTTGCTTGCCGCTTCCCTTCCTTACCTTACTTTCTCTTACCTCGTTTCCTCGCTGTTTACCGCTCTTGGGGGTTATTTTGCCTTTGGTATAGTACGGAGACAAAAAGTATGTAGTTTAGTATAAAGTAGTGACGGCAAGAAAAGGCAACGCTCGCGTCTGAGCGAGAGTTGGTGATGACATAAAGAGGCACAGGGAGAGACAGAAGAAGTGTGTGCGTGTGTGCTTGTGTGTGAATGTATTTGACAAAGGACTGCGATCGAGACTTACTTTTCAAGAGGTGGGGAGGTGGAGAGGTGGAGAGATAAAGAGGTGGAGAAGTGAAGAGGCGGAGAAGTGAAGAGGGAAAAAAAAGGAAAAAAAAAAAAAAAAAAAAGAAAGAAAGAGCGAGCTTAAAATGAGAGAAAAGCGTCATTCTCCCAATCTCACTCGTCGCCACCATTTCTCCTTATCTTTGTTGAAAGCGGACATAATTATCCGAATATAGGCAAAATGAAAGTGATTGGACGCCATTTTGAAACAGCGTGAAATTCAAAGAAAGGGTGGATGGAAAACTGTCGGCTTGGACAGCCCGGAAGCGATCCCGTTGCCTTTCGTTGCGACATCTTTCGCATTTGTTGACGTAATAAGCGAAAGCGATACGACACTGAGAAGAACGAACCAAAAAGCATCGAAAGTATTAAACTTAATGACTATGAGTAGACACTACTCACACCACGACTTTTGACTCCAGACTTACACATCATATGCTTTTTTGCGATCGCATTTTCTTAAGAAACAAAAAAAAATTGATAGAGAAAGATGCATTAATTTTTCATGCATCTTTGGGAGTAGCCACGCTTTTCATTACATTTCGCTCTTCTCTCTCTTTTATCGCTTCTAAAAGTATAATAGACAAGGATCAAGGCTTGTCATAGACTCTAGTGCCTTCTAGTTTCTGATTGAAAGTAATAGAGTGTGTTCAGGTCTGCTACAGTATCTGGTAGATGCTTTTCATGGAGCCCATCACCTTTCTGACCCATGTCCCAAAGGTAAGCCTGCCTTATTTTTTGTTATGACCATCTTGTTTAGCGAGCAACAACAAGCAGCACGTAAAAAGTATGTAACGTGTGTGTCGAGGAAAATATTATATCCAAGCTCTGCAGGGCCTTCAGGGTCTTCAATACTTTTGATTCAACACCTTCATTACTATTGTATCTAATTCTTCGCATTAAAATTATTTATCCCTCTTTCAATGCTTTCCCTACCTTCACGTACATTATTCCTTTTGCTTCATGTGACAATGTAATGACATCAACCCTCCCTGTGGACGGAAGATGCTTTTGCTTTTAAAGCAACTGACTATTGCCATATTCGGATAATTATGTCCGCTTTCAACAAAGATAAGGAGAAATGGTGGCGACGAGTGAGATTGGGAGAATGACGCTTTTCTCTCATTTTAAGCTCGCTCTTTCTTTCTTTTTTTTTTTTTTTTTTTCCTTTTTTTTCCCTCTTCACTTCTCCGCCTCTTCACTTCTCCACCTCTTTATCTCTCCACCTCTCCACCTCCCCACCTCTTGAAAAGTAAGTCTCGATCGCAGTCCTTTGTCAAATACATTCACACACAAGCACACACGCACACACTTCTTCTGTCTCTCCCTGTGCCTCTTTATGTCATCACCAACTCTCGCTCAGACGCGAGCGTTGCCTTTTCTTGCCGTCACTACTTTATACTAAACTACATACTTTTTGTCTCCGTACTATACCAAAGGCAAAATAACCCCCAAGAGCGGTAAACAGCGAGGAAACGAGGTAAGAGAAAGTAAGGTAAGGAAGGGAAGCGGCAAGCAACCAACAAAAGAAAGAGAAATAAGAAAGAGAAAGGAACACCGAGAAAGAGCGAATGAAAATAAACTAAGGAAGAGAAGCACATAGGAAGAGTAAGCGAAAGCAAATAAGAAAAAAAAAAGAGAGAGAAAGAAAGGGGAAGGGAAAGTCGAGAAAGAACAAACGGAAGCATAGCAAAGAAGTAAAGCGAGGGAAAAGAACAAACAAAAATATATGTAAGAAATGTCGACACCTATAAATGAAAATATGATAAGAAAGAAAAGCAAAAGGGAAAAAAATGTAAGATATGGCAAGGACGGGAAGCACTGAAGAAAAGAAAAGAAAAAAAAAGAAAACAAAAAAGAAATGGAGGCACAAATGAAAGCATAATAAGAAAGAGAAGCACAGAAGGGAAACAAACGAAAGTATAACAAGGAAAACCAAACACACACATACACGCACACACAAAGAGAAACAAAGGAAGCTACAATAAGAAAAGGAAGCTATAATAAGAAAAGGGAGAAAACAAATGAAAACAACGTAAGAAAGCGAAGCATCGAAGGGAAACAAAGGAAAGGATAACTCGAAAGTGAAGCGTCGAAGAGAAGCACATGAAAGTATATTTAAAAAGTGACGAGCCAAGGAAAACAAATGAGGAAGTGAAGCAGCAAAAAAGAAAGCATAACAAGGAAGTGAAGCAGCAAGAAAGAAAGCATAACAAGGAAGTGAAGCAGGGAAGAAAAACAAAGAATAGATAGTAAAAAGGTGAAGTGTCGAGAAAAGCAAATGAAAAAATAACAAGAAAGCGAAGCAATGAAGGAAAGCGTAATAGAACATAACACGAAAGAGATGCGCCCAGGATAACATAGAAAAGAATAACAAAAGTGAAGTACCGAAAAAGAGATGAAAGCATAACAGGAAAGTCAAGCATGGAAGAAAGAAATGAAAGCGTAGCAATCAAGTGAGGCACTGAAGGATAAAATATGGAAGCGTAAAAAGGAAGTGAACCATCAAAGGCTAACAAGAGAGTGAAGCACCAAAGGATAACAAAAAGTAACCATCAAAAGATAACAGGAAATGAACCAGCAAAGAATAACAAGTGAAGCACCAAAGGATAACAGGGAAATGAATCATCAGAGGATAACAAGGAAATGAACCATCAAAGCGCAGCAAGAAAGTGAAGCAGCAAAGAATAATAAAAAAGGAAGTATCAAAGGATAGCAAGAAAGTAGACCGGCAAAGGATAGCAAGAAAGTGAACCAGCAAAGGATAGCAAGAAAGTGAACCAGCAAAGAATAACAAGGAAACGAACTAGCAAAGGATAGCAAGAAAGTAAACCATCAAAGGATAACAAGAGAGAGAACCAGTAAAGGAAAAAATATAATAAGTGTTAAAGGAACACAAACGAAAGCATGACAAGTAGAAAGAAAAACAAGTGAAAGCAAATGAAAATACAGGAAAGAAAGCAAATACCGGAAAGAAGTTTTTTTCTTTATATTTTTTTTTCTTCAAGGGTAAGGGACTGTATAGGGTGGTAGGGTGGACAGTCTCAAGTAAACAAGGCAATTATCAAGAAGTAAATGAAAGTACAAGATAGTGAAGCATCAAAGGATAACCAGTAAGTAAAGCATCAAAGGATAATAAGAAAGTAAACCTTCAAAGGATAATAAGAAAGTGAACCCATCATAGGATAACAAGAAAGTGTACCAGCAAAGGAGAATGAGTCAAAAGATAACAAGTGTTAAAGGAATACAAACGAAAGCATGGCAAGAAAGTAGAAAGAAAAACAAACGGAAGTATAGCAAGGAAGTGAAAGCAAATGAAAATACAGGAAAGAAAGCGAATACCGGAAAGAAGTTTTTTTTATATATATTTTTTTCTTCCTCAAGGGTAAGGGACTGTATAGGGTGGTAGGGTGGACAGTCTCAGGTAAGTAAGGTAAGTACCAAGAAGTCAATGAAAGTAAAAGTAAGAAAAGAAAACACCAAATAACGAAATGCAAAGAAAAAGTAAACGAAAGTACTAACGAAGAAGAGAAGTAGCAGAAAAGGCTAATAAAGTGCGGGACAGGACAAAAAAGCAAGAAAGACTACACCATTGGATGTCCGACCCTGTATCAAAGGCGCGTCTCCAGAACATTTGGACACTCTCGCTTTCGAACACTCGTGAAAAAAAGGCAAGAGTATAATTATATCTGTGAATGTGCTATTATTATTTGATTGATACCTGATTTACATGTTGCTTCATGGGAGCAATCCAGCACTTGCACTAATTATTCTTTCATATCTTTTTACTACTATTATCTTTATAACAATGAGGATGTAAACAAGACCTGCCGCTACCGTATAATTAATGGTATCATAAATAGAGATTTAATGTTTCTACTATAATGAAGTGTTCTTGATTCAGGCCTCATTTCTTGCAGACTTCTGCTTTTGGTGCCTGATGTTTGTTCTTGTTTTCTTTTATCTTGTGAACGAGGCATCTCTTAGATGAATATTATTATACCCGAAGAGAGGCGTCTTTGATGAGAGGACATACAAGAAAGGCAAACCTTCGCCTACGACGGAGTTAAAACACCACCAATCCCTCTTCTGCTGAAATGACTTTCCGCCCAGTGTGGTGTCATGAGAAAAAGTAAATTTATTATTTTAGATCTTTTATTGGCCATAATGGGTACGATCTTTTATTGGCCATAATGGGTACGATCTTCATGCAGTTCTTTAACAGAAGATTGTTGGCATATGCTCTTTTTCAATAGTTCTAGATTCTCGGCGCTGATTGTTTTTGAAATGGGGGCCTTTATGGCTCTAAGATCATCAAGTTGTCATCCCCATAACACGAATCTTTTGACTTGGGCCTCCTCTTGTTCAACAGGAAATGTTCAGAATGTTAACACTCTTGTGGTATTGGAAGAGATGGCAACTGTTATGGTTTGTGGAGTATCCATATAACAACGTTGACATCCATGTTCAGAAAGTGTGAACGACAATAAACATGTGAAACACGGAAACAACCAAAGCTGTATTTTTCTCTTACAGGTGATCTACGAAATGAAGTGGTCCATTGTATGGTGAGCATCTTCGTTTGAGGCAAGATATTCCTTGCAGTGATATACATGAGACGGATATAGTTTTTTACTATCATGTCAACATTTTCATTTCTCTATTTCAGAAAAAAAAGAAAACTCATGTTGGTATGCTTAGTACATCAGTACGATACACTGCTTATATTCATTCTACCAGGCCCTGAATTGAGCGTATACATCACAAGTATCAAAGTAACTACGAGTACAGTATCTCAAAGTTTTTCAAAGAAGATATCGCTATTCAAGGATGTCTACTTGGCAGACCTGTTTTCCCATCTGAAGTTTTGTCTCACAGATGCTAGTCTTTGTTCGTTCTCGTCCTCTATTCTCCTGTCAATAATTATGAAGTCTTGTAGTTTTTCACAGCACATGATCATAGAAGAAAATATGGAGATGAGAATTCGATTTACAAACTCGATAGTATCACTATCTAATGAAGAGCAGGCTCATTACAACCTGGGGCTTCATACGGTCCGCAAAGAAAGCGGAAAGAGCGGAGCGCTGAACACTGCTGTCTTTGGACCCTGACTTTTTTGCTCAATCCTTTTTAGCTGGCCAAGTTGAATAATATAACGACTTAGGCTTATTATACGAGAGCCGGGACCATATATATCCCCCTCCCCCCTTTTCTCTCTCATTCTTGCTTTTCTTTCTTCATGTACTGGCTCACTATCAAGATACGGATCCACTTGGTAGCATTACTGTCATTGGATCGTAGCTGGCCATCGCGATCAAAAAGCTTGGTGAACCTTTCTTTGTTGGATGTCAACAAGTTCAACAGAAGCCCCTGTGCTTCTCATCAACACAAGATTGTCCTCAGTAAACGAGATACGGGAGTTTTTATAAATAAAACAAGAAATAGAGGCCAAATAACACTAGGTAGATTGCCAAGCAAACCATGTGGGTGTTCTTCGACAGCTAGGCTATCAGAACATATTTGCACGAGCCCGTGCATCCATTTACGAACTCATCTTGGAAAAGGGATACTATTCAGCAAGGATTAATCTATTTGGCAGCCTATTTTTGGGGGCAGCCAGCTTACTTCACACACTTAGATGGCAGCTGGGCTGCCAAATAATGTTTTGCAAAACTAATTTGAAAAGGTTAATTGGCCACACACTACGTCTTGTTGCACTCATCATGTAATTACAAATATTAGTGTTTGTCAGAAAGAGTAAAACCCATATGAATAAGTTGCGCTTCGATGCCTGTTAGCGGCTTCGGATGGAGCGACGACAATTGGACTTGAAATGAGTGACTTTGCTTATAGCACCAAGGTATCAACATGTCCATAAAGAAACACTCCGTTATAGTTTTTTTTTTTTATTTCCACGGGAGGAGCAGTGTAAATAAGGTGTGTACGGGATCGTGCAAAAACTTTTTTTTATGAGGGTGCTATTTGGCAGCTGGGCTGCCAAAGAGAGTTTTCAAAACTGATCATATTTGGTAATTGGATTAATCTAGGCTCGTTCCCAGCCCCTTCACTTTAGGTGACTCAAAAAGGAAATGGAATTTCCTGTCACCTTTATAAAGTGAAGAGGGATGGGAACGAGCCTAGGCTGCCAAATAGATTAATCCAAAAAATAATTTGCCCCGAAGGGCTATCCACTCAAGATATACGTGTCATCCTTGTGCAGGGGCCATGCTAATCTTCTCTGTATCGTTCCATTTTTAGAATATGTAGCGCATAAGCGACTACAACAGCTAGTGCACTATTTGTTCTATTATATAGTCTATGAATTTCGAAGAAATAATTTATGGGACTAAACGTGTTTCCTTTACCAAAATTTAAGAACAAAAGATCACAGTAGTCACAAATACAGCCAAAGTGAGAATTACCCTGACGCTCTAAATTATATCCTTATGATTCTATTAGTCACCTCTTACTGATGATGGGGCGACTCAAGCCATAGTCTTTGACAAGAAAATAACTTCGCTTCAACTTTTTTTTTTTTTTTTTTTTTTTTTTTATTTTATTTTTTTTGTTTTTATCTTTCTCAACCGTAATTGCAAATCGCCAGAAGAGGGCCACAAGATACCTTGGTTCGATGGAAGATTTACATGGCTATAGGCTCGAGGTCAGCTATCTTGATAGAGCAAAAGACAACGGATTGCCCAAGGAAGAACGCTCTTAAAGAGATAGGTGCTGGCCAGAAATGGAGGCAGTAGAGAAGGAAATAAGTAAATTAAAGGAGGCGATTGAAGACAATGACCAAGGGATAGGAGCATAAGAGAAGGAAATACACGACCGGAAGTACAAAATCGGAAGGATGGAGAGTTAGCAGAGGAAGACAATCAAAGCCTTCAAGCCGAGTCGGAAAAACGCTTGCGTGCCTCCCAAATCTAGCAATAAAGCTCCATGTAGGCAAATGTGAAAGGCAAAAAACTCACACCTTAGCGAAGGAGAGCAACCCCTCATTGCCTCGAGCTACGTAAGCTTGAAAAAGCCTCAGGCAGAAGTCGTCTCGACTAGAGATTCAGCCCTGAGGAGAACTGTTTATTCGGGTGTAAGTCCACACACCATCAGGGACGCATATGCAGGCAATGTTCGGAAGATTTGCGAGGCAAACATTCTCGACACAGCTCATTGATTGAGGCTATTTACTTCAGACCTTCGCCAAGATGTCGCCGTCAAGAACCTTAGTGGCGCTGCTGTCACAATTGACTGCCTCCACGAGAAAATCCGAGAGCCATAGCCAAAGAAATATCATATTTCTAGTAAAGAGACGATCCATAAAATCATTTTCAATTTGAGGATACATCAAAAAACGAGTAACTTGGCACAGATCAGGTGTGATTACATTAAGTAGTGGTGCTCGGAAGAATCCAAGGACGTAATGTTAGTATGTCTTGATACATACGAAATCAAAAATGCTGTGGAAGAAACTAATTCTTTTTAATCCACTCCTTCATAAATTTACCCTTAGCACAATTACAACGCTTACTCCCATTTAAATGGGAGTCGTAGGTGTATCCCCACTTCTTGAAAAAACAGATATTGTGTTCTTATCCGTAATTTAGCTTTTGGACTTCTGACAACAAGTTTGTGACAAGGGATTATAATGCTCCAGAACTAATTCAAAAACCTGTACCGATTTCTAGTACGAAGAAGCGAAGAACTAATTTCAGATGAAGATGGTACAAACAAGATACAAAAGATTGTTGATCAAGGGAAACCGAAAAAAGCGGAAGGGTGGTTCAAATAACGAGTACAAAGAAGGTTTTGCGAAATAGTGCTTCTGGAATATTAAGTCAACAGCAAGATGTGGGAGGCCAGAGTGCTGGGAACACCGGAAGCAAGAAGGGGCACAAAAGGATCCTTGAAAATATAGTCGCAAACGTGGTAAATAAGAATTTTAAGATTGTTATTTTTAATAGAGGCAGACTTCATGTCTCCAAGGTGGACTAAATAACAACTACACCGATGGAACTTGTGTCGAGGAGCTTATCAAATTACCATCCATGGAATGACGAAACTCAATACGGATTGATAGTATGTGGAGCCATGGTGACATTCAACCACTGTCATGTTCGATCATCCATCTGTCATGCTAGAATCGGATATCAATTCGTAGCAAAAGAAGTTTAAGATATTGAGGAAGATAATAACTCGTTTTTCTCGGTTTATGTAAAAAGGCTCTACACCGGGACCGAAAGCGAAACAAGTAATGCCTGGGATCTGGGTGTTGAATAGGATGAACAAGTAGCTGCATCGTTCAGACTTGCCACAAACAAAAAAATCAGATATTATAAGGACAGATTAAAGACTACGCGCAATGTGAGGTTCCAGCCTATTCTCAAATCCTTGCAGACATGGTCAGATGCTACATTCGGGCATTCGTTTCCGATCTTAAGAATAGGGTATGTTATTAGTTTACGCTCTAACGAAATCATTGCATAACTTAATACTCACGTAGCAAAAACTCCATTTTCCCTTGGGCCATAAAACACGCAAATTTGCATATTTAGCTTTCATCAACTCATAGGCAGGTCAGATCTAGTTCCTATGCTTCCTACTAGCAGAAAACAACTGACCATTGACTTCTGATCACCTACACGAAGCCATAATTATGGTACATGGAAGCAATGCCAGTGTCCCGACCCCACAACCCAACATAGTACAATAAAAAGAATCAAGATACTCCATCCACATCCCAAACAAGTCCTCCTGACTATTCCATAAAGTCCGAACTGAAGTCCCTTCAAACCCTAATTCCTGGTGAGAGATATCTGTCACAAGAGTTTCCGGACCAATCTAGCCATGTCGTCCTTGCCATCAACCCCGGCATTTAGAGCAACTCAACTGCTGTCATTGTAGACATCCTCCTGCCTCAAGCGCTGATACAAAATCTGCCATATTCCAAAAGTTATCACAGTTGGAACGGCCAATGACAGACCATGATATTAAGACACCAAATGAAGCTCAAACAATTTGAGAAGGTTGAGAGTATGATAAGCATCATTGACATATAAGAAAAGCCCTCCCATAGACCGCGACAAGCTAAAGGGCTAGCAATAAAAGATCCCCAGACAATCCTACAAAGACCATCCAATCTCCGTTATCTTCCTTGAAGAACGTTCAAGATCATTTTATGGCTTGCCATAGTCAAGAATTGAAGATATAGAAAGGAACAAGGAGAGAAGGCTGAAGCTAGATGAGCAAAGGGTAAATGTTGAGAAGTGAAAGTCAATAAGAGAAGGCCCATGGTTGTCATCGGCGATGGTAATTTCAAGGGTAGGAAAGATGTGGATGAAGACTACAAAGTTTACCTCGACCCGAAAAAACCAAGCAACGTATTTCGATATTTTTCTGCATTGAATAACTTCTATACGTTGGCCGCGGGCAAGGGAATTATGTCAGTCGTGTTGACGGATCAGGACCTCGATAAATATTTTGTTGCATGAGACAAAAAGGTCGATCTGTCATTTGCCCAAATTGTACGTCCACGGCATGATAAAAAAAGGCTTTCAGTGCGATCGTGACCACAATACTGGTCAGAACATGGTCAGAACAGTCTTTTAGTGGATAAAAGGATTTCAGTGATCTATCGCGTTAGATAGAGGGCTTGCTAAAGCAAGAAGCGCTCTCTGTAAAAAAATATAGTTCTGAGGTTCATGACAAACAAAACATTTCCAGAGCTAAAAGAAGGTTGTGGGATATTCCATAGTTGCAAACCTCATAAGAACCGCGGAATAGACCGCAAATTTGCATTTATAGAATATCATCAGTGCCTGAAAGTACCTGAAAATTGAAACATCCTTCAATAGACTCCGTAGGAGCAAAATTCACTTTAAAAAAACAGATTTATTGAAACAAAAGTTACTCTTTTGGAGATGATTTTCATATGGAACACTGAAGTAATACTTTGACGCAATTTACTTCTTGCCGCCAGCCTTCTGAGCAGCCTTGGTAACCTTGCCACCCTTACCATCAGTCTTCTCAACAGACTTGATGACACCGACAGCGACGGTCTGACGCATATCACGGACGGCGAAACGTCCAAGAGGAGGGTACTCCTGGAAAGTCTCAACACAGAGAGGCTTAGAGGGAACCATCTTGACGATGGCAGCATCACCAGACTTGATGAACTTGGGGAACTCCTCAGTGGCCTTACCGGTACGGCGATCAATCTTCTCAAGAATCTCGGAGAACTTGCAAGCAATGTGGGCAGTGTGGCAGTCCAAAACGGGAGCATATCCGTTCGAGATCTGACCAGGGTGGTTCAAGACGATAACCTGAGCGTTGAAGGAAGCAGCCTCCTTGGCGGGGTCGTTCTTGGAGTCAGAGCAGACGTTACCACGGCGAATATCCTTGACAGAGACGTTCTTGACGTTGAATCCGACGTTATCACCGGGAATACCCTCAGTAAGGACTTCGTGGTGCATTTCGACGGACTTGACTTCAGTGGTGACATTGGTGGGAGCGAAGGTGACAACCATACCGGCCTTAATGATACCGGTCTCAACACGACCGACTGGGACTGTTCCGATACCACCGATCTTGTAGACATCCTGAAGAGGAAGACGAAGAGGCTTATCGGTAGGGCGAGCTGGAGGCTCAATGGCATCGATAGCGTCCAAAAGAGTCCTACCCTTGACTTCACCACCCTTGGTCTCCTTGACCCATCCCTTGTACCAGGGCATGTTGACGGACTCCTCCAACATGTTGTCTCCGTGCCAGCCAGAAATGGGGACGAAGGCAACAGCCTTGGGGTTGTAACCGACCTTCTTGACGAAGGTAGAGACTTCCTTGACGATTTCCTCGAAACGCTCCTTGTTCCATTTGGTGGAGTCCATCTTGTTGATGGCAACAATAAGCTGCTTGACACCAAGGGTGAAGGCAAGGAGAGCGTGCTCACGGGTCTGACCTTCCTTGGAAATACCAGCCTCGAACTCACCGGTACCAGCGGCAATAATGAGAATGGCGCAGTCAGCCTGAGAGGTACCAGTAATCATGTTCTTGATGAAGTCACGATGTCCGGGAGCGTCAATGACGGTAACGTAGTATTTGGGGGTCTCGAACTTCCAGAGGGCAATATCGATGGTAATACCACGCTCACGCTCAGCCTTGAGCTTGTCAAGAACCCAGGCGTACTTGAAGGAACCCTTTCCAAGCTCGGCGGCTTCCTTCTCGAACTTCTCAATGGTACGCTTGTCGATACCACCGCACTTGTAGATCAAATGACCTGTGGTGGTGGACTTGCCAGAATCGACGTGTCCAATAACGACGACGTTAACGTGAGTCTTCTCTTTTCCCATTCTAGTGAAAGAGAAAAAATCATGTTAGAAAATGTTGTCTAGTTTTTCAATAAGAGTATATGCTCGAAGGTTATAGAAGACTAAAGAAATTCAATGAAGCTGAGAGCAAAGCCGCAGTTAAAAAAAAAAAAAAAAAAAAAAAAAGAATCGCCTGCGCGGGGCAACGAAAAACACTGACAATTGCTGCCGTCGTCAGCGTCAGCAGAGAGTGTCTACCCTCTTCGTGCAAGTTCAGAAATCCTGGATATTAAGTGGGGTTACAAGACTTTGAACAGACTAAGTTGGTCAGTTGCCAACTACCATAAAGTCAAACTTTTAGAGTAGTTGTAACTTGAGAGGATGATTCTGACAAGCAGAACACAGAAATGGGTGTGGATTGATGGATAGAATCAACGGATGGATGGATGGATGGATGGGATGTAGCAGAGCAAGGGCGATGGATGCATGGGATGTGCCTCCATCCATCAATATCTTTTATACAAACAGACTTACTTGTATAAAAAGTTTCAAGTGAAAGGGTGGAAATCAAATCCTGGCCAGCGAGAGAATATTTAATAGTGTCGAGCCCCTTAATACAGCAAATTGATATCTTGGAGCATGATTTTACAGGCCAGACACGCTAAAGGGCACCAACAATATGATCACAGCATGCAGGTATCTTTTGCTGTGTTATCTCTATTCTGTCAAAAGCTGATGTTTTTATTTTTACTTTTACAAACATACGTCTAGCATCCCAGAGCAGCGATGGAGACATTAGTGAGCACCACTGGATAAGAAGTAATATTATTTGTTTGTTTACTCTAAGGAAATCCTATACGATGGTGGACACACCGGTGCCTCCTGTAATGGTGCTAGAGGCGGGAGTTTGATGGCGGAGAGCGGCAATAGTATAAGAGACAGCTCCACCAGTCAAGAGCAGCGCAGAGACGATCTGAAGAGTACGTCCACCAATGCCGAAAGCGAGCCACATGATAATAGCAAATCTGAATGATAGGAACATGAATAAAAGATGATCACAAAGCAAGTTTACATGTTGGTGTAACTTAAACCAAGGCTCTCGTTGAAACGTCAACTCCACTTACACAACATAGCCTGCTGCTCGAAAGTACGAGTTCTGGAATTGAGTCAAGAAATTGTCACTACATCAACAAGAAGACAGAAACAAAAAAAGATGTTACAAGTGGGTTTTTAACTCCACAGTTATCAAGTATTCCAAACGTGTCCATTTATCACTGAATGACCTACAACTTGGCACTAGTGGGACAGCACTAAGGTAAAAGGATATGTTAAAAAAATAAAAGGTATCAGTCCCACTTTTATTCAATCTGAAGTGCAACAGCAATCATAGTTAAACAAAATTTTGCTCTCTCACCTTAAGACAAAAAGGGATTTCAATGAAGACAAGTAGGAAGGCCATGATCCTGGTTGCCAATAGTGATGTGAACAAGATGTGGTTTCAATCAGAGAAAAACAAACATTTAGGGACAAATTTGGCCACTCCCCACTCATTACATATGACTTACCATCCCAAGATGGACCATAGGATGTGGAAACTTAAAAAGCTGAAAAGAATGAGCGCTATTGGAGAGCAGATAGTTGTGATAGATTAGTTCTATTCTATTGAGATTAATGTAAAATATCCTTTTATCAATTGTGGTTAGCTATGCTTGTTCAGCTTACAAACGATTGAGAAGAGGCCAAACCTAGAGTATCAAATGAAGTGGCGTGCCAACGGTTAGTAAAGGTATTATAAAGAGACTCAGTGGTATTTACAAACCTAAATTTGCTAGCCCCCTTCCTCTCATCAGGAGATGCGACTATGTACATAAAGTTCACGCTGACAATGTCCTTGAGTTGAAACCGTTGTTAAAATGACCTTTTACACGACAGAATTCATTTAATACGATTCAGGGGTTTGTCAACTTGCCATTGCCCATAGAGAGAAAAGTTTCCTGAGCGGAATTCGTCAACAAGACCCATTTTTTAGTGTTCCGTTAATGAATAATGAGAGAAAACTTGTAATTAGAGAGCGAAAATGAGAAGAGAGCGGGTAGGAGAAAGAAAGAGAAACAAAAAAAAGTTTCCACGCTGCGGCGATGAGAGTGGGCGTGGTTGCTGGTTTTTTAGCGTATTGTGAGCAAGTGCAGCACAATCTTGACCCTATTACGTCACCGAGGGGGTAATTAGGCAACCGCGCTGCATCTAAATTAGTGTGCTTGCAAACACAAATGGCTATCTAACTATTTAACCAACTTCTTGCACCCCCCTCTTTGATCCGCCTTTTGCTATGATACAAAGATGCCACGGCCCGACGTTGTGCTCTGACCTAAACTCGACTCTGCGCCTGTGCTTGTGCTTGTCGCTGGTGGCGCCTTTCGTTACATCCAGAGATACTGTCCATTCTCATCCACAGGCTAAAGATAGAGTGGTCATTGTTGTCTCCCCAGTCTCCATCTTCCTACGCTTCCCTTTGTCCTCCTTAGCGGTGTTTTTGGTTCCGCTCTCCTTCATCCTCGCCTTTTCTTTGTCTTTCTTGGTGGCAGCCTTAGACTTGGTCTCGACTCCCCTACGCTTCCCTCCGCCCTTTTCAGCGTCGCTGTAAGAGTTTTGGGAGACTTCATTAAACTAGGTGAGTGGAAATTTTTTATTGACAAGAGTTGACTCTTCTTCCTATCTAGGGTTTCCTACATTTATACTGTAATGAAAGATAATCGTAGAAATATCTAGAAATGTATATGGAAGTTGTCTAGAAGGTATAGGCGAAGTATGGCCTTGTCAATGGACGTCATTCTTTCAAGATAGAACCCATGACAGTCGCTCTCGGTGGCCCTCTCTCTCTCTTCCTTCCTTTCCCTTTGTGCTTTTTACTCTTCTTGGGCCTCCTATTCTTCCTCTTCTTTTTTGCCCTGCCTTTTTTTTATGTTTCATCCTCTTGTTCATCTTCTTCTTCCTTCTCCTGTTCCTCTTTTTACTCTTTTGCTTCATCTTTTCCCTCTTATGTCGATTCTTCTCTCGCTTTACAAGGTCGTACTCTTCTGGCAACAACGCACATGCACCAACGACCAACGACGTATGCTTGGCCAAGGTCCAGGCCTAGGATCTTGATCCGGTTGGCATCGCATCCCCAAAGGTCGACCACGTCCTGTATAGTCTTGACGACGTTTCGGACCTCAGTGAGGTAATAGTCTGTACCGCCTACTGTGCTCGTGATGCCATTTGGTAGCCATTTACTAGCAAGCCTCCTGTACTTGACGCAGTTAAACTCCTTCATTTTGAACGCCAGCAACTGAAGTGTGTGACCGTCGATCCGAATACTGCCGCGTAGCACGTATCCACTTTCGTTGTAAACTTTTGGGTCGAAGTCCTCGCTTGAAAACTGATATCAGTGCGTTTTCATTTCTCCCATGTTCATCAACCACGCCTTGTGCCTGAACCCTCTGCGACCATGGTTTGGCCCATTCCTTCCAATATCTGATATCAGCACCGTGGCCAATGTCCCTGGTGCCTCATCCTCCGAACAAAGCGGCGATATCGGTTAGTGCGGATATCGCAGTTTCTTTACGATATACTCCATCAAACCCTGCTTGTGCCACAGGAGCTAAAAGGGCCTCCTCTGAGATAGTTATGAAGCCATCTCTAAGTCGACTAAGTGGCATTATGGTACGGCCACTTCTCGTGATACTGTTCAATCGTATAAAGTTTTCAATAGCACTTCTGCCCTCATCGATGTCAACCAATGACAAAAGGGGAAGGATACCCTTGTTTCTAAGGACCTTGGTCTATATAAATATTGTATACAGACTAGCTTAGTAGGGTGTAGGAAGTTGGCAATATGTGCAAGCCTTTAACGTTTGAAGCATCTTTACTTTCTTTGAAGCTCAACGCAACCATGCCGAAAAGGCCTTTTGATTTCGGAGCAAAGTTGACTGGGTGCTGACCAAACTAAAGGCATGCTCGAGAGCGGCCTCTAATCGACTGTGCTGGTATAGATTGGGCTGTCAGGGGTCAAATTAAGGGCATTCAACTTCTGGGTAAACTTGCTCAGCAATCGACCATTTGCGGTCTTTTGGCTGAACGTTCTGCTGTACAAGTAGCGCAGGAACATTGCTATAAATCCGACCTGGCCGAGCCGTGGTGTTTCGCCACCATCCTCGCCAACGTCTTGAAATTCTTCTGAAGCGTCCTCCTCTTGAGCTTCTTCGCCGGCAAACGTCGTAGCTTCTTATACCGAAATGCGAGGGCAGATACAGTCCAAGATTTCTCGATCCGCATCGGCCACAGGACCCGAGGTAACTGCTTCTACAGTCCTCCAAAAAACTGTTAGCATGTTTCAGTAATTTTTGGTTTCCCCTCAATATCTTCATACCTTGCCATTTTACTGAGGCTATGTTACTACCGTATATTCTCGGGTATTATATGTAGTCTTCCAGAAAATTCTAGGTCTCGCTGATTTATTGTTATGGCTGGAAGGCTCTAGAAAGTTGACAAGTCCATTATAGCACTTTTTCGAAAAAATATAAATGCTATCCTCATCCGCTCTATAAGAGCTATTCCAAAGCTATATTCATCATCAAACATACCACACAACTGTTAAGGCTCCTACCTCTCACCATATAGCCTTTAACTGAGCATGAAGACATTATCATCTCAGACAGTCAAGGATGCGATGACCATGCTGAGACAAGGGAAATCCGTCCGCGAAGTGTCCCGTGCTCTCCATATCTCTACTTTTTCCGCATCCAAAATCGCTCAAAGGGACAAAGCAAGTATTTCACGCTCCAAAAGAGGTCGTCCTTCGAATGTTACCAAGAGAACAAAGACCTTACTAGCTCGTTATTTTGACATAGGAAAACATTTAACCTTAAGGAACGGACAGCACTCCCTCAAATCGACACAGGGGGTATAGGTTCATACAGAGAGCGGCTGAGATTACCTTGCACAGGGGAGCTTGAAAGAATATGTGAAGCGAAAGAAGCATGATCTCACTGCGGATCAAATTGCCGCGCGGTACCAGTTCGCAAAAGAGCACTTGAACTGGTCCGTCGAAGACTGGATAACGTGATGTTCTCTGATGAGGTCATTATCAGCAGGATAGGGCCCCTTGGAAGGCAATATTGCTTCAAGAGACCCAGAAGCAAGCGAATATTGGCACACCAGGTCCAAAAGAAAAAGCAAGGTGGCGGCGGCAAGATTATGATCTGGGGTTGTGTGACCTTTTATGGCCTAGGCGATGCAAGCTGGCTCCAAGGAGGGCTAGACTCAGTAGCATACCTCGTTGTCCTAAAAGACTATGTATTCCGATCATGGGACTGGTATAACATAGATCCAGCTAAGTATATTTCAACAAGACAACGCTAGGGTCCACACGGCCCACACCGCGATGAGATATATGAAGAAGCCAAGATGAAAGTGCTGAAATGGCCTGCAAATTCTTCTGATTTCAACGTAATAGAAAACATCTGGGCGCATGTCAAGAGAGAACTAGAAGGCTATCCAACAGCGCCGAAATCACTCGAAGAACTATGGGACCGCTTCTAAGACATATAGTCCAATATTGATGTAGAAGAGGTCCAAGGGCTGTATGAAAGCATGACCAGGAGGATAAGGAACCTCTACGGCAACAAGGGAGGTTACATAGACTATTGAGGAGGAAATATAGTTTTATGGGGGTGCTTTCAAAAAAGTGTTAGGAGCAACGCTTAGTTGCGGCTTAGATTAGTCACGGGCCCGGGTGATATATCAGATTATATTCAGGCGAAATGGAAGAGATAACAGAGAAAAACTTAAAAACTGACAAACATGCTAACACTTTTTTGGAGAACTGTATATACTGCCCAAGCAGTTGCTGGCCCGTCCTTTTTATTATTGCAGCGAGGCCCACAACGTGACGAACTTGCTCTAGTACGCTAGCTTCACTCCAACGCTTTGCCCTTCAAGTGTACGACTGACGTTGGCGTTTAGAGAACCGGCTGTCAGTGCCACCTAAGGGTGTTCGAACTGCATCTTCCTAACAAGGTCTTTCTTTTTCATGCTATCGATCCTCTCGACAGAAGTCAATTTTGCGATTTTCTTTTTTTTTTTTTTTTGGGCTTAGGGGCAGAGGGCAAAGGAGGAGGTTCCACTTTCCACTTTTTCCATGTATACTTCTTCATCTATTCTGGCGACGCGTGCTTGATAATACGCTCGCGCGTCTTGAACGAATACCGTGGTCGCTGTGTTCGGGGCTCCGTAGCCTGGAAACGGTTGTAAGCTTGCTTGGGATGGCCCCGGAACCTGGATTGATGGTCCCCAGAGCCAGCTGAGCCCGCTCCAGCACTGGCCTTAACCCTTTGCTGACGAAGCTCCTTGTTCTTTTCGAACATGGCACGAAGTTTCTGGAATCGATCAAGCAGACTAACCAGTTCTTGGTCATATCATTGAGACTCTTGGAACGGGACTGTTGATGGAGTTGCGACCTGCCCGCGAACACCTTCAGTGGGACTGCATAGGTGCGCACACCCTTATTTCGACGCATGATACTGCTATCCTGTTTATACAGATTGACAAGATGACGTACAGATCCTTTTTTTTTTAAAAAAAAAAAAAAAAAAAAAAAATTAGTATATCACACTATCATAAATGTAGATAAAGAAAAGAGACTATACAGATTAATAATTACCAAGTGTGCCATCGAGCCCTTTCAGGGTGCTCAGATTAGCCTTGCATGTCAACGATGGGTTGTCATGCTATTCGTTTCGCGTGACAACCCCCAAGGCCGTGAGCTGTGCTCTGGAGGGCTCGAGATGCTTGAGTATATCATCCAAATCATATTCAAGGATGTTATAGCTCGAAATTGTCCTCCAAATGGTCTTAACACTCTTGTATGCAAGCAGATCACTGTCTGTCGTGACGACGATGTCACCTTCTTGGCATTTTCTTGCGATCTGCAATTCCGGCTCAGTTAGGGAACGAACGACGGTCCAACCATTCGAATCCACGTAAGTGGCAAACGCAGCCTTGTCTTCTTCCCTCCAATGAAAGGCCCCCAAGAGATTCTTGTCTATGCTCTTGAAGAGGGCTTTTCGGGTAGCTTGCTTCCTTTTGACCCTCACTTCGAACTGCCCGATGAACTTGGTCGCTTGAGCCAAAGCTTTCGCGCACAACTCTTGTCTTTTGTCATTAGTTGCCTGCTTTCTAGGCAGGATTCCCCATCGAGATAAAGGACGAAGCTTGCTTTACAAGCAATCCCGAGATCCTCCGTTCTAGGATGGTATGGGCCGTGTCGCGCAAGTGTGAGGTCTAGGCAGAGCAAATGGTGATGAAGAAAACTGCCTGGACGTCAACTCTTTGCTTATTCAGATCAAGTGCAAGCAAACGAGAAGCAATATTCGAGCGGCTGATGAAAATTGGATCGTATCCTTTCTCCTCTAAAAGCGGCCATAGTCCTACGATTCCCATGTTGAAGATTTTGATAGTTGGATAATAATATGGAAAGTGTGGAAATGTCAGAAAAAAAAACAGTGGATAAAGTTGAAGGTTTGAATGAAAAAAAAGATAAAAATATCGAAATCACAAAGGCCTTTTTATACAGTGAATGACAAGCAAGAAAGATGGTAACAGGCGCGAAGCAGTTGAGCCGATCTGATGACTGTTCTCATCTGCTGTTTGTAGAACAAATATTGTGCTTTGTTCTTTTTAATCAATTATGTGGATCTGCTTAATCCAACTCCCCCTACGATGTATATTCACAATATTATAAGGTGCGAGTCCTCCCTCTGCACTATCTTCCTCAAATCTTCCTCAACTCTTCTCTCCATGTTGTAGATCAACCACGAGATGGTGATTGGTTATTTGGTGAAACTCCTAACCACCTAATATTTTAAGCTTCTGTCTTAGCGTAGACGCGTCACTTCCTTTACACATTCCTGTAGTTAATTTTAATTTTTTCAACATCTCATACATACCCATTTACCCTTCTCTCCTACTTGATTCAAAGAATCCAAATGGTTGACTCTGTCAGTATATTGATTGTGGGTAGATAAATGTGCACTCATACATATAGAGTCAAGTTATCACTTTTTATGACTCTGAAGTTGGTAATCGAAGCTATGTAACATTAGGCGAACCCATGTAAAAAAGAAGGGCACAGCTGCAACCGTCTTGAACAGATGAGAAGATCTTCATCCTCCAATAAGGATGCTGGTGGGGCGGCCTTTTTGGTCTACTCGGCTGTTACTTCTGCACTTTGTGGATCTTTTCTCTATTTTGTACCACACCACGTTAAGTACTAATGGCACTTGTGATTCTTCTATTCGCTTTGAACGAAATTCTATGGATGTTTCTCTTTGTTGTAGAATTTGCACATGAGCACTCTTTGTTGATACCTCCACCTCCACATAAAAAGCACCACTATTTTATATATTATACTTCTGTGCGGGACGGAGGGAAGTTTTGTGTGCTGAAAAAACACCCGAATTTTTTGACCTTTGGTTTCCTCTCGTTACACACAGATATTTTCGTATACTGGCGTGTCTTTTGTTTCGACCGGTTTTTCCAGATGTGGTGATACAAGCTAAATTTACAGAACGGTGCAAAATAACCACCAAGGACAGCAAGTATTAGTTTCTTCTATGGGAATACACCTCCGTCTCATCCCTTCATTCCTTTGTATCGACTCGTTCGGAAGGGGCTGAGAAGGTATCATATGCTATTTCATCTTCGCTATATCCTCAGATGAAAATATATATAAAACCGTTCGTGGTAGCGCTGAGGATATGACCACAAGCTGAGATATTTTCTGAAGCCTGGTAAGTTAAGGAGATCAAGAGTTGTTTATTATGGTTACTAGGCGAGAGCCTTTTATTAGATCCCGCCATGGCCGTCATTAATTAATCTGGTATTAGCCTTTTGGGTGCACCTCCAAGCCCCAGGACGTAACAAAAGAATATAGCCTGGAGGGAATATGAATATCAGCTAGAAGCACTTCTTAAAGCCATCCCTCTATGTGCGCGTGGAATTACCAACACATGGAAACCGATAAATTCTTGGAGTTGTGGGGCCAGAACTTTAAAGAAGCTTGTTCGGGATAACAAAAAAGCCACGCCAGTCGATTGTGTCTTTAAAACGTGCCTTTGAGCGTGCAACTCTTTCATGTCAAGGAAGGTGCACGGCTTACTCTCTGACAATACGAAAAGGATAGAAAAGCGGAGACTTTGGCACTCAATTTAAATGCCGCAAAAGCATGTAGTTTACCAACTAAGGTTTATGAGCGATGCTCTAACGATTGCTAACCCTTCAGTTTATAGTCAAATCGTTTTCTACACTAAGATAAGAGTACTCTGTTGATGTGGACAAAGGTGGCAATGTCCTTCTTTCTTGTTTACGCCCTAACTATGACAGGAATAAAATGCCTTGCAAGCGCATATACATATGTGGTGTCAAGGATCTATGACGACTTTGATGTTCAACACGGCATTAGTCTCCCCGCGCGTTGAATCCGACTCGGGGAACCCTCTCGAAAGGATTATCTCGCCAGCTATACTGCATCAACTGAACCAAAGAGGGAAAGGAAAGAAGAGAGAGAGAAGAGGTCACCGCTTGAGCGTTGTGTTCGAAGAGCATGAAGAAGGATTTAAGACCTGTGGAAGGGGTTGGGCGATATAGCATATAATAGGCAAAAAAGAAGGTGCACATCGAAGGATATGCAAGACTCAGTAGCAGATCTGAGTAATGTAATCAATACACTGATAGCAGGAGGCGTTCAAGAGTGAATAAACTGTGCGAAAAGACAGAAAGAGCAATAAATCAGTTGACCTCTTTGTTTTTGGGCCTAGATTGTGCGACCCCGTTTTTAGCTTATTACGCGTTGCCAAAAGAGTGGGAATTAACGTCATTGTCCTCAGCAGTCACGATAAACATTTTATTTTATTTTTCGATTGACAAGTGTTTGTTGAATGGACTTCCTCTCATCTTTGCCACTTCTGTGCCAACATTTCATCCATAGCTTCCATTCAAACGGTCAACCCTTCTTTGCTTACATCTTCTGAATACCTGCTTTATAAATCTGACGCTCGATGGACAAGCGACGACAAGGTAACATGGAATGGCCCGAGGAGTCTACGGCAACAGTGAACACACACCACAACAGAGGAAAAGGCTTTCCTGAGATGGGACACAGTGCTCTTTGTGGACCTACATAAAAGCTCGGGCACTGATGTGCTCGCCATTCTCATATATAATCATAGCCGTGCTCAACGCCAAAAAGACAACGGCACAAAAGAAGAAGAATGCCCCGCGAAAGACCCTGAATACAAATAATCACATGTCGACGAATACAACAGGGCCACAGACTACGATAAAGATGTCGCCAACTCAAAACATCCCCGCTGCTTTTGATGACGAAGCCATGCCTATATCGAATGGGAATGCGGCTCTTCTCGATACTTCTGCGCTGTAAGTTATTCGATTGTGGTCAGGAAGCTCCAAGATCCGTGCTTAACTGACTGATCTAGTCGCTAGAATTCTCATCTTGTCATTTCATATCTTATCTCCTGTTTTGTTAATCATAGGCCTCAGCAATCCAAGCAGCCATCAGCCCAGGAGCATGAGCAAGACGACAAATTTTCACTTTATTCTGACGAGGAAGAAGACATGGAAGACTATAAAAGAGGAGGTTACCATTACATCTCAGTTGGAGATGTGTTTCATGAAGGGCGTTATGTGACTCTCCGTAAGCTCGGATGGGGCCATTTTTCCACTGTCTGGCTAGCAAGGGACACAGTGTAGGTTATGGAGCTCCTCGAAGTGGTTCCTAGACACGGTGTCCATATTTGTACTAGTCATTAATCTATTATGATGAGTACTGTTCATAAACGCTTAGTGAAAACCGCCATGTTGCACTTAAGGTTGTCAAGTCAGCATCTCACTACACAGAGACGGCAATTGATGAGATCAAGCTTCTCGAGCGTGTCGTTCAGGCGAATCCTGACTCTCCAGGCAGAAAATATGTTGTGGAGTTATTGGATCATTTTATGCATCGTGGACCTAATGGTCTACATGTTTGCATGGTGTTTGAGGTATTGGGCGAAAATTTGTTGAGTGTGATTAAGCGCTATCGCCATCGAGGCATCCCAATCCATCTTGTCCGACAAATTATTCACCAGGTGCTGATGGGTCTCGATTATATGCACAGAGAATGTGGCATTATTCACACTGATTTGAAGCCAGAGAATGTCCTTGTTTGCGTCGAAGATGTGGAGCAAGTAGTTAAAGGGCTCATTGGAGATATGGACTATTCGGATCCTACAGCAATTGGCAAGGCAAGCCGCTCGGGCAAAGCTAAGATAGTGGAAAGCAAACCATTGATGCATAGCGTTCGAAGTCCTCAAGGAAACAGTACTGGCTCCCGTACGACTGCTCCAGGAACAGCCCTGTCCACACCTTACAACACTTTGACAAAAAACCAAAAAAAGAAATTACGTCAAAAGCTGAACAAACAAGGTGGTCAACTAACGAGTGCTGAAGAGACTGAGGAGACTGAGGAGACTGAGGAAAACGGCACAGACAAGCCTATGGCAACGTGAGTAATCTTAGCGGATAAAGTTTTTTCTGAGTACTTACTGTCACTTCTAATTTACATAAGCGCCGTATTGACGACTATCAGCTAACATTTGGTCCTCGCGCCTCTTTATCTTAGAACGAATCTAGAAAGAACCATGAGTGATATCAAGTTGGACACAAAAGCGGATATAGATAGCTATTCAAAAGATTGTAGTTCCACGGAGGTAGTGACACCTAGGACTATCAATGTCAAGATTGCGGATTTGGGTAACGCATGCTGGGAAGATCATCATTTTACAAATGACATTCAGACACGGCAATATCGGTCACCAGAGGTCATTCTTGGCGCCAAATGGGGCCCAAGTACGGATGTTTGGAGCGTGGCATGCATGGCATTTGAGCTAATCACGAGCGATTATCTTTTTGATCCTCAAAGTGGTAGCTCATATAATAAGGATGATGGTAAGGTTACATCCCCCCTTTTTTTCCCTTCATTTTTGCGTGATATTTTATAATCTAATATCTGTACTTGCTTTACTCATGAACAGATCATATGGCTCAAATTATCGAGCTAATGGGTAACTTTCCCAAGAAACTGGCTTTAAGCGGAAAATATTCGCAAGAACTCTTCAATCGTAAGGGAGAGCTTCGTCACATTCATAAGCTGCGCATGTGGCCGTTACAGGATGTACTGCATGAAAAGTACCTTATGCCCAGACCCGAGGCCGATTTTTTGGCAGATTTCCTTTGCAAGATGCTGTCCTTGGATCCTATGCAGCGTGCATCAGCTCAGGAGATGACACAGCATCCATGGCTGTTTGTGAAGGACGATATCATGGGCGACGAAGTCGCAAATGATACCACCAACTCGACGGAGGACCAGGGTAAGCAATATCTTGAACGGTCGGCTAAACTGGAGGCAGCGATGGACGCAGACGAGGCGATTGAGCAGAGTGTATTTGGTGATGGCGATGGCATGGATGAGGCTGAGAATTGAAAGCATGGAGGATATTGAATAATAAAAAGTGATCAAGAAGATAGAGAATGGGATAACTATTCATGGGTATCCTCTTATGTCATGCACAGCAGCCAACGAATGCATCTATCATATACACAGCATATTCACGCGCAGATCGATTATACAGATATATATTTTACGTATTGGCCTTGAATTACTAAAAGTAGGAAAATTTAGTGGGTGACTAAACGTCCCAAAAATAATTATTCATCATAAATTCTCCAAACCCCAAAAATTTTGTGGTTGCACAATAACCTTGACAAAGCATAAATGGAATCCCCAGGTCCTGTGAATTGTGCGGAGATAATTGTTGTCAAACAAGACAAATTAGGGCACCTGTAATATTTATAATATCTATACTGAGGGTGGGGTGTCCAGATGTCCTTAACAGCCTCAAGATGCATCCATCGCCGAAGATCAACCCAGCACTATGCATGGAACTATATTTAATTGATTTATTATTCTTTTATTATTATATTCATTTATAACATTTTATTGGTCCTATGCACTGTATGAGAGGTTTATTGAATATTGTCAGCGATATAACGTAGGAAGATGATGCTTCGTAAAGATGTCTTCTGTTTTACACAGGTATGCAAATAAAAATGAATAAGACTCCGCGATCCATTAAAGAAAAGGGTGACAGGATATTAGAATATAGTGCTTATTATCTGTTCTAGAGAGGGATAAGGTGGGCGATTCAGCGATTGAGGAGTTGATCACTGACAAAATGTTCTCAAGAACTCAGGATAAGACAGCGGATAGCAATATATGATATATTTATTCATAGCGTAAAGTGGAAGCTTTGTGTGTAAGAAGAAACACGAGTCAGTTTAATTGTGCTGAACAAGCACGAAACAATCCCCACGCTCACACATCGGAACCACATCATAGTTCGCTTTCCTGTCAAAAGGCCAAGACAAATGGTTAGATTAAAGAACTGTAGTGACTATTGACATTATATACCGTCCTAAAGTTGCGCAACTATTTCACTGCAACAAATGGATCATCGATCCAACAGTTTTTTTTATGGGGCGCAATCACCACAAAGATAAAAAAAAAAAAGCGTATATAAGCCAAAGTGAACATCCCTCGTCTCTTCCTATCTTTATTCACTTCTTTCATCTTCTCATCCTTCTCTGTTGGAAACACCCTGTCTCGGTTTCAAGCTCTCTGCTTATTTGTCAACTCTACTACTAAGAATACGCCAAAAACCCTCAGAGTCTTACTGCTATCCCATCCCCGCCTACTTATCTACACAAATACACATTACGTACAGTTAGCCAAATCTGCTATTAATAATATCTAGCCATGGCGACTCCCCTTCCACCCGCCTTTTTTATTCCAGCAACACAGACTGAAAGCCGCAGAGATCCATTGAAGCATGAGGAGCTTCCTCCCCTGTTCCCTGAGAAAATCACCATCTTCAACGTCTGGAAGTATCTCGATTACAAGCACGTCATCGGTCTAGGTTTGACGCCCTTGATTGCCCTATATGGTCTCTTGACCACTGAGATCCAGCGAAAGACATTGGTTTGGTCCATCATCTACTATTATGCCACAGGCCTTGGTATCACAGCAGGCAAGTTCATGTATACATCTTTCATTTAAAGGCTTTCGAAATGTTGAAATTGAGTTCAAATCTGTTGGGGGTCTGAGCACATCTTCGCTTAGATAATTTTTTTTGCCTCTATTAATCAACTTTTTTTTTTTTTTTTTTTTTTTTCTTCTGATCCCTTGCATAAAACTAATAAACAATCACTGGACATTCAAACACCAACAGGATACCATCGATTATGGGCGCACCGTGCATACAACGCAGGACCGGCTATGAGCTTTGTGCTCGCTTTACTTGGCGCTGGCGCGGTCGAGGGATCCATTCAGTGGTGGTCGCGTGGACATCGTGCTCACCATAGATGGACTGACACCGAGAAGGATCCGTACAGTGCTCACCGTGGTCTCTTCTTCTCACATATTGGCTGGATGTTGATCAAGCGTCCAGGATGGAAGATCGGCCACGCTGATGTCGATGATCTTAAGAAAAACAAATTGGTTCAATGGCAGCATAAAAACTATATTCCTCTTGTCTTGTTTATGGGTATCATTTTCCCCACTGCCGTTGCAGGACTCGGTTGGGGTGACTGGCGTGGAGGCTACTTCTTTGCTGCTATCTTACGTCTTGTCTTTGTCCACCATGCTACCTTCTGTGTTAACTCACTCGCCCACTGGCTTGGTGAAGGACCCTTTGATGATCGTCACTCACCTCGCGATCACTTCATCACAGCCTTTGTCACACTCGGTGAAGGGTATCACAATTTCCATCACCAGTTCCCTCAGGATTACCGCAATGCCATCCGCTTTTACCAGTACGACCCTACCAAATGGGTTATTGCTATCTGCGCCTTTCTAGGTCTTGCTTCACACCTCAAGACATTCCCTGAGAATGAGGTTCAGAAGGGCAAGCTTCATATGATTGAGAAGAAGGTCCAGGAAAAGAAGAGCAAGCTGCAGTGGGGCACTCCTATTTCTGAGCTTCCTGTTATGAGCTTTGAGGACTTCCAGGATGTCTGCAAGAATGGAGGCAAGAAATGGATCTTGCTCGAGGGCGTTGTCTACGATGTCGCCGACTTTATTTCTGAACACCCTGGCGGCCCTAAGTACTTGAATATGGCAATCGGCAAGGACATGACGGCTGCATTCAATGGCGGCATGTATGATCATAGCAATGCTGCTCGTAACCTGCTTAGTTTGATGCGAGTTGCTGTTGTCGAATATGGCGGCGAGGTTGAAGCCCAGAAGAAGAACCCATCAATGCCTATCTATGGTAGTGACCATATCAAGGCAGAGTAAATTGTCTCCAATATTGATTTTTCTCCTTTTTTCTTAACACTATACCTTACTTTTCTCTCTTTTTTTTTCTTTTAAGAAAAGAGCTCCTTGACGCTATCCATAAGTGCGTTATGCAATTTTGTACATCATAACTATTCCTATATACACACGCATCTGTTTAATAAAAAACATTGCTACGTTGAAGCAACTCAAACCTACTTTTGTTTACGACACTGATAATATGAAAAATTATAAATGGACGTGGCAGGCAGCAGCCCTCCTGGAGGCGCAGAGCCATTAAAGGATGGGTGAGGCTTAACTTTTTCGAAAGTAAGATAGCAGATCGGCAATCATTATTGTCGTAGTAACAAGAAGAGATCGTCGTGTTGTGACTCGATGCTGATGTGAGCGATGCCTTGCAATGTAGATGCTATTGCTTCCTGCAAGATCCTATCATAAGATGAGCGTGTGTCCACCTAACGCTGGCGATAGTGACCCATTCGTGAAGACATACAAAACAAAAGATACAGATAGTCAAGATGGCCTAAATACAAGGGAGTAAAGGGTGTTTGGGAATGGAATAAGGAACTTTCAGTTAGGTACAAATAGGATGATAGTGGTTTTATATGAGTAGATGCGTTGTCGTGCCTCGTTTGTACTGCTGTCACGGCTTATTCTGGCTTCCTGTCGACATCATGTAACGTTTTGACTTTGACGACAGGTTATTCTTCTATAGAAACAAGACCACGTCAGTTCTACTATGCTCGGCTTCTCTAGACGAATGTGGATTATGTTTGTCTCTGAATCCAACAATGACTACACGGGCAACACCAGGGGGCCGTGGGTTTGCAACGAATATAATCTAGGTCTCGCTCTCTTTGTCAGACAGCAATGCTTCCTTATAAAGTACTGCAACCAGCTCTGGAGCGATGGGCATCTTCCTCTGGACAAGATAATGCTGCATCCAAATCGTTCTAAGCAGGCCACGGATATATGAAGAAACTACAACCGCAATTATGAAAATGACATTCTTTTTAAAACAGAAATACCAGATGCCATACTGCAGCTTCTACAAGTGGCTCTGTTTTGATATCCATGCTGTTCTCGTCCGCTTCTGTCATCTCTTCTGACTCTGCGAGCATGATATATTAACTCAAGGAAATGATGTCAAGACTTGAGTACAATCACCATGAATGACAACTTTTCTAGCCCACACATGATCTATAGCCCCGCACAACCCGGATTGTGAGTACTCTGCGTGGCTGTAAAGCCTGGAGTCTAATTTAAGTGCTATGACTCCAGAGGATTCTTAACTGGCCCTTAACGTTGTAGCTACACTTTTAACAGCGTTTATTTGTTTTGTCTTATTACATTGAATGAAAATGAGGAGTATAATCTCGGATCTATCATTACAAATCACGTAAATTTTTATTACTCAGTAATGGTCAGGAAGAAGGAGCATTTGTTTGTTCACTATTTTCTCATTCCATCTTATTCATTAAGTATTCAATCAGTCTTATTGCTCGACATTCCAGTCTTTATAAGCTCTCAGGATGGTCCCACAAAGCAGGTCAGTCATTCGGGTCGCACTTCTTGTCTGTGGTACGCCTATCCCTCCAGTAGCGGAGGCTTTTGGAGGGTATCCTGTCATTTTCAGACAGCTACTGCAACAGGGATTGGACGAACTCAAGAGTCAGGATAGGATTAACCAGGATGTAGAGCTTATTCTCGAGGGATTCGACGTCCGTGAAGATAGCTATCCTGAGGATCTTCATGATTGGGATGCGATCATGATATCTGGGAGTGGTAGGCTACTAATTTGTGAAGCATTCTTTTATCTTTATTATAACTCCAGGATATCGTTCCATTAATCATTGTTAGCCACACTAAAAAAAAAATACTGTTCGAGAACGTTTTTTATGTAGCCTCAAATGCCTATGATGATATTTCATGGATCAACAAATTGGTAGAGTATGTACAAAAACTCCATAAAGAAGGCGAAGGGCTGAAGATGGTCGGTATCTGTTTTGGCCACCAGATTATTGGACGAGCGTTTGGCGCTAAAGTCAGCAAAAGTCCTGACGGCTGGGAGGTATATACTTTGATCAAGTAACCGTTAACAAAGGCGTGGCTGAAAAATACTATTCCTATTAGGCCATTAGGATTGATAGAATTCTATATTTGCTAATGTTCCCTTGTAGCTTGGGTGGACATCGACAGATCTTACCAAGGAAGGACAGGCATTTTGGAAGGGTACAGTCATGGTACGAGAAGTCTCATATTGCTCATTTTTAAAATATGTTCGGATAAATACAGGCTTATCAACTTCTTTCTTCCATTCCGGCTCGTAATATCGTCTGTTTGGTATTGTAGAGGATCCAGGAGCTTCACCAAGATTTTGTACATAGTATTCCAGATGGATTTACACTTTTGGCTACTTCTCCGCACACTACAAACCAGTCCATGGTTTCGAACGACCATAGAATTGTTTCTATTCAAGGTCACCCAGAGTTCACTGGCCCTATTATGAAAGAATTTATTAAGTTCCGCACTGCAAACGGTACTTTTAGCAAAGAGCTTTCGGAGGCTTCGATGAAAGTGATAGACAATCCCTTGGATAGTGTCAAGGTTGCTGCGCAGATCCTTCAATTCATTTTCGCATAATTCGTACGTGATACGTATTGTGGCTTGTTCACGTGATATTATACAAGTTAGATCCATGACAGTAAACAGTAAAATCATTGGCCACTTGGGGAATCCATTTTTTTCTTCCTCTTTTTTGCCGCATATTTTTCTAACATGAGCTCGTTCGAGAAAGTAATGACAAAAAAAAAATACGCTGCTACAAAAACAATAACATAGGGGGGGAGAAAGTAGACAAGTCAGTGCAGGATGAAGAATCAGGACTGACAGACTAGAATCGTGGAGCAAATGTCTATGACGAGCATCATGACATCAGATTCTGTACTTATTATTAAATGGATTCGCACCTTTTCGCTGGATCTGAATCCAAAAGTGACATTCGTGATCATAATAGTGCCTGCACAGGGCAAGAAAGTTTTTGAGCGATGAGTTTTCCACATTTACTTCAAGGAACATACATCACATAATCTTAGATCATTCGTAATTGGTTAATTGGTCAATCGTATTTGATGATGCCCAGTGACTGATTTTTTACTCACCAAAGATCATTTCAGGATTAGAAGAATTTTCAATTTCGCCATTGTGTATGAAGCAAATATTAAGGACTAAGCATCGGATAATCAGGATCTATCCTAGATTTAGATGATTGAGGATTCGACCTAATTCCTGATTAGAATCTTGCGTATGACCAGGATATTAAATACGCTATTTTTCATTCCTTTTTGTGCTGTGCTATATTAGGTGGTTGTCATCGACGGTAAGGGCCATCTTTTAGGTCGCCTTGCCTCCATTGTTGCTAAGCAGGCTCTCAGCGGTCAGCGCGTTGTTGTCGTTCGCTGCGAGGAGTTGAACGTTTCTGGTTCTTTCTTCCGAAATAAGTGTAAGTTATTCATAATCAGCTTTATTCAATCATCTGATAGGATTATTGGCTTTTCTGGAATTACGGATATGGTCCTTGATGCTGCAGGATACATGGGCCAATGCTAAATACTGATTGCAACCAATATATGAAGCAGCCATTATGGAGCATGGATAGTACATCATTAACCGGTGGAGAAAGCACTCAATAATATGTGCTTGAAGCGGCGGGATTTTAAAGTGTTCATTTATTTCTATCATCATCAAGCTCAACAATTCAAACAAGCTTTTCACTTCCATGGATTTCCAGTCGTATATGCATTTTCTAAAGATCGTCTTTTTTATCTCTTCGCTGATGATACTATAGTGAAATACCACGCTTTCCTCCGCAAACGTTGCGTTGTCAACCCCGCCCGTGGTGCTTTCCACTTCCGCGCCCCCTCCCGCATCTTTTACCGTGCCATCCGTGGCATGATCCCCCACAAGACTGCCCGTGGTGCTGCTGCTCTTGACCGCATCAAGCTCTTTGAAGGTGTTCCCCCACCATATGACCGTATGAAGCGCATGGTCGTCCCCTCAGCCCTTCGCGTCCTCAAGCTTAAGCCTGGTCGTAAGTACTGCACTGTCAAGCGTGTCTCTCACGAGGTGGGCTGGAAGTACAACGATGTTGTTGCCAACCTCGAGGAGAAACGCAAGGTCAAGTCCAAGGCCTTCTACGAGCGCAAGAAGGCTATTGCCAACGTTCGCGCCAAGGCTGCTGCCTCCAAGTCTTCCGAGTTAACTGCTGTTCAGGAGAAGATCGCTGCTCTTGGTTACTAAATTTCTGTAGAAGGCTATTGCATCCAAACACCCTCCTCCAGCTGTACAGCTTTTTACTGAAATAAGAACCAGAACACAAGAAAAACAACTATCAAGAAGCTTAATTTGTTGCTTTATTTTGAAAACTTATTCAAGAACTTGTTCTTGAGATCAAAAAAATTGAAAATAACTTCGTTTATGTTTATGCTTATAACAAAATTAACAAAGGCAGAAGTTATTGCTTTCATTATCAAGGAGTGTGCCTCGTCGTCTGTAATCAAACTACCGTGCACAGCAACACTAGCTATTTCCCTCATTGATTGTGATTATACCAAATCGCCTGTGGCAGTTACTTTGAACTGGAATGTGAATATCCGTCAATGAAATTCTTCAATATTGCTATCCCTCACAGAGGCTGGAGAGTTCATAGGTCCATGAATGTTATTGAGCATTTATAAATCCAAAATATTATACGAGTTTGTCTTTTCTAGAGACCGGGGATATTATCTCTTGAATGCAGCCCAAAAGCTTATCAATCTTAGTGTCTAGGCACACGCATAGGTCAATCTCCTTGTGTAAGATTAAAGCTCGCACCCATGTAGGCACGTGTTTCATTAAATTTCCTTGTTAATGCTTCACATCATCACACTGTCCTTCTCATTATCGATTCTATTCTTGGGGTGCCACAGAACCCAGTAGTTATTATAAATACCGAGTACGCTTTTATGTGTCACGGGTCTATAGAAGTGACAACGTGAGGGAGGGTCCATTTTACATTTCTTTTTCATCTACCATTTCAGTCATTTCACCATTGTATTTACCAAGAAGCAGCACTCCGAACAAAAATAGAAAATTATCACCAAGACACGGAGGATTCTGAATACAGCAGCAATAGCATACCAAGCCAAGCAATGACTAACGAAGAAAGCCAGGCCATAACAAGACTATTGCTACGACCAACAGAGACATGTCAATTCATATCATTACTCGTGTCTTTTTCTACTCACTCGACGGTGCTTTTTGTACAATTGTCATTCGTTGACATGCATTTTATCTTGCTGCTACTATTGCTATTGTTTCTGTTGCTGTTGTTGTTACAATTGCTATTTGCCATTTTACATCCATTTATGTATTCAAGACAATACACTGTGATATCCTTAACTCTGCATATGCAAATACCTTATCTGTTCTATCGCCCGTCAATCTTTTATCTTTGAACCAAATACTCTGCTCAAGTGGCATGTTTAGGAGCTCAAGGAATACTCGAGGATAGAATCTTGGCGATAATTGTCAATACCCAAGCAGGCGTTGAGGAAGCATGGTATATTATGGAAGAAACATTTGTATATATAAAGCGGCATTTCTACTTCACATAACTATTGGAAGGCTATTTTTTTTACTCAACTATCACACTAAAAGAGTCTATTGCATTTTGGATCTTGCTTTTATTACCAGCGTCTTTATCGTGAAGAGGACGGGTCAGATGGCAGGCGCAATCAAGACAGTGTTGCCAGTATATTTTGATTTTCGGATCTCTGTTGGTAAATAGGAATAGCCCTCTGGAACATGATAAATTGGACTTGGCTTCCTGTGATCAGTATTAATATATATTTTTTTTGTTAATTAGCTCAAACGAAGGCCGTTGAAAAAGACGATAAGCAATCGATCCAAGAGTCGAAAAATGGTGAAAGAAACGTTCAGATAGCGACTAGTAATGCCTTTTCTCATTATAGAATGAGAATTTTATTTTATTCTTTTGTGACTCATCTTATTTTACTTCCTAAATTGTTGGGTGCCTACATAGATTTTACCCTCAAATTATACTGCGACCAGACAGAAATCAGTGTACAAACGGATGATCTAGAGACTCTTCAAGGATTGCTAAAGGAATTGAGGAGAAGCCATCTGATCGCTCGTAAGAAATGGAATATAATAGCTGCATCAAGGAAATTAATTTCTCATTTGTTAATAGTCTCAAGTGTCTATGCTGTAACATTGAATAGAGGACGACAACTTTTATGCAGGCGGCAGTAGTCATCGTTGGATCCAGTATTACACCATTGAAGAGCATGAAAAGGCTTCAGGTAAATGACACACGACGACACCAGAGAATACGCAACCATATCCAAGCCATCAAATGAAGTTTAAGTGACCTATGGCACAAATGCTAGAAATTATTGTGGCCTCTTCTTTTCCTTGAAACTTAGAATTGACTGAATCAGCTTCATCGATGGATGAATTTATTGCCTCGACCAAAAACCCACTATCGAAATATTTTCTTCAGCCAGAGGAAAGTCACCCGTACCTTTCTTCAGTAGCGCGATTGGATTTGGACTCCGTCAAAGGACAATGGATCGATAAAGAGATGCGAGCCAGAGAAAACTCTTTTACAGAATATAGCTTTATGCAGTTAGGTGACCTTTGCGGAAATGAATTATGCAGCAAAAAATACTACAAGGTTGTGGTGCTATATTACTTTCTGGAGTACTACAGGCTTGCTAAAATAAGCCTTCTATGAAATATATTTAGTGCGTTTGTAGGGACTTGGAACGTTAATGGTCGAAATGCCCCTGAAAATGTTGATGCGTGGCTAAAAGTAGAGGGTGAAATCCAACCTGACATTTATGTCTTATGGTAACTGAGTGTTTGAATCAGAAAAGAAATGATATTGCATCTGAATATAGGCTTATCGTTTCTGATGGGAAACAGAAAGAGGTATATATAATTGATGTACGTTTATTCTATCAAAATAGTTTTCAGGAGTTAGATTTGAGCGCGGAGGCGTATATTGTTCTGGATGGATCAAGAGAAGAAGAATGGATGCGCGCAATCGCCAATTCTCTTGGAAGTGGATATCAAAAGGTAGAATAAGTGTATTGTAATAAACAGGAAAAGCTAGACCTCACGAGGACGATTTTATGAAATTTATTTTCTATCTCATGGAATAGGTCGTGTCTAAGCAGCTCGTAGGGCTGTTGATTATCATGTATGCAGCAAAAGGACATGCCAAAGATATCAGCGAAGTCACTGCTCACTCAGCGGGAGTTGGGATCATGGGAATGCTTGTAAGTGATGATCAGCATTGTATAGAGGAGCAGCATGATAGATTGGGTAAAAACAAACATTAACAACTGACATCTTTTTTACTGGTGACTGTTATTAGGGTAACAAAGGAGGCGTGTCGATCCGCATCCGATACAAGGACTCTTACTTGTGCTTTATTGGATCGCATCTTGCGCATGACACCAGTCAAGTTGAACGGAGGAACCAGGACTATCAAGAAATCTGCCGTAGACTTGCATTTCCTTCCATTAGTCCCTATGATATTACCAAAAGCCCTGCTGCAAATGCTGCTATCGGAGCTGGAAACAAGATGGTATCCATTTTTGAATGCGAGTAAGTCTATGATTGTGCCTTGATCATGGAAAGACTTTTCTTGAAGGAATTGAAAATAATGTTGATGACACTCATTCAATGTGTTATATCGGCTTTAGCCATACAATTTGGGCAGGAGATCTAAATTATCGTATTGCGCTCCCTGAAGATCGAGTAAAACACCATCTAAAGACAAATGATTACGCTATTCTTCTCAAGCACGATCAGCTTCTCACGCAGCGGACGCTTCTGAAAGCATTTTCAGAATTTGAAGAGTATCCAATTAACTTTCAGCCCACGTACAAATACGATATCGGAACCAACGTATGGGACTCGAGGTATCGCTAGTACATAGACGTTATATTTACACATATGCAGATATACTGCAAAGAAGACAACAAGCATCTGCACCAAATGTACTTATTGATGTTCTGGCTTCATTGCATAAAATGAATAGCGAGAAGCGTCGGGTGCCGTCGTACACGGATCGCATCTTGTGGAGATGCAGAGATACTGCAAAGGACAATGTCGAGGTTTCTTTCTATAAGTCGCACATGGAGTTGACACTTAGCGATCACAAGCCTGTCAGTGCATTTTTTAAGCTCAAGGTTAGTGGCACTTTTATGGCATCCATGTCACAGACACTTGCTAATATGGATAACCGAGAACGAACCGCGTCTGATGGATACTTTGGGATATAGATCAAAACATTGCTGCATGATAAGCAAGCTGAGGTGCATCAGTCAATCGTCAGAGAGCTAGACAAGTATGAAAACGAGTGTATGCCTGATGCTACCATTTCATCGTCCAACGTGGTCTTCGAGGAGGTTAGATATCTCGAGCCTAAAAAATCTGTTATCACCATCAAGAACACTGGGCAGTTCCCAGCACAGTATCGGTTTAAACCTAAACTGCAAGATGAGCGCTTTTGTAAGCCATGGATCTGGCCTAACCCGCCTATTGCGATGATCATGCCTGGTAAGAATTTATACATACTATATAGTCCACCTTATATGATATAAATTCTTGCAACAGGCAAGAAGCTAAACGACTACTTCATATGATATCTTAGGTGAAAGTACCAAGATTCACATAACGGTGATGGTGGATAACGAGTCTGCTCCCATGCTCAATACAGGTAGAGAGAGGCTGGAGGATATTCTTATCTTGCATTTGGAGCATGGAAAGGATTGTTTCATCACAGTTTCTGGAACTTATGTGCGGACATGCTTCGGAAACTCATTGGAGTGGCTGTCACGATTGGACCGGCCTATCAGATTATGGAATCCAGAAGAAAATGAGGACAATGATGACGACGAAACCTCTATGCTCTCTGACCCATATAGCGTTATTGGGGCAAAGTCCTCGATAGGTAGTATAAAGGACACTGCTGTCAACTCTGGCCCGCGCGATCCTGCCAATAAGGATGCTATGAGACAAATCAAGAGTTCAAAGTCTTTGGATTCTCTCTCTGGGATTGATCCATTAGACCGCAAGAGTAATATCGCAGGTATATCTAGCGCACAGTTGGATGAGAAATTTACGCCTCCACTAGTGAAGAAGCAAAAGCCTGCTCGGCAACTGAGCCTGCCAAAGGACTTGTGGCGGATTGTAGACTTCATTTACAAGTATGGCTTCTCGGTGGTAAGTTTTTCTTTTTTTTTTTTCTTTTTTTTTTTTTTCCTTGGATTCAGTCGACATTAATCTGATTATGGAATGCTGGTGCTTATTTCTTTGTATATTCGTGTATATTAGGATAATTTGTTTTTGCTGTCTGGAGATCAATCCACCATGTCTTATATTCGTGAATGCCTCGATACTGGTGAAGAGTTCTGCTTAAGACGACTCTTAGATAAAACGACCCAGCTAGATGATTACAATATGACTTCGCAGAATTCTAGCTCAGCTAGCACATACAAGCAGCAAAGGAGACCAAACAAGAATGAAGAAACATTCAAAAATGAACAAGGAAGTGACGATAAATCAGAAAATAGGATTGATCAAACGCTAGCCTCCCAATCATCACCACCAACTTTATTAGCCCGCGGGGCAGGATCAACTCCTGATCTTAAGCCTCAGATCGCACGTCCGGTTTCGATTTTGAATGGTATCCCACCCAAAGCAGCGACGTTCGGCCTGGGTGAAAATCGTGGGATTCATTCGATGGCAGAGGTTTTGTTGCGATTCCTGGAATCACTGCGTGAGCCTGTGGTCCCAACGAGGATGTATTATCAGGCCCTCGAGGTTGCCGGCCATCAGCAGGCGGCTTACGGACTACTTGATCTGATGCCTCCAGTACATGTGAACGTGTTTGTATATATCACAAGCTTTCTACGTGAATTGATCCTTGTCGGTGGAAGTCATTCAACAGGATCAGGAGTCACGGGTCATGGTGGAAAGGATGGGCATGGCGCTACTGGCACTACTCCGACTGTCACGACTGGGAACAACCCGAGTAATACAAATAATCGTATACTGCAGAGTGGCTCTAGCGCATCTACCCATCACGGGGTTGATTCTACAAGTACTAGTGGTGGCAGTCGCATTAGACGGGAAGATGAGGACTATCGTGCTTCCAAGCTTGGTACTTTATTTTTATTTTTATTTTTATTTTTATTTTTATTTCTTTGCAAACTTTGTTTCCGTCACTTTCCTACGATAGCAGTATCTGGTTCTCATTGTTACTTTTTCTTGATTGTTTCTGTAGCTGGAGTATTCTCTTCTGTGATGCTTCGCCCTCCACCTGGAGCAGAACGCCTCTCCGAAGTGGAGGCCCTCAAGCGAAAATCGTTCCTAATGCAATTCTTGCAGGAACCAGCAGAAGAGGAAGGGTTTGGATTAGGAACATCGTTCGGAGGCCCTCTTCTAACAAGCTCCTCAGCGACAACAGGCGTCGTACCATCGTCAGCCTCCTCTATAGCTACCTTAACCAGGGGAACGACGACAGCATCCGTGAATGAAGGGAATACGATAGAAAAATCAAGTATTGAGCAATAGATAGAAAGACAGAAAGTTAAAAAGCCTTTAACATTGACATGACCTACATTATTTGTAAAGCATGTTAACTTGAGTTTACATATTTTAACTTTGTTTCGTATATCATGACATCGGCATTAGGATCATGAATCAACCATTAATTTTAGCGAGAATCCTATACGTTTCCCTTCAAAATATCTCTCTTCATTTTATTAAGTAACACTTGAAGTATTAGACCATAGACGGTTTTAGTCTAGGGAAGCGGTTATATTCACGTGCTTGCATAATATTGCTGGCCTGCTCGTCCTTAGTTTATTGCACCATGGGCTTTGTGCTGTGCTTCACTTATTTGTATTGATCCATGTATTATTCATATTTGATTCCTTGTGGTGTCATATTTCATTAAAAGAAAAAGAAAAAGAAAAAGAAAAAAAAAAAAGCATACAACTTACTAAAACTCCTATATCGTAAAGAATCGTTCCGATTAATTATCTTAGCGTTAGGTTTTCGAATTAGAGTTGTTATAGTGCCATCATCTATCGTTTCACTCACTTCCCTAGAGTCATTTTTTTCATTCTTATTTGAAGACAACGAACGGATACATGGAAAAGCTCATTTATTTTTACTTTTTCTTGGGAGGAGCAGTAACATTGAACTTGAAGTGAATGATATCGCCATCCTGAACAACATAGTCACGGCCCTTCTGCATATACTTTCCAGCAGCCTTGACAGCAGCTTCACTGCCGAGTTCCTTGAGATCATCGTAGCGCATGACCTCAGCCATGATGAAACCACGTTCAAAATCTGTGTGAATGACACCTGCTGCTTGTGGAGCCTTGGTTCCTTTACGGACAGTCCAGCACCTCGATTCCATGGGGCCGGCAGTAAAGTAGTAGATCAAGTTCAAAGCAGAATAGCCAGAGACAATGATCTTGGGCAATGCTGAAGTCGTACCTAGCTTCCTGAGTTCCTCCTCACGAGCAGCTTCATCCATCTCGGAGATCTGAAGTCATGACAAAATATAAGAAAGCCTTTGAGTTCTGATTGTTCCTAAAGACAATCCATACAAATAACAAAGCTACAAAACAACCTACCCTGCTCTCGAGAACACCAGAAAAAGGAATAAGGACATCGCCAGGATTATTTTCTTGAATCCATGCATGAATTTTAGCGAGCCATTTATTCTTCTTACGGATGTAATCAGCTTCACTCAAATTGACAAGGTAGATGACGGGTTTAGCAGTCAACAGCCTGAGGGGATTAATGATCTCCACCTCCTTATTGCTCCAATCACCACAGCGGACATCTTTCTTGTCTTCCGAGACGTACTTTAGCACCTTCTCAAGAATTGCCAGTTGTTCCTGACGAGCACGCTCTGGAGCCGTGTTGTTAGAGCCAAGGCGGCCCATAGTCTTTTTCAGATCAGCAATCGCACTATTGATGAATTCTTCATCTTTGACACGAAGCTCGTGATGAATGGTTTCGAGATCTTTGATAGGGTTGACCTCACCATCAACGTGAATAACATCTACCTCTTCGAAAGCACGGCAAACGTGAAAGATGGCATCCACAGCTTGGACGTGTGATAAGAATGCATTGCCGAGACCCTCTCCGGCTGAGGCGCCTTTGACCAATCCTGCGATATCGATAACAGTCAACCAGGCAGGAATCTTGTTTGTCGACTTGAATTTATCCATCAAAACATCCATACGAGCATCTGGAACAGCCACTCGAGATTCTTCAGGGTCAATTGTGCAGAAAGGAAAGTTCTCAGCAGGAACCGAACTGTTGGTGATGGCATTGAAGAAGGTGGACTTTCTATTAATGAGAAAGTATATCGCAGTAAGAAGAAATTATGTGAGGAATCATTAGTCAAGCCAGCTGTCTTTAAAGATGTTATTTTGTTATCCTGTTGATGCGTTTTTGCCAGAGCCCAATTGCTAAAAACAAGTAGAGGCATACCCAACGTTGGGGAGACCAACGACACCAATCTTCAAGTTGTTGGATGGACGACCCAAAAGGATCTTTTCTTCGGTAACGGCCTTCTTTGGTGGCATAATGGAAGGTTGATGGAGTAAGGGCGGAAGAATCGTTAATAGAGGAAAAAATTTTGATTCTTGTTACCTTGAAGTGGCTTATCCTAGATATGTAATCGAATTCATAGTGGAATTTGATCCCACCAAAAAGTGATGAACAAATATATATTTAAAATATTCACTTTGAATTAGAAAATTTACGTACAAAGGGAATACATTGAATGAACTGGAAGCAGTAGCCACCAAATCAGCTCAATCATTTTTGATTAGAAAATATAATCGAGCGAATCGGATAGGTCATTCAGATCATTCGAATCATTCTCAATCATCTATTCATCCCAACCTCGTTTCGCCCTCCAAGTATACAGTAAAATGTCCTCCGTCGACTCTGATATCAATAACCTACTCTCCTACAATGGCCTGAGTGGCTGGTATAGTGAAGGAATTATCAATCAACCGTGAAGGATAGCGGAGTGTCTTGTTGACAATTAAAATTTTGAGTTTGTACGTTGTTATGTTGTGTCTAGAAAAGGAAGTAATCTATCCATTTTAAAAACCTGATAAATATATTTGTTCATGACTTTATGGCGAGGACTCTATAAGTGAATGGACTTTGCAGTGAAGATAGAAATATAAGCTCAATCAGTCTATGGCCGATGGAAAAAAATGGTGCCCTAAACATTCAGTAAGCCATGAGATAATTGCCAAAGTAAACAAGCGAGTAAGGCAACTTCTTGGACTACAAACAGATTGAATGCTTGCTGTACATACCATGGGCGCCAATGGGAATACATCGCTGAGGGCATGTGGCTATCTAAGAACGGTGGAACGGTGGTGATCCATGCCTTCATAATACATGCAGCGATCACCGTGCTTTATTTGTTTTACTATAAGAGGAACATTGTAACATCTGGGAAAACTCTACAGATAAGCGCTCAAAGACGTGCTGCCAATGTTCAGAGCTGGGAATTGCTGATTCAGACTCTTGATGATGTCAATCATCTCCTGGCGTCTATGCGGTTTGAGTTCGTCCTCTTTAGACAATACTTCCGTGAAGATTTGGAGTAACCGGGGCAAGTTGTTTCCGACCCATGAATTCTGTGTACGGATTAAAGAGAACAACAGCTGGTACACAGGCTCATTCTCCTCAAAATCACGCTTCAGTGGCAGAGCTTGAACAAAAACAGGAAGCACTTGATCCAAAGGAACTGCTTCGGGATGCCTCATGATCATTCGAGCGACAGCTCCGCAAGCATTGTCTGTGACATTAGGAAGAGCTTGCCCTTGGAACAGCGGATACAGGGCAGTCAAAAGAGTAGGATATTGGCTAAAAAGAGAAATAAATGAGTGAACAATCTTGACATAGTTTCGGACAGTCAAGTATAGGGCTATAGTCACTTACGATGACAAGTCGATGGTGGTATTTTGACAGAGTGCACCAATCGCAAAAGCTCCGTTGCTACGAACTTCATCCTCCTCATCACTAAGGGCTTTGACAAATAGAGGGAAAAGCTGTTCGGTAAATTCGGTAATACCGCTGCCCATGCCATTGGCAATCTCTCCAAGCGAGCCAATCGCCATGGAACGCTCACTGCTAGGCTTTGATTTCTTGTAATATTTGGCAATATGAGGAATAAAGACTTGAGCATAGGGAACAAAGCTGGTTCCAAGCGCTGCAGACAGAACACCACTCAAATCTGAAGCAGCTGAAATTAAGAGGGCATCAAACTCTGCTTGCTCATCCTCGTCCAATAGTCCTTCATCATCAGCCAGCTCCTGTTGGCAATAGGCTTTCTTTTCGAAAATCAACTTCAATTGCTCAGCAATTTCACCAATATCTATTATAGAAACGTTAGATATCAGTACACATGAAATAAAGAAAAGGTTTCCAGTACCTTAATAATACATCGTCACCTACGGTCAGCAATAATCCCTGGGCCACAAAGTTTGATGGCTTCAGCCATCTCCTGACAGATCTGGACAACCACCATTCTAATGGGCAGCATATCTATGTTAGAATACGAGAGATATTTCAAAAATAATCAGAGCGCCCAAGATGTTAAATTGTACTACAACCCCTACTCACTTTTCATCTTCGTCTTGCCAAATGCCAAGAACCGCGGGCATTACCAACGAATTCAGCTGCACAACATTATCGTGGAGAGGAATAGGAGCAGGAAGACCGGCTTTCCATTCCTGGGCATTCGAAAGACTGTAGAAAGTGCGCAGGAAGGCAAAGAGGGCGGCACATGATGCTTTGCGGACACCATCTGCCATATGTGTGGTGAGTTCGGTCAACTCCTTCACAGTTGACTCAACATATGGTAAGAAAGCCGAACGCGTATGCTGGAAAAGTTCTCCGATAGTATCAGCGGCAACTTCCTTTTCATCCGCAATTGCAGACTTGAAGACATAATTAACATCTTCCTCTGTTTCATCTGCATCCAGATCTTCCAGGTCTTCAGTTTCGTTTTCGACTCGAGTAGTGTTTTCATCAAGCTGGCAAGATTGAATCAGGTGAGGAATGATGGCCGCCAAGTAAGGGGAAAATTCATCTTCAAAGACCTGAGCGATCCCTGCAAAGAAATAATATACACATTCACGAATTCGAGTGTTGTTCAACTGCAATCCTTCGAGCGCCAAGTTCATTTGATCATTTAGATATGGCTATTCTCGCATTGCAAAAAAGGTCATTAGTTACTATCCCGAAGCCTTACTTCCAATGGCACCACATTAAACCAGCTTTTTGCTTTTCTTACTCTAAAAGCGTCTTTGCCAACAGCCTGTGCAACAGCGCCAAGGGCGTCTGTCGCGACGGCCCGAAGCATGAGCTCATCTTCATTTGCACGAAGCGTAGTCAGATGATGGAGGCGCTTGGTCACTTCATGAAAGTAAGGCGTGAATTCCCCTCCTGACGCATGAGCAGCACTGCCAATGGCGGCGACAACGATAGCCCGTGTCTCGCCTTGTGCGTGATCCAGCATTTGGAGCAGTTTTTGCATCAATTCAGGTAGATATTGTAGAATGTTGTCACCCAAATCTTCTAAAATAGAATCTAAAGCATTGCACGCCTGTCTGGTGATATCAGGAGAAGGCTCGTTCATTAAATTGAAGACCAGGGGCAGGAGAGTAGCGTGATTCTCTGCAATCTCCTGATCAAAATCCTCAGCAAGGGATGTCAGAGCCATACACGCAGCACGACGGACAATGGCTTCGGGATCCTGGAGGCCTGTGCAGACAATCAGGAGGAGATCCTGGAACCTGGGGCGAATAAAATCAACAGCACCCTCGACCAACACAGCCAAGGTGACCATCGAGGCCTTGCGATACAAGGGATTAGGGTTTTGCATATAAGCGATAATACCTTCGGACGCGATGGGAAAGACTTGTTGAGGAGGGAGATTTGTACCTAATGTGTTGATGACCTTGAAGGCCAAGCGAGCAGGAGAGTCCTCATCCATATCATCGGGTTCTTCCTCAGCTCCAATCGGCATTAGTGCCTGGATCATAGGGCTGACTAGCTTGAGGCGTTGGATCTTGGTCTTTTTGTATACAACGGCCCACATCAAGAACGACAGAGCTTGGACACGCATCAACGGTTCATACGATCGGTTGGCACCGACAGTTAAAAAGAACTCGATCAGACTCTGAACGTGCTTCGATAATACAGGGATTTCAAGCAACAGAAGAGTGTCAAAAACATCAAAGCACTTGGCTGCAGATTCTTCATCACTATTGTCAAGACATTGTTTGAGGACGTGAACCATATGAGGGACAAGTTCCGTCAACATGTCAATCTCCTGCTTTTGATCGTCATCAATAAAGTCAGCCATCTTGCCAAGGGCTTGGACAGTGGTAGTGCGAACAACTTGAGATTCTGGATCAACAATAGTGCGACTGAATAGCTCCAAAAGTTGACGCAAATTGTCAGCAAATGCGTCAGTGACCTCAAAAATGGCGTAAATGATATACACTCCAACCTCACGATGTCCAGGAGTCGTACTGGAGCAGCACTGGAACAAAAAGTCGATAAGTTCTGGCCAAGCATTGATTGGAATCTCAATCCGCCCAATAGTCGCAATGACACGTGCGGCCGAGTGACGAGGAAGAGACCTATGGGGCCACAAAAAAAAAAAAAAAAAAAAAAAAGGATTGATATCATAAACAAAGAGGTCAAATTGTAGCAAGTTTCACACATAAGGAGCAGTGCATTGCACCTACTCTTGTTCGTTCAAGATCAAGCGTAAGAGCTGTGCCTTGGTGTTGGTCTTGACACCATCTTCCAATTTTGGCCACCAGTTAGCTACTTGCTTACGAAGCTCAACAGCGGACAATTGACGGACCTAGTCCACGAAAAAGTGGTCGTGATAATCAGCATTCGTTTTGTAGAGCAATAGAAGGTCAGCTGTTATGCAGGAAGCTTCGTAGTTCCTTTTCCCCCTTGATCCTCTCTCCATATTTAAAGTAGGAAGAAATGCATCTGCCACATGAAGATTCTTTTGTGAATCACAGCTCTCATATTGCCATTCCTCATTTCGCTTTCTTAGGTTGTGATGCGTCAAACCAGGTCAGGCTATCAGGTTTACCTCTTTCTGGGGTGAGTTCTCAACAATGTGAGTCAAAGCAGGAACACATGTCGCGTCTGTGAAGTATTGAGAGCTCAATGCCTTGGTTGCCTAGAGAGAAAAAAAAAAAAAAAAAGTTAATTGGCTTCAAGGAGTTCAACTCTTTCATTCTCCTTCTTTATGTTTTAGATTCTGCAACGGTAATTTGGCATAAGGATGGTGTGGAATCTCATTCCTCAATTTTAGATGTTGACAGATTCATTGTCCTTAATGTCCTACCTCTTTGATCTGATTACTGTCATTTGAAAATAAAACCTGTTGCAGGGTCTGCTCAAGGCTAGCAACATACTGCTCCATGTTGCCTGTGTGGAAGAGAAAAGAGAGAGTGGTTAATGGAGTTTTTTTTAAAAAAAAAAAAAAAAAAAAAAAAAAAAAGGCACAAAATGCCAATCTATTTCAATCAGATGGCTTGTAGGTCCAAAGGCAAAGCTATTGTTTATTAGTGTCATAAATCCATTAATCCAATTAAGCTACTTGCTACTTCTACAGACGTCTAGATTACTTAGACCCACACATTTCATCTTCATCTCTTTCGGAAGCAATCTGCCTTAACTGCGCAGCTCTGGCTGCTAGCTCTTGCGTAGTTAAGGATGAATTGGCACTAGAATGACCACTCCCTAGGACATATGATCCCCCTTGCCATGATGGCAAATCTGCCCCATGCTCCTCAAGATCGTCGCGATATCCAGTAAGACCATGAGCAGGATCAAAAAAGACATCCTTTGATATACTATTCCCTCCATTTGCTGTCCAGTCTAGCTGCTGTACCTCTTTGTTCAACTGTCGATTGAGAGCGTGAAAGTTATCGTCATGCTCGGTCCAAACCTGTTGTAAACGACATAGCATGGAAGAAAAAACGGTTAATTACGGTTTTTAGAACAGCCGGTATCAGAATACTTCTCATATAAATGACTTACATTGTGAGCTAGCTCGTGCAAAAGCACTTTGCGTATTGCATCATAATGTCGGAAACCTTCTAGATCATCCGTCCTTAACCTCAATGCAATCAGTTCGCCCTTGTTTCTATTATACCCAAGGAGAGTCTTATCTGCGGGCGATAGCTCGATAAGAGATCCAACCCTCCATTTGTGCAATTTCATGATCCCAACAATTCCTTTATCCTGTTTAAGCCGTTCTAGCAACGCTCTAGCTCGGCCCTGTTGAGTGAACTGTGGAAGCACTTCTATAGCCCCAAACGTGCATTTGTCATCATCTAGGCTCCGCACCGGCTGCGATCGCTAATACGAATATGAAAAAGAAAGAAGGAGAATAATATTGGATATATACTTTCCTCTCTTTATACTTCAATAATTTAATCCGATGAAAATATTAATAGATAAATTAATCAAAAAAGAAGCAGTATAAGGACTACCTTCGCTGAAGGGGATGGACGAAAAAGTTTTCGTTCGTTGATGTGTTTGTCCATTGATTGAACCTTGGCGATATCCTGTTCTGTAGAGCCGAGTACAAAGAGTTTAGACCCGGAATCGGCCATAACAGGGTATTCTTGAAGTAAAACATCTGACCCTCCTGCCATTTTCGGTCTCAGGACTTTGCCTTTGAACATAACCTTTAGTCCAGCGATCGGGACATGCGTCTGATCCGATATTGCTTCTAAAAGAGTCTCGATGGTAGTCGAAGCGGATATCTCGAGGTTGTGCTTCGTTCCTTTAAATGTGTACTGTAAGGATGTCATTAGTGAGTAGTGGAGGCGAGGATTTTGAATAAGTGGTGGTGAATTCGTTTTAGTGAGGGATCAGAATTGAAAAAGTGAAAGAGAGAATGAACAAGTGAAATATGGAAAGATGTCAAAATGGTCCCTGAAGTTGGGGTTCGTAAGCATTCGCCCATACCCAAGAACAAAAAACGTAGTCACAATTATTAATTGAATATTCGAAATAGCACAGCCTCCAGTATTAAGAAAGTCTCAATCCAACCCACCTATTCATTACATTTCAACATGGGACCAGCGCCTGTGAACCCTTACTCGGAATTCACCTGTCTCTATACAAGTCAGAAGCAAAAGAAAGCTAAGACCTGGCAAGATGGTAATTAAACAATGAAGTCTGTCACCCGTCAGCGCCACTAAAACAAGTAGAATAAATAAATATTAACACTTACGTCCTTTAGGCCATCTACGCTATTTTCACAACAACTCAAAGGTAGGTAAAGCTTGCTCCAGGGTTGCTTTGCTAATGTACAGCCATCTAAAATATTATAATCTTGGCTTCTTAGGTCATACTCTATGATACAAAGTTCAGTGTTTTGGACAGGTATTTGTCTGCTCAAGAAAGATGGGAGTTGACCATAAAAGATAGAAATGCTTAATATCAAACTGACTCCATGATCCGAGTTTGAATCCTTTTATCTACCCCTTAGCATGTTTCATAGGGGTGACACAATCACAGTTGGTGATGACATGGACATGGAGAAACATTTAATCACCATAGAAGAATTGACAATTGCATATGCCGCTAACACCACAGATCAGAGGATTGATTTTAATCCAGGTCCAGTGGCGACTATAGAGAAAAGCAAAACCTTTACTAAGGCCTCAGATGTACCAATTCTATCTTCTGCATCAAGAATTGAGACATCGGCATCAGACACGGTCAGACTTCTAAACTCTGGATTGGATCCTTTGTCTTCAACATCAAAAGCACAGTTAATGTCCGTGCAGCAGCCATCAAAGAACAATCAGGCAGCCCCCGATAGCCTACGGCAGCCTGAGGTAAAGCGGAGGAAATGGCGTCCGCCTGTACCGACGGCTGTGTCCTCGCCTAACAATACATCACACAATGACAGTGACTGGGGAAGTGTTCATCGGGACCAATTGCAAGCGACATCATCCAGTTCCATAGAGCCCATGCCCTCCCCAGGCCCCAGTAATAGCAATATACCGGTGAAGGCAGCACTCCAGGCCGGAGTAACAGCCACAGCGATAACCACTTCAAATACGGACATCACCGTACCACAACCTGCACCCAAGAGGCGAAAAGTTGGACTTTCCAAATCAAGTCCATCCACAGCCAGCGGACAGTTCTATACGGCATCTCCTTACCGACCACCTTCAAAGCAACTTGAGTTCCCAACCGCAGCGCGTTGTACAAACTTTATGGGGAAAAATACGAGTCAGCTGCTACGACGCTCCATGACGCTAGGCTCTCGATTCGCGTCGACCACCCAATACGTGGATGGTATGGCACTTCTTATCTACGAGCACCTACAAATCATGGTTATTGAGATTGCAATTACAATGTGGGGTTTAAAATCGAGGGCAACTATGCGTGAAAACGAGGCTTTGGATGCGTTTTACAGAAGTCGCGGTATTCATATGCATGCTGACTCGCATATTAGGAGACGAGGCGACGTATACCCTGGATTTCCGCTCTATAGTGACAGAACCATAAAAGGGATAGGTGAGACATCGACTGTAAATGTTGCTACAATACCTCAGACATTATCGCAACAAGGAGTCTCCCTGTCAATATCCAATAAGGAGCATCACTCCAAATACTCAAAGGATGATCTTTGGGTAGTATCGACTACGCCTCAATTCGATGCTACCTCAACATTTTTTGCAAGATCTGTATTCTATGGGCCATCAGGAAATGATATCGAGGTAGCGCCATTGAGGCTGAGATGGCTAATATAACGATGTCTAGTATACTATCTAAAAAGTAAATTGGACTAACCATACCATGTGAAAACTAGTTGATGTGTTTATCATCCAAGGATTCCAGCATTGCTAGGGACATATGCGTGAATTCCACTACCGTCTGCGCAATAAAACTCTTTAACGCCATGTCAGAATTCATGATGCTTGGTAAGCATGATTAAATAATGCCAACAGTATCCATGCATTTTCGACTATCCAGATTAAGCTCCTCTCCTTTATTTCACTTTATTTTATTTCCTATATATGTAATGTTATTGTTTTTTGCTTTATTTTGTTTTCTGATTTATCGATATAGACAACCTCGAGAACAGTTTGACTAGGACGCCACTATTGCCTGTTTTGCTTAACTATGTGCCTCCAGAACTTGTTAAAGCATCCAAGACTTCGGTTTTTAAGGTACCTTCGCGTGTCCCAGAGCGGTCAGGGTGTATTGTATTAACGGAAGAGGACGGTATAGACGTAGAAGTGGAGATTCAGGATGCAGTTGAACGCTTTCGATTAAATCATGAACAGGCTGCTGTTCTCCGGGCATTTGCGCAAACTGTTGTCCGAGCCCCTAGATGGGTACAGAAGCCACCAGATACACCACCTATTCTCTTAGTACACGGCGTCTATGGCGCTGGGAAAAGGTGAGGATATGGTCGAAGCCACATTAAGACAATGCAGCATGTCAATATTTACCAATGGTATTGATACTTCCTTTTAATTACTTGGCGAATAGCTTTCTTATTGCCGTGCTGATTGTTTTCATTGACACCATCATGAACAAGGCCCGTCCATTACCAAAGGAGCAGAGATCCTGTCGGTTTTTGGTATCTTCCATGACAGTATGTCTATATCTTAATTGATGTCGCATATTCTATCGATCGTACTACGCTGGACAGGTCAAAATATGTATTTTGGCTAAAAATCCCTTGATTAATTCAATAGAATGTTGCGGTGGACAGGGTTTTGATAGCGCTCTTAAACCTCAATTACACCAAATTTGTTCGAGTTGGTAGTCTGAAAAAAGTGGCTAAGCGAATACTTCCGTTCACTGCGCAGTCAACATCTGCCCGAGCTGGAGAAGGTATTTTTACTAATCTATTGGTGTATCCATAGAGCCGTTGTATCTTTCTTTTTTTTATTAGTTGTGTTTGCTGATCCTTGATATCTCTCTACTTCCATAGATATCAAAGAGCTGCAAGCGATCCTAGATGATGATAGTCTATCAGCTAGTGAACGCCGTTATGTTAAGGAAGCCATGAAGAAATTTCAAAAGTTCGAGAATCGAGGGCTTGTTGAGGGTGCAAATGTCGTAGGTAAGTGTCAAAGCCTTTTAACGTATGGCCCCATTCGTCTTAGTATGTAATAGCTTTTTCTTACTCTCTAATGCCTTCAAATGTTAAACGTAAAAAGGCACTACCTGCATTGCATCCACGTTCGAAGTATTGGACGATGTTTCGTTTCCTATTGTCATTTTGGACGAAGCAAGGTACACTCCAAAGATATTGCTTCTGGAAATGTAAAGAGAGCTATTCTTAAATGTTTTAACCCGAGCTCCTCACTAGTCAGCTACTAGAAGCAATGTCTTTGATTCCTATATGTCGAGCTGCTGCAGAGAAACTTATACTAGTAGGTGACCCATTACAACTCCCTCCACCAATCAGTACCAGCGAAGGTACCAAAGATACAATCGGGGTATCAAAAGGTCTATCACGCACGCTCTTTGATCGATCAACAGAGATGGGACTCAAGCCTATCATGCTTAGGACTCAATACCGTTGCCACCGCCGGATCGCACAAATCAGCAACACCCTATTTTATTCTAGTACACTCCAGACTGGCGCGAGTGACGAAGATCGCGCACCACTAATACAAGGTTTACCAACGTTGACATTTATCGACAGCCCTGGACAAGAAGTACAAAATACAAAGACAAAGTCCTTCACAAACCCAGCAGAAGTCAAGTTGATTGTTGCGTTTCTTCGGAGCTTGTTGAGCCTTAATATTCCTGAAGCGAGCATAGGCGTAATATCACTCTGTAAGTAGATTTATTTGAAGAAAAAACAAAAGAAAAAGAAAAAAAAAAAAAAAAAGAGAATGCATAAGTAGCTAATGATCTTGTGCAGATAAATCGCAGGCAGACAGTATCCAAGCAGAGCTAAATGAGCAGTTGAAAGCTTCGGGCCTTAAAGGAGGTGTACAGATTTCCACCGTAGACGCGTTTCAAGTAAGACGATTTCACCTTTGTACTTGATCTCGTACGTGTTGTATCCAGCCTATTAAAACCATGCTTGCATCTAACACTTTTCTCACGTAGGGGTCTGAAAAGGATCTCATTATTGTATCGACAGTTCGGACAGGTTCGATAGGGTTCATTGACAATGATCATCGTGTCAACGTTGCTCTGACTCGTAGCAAACGGTGAGTAATCCACAATAAGCTTACTGTTGTGCTCGATTTACATATATTTCTTAATACAACTACTAATACTATTGTATGAATCTCTCTACACATAGCCACCTTTTCATCGTTGGTAATTTGCAACTATTGAGCTCAAACAGGATTTGGGGCCCAGTTATTAAGGGGCACTGCAGCGGTATGTAGAGTGCTTTTCACATGTTTCGCTAATGGCGATTCGTTTTCCAGTAGGGTCAATATCTGACAACCATACTTTATATCATCATTATTATCATTGTTGCTATTATTAGTTGATATGAATGGCATCATGCAAGGCGAGCAGTTTGCTCAAAGACTGAGGTCTTTAATACCGCTTCCGCAACAAAATATACTAGAGCCGACAGCCGTGATAGAATCAGAGGATGACAACGAGAATGAAGCCATGGGTAGACATTATGATGACTACGAAGATGAAGACGGGTTAAGACATGACCAAAACGAAATGGATTATGACGGCTATGAGCGGTCAGTCGAGCATTTTAATGAACGATCTGTTTCTTCACGAATATATACGCTGTACGAGACTGATGAAGATAGTGACGAAGAGAGTAATGACGAGCGCAATCAACCTCGGGACCGCAGGCAGATGTCAGGCCACAATAGCACAGCCCCTAAATCTTACATCCGAAGCTTTGCTCAAACAAATGTGGGCGACGATGACTATATTGCCGTAGATCCAAGATCCCTTAGCAATCTCGAGACGGCCCCGGATACTGCGACAAGTAGCTCGAGTTTTGAGCCCAAAAATTCTAGGAAGTATGTATTAGGTATTTTTGAGGAACAAAATCAAGCTGTTCCTACTGAATCAGCTCTGCAGGATAGGAATATTCTTCAGTCGTCAGGAGAGGCGCGACAGATGAAGCACGTGTCCAAAAATGGTTTTAGCAGAAAGGCACGCGCTTCATTGATGGTTTGGCCATCTATGGCTAAGTCGTTGCCATCAATCATAAATGAGCATCCACAGCCAGCCGGATACCTAGAAGATCAGGTGTTATGGGAGGTTGGCGAAGAGGATGAAGAAAAGGTAGAATGCGATGAAAGAGACGACAAGATGACCAATAGCCGTTTCAAAAGTATTTTTAATGGAAATACTCCAGTTGAGAATGTAGTCCTGAGCCGGAGACAAAGCCAAGAGAGGGCCAGATCAGTGGATCAATTCAAACAGGATTGGGATATACAGGAGCCTTTGACGTATGGCAGTCAGCGGATTGAAGATCTAGATGTCGATTGGACGCAAGCAGAGTCTAGCGGCCATTCACAGAAACATATTGCCCATGCAGCCAGCCTGCCACCTAGGCCAGTAAGCGAAATGAAGGACAGGTTGTATTTTGACGAGGGCAACGGGAACGAAGACGAGGATGACATTGGATACTTGGAAATAAGTGATGCAGATATGTTATGAGTCGGATACATTGTCTGCAGAGCTCTGAAGCTTTGAATAAGCTCCAGGGAACAATTAAAATATTTTGATTCAGAATGTAAATGTACGTGTATATAAATATATATTATATAAATATAATATATCTATATATGTATATATAAATATTTATATTTATTCTCTTTTTTTTTTTTTTTTTTTTTTTTTGAGCCACATGCATCTCATAAAAGCGGCCTCGGGAGATTCAAGAATAGAGCAACCGCACGTGCGGGGTTTTTTTCTCTCCCACATGAAAAAGAAAAATGATGGAAGAAGGCATATTTTGGGCGTGGAGAGACAGAAGTTGCTTGTACTGCATGCTGTTATTTTGTAATCTATACCCTTTTTTTTTCTTTTCTTTCCCAAGTGTGAATGGAAAACAACAGACGGAAAAGAAATGAGTTTACTGTAGTCTTGATTGTCCCCAACAAGAGGCAACAAACAGAAAAATATATATTGTTCTTTTTCTGCGGGAGAGAAAATGGTACGTTTTTACTGTCCATCCATCTCATCTCTCTTTCCAAGCGCTTTTTTATCTCTGCTGATAATGCACATGGACGTAAAGAATTGCGTGAAAACAGGAAGGAACGGGAGTAATGCTTACCCTTCCCAGCTCAAACACTCTGTTTTTTTCCGCCAAGGATCATTAACGTAGTCTAAAGTCTAAAAAAATCCATCATCACTACAATTAACAATAGGAAAGAAGAAAATAACAACGAAAGGTGAGTCTCGAGACCATGCGCAAGATTGCACATCAAGCCGATCACCGCTTTAACTGGCAGATGCATGTGCTTTTGGTTCGACGTGTGATGTGATAAGATGAAAAGTATTAAACATATTTATTGTCAGGGTGTTTGCTTTGGATTGGAAAATAAAATGTTCAGTTGACATTCTTTTGTCAGGCACGCGTGCGCGTGTCTGTTTGTCTGTGTTTGTTGGGATTCTTTGGCCCTTTTGCTTCACACATACTCTCTCTTCTTTTCGTGTCAGGTCCAGGTTCTCTTCTCCTCCCCGTATCTCCTTTTCTCCTCTCTCCCTCTTTGCCATCGTTTCTTCCGTCAGATTCCTTTCTCGACGTCTCCTCTTGCTTCGCAATGGCAGCTCCTATTGCAACCCAGAGTGTCCATGATACACTTCCAACTCACTCCCTATCACTTTCTCACTCTCATGACTCTTCTCTAGATTATGAGCCAGATACCCCAGTGCCCTCTGCTTATACCCAATCTCTTATTCTTCCAGATATTAACAGCAATAATAGCACTAACAATAACAATACCCTCACCACCCCTGCCATTGGCGACAATGATCGTCTCTTACATGCTGTCAACTCGACGCTTTGTGTTACTTCATCTACTAATGTATGTACTTTTTGACATTATAACATTATAAAAGATTGTTACATGCGAAATCAAAAAAAAAAAAAAAAAAGCATTGTTTTTTTAATGCTGTTAGGCATACACGCATATACAGTTACTGCCTTTGTCGAGTCTTTTTTTTTTTTTTGTGGAATTCAAAGGTTAAAAAATTTACTCAACAAATAGGGTCATATGCTGGAATAAATCAAAGAGCCTTTATTCTGGGAAATTGAATGATATGGATTAGCTGGGAATGATAGATTTGTGGTCAGTCAAAACATACCAATTGACAAGCTATTTCCTTTTTACACTTGCAATCTAGCTGAGTCAAGTGCAGAGCCTTACGTCGTCGTTAAACAAGATCATGACCGAACAATCATTTGCTATAAGTGATCTCAAGGCCCAGTTGAACGAGTGAGTAGCAGATTCCTCATTTTTTTTATTTTTTTTTTAAATGTAATACTCGTGCTTAATACTTTTTTTTTTTTTTTTTTTTTTTTTTTTTTTTTTTAAAAAAAACACCTCTGCTGAATTAGAATTCAAGATGCTTTGAGCCGAGTGAGTTCTAAGCAAGATAACATGACAGCAGAGGAGAGACAGATTCTACAGTATGCACAAATGATGAAGGTTCGTTCTCTTCTCGCTGTCAAGCCTTATCGTCGCAATTGCTCCTGGTTCTGATCTTGCGTGTTTTCATAATGAAATGGTATTCATACTGACAGAAGCATTTGCTTTTTTTTTTTTTTTTTTTTTTCTCAGAATCTTGCCGAAGAAGTCATCATCATCAATCATGCCACTGAATCCCGAAGAAATATGGATACCCAGAGCACACAATCATTAACCAATGATACACGGACAAAGCTGCTGTCTCTCACAATACCCACCTCTGCTACACCTTCCCATGTCATCGAACCTACAGAAACACCTCCCCCCACTGCTTCCACACCCTCCACAGCATTTACCTTCCAAGTTGGTAACCTTCGACACCGCTCCTCGACTGCCTCCTTCACCTCTTCCAGCAATTCGGATCGACAATATACCCAGGATAGCGAGGAGAGATTATCTAGACCATGCTCTGCTGCATCCTCGTACCGCCACCGCCAAAAGTCAAAATCTCGTCATTCTCTCCGTCAACTAGAATCTTTTAGCGATGGCAAAAACAGTTGTCAAGGAGCAGAGTCGAGTGATGCTTTTGACAGAATATGCTCTCTTTTAACAGAGCTTATCACCGATGCCTCTACTGCCGTTAGCACAGCCCCTGATGGATCCCAACAGCCAACTGATATACCTTTACCACATTTTTCACCGCTTGTCCAAAGTGAATCTGAATTGTCAATAGATAGCGCTAGTGACGAAGAAGAAGTGAATGATACCAATAGCATTGGGGAAGAGCCCGAAGATATACCCAGCATTGCCGCTAAAGAGCCTGAAGATCCATTCTTAAGGCGATTACATGGACCAAAAGGCATTCAACTCAATGATGGCGGCGGTGTAGAGGTTGAATTGGAGCCTGTAGATCGGTACAGAACTGGCTTTAGATCTCACGTTGACAAAACGCATAAACGACTCTCAAGCTTATTCATGGAGCTCCAGAGCACACAAACCATTCAGGATGCAACACCCAAAGCATTCAAAGGTCATCGTAGAATATCGTCCGAAGTTGATTTAATGGAAAAGGACAAGCTGCCAAGACGTCCTCGCCGCTCGATCTCATCATCACTTCCAGTATCTTCAGTACACTCATCACGCCCTGGTAGTGTGTGCTGGCCAACCGAGAAAATCGCAGGGAAGAGTGAATCGACAACTTCAAGCATCAGCCCTCCAGAACCTCAATTGAGCACTCGAAAACCGAGACAACGTGCCAGTATTTCGACTTTCCGTCCAGAATATCTTCAGAAACAGCTTGTAGAACATGATAACCAGCAGATCGATGCAGAATTGGATCATACAGTGAAGGCTATTGATGGATTAATGAAAGACTTGGTCGCTGTGGCAACCCATCAGAACTGGATACAGATGAGACTCCAAAAAACTCTCCAATTCCAGAAGGAGCAAATACAACAGATTGAACGCACCCACTTAACGTCAGATGTGGCATCCTTGGCTGGTGACCAGAGCACATTATCCTGTATAGCAGACGACATCTCATCCGAGGATCTTGGACTACACCCACTAGCGGAGCTATTAAAGAGCCTCAAGCAAGTGACGATCAACGTAGGAAAGGTACTGGCGAGCAGTGCATCAAATCCTACGACCAGCCGCAAGCAATCTATTTCTGGACATCACGCACAAATAGATTTTACTGAAAAACAGCACAAGAATAGGCTTGCAGGAAAGGGTTTTTCTCGTTATTTCCAAGAGCTGGAGAAAATTGCAGTCATTGGAAGCAGGATTGGATTTGTTAGAGGAGATATGGAAGGGGCTGCTAACATAAACCAGAATAATAAGGTGCGGGATCAGTCCTCGAAGATATCGTGCTTCAAATCAGTTTCGAGAGATGCTTCTTGCAACAGAAATTCTACAGCCACATTGATTGAAGAAGAATTTGCGCCAATCCCTGACGGACTTAAATTCAATCAACGTGTTGACAGCGATGTGGAATCAATCAAAGGAGAACACTCTTGGCCTCAACTGCACAGAGAAAGCACTCCTGAAACACCACCAGAACTAGAAGACTTTGCATCTCAATGTCGCCTGCTAACCCGAGCGCTCATTCTTCCATTTATTCAGCTAACTCACCATGCCATGAGCAGTCAAGACTCTACCCTAGCACTGACCCCTCGCTCCAGCAAGTTTTCTGATACTACCCAGGATTTGGATTCAACTCTGGAAATTGTTCAAAGTTTGGAAAAGAGCCAAAGTCCAGGAGATTTTTCAGCCAAGCCGCATGCATCTTCGGTGACGGGCACCTCCAAGTTATCCTCTAGTAACCAAAAGAAATCGAGGGATTCTTTATCATCGACTAACTGGGCCCCACCCATATCATTTTCTGGTCGTAACCCGGATTCAATTTTGGAAAACTACAATGAACTACCGCCAGATGCGATCGTCAAGGTGAAAGCAGTTATTTCGACGGGCTTGTACCTTCTTCATTTGCTATACTGGACTATCCTCTTTATCATCGGTACGGTTATTTTAGATCCCTGGCTTGCTGAGACCGCTGGTCAACAGATAGTTAGAGTTGTGGATCAGGTCCGGGAAGTGATCGTCAAGGATAAGCAATCTTCGGGACATATAGTAATTCATGCCATTGACCAGCAGCAGCAGCACCAGCAGCAAAACTTACACCATAAGAAAATCGAAGGACATGATCAGAAGACAGACCTGGCATCAACTGATCCTCTTGCTCTAGATCAAGATGAGCAGTTTGATATATGCCTGGATCAGAGCCGCCTGCAGGCTCATGAAGATCGGGCGATCGAGATTGCGGTTGGCTTTGAGTCGTTAAAGCAGCGCCTTTCCAATATGAGCTTTAGTCAGCTGAATAGTCGACCACTTGGAGGTCAGTGGAGCAATCAGGCCGACTTTGGCTCTATTGCTGCGGCACTATCATCAACAACTACCATGCTCGACAATATCCTCCCAAATTCGAAAGAGATGGAGAAGGGTTCATCTCCACTTTCATCAACTACATCTTCGTCGACATGTCTTTCTGGACTTGTTTCAATGAATGTTGGTTCGGCCAAGTCTGTGTCGCAATACTCTGTCAAACAGCTACCTCTGATCTTACCGCCACCCGCAGAGTCTATGGAGGTTCGACGCAAATCATTCTAGTCAATAAGAGGGATAGTTGGTTTATGCGAGAGTTGCTCGACATAACTATACCAGTGTGCGTATTATGTAAAAGATGCGAATAAACACGCATCAAACATATTGTTTATACTAAGCTTGCTTATAATTAAGTTTTTCAAACCCATTTATTGTTTCCCACATTCATACTCCCATACTCGTGTCTGCCATTGCCAACTGGTGTTTCTATTCCAGCAAAGAGAGTATTTGCCCAAGGCGATTGGGCAGGCAAAAATACCCGTTAACTTTATTTCAGGCCACCTTTCCCATTAAGATCTGGGGTGCTAAATAAACAGAATGCACATGCTCGTTTGAGACTGATATTTCCAATACAAATTACTGCGCCCATTAACACATCTGTCTTTGTAATGACTAAATGACTCAAAATTCATGGTGTAGGAACAAGCGGCGCTGCCACCAAAAGAGACAAGTGTCAAAGATGTATATAGCAAAAAGCTATCTTGAATGGGCTCTTCTATTTTGGCCAGTCTAGACAAATATTAAATACCAGCAGGAACGATTACTACAAATAGGATCTAGTGTGAACCTATAGCTAGGAAGGAATCATCCACTATTGGCTATCGGATACGAGATACAGGCGATAGTGGCTCTAAGCACCTTCAATCAGGTTGACCTAAACGTTCTTATCGGCGGAATAGACCCTAGAGATGGCCAATGCGGCCATGGTCATTCGCCTTACTTTGAATAATGAATGGTCGAGAAATAACCTTGGCATCTTAAGACGCGTGCTATAGCAACCACTCATGAGGCGACGGAAGCTATACAACAAACTGGAGCGCTTTTTTTAAGACAACAATTAGCCATCATGCTAGTCTTCGTCCTCTGTCCCCAATTAGCCGCACTGCTTCTCTCTGAACGCAAGAACAAAACCGACACCAGCTCCAAAGTCCATAAATAGATATGCCAAGGCGATCTTTTCTCTACAATTGAAGACTCATTTATCTATTATTTCAGAGATGTGATGCTTTAAAGAACAAACTGCATCATATTTTCTTTTTTCTGATCATTGAAGTCCCCTCGAGAACCTCAGGGCATGAGATGATAGTAATACTATAGAAAATAAAATGCGTTTTTTGCTTTCATATGAAGATTTGCACGAATTACAGGCGATAGAATATATAAAGAGATGCTGTTTCTGCTCTTGACCGCCTTTCACCCACGAAAGAATGTTTCAATCGCTGCCTAAGCTCCAAGCTTAGGAGTTCATCAGATTTCTCATAGAAAATTGTAACTTGTATGTCGTTTAAAGAACCTCCACTGGTACAAGAGATTTTCCCTGGTTAGCAAAATTCACCTACCAAAAATGTTTTCGAGGCTATACTTCGGTAGTAACAATGGATGCCAAATTTTACTCAATGCTTCTGGAATGCAGACCCACTATTGTAAAAAAAAAAAAAAAAAAAAAAAAATTGACCCAATGTGGTGTAATTTAACAGACTTTTGTGAGGAGCGACTGAGGTTCAGAGTTTGACTTGGATGTAATTTTAACAAGTGATCACGAGATATAAGTGGCTCTGATATTGTATGTGCCATCAGGACACACCCTTTTCTCTGATAGTGGCAACGGACTTACCGGCTCTATCGTCTTGCCATATTTTTTTCTTTGTTTTCTACGCCACGCCACAATGGTGCCAAACCGAAGTCTTTAGAAAAAAAAAAAAAAAAAAAAAAAAAAACGATTTTTTGTCTTACTAACGCGTTTTCTCGTGAATGTGAATGGAAGAGAGAAATATTAAGTGTGGTTAGCGAAGACACTCTGATTTTTTTGATAAGTGTGTGGTATTGACATCGTTTTGAGGTGGCGGGTCTTGATGCCACATTTACCCTTCCAAGAAATACTCGCTCACGATAACATGATAGCTAGAGCTTGAGGACAAGCAAAATGGTATAAAAAACCACATGCATAGCAAACTCCCGTGGAGACAAATATGTTATGCCCTTGTCTCCTTTTCCCGAGTATATCGCTTTTTCTTTGTCAATTCCGGAAGACTATGGGGGTCTTTAATTCTAACCGTGCACACTGCATTGTGTCATGGAAACAATGACGAAAAAGAAAAAAATTTTGCAGCTCTATGTGTGTATAATAGATATTTTTTCAATTTGGAAGATCACCGATTAGTTGACCGCAGTATATGCCTTGTAAAAGAAAAAAAAACTGACCGACCTCTTAATCTCCTTTGTTTGTGTCAATAAAACGTTGATGATGATCATGATGGCTCGGTTTCATGTCCTGTAACTTTGACTGTGTGCTGGAATATTTGTTACATTTTCATGCACTTTGAGTTCTTTGTTGCTTTGGATCAATGCGCTTCAATGCACCATTGGTCCGTTCTCTTCCCTTTTCCCCCTTCCCTTTTCCCCCTTCCCCTTTCTCCTCTCTCCTTTCTTTCAATTGTGTGGTCTTTTTTATTTTGAAGTTGCATTGATGATCAACTGACAGGGTCTGAGGAATGTTATTCTTCCTCTGTGGAAATAGTCAAAGATAAAACCAAACCAAACCAAACCAAACCAAACCAAATCAAACCAACCAAACCATAACTAAACTACCCCGATCCAAACCAAACAATAGTCAAGCCTAGGCGCATGATGGCCCTCGCCCTTTGCACTGACCAGGTTGCTCACGGAGACAGGCAAAGCAATTTATAAAATTTAGATGCCAGAATTTTTTGCTCTTTCGTAGTGATAACATGCAGACTAATAAAAAAAATAATAGTATAATACAATAATATATACTAAAATGTGGTTTTCCTATAATTAATAATATTCAGTAACCGGCTTTTTTTTTTTGGGATCATCACCCCAGAAACCCTCAGAATAATGTTACTGAAGGAAGAGGATTTTCATGACCTTAATGAATATTTTTTTGTGTGCGTGTATCGAAATAATGACATACAGAAATTCTTTGAAAATACACCACTTTTTGATCTTTTTATTGTCATTTGGAATGGTTCCGAGCAAACTGTTGTGAGCACACTCAGATGTTGTGCAAGAAAAAGGGATTTTTTATTTAATAAGAGAAGGAAGTTGGAAAACGCTATGACGCTAAAGACCGAATATATGCAAATAAACCGTATTGATTTCTTTTGTTTGTTTGTTGGTACACAAATGAACACAATGAAGACCCTCTGAGATGAATAAAAAAAAAGAGAGTAGACTATATACAGAATAAAGAAAGGGGGGAAAAAATTATACTAATCAAATAAACGCATGAATGAAAGCCAACGCCTAAACAACCAGTGAGTATCATTAATTGTAAAGACATCTTAGCCTTCTTGTTGGAAGAGTAATATAAAAAAGTATGTATATAAAAGAAATGAATGAGCTGGTGCAATCGCCAGTTACTTGTTCTATTGGCGACGCTGCTTCTTGAGCGCAGCCACCTTTTTAGATTTAGCAATATGCTCAGCTAACCAATTCGGTTCTAGGAACACGATCTTGAGACCATACATACTATCATTGACCTGGTTGTGCATTGTGTTAGGCAGTGTTAATTGCTTCGCAGTTCCATTAACAGACGTGCGCTGCCTCTCGGACAGCGCAATTGCATCGCAGAGATGCCACAAGGGGTTGAATTCCTCAGAGTCGGATCCCAACTCGGAGGATGGGGAAGGCGAACGAGATGACATGGATCGATTTGTCGGAGATGAAGAGAGATCAGGGAGAGCGGCGGTGGTTGGGATTGTTGCGGACGAGCAAACAGTGGAAAAGGATGCAGATGACGACCAGGATGAAGTCGAGGCCACAGAACAGTTAGATTCTTGGCGCTGGCGAGTACTGGGGAAAGCAATAACACCATGGTTATGGCTTTGATTAAACATCAAACGCTTGGGTGCATGAGATTCATCCTTGTTCTGCAGTGGGAAATCAAAGTCGTGTGCTTTCCTCTTCTTGGTCATCATGGATGAATTCATGGAGTTGTATGCTTGCAGAGAGGATGCAGAGAGAGGAGCAATGCATGTGTTTGAATAAGTGTAATCTGAAGGAGACTCGAAGGAAGTGAAGGACTCACGGAAGTGAGGAAGTGAAGTGGCATATTCCATGATGTCTTTATATCTGCTGTATGTTTTTGATGTTTGTTAATAATCTGTGTGCTTTTTTTTAAAAAGAGAGAGTGGGGATGAAGAGAAAGAAAGAAAAACGTTGGTTTTTTACAGAGTAGCGAAATGTAAACGTTGGCGTAAAAAAAAAAAAAGAAAAAAAAAAAGAAAAAAGAAAATAGAAGGAGGATAAGAGTGTGCATGGATTGTACATGTTTTGATTCGTGTGTTGGTAAAAAAAACTCGAGCTGAATGCCAGGGAAGCAAGGGAAAGGGAGGAAATGAAGGCTTCGCCTGTGCTTATGTGATTGATATATTACAGAAGTATATGCAATATACTTGTATACTTTTAAACATGTATTCGCACCACTGTATAACATTAACTAAATGGCGCAGAAAAGGGAGGCGAAGCTTTTGTTTTGTTTTTTTATTTCATTGGACAAGAAATACAGGATGGAAGGATATGTCGAGCGCGGAATTGTGGAGAAGATCTGAAGACGGTATTTTATACCGCCTTGGATCCTTCTTTTCCTTTTTTTTTTTTTTTTTTTTTTAAGAAAAAAAAAAAAAAAAAAAAAAGAATTGGACGACGATTGTACCATCATTGTCTATATAAACTATTGTCAGTTAAAACAGGCAGCAATAAGCAACAATGTTAAAGGACAGGCGACATTGCAAAGCTAACTGGAACAGGAGCAGAAAGACCACCCAATAGAATAAAGTGATCAAATAGATCAATTAGGGATGTAAAAGGAGGAAAGGAAGGAGGTTGGGACGCGTCTTTATTATTGATACTGTTGTTAATCGTTGGATTCTAACCAGGGTATACTGACTGTATCTATTCAGTCAGTACTTGTTCTATTCCCTCCTTGAGTAATAGACATCACAAATGATAATTTGGTACACAGACAGACACAAGTTGGGATAGATGGGAACCTGGAAGCCTAGCCTTGCATGCAAGTGCATGCGTGTGATGCATGTGCATTGTGTCTTTTTCGCAATGATGAGGGCAAAGCTAAAGGTTGAGGCAAAGACAGGACCATATGCCTTCTCATCATTTCCAACAATCCAAACCCATCCACACACAAACTTCCACACAATAACAATAACACGGTCCACACCATAGCCCAAGGGAGTCATCTCTTGTTAAGATGACTAGAAAAACAGTTTGCATGAAATGAATCCAAGATTCGTTTTTTTCCTCGACCGCATAGTCCTTCTTAAACAAAACGTAACAGGATCATGAGGGAAGTGTTTTCTTACACAAAGGTGTATAGATTTTATTATATGATCTTCACATCCGTTCATGATGAAAATCTAATGTTGACGGAAATATATATTAGTATAGTTAAGTGTGATGAACATTTTTTCCTTTGCTTGATCAAGCAAGAACGATCTTCCTAGAGTATAGCGGGAGATTTGTTCGGTAATGGAGATAAAAACACTTCAGTAACTGGGAGTTGAGGACGGGCAGGCAAAGCAGCAAGGAGATTTCGGGCGCAGCTTACTGCAACTGGGAAAAAAATCGCATTTACGCGACGTGCAACATTCCCAGTGCGTGGATGTCAACGTCATGTGGAGGGGAGAGCTGTCTCTCCTCAGCCAATTGCTTTTTATTTATCCTCCAATACTTCCAAGCACAGAAGCTAACATTGACACGAACTTTAATGTTCCTACAAACACATCCAAAAGAGTTTATTATGCATTGGAGCATATCAATAATAGAGCAGACCGAAAAGTACATCTAGCACAGAACCGACTTTGGTTGTTCCCCATCTTATTTTATGAAGATCCATATGAGATGCAGTGTCCTTGTATATTTCCTTCTTTGTTCTCGTTATTTTTAATAATAAATTGCACCCAACATGCTGAGGTCATTGGTTCTCTACCCAGATCAGACGCATGGTTCACCAAATTGTCAATATCTCCCTCCCTCTGTCCTTCTCCTATAAACACCTACTTAAAATCACGAACAACGACTCGAAACGAGTCTAACGACAGAGTGAGAGAGAGAGTTACGATAAGACACATAAAAAACATGTGCATGAATAGCACTTTTGCTGATGTTATTCCACTATCATCCTTCTCCTTTTACCCCTTTTCTAAATAAAAGAGGCCTCATGGCTCAGAGCTCTTCAGATGTCGGATAAAAAAAGGGAGAACAGAAGTGGTTATTTTTTGATGTATATACATCAACGTTAGGAATGCAAAAAAAAAGGCTCAATGCTCGACACGTAAAACCACATATATCTGGTGGCCTCGGTCTTTCTGCTTTTACTGAGACTCGAGGAATGAGTTGAATACTTGGACTTGGGCATAAAAAGGATATGGATGACTCTGGATAACATGGAATTCGACTGTGATCCAAGGTTTATAGGAATGTGACTTTGGCCGAGCGTTTCCCTAGGAGTAAAAAGGGTTCTTGTCAAAGAAAACACGGGGTACCGGTGCGTCGTCATTTCACGCAAGTGCACATAATTATATCTTGGTAGTTGAGCTTATCAACTTTGCATGCTAGCTGCAGAAAATATTATTGTAATGTTGTGCATGGCTTCCTCTGGCAACCAGGCTCGTTTTATTACAAGAGGGAGACAGAACCAGCAGTGTGACCACCAATCTCATGCAGGGCGGATTGTGAAGGTAAAATAACCTTTTCGCCACCAACCTCAGTTTATTTCGTATACCCCATTCTTTTTCGCAGCGGGATCTCCGTGCCAGGGTTTTGTATGCTGCAGAGTTGTCACCAATAGAGCAACTGATCAAGCTATGACTAATTTGAGCTCATATAACAGCAATTTCCCCCATCCTGACGACCATCCCGACGACCATCCCGACGATTTAGCTACTTGCCTCATCAACATAAAACACAATGCAGTGAAAGATGAAAATGAACCCAATAACCGTTTGCTAAATGTGCCATCAATACTTCCCATGAAGCGCAAATTTTCAAGAACTGAACTCGAATCAAATTGTAAAGTTCATTTACGTCGACAATCAAATAATTTCTTAAATTTGAACGGTAAATATTATAGTGGAAAGGGAGGAGCAATGGCAGCAACCACCACACCAACACCACTCTCAAACAAAGCTCAGTCTTCGCTTGATCATGAGCTCAACACTTTTGCCTTGCCCGCCCTGGTTCTTGCGCCGTTCGAGCCTCCACCTTGGCTTGAATTTGGCAAGGTTGTTGTGGGTACGAAAAAGACAGCTACTCTGATAGTACTGAACCCAACCGACCAAGCTGAGAGGTTGACCCTGGATCCTACCTGCAGGATGGAAGAGAAAGGTTTTAATATCACCGAACTGGACCCTCTTCAGACAAAAGCGAATAACAGTGCTAGTGAGGCATTGGTCTTGTCACCGCGAAGCAAAATGGAGATTAGCATCTGCTGGACACCACTCACTACAGGAAGCATTCGTACCAGTGCTATCCTCAAATCCAATTCAAGACGATTCATTGTGAATCTTCGCGGGTGCGGTGAGGTTCCGGTATGTTTTGTGTTAGATATTGAAGGATGTTATTCATTTATGTAGATTGAAGTATTACTTTCCAATTTAATTTAATTCAGTCTTTATATTATTGTCAGATTGCTGAATACCAAAGCTTCGGTAGCTCACGGCGGTCATCAGCTACTAGTTCACGCAATATTAAACAAAGTGTTGTCCCGAAATTCAACGGAAAGAGCAGCATCATAAGACAGAGCATGATCCGACACAGCTCAACTAAATCTGGCCTCGAAATTCCTGTGAAATCAGCAGGAGAATATAGTACACTGCCTTATGTGATTACCAATGATATGTATGACGAGAAGTGGATTGACAAGCAGGAGCGCTCTTTTTCTCAATGGCTTAATCACGAGTTTAATGTCGCTTTGGATTCATTCTCGGCCAAAGATCCGTCATCATGGAGCTACTACTCTCATAAACTTGAGTTTGAACATACACGAGCGGCTGCATGCAAAATATATCAATCGGATACTTTTCGGATCGTATTGCGCAAAGTAGAAGAGTCTATAGGCAAAGACCGACTTCAACTTCGGCCGGACATTAGCCTGGCTGGCGACATAGGGGCAAGGCGAGAAATCATCGACCTTTTCTTCTCATTCGATATCCGATGGCTGGTCCTTGGACTCGAAACAGTAACTGGGAAGGCGACAGCAATTAACCCCAATTTTGATAGAAGCGTTATTTCAGGATTCATCAATAAGGTATTTATATCAACTATCGCTTAAATTATAATCTCGTGTAAATCGCCCACCATTCCTCACGTCATACTTTCTTTCTTTCTTTCTTTTTTTTGTCTAACAGGCTATTTTTCATGATAAGCAACTTGAAGATGAATTCGAACCAGATCGCATCTTATCCAATCGTCCAAAATTCAATCAGGCAATGAATAAGCTGATTTTGAAACGGATTTTCATGCTCATCTTGTTTCTGGATAAAGCTAAAATAGCACGGCTTATACCTTCGGACCCGTGTCTCTTCAACAAGGTATGCTTTCTTGTATTGGTTTCGCAACAGTATATTTTCAGTTTACACAGAGTCCTAGACCCTCACACTCAATATATCGGATGCAGGGTTCTGAAGTCAAATCGTGCCGAACGCTGCTCTTGACTATATCCAAAAACTATCTCTTAGGTGAAGGAGACATCATTCGACACCTTCTGTTTATGGGTTATTCAGTGCTCCATATTCAAGCACCAATCGACGAATTCGACTATACAGTTAAGAACCTGGCAGTAGACTTGAGAGACGGTGTTCGTCTGTGTCGACTTATTGATTTACATTGCCCAGAGTTAAATCTCTGTCTGGTATGCATGCTTCTGTATAATATGACTGATTGCAAAGCATTATGCACGTTTATGAATATTTATTGATATTATCCTGTTTTCCCTTTAGAAAATGAAATTCCCAACACTCTCAAAGGCCCACATGCAGCAGAATGTTAGTCTAGCCCTAAACGCGCTGGTAAAACAAGGAATATCTTTGGAAGGCACTCGAGGGGGCGTTGTCACTCCTCGAGATATAGTTGAGGGACATCGAGAAAAGACATTTGGATTGCTGTGGAAATTGATCCTCAACTGGAAAGTTGCCGTCCTACTTGATCTCGGTTTGCTCCAGGCAGAAATCGATGCCTTAAAGAAAGAGTACAGAAGGATATATGGCAGAGAACAGCCCGACAGAGTCGTAAGTTAGACGTTGTTGAGGGACAAATAACAACCTTATATAGTACATATTTCTAATATTGTATTTTTTTGTGACGCTTCTTAGGACACCGTATACTTCACTTCCAATCAGCTGTCAGCTTTACTGCAGTGGTGCCAAGCAATTGGATCCTTCTATAATCTTTCTATCAATAACTTTACTACCTCATTTTCGGATGGCCGTGCTTTCGGGGCGTTACTGAGCTACTATCATCCTGCATTGCTTGACATGGATGAGATGAAGGACTCGGCCAAGTTTTTGGAGGAGTACAAACAGGGCCTCCATCAGCCCGAGCCGGAGCTACCAGAAGGCAATGATGGAAAGGGTTGGTTCATAGACACCAGAGATATCAAGGATCCCATCACTCAAGCGAAAGAGATGGATCGATTTAATTACCGGTTGCTGCACAACAAAGTACAGGCGCTAGGTGGCGTCCCTATTACTTGTAGGTGGAAAAGCCCTTCTCCTTGCCTCTTTAGAATTTTAGCTGTCCTTGACTAGATTACGGGCTTCTCTAACTACCAATATCACTTCTTTTTTTTTTTTTTTTTTTTTTTTTTTTTTTGTTTTGTTTTGTTTTAAATAGTGCGCCATTCAGACATGGCAAACGTAGGAGTACCGGATGAGAAGGCGGTTATTCTCTTTGTTACTTATCTATGCGCGAGGATCATGCACCTAAATAAGGATATCAGGGTACTTTCAGCAATTATCCTTTCATGTAGTTGTGTATAACTAGGACCAGATATTGATTTTATTTAACATTCCTTATGCATAGGCTGCCAAAACAATTCAGCGTATCTGGCGTAAAAATCACTATGGTCGGAAGGAAGAGAAGAGGATCAATGCCACCCTTGTGATGCAGAAGTACATCCGCAAGTTCCTATCACGAAGGCGCCTACAAACCCTTATGCAACAGCGGAATAGTGCTGCTTTGCTCATTCAGACAAGCTGTCGCATGTATTTGGCGCAGACCCGTGCTATCCGCAAGTTGGAGAATGTGATTAGACTTCAAGCTTATTTCAGGACTTTCATGGCGAGGAAAAGATTTGTGGAGCTTCAGTGGGCAGCATTGACTACTCAACGATATCGCCGTGGACATGCCGCTCGACAATACTATGGCATGGTTGTGGGGATCCATCGAGCTGTGTGTATGATTCAAATGCAAGCTCGCGGGTATCTGGTTCGTAAGCAGTTTCTATTACTGCGACTGGCGGTTGAAGTGGTTCAGTCACGGCGACAGGCTTTAATAGAGGGCCGGAGAGTTCAAAGTCTTTACATGCGGTTTGTGAACGCATCAATCATCATTCAGCGAAGATGGAGGGCATTTGTCGCTGGGAGGAGTGTCCGACAAACTTATTTGTGGCAGAAGAATTGGGTTATCCGTATTCAAGCCCTTATTCGAGCGAAGTTGGCGCAGCAGACTATTTTAGAGATGCAGCAGGCAGCTATTATCATTCAACGTCAGATACGTGGATACAACATGACCAGAACACTGCGCTATAGGTTTCTAGAGAAACGCTGGGCTGCATATGTTATACAGACACGTTGGCGCGCCTGCATCGCCGGCAGTGAGGTCAAGCACGAGTACCAAATGCTTCGCAGGGCGACTATATTCATTCAGAGTATTATTCGCGGGAATATTGTGCGGCGTCGGTATAATGAGCTTCGTACTGCCGCATTAGCAGTTCAACAGCGCCGCAGGGCATTTATCGAGGGACGCAGGCAAGAATTCCAGTTCCTACAAGTGCGCTATGCTACGCGAGTTATCCAAAACCGATGGAGAGCGTTGCAGTTAGGCCGTGAAACAAGAGCACAATATGCGGAGTCGCGCACGAATATTATCAATATACAGGCTACAATCCGCGGCTATCTACTTCGTCAACGGTTGATCAAAGTTATGCGAGAGAATCGAGCCTGCATGACAATGCAAGCCACATGGCGAGGCTACGTTCAGCGTCAAAAATATGTGCGTCTCAGGAACGCAGCAATTGTGATTCAAAATAGATGGAGGGCAGTGCAACAAGGACGTCGGGATCAGCGCGCATTCAAGGAGTATCAGTGGAGCGCAGCTGTTATTCAACAATTTTGGCGCGCATGCAGCATTGGCCGAATTGTCCGATTCAAATATCAGCGACTACGGCATGCTGTCATTACTATTCAATCAATTTATCGTGGTCATGTTGCAAGACGAAAGGTCATGGCTCTCCATGTGATCGTTGGTATCCAGGCAACAATACGCATGAGATATGTACGCTGGCAATTTATCCGGCTGCAAATGGCAGCGAAAATTATTCAACGACGATGGCGAGCACATCAACTAGGTACTGAGCAACGTATGATATACGAACATCAACGTTTCGCAGCAATCAACATTCAACGTAGATGGCGTGCGGTGTTGGAAGGTAGAAAGGTGCAACAAGCCTATCAGGTGACTCGTACTTCTGTGATTGCCAGTCAAGCTCACATAAGAGGTATATTGGTCCGTGATGCTTTTCAGGAACTGCGATGGGCAGCGATTGTTTTTCAAAGGAGGTGGCGCACTCGTGTGGAAGGGCTGGCTCAAAGACAGGCGTTTTTGGAACAATGGTCGGCTGTTAGGAAAATTCAAGCTGCATGGAGAGCTTGCCAGCTTGCACAGAGGCAACGGCATGCTTATCTTGATCTTCGATGGGCTTCAATCGCGATTCAGCGGCGCTGGAGACATATTCTTCATACCCGAGCGATGGCTAAGGAGGCTGAGAACGAGCGTAACGTAGCAGCAACGATGATTCAGACCGCCATTCGAGGTTATCTTGTTCGCGATAGGGTTTGTCAGCATCTAGAAGAACGGAGCCGCATTATAATGCGCTGGGTTGAGCTGTCATCGATTTCGTTCTCTGCCATTGTGATCCAACGTTGTTGGCGGAGGTACAGAGGCAGGAAACTTGCGAGATTACATGAAGCTTCGGCTCTGGCAATCCAGCGATGGTGGCGTCGAGCTGTGAAAGTACGACAGACGTATCGATTGGTTGTGCTAGTGTATAGGATGCAAACTCAGATTCGAGGTGTTCTGGCCCGTCAAAAGTTTCATCATCAACAAGCTGCCGTCCTTAAAGTGCAATCGTGGTGGCGTGGCCACCTTGTTCGCAGGGATTGCAATGCCAAGATTAAAGCAGCCCGAAAGAGGATTGAGTATGCAAACGCAACGGCAGAGGAACACATGAAACTTGGAAATCGGACAACCATGGCCTTGGAAATCCTGCTCAGTAGTGGGCAGCTATCTGCAGTCCTTAAAGCCTGCTATCATTTGGGTAAGGAGGAAGATATATTTTTGAAGCTATTGTCTCCAATTGTTTTCACGGCGCTAATTTTATATAAAATGATAATAGATGTGGTCACACGACTATCCAAGAACAGCTGCTTGCGCCTTGTGGAGCATAATGTCGTCAATATCATCTTCCAATTGATCAAGTCTTGTAATCGTAGTCAGCCTCACATGGAGGTTCTGAAACATGGCCTTAATATCATTGAAAACCTTTCGCGTGATCGTGACACAATAGATTCTGTCTTTTGGGCACCTGGGGGAATCGAGATCCTGGTAGACAGTGCGCAGGCCTACCGTGAGAATGAGATGGTGTTTGAATCTGTTGTGACAATTCTACTGATCCATCTAGAACAGGATGAGAGCCGAAGAAGGATTGTGAGGGCCATGGTACCGGAAGTTAAGAAGCTGAAGGGCGTCCTGACAGTCATGGAGCGTAAAGTGGAGCGAGAGCAACGGAGCAAGAGTCTATATACTGCTCCTAACAAGTCACTACGCCTCTTATTGGCTTCTGTTGGAAAACTTCGTAGAGTTGTTGAGTTTTTGCGGTAATGATGTCCTTGTAAAATTTATCCGCAGGTCTTCAAGATACCAATAATTTTTTAGAATGTATTTAATAATTAAAGTTGGAGTGTTATTTTTATTATTTGGTTTTGTTGCTTATTGAAAGGGTCATATTACACGACTCGACCTGTCATCTTTTGGCCTACAGGGAGCAATGTAAATCGAGCAGACAAAGGCGCCATTGCAAAGACATGAGGCGACTTTTCGACAAAGGTTGTCCTACGTTTACTACATAGGCACAAGGAAAGAGAATAAAAATAAAAAAAAAAAATTAATGAAAAAAGTAGTGCCTTTAAACTAAATATTCTGTTGGACAGATCTTTTTATATCTATAAACATCCAAATATAAATACCTTTCTATTGGATTCAACTGGACGAGAAGCCCTAATAAGACAGCGACACGACCATATTGGCGATCTGCATTGGTTTCTAGAGCCTTTTCGAACGCTGCCAAATTAATCGGATCAATCTATTTGATGAATTTGAAACGAGAAAAAGTACAAAGTCAATCACTGCCTACAAGCAAACAAAAAAAAAAAAAAAAAAAAAAAAAAAGCCAAGGAAACTTTACATGTCCACGGATTCGATCCAAAACGGATCTTGTCAATTGCAGCAGATCATTATCTCTGTCTAAACTTGACTGAAAAACTAAACTGATGAACTTGACATCAAAAAGCATTTGCATTGCGCCTTTCTCAGTCAAAACGGTTGTTGCAGTTACATCAGTCCGCGGGGCATTAACATGTGAAACCGATGGTGCTTGCGTATTTGCTGGGTCAGAAACAACATTGTCCAAGAATTGGTTCAACCCCTGCAAAATGAGCCTTCCCAGCCTGACTGTCACGATCTGTAGCAATTCAGGCTTCATAAACCCTGTTCCTGCTCGATGCATCTCTTGAACAACATGATGCAATGATGAGATAAGACGTGTGGATCCATGAAATGGGAGCAGTGTCGTTGTATCATCGATTCCTGTACTTGCTGGGTCCTTATTAGGCACAGAAACAACAGACGGCCCTCGTGAGGAAGCAGACGTAGTTGTAGAGTTTGAGCTAGAGATAGGCTCCCATGCAAGTGTCGTAAGGTCCGTCCATGACGACTCTCCCAAGTAATGCTTGATATCCCTTCTTAATAACCATTCCATGTGCTCGATCCACGCCTCGTATGAGATCAAATACACCTTATTTAATCCCGCAATCAAGCTTTGAGCCTGTGACTCTACATTGACTTTAGTGGCGCGCGCTCGTACAAAATCGGAGGCATTACGAGGGGGCATCAAAGCCTTATGTAGAACCCAATCCATGGATGCGATTCCTGATGCGACTCTCCCAATGGTCATTGCCCGATCTATCGCTGAGATGGTGTTCCTGGCCTTTTCTGGTTTTTGAACTGCTTCATGAACTAGCTTCTCCAGCCCCCGAGTATAAGATTTGATGCACTCGATGCAAAATCGTTGGTAGCAGTCAATTAGTTCTTCTGTGTCCGCTCTACCTCCAAAGAGATCTAAATTTTCGTACCGGGCTTCATCGTCATCATCGGCCTCATCCTCATCCGCGACATCGTCGCTCATGGACCCAATCCTTGGAGATACTAGAGCTTGTTCTTGATCTGTTCTGATAGCCATTAGAGTCTCCTCAAATGCACGGATGACTTGCGCTATAAGATCTGTTTTTCCTGCCACAGATTCATTGATTTTTCGGACCAATGGTTGCGTGGCCTTGGAAGGTGCAGAGCCCTTTCCAATATTCACACTATTCCAGACAAACCTCCCAATGTCATGATTAGGATCACTTTCTTCATCTAATTCCCCAAGTCGTGGGCGTATCAGTTTCTCGGGCTGGTGTGAGAGCTCATCCAAAGCAAAAAGAATATTGTTTTGGAAAGCCTTTGCAAACCCAGATCGAAGGACAGTGCTCCATATGCTAACTGCCTCACCAAGTAACGTCCTGCAGACCTAATGAAATGAGAGAAATGGAGAAAGTATAGTGAGGAGCCTACAATGATATCTCCAACCTAACTTAGACCTTTTTGTCAAGCATATATATTTATACCTCATTGAATTGACTCTTTCTAGTTGTTGACAATAAAGCAAATTCATCTACACTTAAAGCTTTCCAGATTTTAGATCGAATTGATACCAGCGCTGTATTGCTTTGCACTTGATGCAGAAGCGCCTCAAATCCATTATTAAGGACGGCCTTGATGTGCTCCACCCACCGCTGAACCTCTACAAGCATTTCTTGCTGTGTAAAAGCCGCTTTGGGCCCCTCTGGATTAATGGATGGTGTAAAATTCTGGATTGCCTCAGGAAGATGTCGAACAAGTAGATGGATGTTTGGCGTTGTTGGATATAATTTTGGGATTATGGATGCTGTTGAACTTGAAGAGGTCAAATGTGGAAGCTTTGATGGCGCTAAAGCCTTGTCCTTTTGTTGTGAAGACAACAGAGCCCCATGGAGAGTACCTACTGTTGTGGATGATGATATGTTCGGTGACGATGATGCAGATGAAAATGTTTGTTGAATATTTTTAAGGTGTCTTTCCAACAATGATGATTTCGGCTTCGTATTATCATTAGCTAACGTTTGATCAGACTCTGAAAAGACGTGTTCAATGTGGAACAGTGTCTTTTGAAGTACTCTTATGGCTTTCACGATCTGAGCCCCAATATCACGTCCCTCAACCCTTGGTTCTAGAGCCTCTCGTATTGCTGCTTCTCGCTGAATGAGAAAGAGTTGAAGCATATCCTTGATTGTCACATCATCTAGTAGCATGATGGCGCATATCGTTTCGATAACATCCAAGTCTGTCTCTTCGGCAGATTTAAGATGCAATTGGCTCTTTTGGAGGATCTGAACCTTGAAATGACTGACAGCATCCCACTGTCGGCCCACTACGGGGAATGTCTCCTAAAAAACGAATGTCCGATAGAAGGGGAGGTTGTAATCTGTAAGCTACAAAGATCAGTAGCATATTCTTGTGCTGTGGAAAGGATTCTCCCATACCATAATCTTGACTGATTCATGATCATCATCTATTCTTGCACTCAGGTTTCCGTAGATAGCCTTGCTGATAAGGTAGAGTCGACTAGCTGTTAAATAATTACTATTTTCTATATTACGCCAGATCTAGATTTGATAGCAAAAATATATAAATAATGCTATAGAAACTCCAGGCTACAGCAAGAATTGAAAAGGGCAATAATTGCTACGATTGATCTTTACACAAATAGAGGTGGGTTCCTTGCATTACCTGTTCAGGTACATCAGCTAATAGCTTAATTTGCGCAGCGGAGGCATAAAGCGATTTTTTCATGTCGTCTGTATGAAAGAAAAAAAAAATTAATCAAGTGAGAAAAAGAATTGCGGGGAAGATCTTGTAGCTTCCTTACCCATCGCGTTGTATTGCGTTTTTGATGTTCTTGCTGCAACGGATCGCTTGAGGGTATGGATATCGCAGGTGTTTCGCATTTGTGCAATGTTGCCCTGGACTTCCAGTGCAGTCTCTCTCATTCTTACTATACAATCTGCTGCGCCAATTAAGTCTCGATACCTCTCTCTATGATTCCGCCAAATGAAGATAATTAAAATACTCAGTTTAACAAGCCCTCATTCCTACGAGAAGTTCTCAATTCAACATACGGGTTTGCGTACTTGATAGGTACCGTAGGTCCAATTGCTTCACTCTTTATCCTTTCCACACATATAAGTACGCAATGACTTACCCCACCATCATCCTGAGCTCTTGCTTCTTATTCTCGATGTCTTGTCTAGCAATTGAAAAATGGGTGTATCAATAATAATAATGACTTCTGTGCCCAAATAGAGCAAAGGCCGGTAGATACAATAGAATACATAGGTACCTTGTCCTGCGTTCATATGCATTGAGCTCAGGCACGCTGAGTCTCATAAACAGATCATCCACATTGACTGCTGCTTCTGTTGTCATTGATTTGTACTGCTAATTTCACTCCAGGCAAGATGTTCAATGATTTCCTTTGACTCTTTTTCCTTCAAGATGTTCAAGATGATAATTGGCAAGTCAGCATGAAAAAAAAAAAAAAAAAAAAAAAAAAAATGCGTGACGCAAATTCAACTTCGCTAAATCCTACGTTAGAGCATAGAATGACAATCTATTCAACGCGTCGTTTGAGACCTCCACACAAGGGGGTATCTCACATTTCTATTTATCGGTTATCGGTTGGGGACACAATAGCCACTGTTAATAGAGTTGCTGACCTTAAGCAATGTTGCAAATCTCGCTCTCGGCCACAACAATACGTTCTGAACCTGATTTGGCCAAAACTTGGAGATCCCTTAGAGGGATAATACTCGCTGGCTCCGACTACTATACATCTAAGACTCTACAGACGATTAAAATTACAGGAGTGCCTCGGCTTCACAGAGCAGCCATGGGGATTTGTATGCAAACTGCTGTACTTCCTCTGCAACAAGGTTACCAAGGGCAGCAGTGATAACTATTATATTGGATGGATCTCATCATCTTTAGAAGGCTGTCTGCAATCCCCCATTATTCTTCCTACACTTGTTTCTCATATTCCAGCGATTCCTCTCAAAAATCGCCTTTGCCTTATAAAATTGATTCATCTGATCAAGATGACTAGGATGGTCCACAAAGCTCAATCCCCCCAGCAATGGAAGCCCGCTCTTGACGTTTGTGCTGTTTTATTGTTGGTTACTTTTTCGTTCTTTTGATTTTTGCTCAGTCTATATATTTAAATATTGACTAATCAACTGCTTTTTGCTTAACCGACAGACTCCGAAACCTGGTACCTTTCAGTATAGATGATGTTACGATGGTTGGTTCCTATTCACCGCTTCGCAATACACGTATTTCAGTTATGCAGTTTTGGCTCGAATAATGCCTAGGATTTGTGTAAGGTGCTTTCGAACGAGTCTTCTCGCCAGTGCAAAGCTATTTCAATGGTGACGGGCTTGGCGCTCTTATACTCCTTTATCCTACTATTACTATTGACCATTACTACGGCTATATCTATTAGTTTGATAGGATCCAGATCTGAGGGCTGCGCAGGTCAGTACAAAGCCTCTTATTGACTTCCATCATATTAATCTACTCCAGATATGCCTTGGTGACCTTAGTTGTGTACTTGAAACCAAGAGCATGCTGAAAGTTGAAATCGTCCTTGTCAAGCCCGTTTGGATAGCAAGTATAGACTCGATTAAAATGTGAAATATGATAAAAGCATATGGGCTCCAGGCTTGAGTCAAGTCGAATCACTTCTAGGCACTAAAAAACGTGTCAAGGTCGCTAATGAGGAAGTCCGGGATCTAATCATCAAACAAAAGACATTTCTACTTCCTTTGTTCAAATCTCGTCGAGCGGTAAGATAGTATAAGAAAAACTTCTCGATATTGATCCAGGATGTTGGTATCTTGGAGCAACCAATCCTACCATAACGTGGTATGTCAGACGAGATGACTATATCTTTTCTAAAACTCCTGAATGTCTCACAACTACAGCTGATCAACAATACAATTCATCATTTGGAATCGAAGGAGCTCTGAGGCTTCAAGAAGCGTGAAGAGCGGAATATGTGCAGACTATAGCAGTAATCCTGGAGATGCATTCCAAAGCAATGCCCTGTTTGCTGTCAATCTTTGTGATTTGAGCGAACTCTTATCTTACCTCGCTAAACAGCACTCTTAAAACGAAGCTGGTGTCTAGGCTATATGATAGAAGACTTAATTTGACGTGCTTCCCAAAAGTACCCTTAAAAGCTGAAACAAGCCTGCGAATTAAATAACCTTGTAACCGTGAGTACCTTACCAAGCTCTAAAGATCGTTGTTTTTCCAGTCCCAGGGCCCTCAGAATAGGGATTGTACCTGTGATCCATCCTATGTTACTTTACGTAATCCAGCTGTCTTGCTTTCCTTTAGTGTATATTTAGATAGTCCTTGATGCACTTGGCACGAAGCTTCACCCTTTAAATATTCAGAAAAAATAAACAGACCGTAATTACCCCGTATTTCCTTCTGGCCAAAACATGGAGATAAAAGTGAACACAAGAGGTCAGATGAATATGGTACTTGGGATGTGGTTTTGACTGTGGGGAATGAGTGAAGACAGACAATAATCCATCTTTCCTGTTCCCCTGACTTACCTTGTTTTTTTTTTGTGAGATTGTTCATAAAAGTATTCATTTACAAATGTACATAGAGTTCTCGCCAAAATGTCATCGACAAATATATTTTTAAAATATTGTTTTTGAATCAAAAATGAGGATTGAATTGATTTGGTGGCTGATTGTCTGAAATGGATATTTTATTCAATTTAATAATCCTGAAAATATATTCGCCGACGAGTTTCTAACGAGAACTAGTAGTATATTTTAGTCCGAGAGCTTTTAAACAAACCAAGTTGTGGAGAAGAGAAAAGCGCTTTTTGCTCAGCCGACAATTTGTTGAAAGTGTTTACTTCTTGTGCAACCATGCAAATGGGCGGCAAAAATAAAACCACATTAAATAATCAAAAAGAAGGATGTCTTTGATTGCTTACTCGCACCACTGTCATATGACTATTTTCTGATTGGATAAGGTGCTCAAACAATTTAAGCATTGAGGGAGTCTTTCCTTCTTTCCTTTCCTTCTTTCCTCTTTCCTTCATTGTTTCCTCCATTGTTTCCTCCATTGTTTCCTTCATTCTTTCCTTCTCTCTATTTTCCCACACTTCTCTTCCACCTTCTCTAGTCTTATAACCTGGAATATATATTTTTTTATCAGAAAGTAGTGAATGTCAAATCATCTCCACCTGTCTTATTCGTCTCTCTCAGTTTTGAAATACAACAACAATATGGAACATGATCTTGATCTCGATATTGGTTTGGACCCCGGTATTACTAAGGATGACTTCCTTTGCTCAACCTTGTCACCGTCCTCATCTTCAACATCTCTCTATCAATTACAGGGCTCCTACGCTCATCACCGTCGAGAACCAACTTCTTCAGCTTATACTACTACTACCACAACCACTATCATTACAACCACAACTACCACAACCACCACAGCAATAGCCACGTCTACTTCTTCCACAGCATCTGCAGATTCTATAATGTCAGAAAAACCATCACTAGCGTCAACACTAATGCCAGTACCGAGTTACCAAGAGGATTATCATCAACTTTACAATGACAATGGCGAGCTGTCAATTTTCCCAAGCCTTCGCCTTGCTTCCGAAGGCCCCTACCTGTTCCTATTTGATTACTCAATTTCACTGTATTTCCCTATTCGAATGTTGATCTTATTTGTTTTGGGTTTCGCATTCTCACTTGTGGTTGATCATCTCCAGACTCAACACAACCTGACCACTTATCCGAACAATATCCATCAACTCTGGGCCACTGCTTCCTGGTTACCTCCAATCTGTGGGGTTTCTGCAGTCCTAATTGGGTCGATCTACCCGCTTGGCGATTATTTATGGTGGGGACGACGCGTGGTTCGAGACGGTCGCGACTGGTCTAGTGTTATGAGGTAAAAAAAAGCATATGTCGGAGCATAGAGTATATATAATGACATCAAGAAACTCTTCCCCAGTTCACTCTATGGCCACATGACAAGGTCTCACGCTTATTTCGGGATGACAAAATTGGGCTCATACACCAATGATAAAAAAAACTCTCAGGGCTATACAAAGTGGAAAATGTCCTGACAAGATCAATCAATGTCATTCCATAGGTGCTTCGGAGGACTTATCGGTGTTAATTATGCAGCATCCAAACTTGCGTGGACAAGCAGCCTACAGATCACTTGTACATTGGCCCTTATCTCGGTTGGTCTATGGTTCTGGTTCGATTATACCTTCCATGGTTTCATGATCTCGCTTACAGCCGCCTCCCTTGGCACTATGGTCGCCTATATCCTCGTATTGAATGGATGGTATAGGTAATAATAATTAAAGAAAAAAAATCTGCTCATCCATTAAGTAGTAGGACTAAAGGTCAATGTTTTTTTTTTTTTTTTTTTTTTAAAAAAAAAAAAAAGAAAAAAGAAGAAAAAACTTAACGATATCTCTTGCTCACGAATAAATAGTTTTACAAGGACGGATTTTTTCGGTATTGGGTCGTGGATTCCTTGCATCCTATACTCTTCTTCAGTATGCTTTGGTAGCATTGGACGGCAGCTTGATATTGTCCCAGCAACATGGTATGATGGTCCAAACACAATCAAAACGCAACTCAAGATAGAATAAAGAAATGGCTTCCCAAGAATACCTCATTATTCTTTTAGATATAGCGTTCCAATCTGCTTACAAAACAATATACCCCATTTTTAATAAAATTAATTAACATTAATAGTGCATATTAGCTTTCTCTTGTATGATCTCTGTGGTTTCCAAATGTAGTTTCATTTTATATTCATCAAAACTTAAATTAGGACAAATGAAGACAGAATGAACGAGATAGGGTCAATGTTGTTATTTAGCAGGAGCAATGGACGCATTGGATCTTTGTACCGAATCCCCTATTCCGCATGACCGAGCGGGCACCCTCTGTCTCTTACAATTAGTGTGACATTCAAAAAGAAAAAGAGGAGCAAAACAAAGCTAGAGCCATTGAATCGCAGCAATAACAATGGTCAATTGCAGATTCTTCAAGTCTGGCTATCGCAGCGCGTGGTTTCATTTACTTATATACCAATTTTCAGTCATGTAAATTTATCATTAATATTTACTATTTCTGGTTACTAGTTTTACATATAAGTACTACAGAGGACAATACTACAAACTATGTTAGAATCAACACTTGCTTTCATGCGGTATTAAAAGCCTGTGCGCGGGTATTCGTAATATGGATCGTGCTGCGCCAGATCCGGGCAATTTTTGGGTGGAAATTTGTTGATGGTTGCAATCAATTCATTCGTGCGTAAAGGCTTTGTAACATATTCGTCCTGGAAAAAGACATGTTGGTCAGTAACTTAAAAAAAAAAAAACGCGACTTTGTCCTTTCAATGATCAATAGGTATCACTTTTTGCTTACCATGCCAGCAGCTAAACACTTCTCGCGATCTCCAATCATGGCATGCGCAGTAAGAGCAATAATAGGCAGATGGTCCTTTCCACCTCGTAGCATCTCCAACTTTCTAATTTCTTGTGTGGCCTCAAACCCACCCATGATCGGCATCTGTACATCCATCAAAATTAAATCAAAATGCATGCTACTGAAGATCTCCACAGCTGTCTTTCCATTTGCCACGATCGTAACCTTATGTCCAAACTTCTCCAAGATACGAACTGCTAACTTTTGGTTCACCACGTTGTCCTCCGCAAGCAAGATATGCAATGGGGTTGCATGTTCTGCATCTGAGGGCAATGCTGATGCAGACTCAAATGCGGGAAGGAGTGCATTCATAAGATCGGGAAGTTGAACTGGAGGGTTAAAATAGCTGGCGATGCCAAGGTCCTGACAGACCTTCATCGAGATATAAGGTGTCGTCACAGACAATAGCACAATCGGCAGGAACCTCAACATGGGAATTTCTTTGACCTTGCGGATGTCTTTCACATGGTCAACGATAATAACGTCAAATAAGGATTTTTCTGTCGATGAAGAGCTAGAGCCAGGCGTAGGAACTAATTCTGCGGCCTCCTCGAGAGAAGTGATATGGGTTGCTTTGAACTTGAGCTCCTCCAATGTGCGTATCACAGAATTAGAAATGGCCTCGTCGCGCATAGTGCCCAGATATAATATGTGCCGTCCGACATATGGTTTTGTCTTGAGATTGATTTGATCAATCGACATTGTACCTGTGTTGAAGCGTACAGTAAAGAAAAACTGCGAACCTTTACCGAACGTGCTATTGACCCAGAGATCACCCCCCATTAATGCCACCAGACGCTTGGAAATTGAGAGGCCAAGTCCTGTGCCACCATACTTGCGTGTCGTGGAACCGTCTGCTTGACAGAATGTGTCGAATACTACTTCAATCTTGTCACTCTGAATACCAATGCCAGTATCAGAGACACAAAATTGGAGCTCGACGCCGTTATCAGTCTTGTTCTTGCAGACACAGTCAAGAACAACGCTGCCCTCGGTTGTGAATTTGATAGCGTTTCCGATTAAGTTTGTAATAACTTGGCGCAAGCGCAGGGGGTCACCAATAAGCTGATCTGGGAAGTCATTATGGACGTTGTAAATTAAATCAAGTTTCTTCTGATGCGCCTTTACAGCGAGGGTCTTGAGAACACCGAATGTTTGAGTGCGTAGAGAGAATGGGGCTTGCTCAATGGTCATTTTACCAGCCTCAACTATACATATAAAAAAAAAGTCAGCTCATGAAATAAACGAAGGAACCTCAAACACTTAGTATCATCAATTAGCATCATCATACTCTTGGAGATATCAAGAATGTCATCGATAATCGTCAACAACGAGTGTGCTAAATGACTGACGATCACCAAATTTTCGCGCTGTTGACGGGTGAGCTCTGTCTCCAGGGTCAAGCTGGTCATTCCAATGATACCATTCATGGGAGTTCTATAGTAAGAGCATGTAATGATAAAGTTAATATCAAGCACAGAGCAAATACGCTAACACCCATGAAACAGTGGCACGTATAATTTACCTAATTTCATGTGACATATTTGCCAAGAATTCAGATTTGGAGCGATTAGCAAGCTCAGCAGCTTCACGAGCGGCCGTGTTCTTCTGAATACTCTCGCGAAGATTATAAACCATCTGGTTGATCTTGGTCTTGAGGGAATCCATCTCACCCGAGGCCTCAACAGTGATGAATTGAGTAAAATCACCATCGGTGGCGGCAGTTGAAATAGAGGCAAAAGCGCGTACCTGAGCTGTCAAGTTGCTAGCCATCGTATTGACATTTGAGGTGATTTCTTTCCAAGCACCCCGTACATCCATTACTTGCGCTTGCACCCCAAGCTTGCCTTCAGTTCCAACCTCGCGTGCCACTCGAGTCACTTCATTGGCGAACATGGAGAGCTGATCCACCATCGAATTGATAGTGTTCTTTAAATCCAAAATCTCTCCTCGAGCTTCCACATCAATAGTCTTGCTGAGATCACCACAGGCTACAGCTGTTGTAACCTCGGCAATAGATCGAACTTGAGTCGTCAGGTTTGCAGCCATGGTATTGACATTGTCTGTAAGCTCTTTCCATGTCCCACTCACATCCTTGACAACAGCTTGACCACCTAGATTACCTTCTGTTCCAACTTCGAGACTGACACGAGACACTTCAGTAGCGAACTCCTGTAATTGATCGACCATGGTATTAATGGTATTCTTGAGATCCATCATCTCACCTTCAACTTCGACAGAAATCTTCTTGGACAAGTCACCTCTAGCAACCGCCTTACTTACGCTTGCAATATCACGCACCTGTGCAGTAAGGTTTGCAGCCATTGTATTGACGTTATCGGTGAGTTCCTTCCACGTCCCATCTACGTCCTTTACATGAGCCTGTCCGCCTAATTTCCCTTCTGTACCGACTTCACGTGCAACACGTGTTACTTCTGCAGCAAATGTCCTCAATTGCTCGACCATTGAATTGACCGTCAATTTCAGCTCTGAGATCTCTCCCTGGGCTTGAACATCAATCTTTTTGCTCAAGTCTCCACATGCGACAGCTGTTGTAACCTCGGCAATAGATCGAACTTGAGTCGTCAGGTTTGCAGCCATGGTATTGACATTGTCTGTAAGTTCTTTCCATGTTCCGCTCACATCCTTGACAACAGCTTGACCACCGAGCTTCCCTTCTGTTCCAACTTCGAGACTGACACGTGTCACTTCAGTAGCAAACTCCTGAAGTTGGTCGACCATGGTATTGATGGTATGCTTGAGATCCATCATCTCTCCTTTGACTTCGACAGAAATCTTCTTGGACAAGTCACCTTTGGCTACTGCCTTGCTTACGCTTGCAATATCACGCACCTGTGCAGTAAGGTTTGCAGCCATTGTATTGACGTTATCGGTAAGCTCCTTCCACGTTCCATCAACGCCTCTCACTTCAGCCTGCCCACCAAGTCGTCCTTCTGTGCCGACTTCACGAGCAACACGTGTTACTTCTGCAGCAAATGTCCTCAATTGCTCGACCATTGAATTGACCGTCAATTTCAGCTCTGAAATCTCTCCCTGGGCTTGAACATCAATCTTTTTGCTCAAGTCTCCACATGCAACAGCTGTTGTAACCTCAGCAATAGATCGAACTTGAGTCGTCAGGTTTGAAGCCATGGTATTGACATTGTCTGTAAGCTCTTTCCATGTCCCACTCACATCCTTGACAACAGCTTGACCACCGAGCTTTCCTTCTGTTCCAACTTCACGTGCGACACGAGTAACCTCTGCAGAGAAAGTTGAGAGTTGATCCACCTTAAAACAAGAATTAAAGAACATATGAACCTTTAGGTTTTTTTTTTACATTTATAAAGACAACCAGAGTTAATTAGCGCAGACGGAATTAAAGCTTTACCATGATATTAATAGTATTCTTCAGATCAAGGATTTCACCCTTAGCATCCACAGAAATCTTTTGAGTCAGATCTCCCCTGGCGACGGCCTTGCTTACAGCGGCAATGTCACGTACTTGCGCTGTAAGGTTGGAAGCCATAGTGTTTACATTATCTGTCAGCTCCTTCCAGGTGCCATCAACTTCCTCGACTTCGGCTTGGCCGCCAAGGTTACCTTCTGTCCCAACCTCCCGGGCCACGCGGGTCACTTCAGCGGCAAAAGTAGAAAGCTGGTCCACCTATGATCGAAAAAAAGCATATAGTAGTTGACAATCATCATACTACTTGAGATTTATATTCAAGTCTTACATAATGAGTAGACAATAATTCAGGGGATAGAACTTACCATTGAGTTAATAGTGTTCTTCAGATCAAGAATCTCTCCTTTGACATTAACAGTAACCTTCTTAGTAAGATCTCCCTTGGCGACCGCCTTGCTGACATCCGCAATATCGCGCACTTGAGTCGTCAAGTTCGATGCCATCGTGTTGACATTATCAGTGAGTTCCTTCCAAGTGCCGCCAACATCTTTGACTTCAGCTTGACCTCCTAGACGGCCTTCTGTACCGACTTCACGTGCAACACGTGTTACTTCTGCAGCAAATGTCCTCAATTGCTCGACCATTGAATTGACCGTCAATTTCAGCTCTGAGATCTCTCCCTGGGCTTGGACATCAATAGTCTTGCTTAAGTCCCCACATGCGACAGCTGTTGTAACCTCGGCAATAGATCGAACTTGAGTCGTCAGGTTTGAAGCCATGGTATTGACATTGTCTGTAAGTTCTTTCCACGTCCCACTCACATCCTTGACAACAGCTTGACCACCGAGCTTTCCTTCTGTTCCAACTTCGAGACTGACACGAGATACCTCAGTAGCGAACTCCTGTAATTGATCAACCATGATGTTGATGGTATGCTTGAGATCCATCATCTCTCCTTTGACTTCGACAGAAATCTTCTTGGACAAGTCACCTTTGGCTACTGCCTTGCTTACGCTTGCAATATCACGCACCTGTGCAGTAAGGTTTGCAGCCATTGTATTGACGTTATCGGTAAGCTCCTTCCACGTTCCATCAACGCCTCTCACTTCAGCCTGCCCACCAAGTCGTCCTTCTGTGCCGACTTCACGAGCAACACGTGTTACTTCTGCAGCAAATGTCCTCAATTGCTCGACCATTGAATTGACCGTCAATTTCAGCTCTGAAATCTCTCCCTGGGCTTGAACATCAATCTTTTTGCTCAAGTCTCCACATGCAACAGCTGTTGTAACCTCAGCAATAGATCGAACTTGAGTCGTCAGGTTTGAAGCCATGGTATTGACATTGTCTGTAAGCTCTTTCCATGTCCCACTCACATCCTTGACAACAGCTTGACCACCTAGATTACCTTCTGTTCCAACTTCGAGACTGACACGAGACACTTCAGTAGCGAACTCCTGTAATTGATCGACCATGGTATTAATGGTATTCTTGAGATCCATCATCTCACCTTCAACTTCGACAGAAATCTTCTTGGACAAGTCACCTCTAGCAACCGCCTTACTTACGCTTGCAATATCACGCACCTGTGCAGTAAGGTTTGCAGCCATTGTATTGACGTTATCGGTGAGTTCCTTCCACGTCCCATCTACGTCCTTTACATGAGCCTGTCCGCCTAATTTCCCTTCTGTACCGACTTCACGTGCAACACGTGTTACTTCTGCAGCAAATGTCCTCAATTGCTCGACCATTGAATTGACCGTCAATTTCAGCTCTGAGATCTCTCCCTGGGCTTGAACATCAATCTTTTTGCTCAAGTCTCCACATGCGACAGCTGTTGTAACCTCGGCAATAGATCGAACTTGAGTCGTCAGGTTTGAAGCCATGGTATTGACATTGTCTGTAAGCTCTTTCCATGTCCCACTCACATCCTTGACAACAGCTTGACCACCGAGCTTTCCTTCTGTTCCAACTTCGAGACTGACACGAGATACCTCAGTAGCGAACTCCTGTAATTGATCGACCATGATGTTGATGGTATGCTTGAGATCCATCATTTCTCCTTCAACTTCGACAGAAATCTTCTTGGACAAGTCACCTTTGGCTACTGCCTTGCTTACGCTTGCAATATCACGCACCTGTGCAGTAAGGTTTGCAGCCATTGTATTGACGTTATCGGTGAGCTCCTTCCATGTTCCATCGACGCCCTCGACTTCAGCCTGCCCACCCAGCTTTCCTTCTGTTCCAACTTCACGAGCAACACGAGTAACCTCGGCGGCAAATGTTCTGAGCTGATCAACCATAGTATTCATTGTTTCCTTCAGCTCTAAAATTTCCCCTTGGACAGGCACGCTGACTTTTTTTGTTAAGTCTCCGCAGGCTACTGCCTTACAAACTGTGGCAATATCGCGCATCTGACCTGTGAGGTTGGAGGCCATCAAGTTGACGTTGTCTGTAAGTTCTTTCCATGTTCCACTAACATCCTTGACAACAGCTTGACCACCAAGTTTTCCTTCCGTCCCAACTTCAAGACTAACGCGAGACACTTCAGTAGCGAACTGCTGCAGTTGATCCACCATAGTGTTAATGGTATTTTTAAGATCCATCATCTCTCCTTTGACTTCAACAGAAATCTTCTTGGACAAGTCACCTTTGGCGACAGCTTGGGTAACATCGGCAATATCACGTACTTGCGCTGTCAAATTCGCAGCCATAGTGTTGACATTATCTGTAAGTTCCTTCCAAGTGCCATCCACACCTTTAACATGCGCCTGACCACCCAATCTTCCTTCTGTTCCTACTTCATGTGCCACTCGAGTGACTTCAGATGAGAATGATCGTAGTTGATCAACTATTTGTGGAGTGATTGCCATGAAAGAGCAGTTTTATCCATATTAGTTTCCATCCGGAAAATTGAATTATTTGAGTCAAATGATCAACACAAAGACGGTCCCACACAGGGTAAGACGAAATGTCAATCAGAATGACATAAACACACATTGCAAACAAATGAACGTCAGGGAGCGGTAAGAATAATTCAGATTTGATTTGTTGCGTTGTTAGTTTAGTATTTTTGTCATTCTTTACAACCCAAACAATGGATGGATATGCCGACAGGTTCATTGTAATCGGAAATCAATACCTGAGAAAACCAGCAGGAGAATATGATGAAAATGAAGCAGAAGAAAAAGACTTACCCATAGTGTTGATAGTGTTTTTCAAGACAAGAGTCTCGCCCTTGACGGAGACTGTTATTTTTTGGCTCAAATCGCCATGGGCGACTGCTGTACAAACAGAAGCAATATCTCGCACCTGCTCTGAGTAGCCAACAGTCATAGTGTTAAGATGGCTAACAAATTCATTCCAGATGCCTTGTTGATCTTCTAATCTTGCTTGGACGCCCAGTTTGCCTTTGACACCCTGGGCAGCAACCTGGATGACTTCCTCTGTAAAGGTAGAAAGCTTGCTGACCATCTGGTTGATAGATATTGTCAAAGCAGAGTTATTGCAAGCCTCGTTTTCACAGATTATCCGGTCGCGCAAATCACCGCGAACAACAGAAGCGGCAATGAGAGCACATTTGCTGATACAAGCGGCACAGGGGCTCTCATGGGAAGTCATTGCAGGCGCAGGTATTGTACCCGCCAGCTTGAATCGGTCATGTTGGTTCGTTGTTTGAAGTATTGCCTCTCTTGACAAGATGCCAGAGTTGTCAAAAGGGATAGTGGAATATGCAGAGCGAAAGGATTCAGTGGGAGAGGAGGGCATGGAAGAAGCAAGGTCTACGAGAAGGAAACTTCCCAGACTGGCTGTTGCGTCTGTGGATGAGGATCCTATATTGGAGGCAGGTAATGAGGTGATAGAAGAGGTTGGTGTTGAGACGCTGATGGCTGTAGATGGTTCAGTATGAGAGGTGTGATCATGCAAGGAGGAAGGAGAGGAGGTGAAGGAAAGAAGGGAGGAAGAAGAGACGACGTGGTCCATGGATTGGCCAGGTTTGTTGTGCTCATTGTTGGCACTCTTATTGCTTTTGGATATTTGGTTGTTTGCAGAGTGTGTGACAAATTCTGAAAGAGTCTGGACCGAAGAAAGGGGCAGGTGCTTCTCTTGGGGCGAACAGGGACTGGATGGCAGTACCCTGGGAGTGGGGGTGGAGTGGTCTACAGCTTGATCAAGGAACCCCCAAGTGGATGAACGAGTGCTCCATTGTGAGGTATTAGGCACAAATATGGGTGGTGACAATGAATCGCCAGGCATTAGGATAGGTGGAGTAACGGCGGGCTGTGTATAGCAATGGTGACTATTCTTGGTAGTCAAGGAAATATTACATTCTGAACGGTGATGTGCCAGTTTGTACTCCAACATGAACATCTTTTGAACGACCCGTTGCAGAGCAGCATCGACCTTCTGAATTATCGGAGAGGCCTCAGTATCGATGAACTCAAAGGGTGGGGTGGCAGAGGAGGGAGAGTCGAAGGAAGGAGATATAGGATCAACGGTTCTTTCCTGGACGAGCATATCCAGGACATTACCCAGATGATCCATATAAGCATCTATGAGAATAACCATGGAGTAATATATGATTGTCTGTCTGTTTCGATGTATCAATCTCTCTGTTTGTGATGTACTGAATGTAGGAGGAAGTGTAGTTTTATGAAATTGTAAGTTGATTATGTTTGTGCTAGCCCAAGTTGTAAAATGAAAGGTGGCAAGTAATGAGAGATTTACAAATGAATGAGTTTACAACTTGGGAATGAGAAGTTTGAAAGAAAGAGATTTGTTTTTTTCTTTGGACAGAAGAAGGACTATGTCTATTGGTTTGTTTGTCAATATTTTAATTACCATATCGTTTCTGGCTCCTTCTTCTTCTTTCCTTTTATTTTTCTGTTGTAATGGATAGAACGAAGCAAGACATGACAACAAAAAAAGAAACCAACAAATACGCATTTCCGCATACTCGGGCAGTTTAGCTCGCTTAATTTTCTTTTTTTTGCTTTTTTGCTTTTTTGCCATGGTGAAGGGGCAGAATCCCCTGATATGTAAAAAAAATATTGTTTGCAGCTCGGGAGTCATCGATAATAAGGGCGCAATCATTTAGCCTGGGATCAAAAGAAGATCGGATTCTCTTCCTTTTATTGTCTTGGTCATCTTTCGCCAAACCATGACCATGTTTAAGAAAAAGAGAGTTTCTCAGTTACGATCAAGTTGTTCCATGCATATGGCTCTACACGGTTTAACCCAAAAATCCGGTGAAAGGAGGCTGTGTGTGATGTGTATGCTTCTTTTAGCATTTGTCTTCCCGCCATTTCGAATATTAGTTTGTTTTTTTTTAGCCTTAATCAAGGCACAATGTCCAACAATATGTCTGTAGATACTTTTCTAACCACCAAAACCGGTACATAAAACTATCAACTCTCAAGAGATCATCAGACGACTACGCTGACAAAGCTATTGTTATGCAAACCCTTAGATCACAGATTTAACACATTGCGTGGCAATTTTTTTTTCCTTTCTCATTATGGCTACTTTCGATGTTGATGTTTCAAGTGGTGGATTCATTATTTGACTAAAAATGCCTTGTTGCCTCTTTTATCAAAGGGACAGAAGTCAGTAATATTTTCCTACTAGATCATAAAAAGGGACCAATCATGCTTTCCAGTTCACGTTCATTAGTAAACGCTTGCTCAGTGCATACATCTTCATCTGCTTTACTTCTTGTGATAAATAAACCCTTTTACGGCATGAGCTTTTTGAAGATTGCAATGAACAAACTCTTTCCGGCTTTTTCTTCCGAGTTTTTGTGATCGCTCATATCCATTTCGTCATACCCGCTGCCAAAATGGGTTTATATGTCACATGTGCCATTAGACGTCGCTGGTATGGTTCCTGATTTTAATGATTTGATTGTGTCTGATGTCATGTATAATATTCGTGGAATATTCAGGGAACAAAAAAAAAAAAATAGCAATGTTAACGGCCCAGTGACCCATGAAAAGATCGCGACCTGCCTTCGTTTTAAAAAGAAAAGGATTATCAGAAGAACTTTACAGTCATAGTTAACATTAAATCCATCAAATCATCAAATCTTTAAGATAATTGAATTGTGATGAGCCTGAATTACTGACCGCACGAGACGAGCTTTATAGGCTATTGAGGATACAGTGATCATCATCAGCAAGATCGTATCAAATAGCTCTTTGCATTTCTTCTACATGATAGGCACGACGGTTTAGGGCATGATAGTTGTAATAGAGTTTGGCAACAGTTAATTTTTGACCCCAGGCCTGCATGTTCCGGCCACGGTAAATCAGTCTTAATATCCTATTTCATGAAAAAATAGAACACCTGTGTTCCTTGGCATTAGTGTGATGTTTCACAAGGCAAAATTCTCGCCGTTTCATGTCAAAGCTATACTAAAAATTAGACTGTTGGTAGGTTTAAGAATTGTTGCGCTCTTGTAATCTTGTAAACATCAATCTTATTCTGGAAAGAACGTCAAATACGCCAAGGTCGATACAACAAACAGAGCGAAAAAGGAAAGGGGGAAGGCTCATCTGGCTGCAGCAGGCTAGTTGTCCGTGAGCATGGGACCAACTTGTGATGGAGGCAGTAGGGCATGAAATAAAATATCATGAAAAATAAAAAAGAGAGAGTACAGAGTGGACATGTGCTGAGACTTTACTTACATAAATGAAGTCTCATTGAAAGTATCTAATTATTGATCATTCGCGTATGGGATAAGATTTTAGAAAGGCCCCAAGAAAAACAACGAGGGTTCCAGAGAAGAGGATTTAGAGGTAGTCATGTGGACAAACGCGACCTCCTGCCTGATGTGTTGATGAGAGGGGGATGTCAATGTGAGCCAGGGACATACATATAAACCACCAATGTGTAAAACAAGAGCCTTTTTTTTTTTTTTTTTTTTTTGTTGAGGGGATTATTCAGTAGCAGAAGTTGCTCTTCCCATCTAATGCGAAGGATATCTCTTTTGCAGGATAACACAGATGCACCAATCACAAACGTGTCTTTCCTTGAACATGTAGTTCAATGACACCTGAGCGGTACATGGTTACCAGTAACATTTGCAGTATAAATGTATACGGTCGTCTTTTCTATCTTTTTCACTTGATTAATGTTTTAGGCCCTGTTTCTCTGACGAACCTAGTAAGGCCCTTGATGCTTATTATCCACTCTTTATTGTTTAGAATGAATAACTAATACATATCAAAGAAAGAGCAAAAAGTATGTTAGACCTAGAGACCTACACGCTATCAATATTTCATTTCTTAAAATAAGAGAGCAGTCTGTATTCCATGTCATGTATACAACAGAAAAACTGAATTTGTAAGGAGAAATTCTGTGTCTCCACATGAGATGGAGCATAAGGGTTTAATGATGAAGGTCGATTGTCTTCTGTACATGTCATCTTACCAAAGAGGGTCTCTAAAGATTAGAAAAATCCATTCTTTTGAATGTTTTGTACATCCCAGTGATGTCTTTCATAGACCTGTAAAAACACGTAACGAGATGAGATGGGCGCTTTTCTTTTTCTTTTTTTTTAAAAGAGTTCCAGGGAACTACTACTGCAAAATTTTCTTGGTTTGATTTTTTGCAGAGGAATAGTTGCCGAGTGGCGCATGCATTGGAATTAGCAGGCATGAGCATTTGCGTTTGTGTCGGTGTTGAGCGCTATAATTGTTACTTTTGTCACCATTCGTAAAAAAACTCCTTTCCAATCAACCAGCGTAAGATCGTACTCGACACACAGCAACTGCAATCTGAAAAGCTCCACAACCAAAAGCAAATTATTTCAAAATTAACAGGGTCTCACGGAAAGCCCAGTCAGAATCCGTAAAAAAAAATGAATACGATCAAATATCCATGACCATGTTGGGTATTACTTTTAGAAGTGGATTTGTTTTTATTAGCTACAACACACATCAGTAGAAGCAATCAAGACCAAAAGACGGGCAGAGGCAGACAAGCAATCTGGCGGTCTGGCAACAAACGAATTATTAAAATTTTTTTAGCCTTTTTCTCTCACACATATTCACACTGTCAGAACATCCTAACTGCTCTCTCTTAATCTTATTTTTTCGCTCCCCCTTTGTCCCAACTATCGTCCATTTTTTTTTTTTTTTGTTTTCTTTCTCTTTCTCATTCTCTTTCTCTTCTTCAACTCTTCATTCTTCCTTCCTTCCTTCCTATGACTCTTGCATATTAACGGCTTGTTGCATTTTACATAAAAGATTACTCTTCATTTCCGCATATTTTCACACCTTCACACGATACCTTCATACACATATCCATATGCAACACCATTAACATTGTCACATAACGTTCCTCTCAATCCCACCTTCTTTTATTTTTAACTGTTTTAAGGTATTACCCCACCTACAACAAAAACAAATACTCCAACGATGACCATTTTGCATTGCAACATTCCAACATGCATGCTAGTTGATGAACCCAGGATGATTAATGTCTCACCAGGGGAGGTGGTGGTGGGTTTATTTTCTTTCTTGTCGATCTTTTAATTATCTTGGTAGCGATAAGCAAACAAAACAACAAGAACAAGAGCAGCAACGACAGCATCAGCAATGACTACAATAGCAACAAAATGCTTCACAGCAATCATAAGAGATTAAAGATAATGTGTACACCAAATTTTTCTTGCTAACTTAAACATCTGCCTTCTTTTGGATCACACCTCTCTTTGTTCTTTTTACTGGTCAAAAAGACATTTGTAGCAGTTATTCCATCCAACTCAAACATCCCTGCTTGCCCATCCTGACGACCCACGACAAAAAACGGACCAAGAGGCGCTCTCTGGCCGAGCATCAACTGTCCAAATCTTCTCAAAAGCTCATTGGGACGTCAGACACTGCACCTGCTATCTTAACTCCCGTTACCTTCACAACAGATACGGATATCGTTATGACTGCAGCCAGCACACCACCAGTAGAAGAACCACCCCAAGATGTTGCTGCTGCTCCTACATCAGGCAATGGAGTGCCAGACTTTGTCAAGAAGCTCTATAGGCAAGTTTTTTTTATGGTTTGCTATTACCATGCGCTCGCTGCCCTTAGTTCAAAGAGATGAAGCCATCAAGACCAACCAGCTACACCATGGTCCTATTCATTTCCTTCCATGCATATATCTCCTCATTCTTTTTATTCTGTTAGAATTACAGTCATCATTATCCGTACCACCATTACCATCATCATTATCATCATTGCCATCATTATTATCATTTTTTTTTTGTACTTATTTTTATTTTTATTTTTACACAATAGGATGCTAGAAGAAAAAGAGCATGATCCCATTGTTTCTTGGGGGAGGACTGGAGAGACTTTTGTTGTGAAAGAGCCGAATGAATTTGCAAAAATCATCTTGCCAAAGCATTTCAAACACAATAACTTCGCTAGCTTTGTTCGTCAACTCAACAAGTACGACTTTCACAAGATCAAGACTACTGAAGATGCAGAAAAACCTTATGGCGATCAGGTACAGAAATAAGCTGACTTACCAAGGCTCTAATTTTTAATTTTTTTATGAATATTGGTATAGCATTTCATAACAATTATTGACTCACAATATATTTGTCTTTAGGCATGGGAATTTCAGCACCCAAAGTTTCAAGTTGACAAGCGAGACTTGCTGGAAAACATCAAGGTACAAATATTATTCTCTTTAATAATTGAAGGTACCTCACTCAGGAAGACTGATCTCATTTAATTATCTTTTTAAAGCGTAAAACACCTAGTAACAAGAAGCTTGCCCCTCCAACAACGTCTAATGTCATGTCGGATAGTTTGTCAACAATACCAGAGGAATACCAATCGCAGATTAATCAGCTGCTTAAAAACCAGGCAAAGTTACAAGGAGATTTGGCAGTGTGTGAGAACAAGATAGAGATGCAAGAGAGACTTATCCAACGGCTACTTTCCCTTCTCGGTTACACATGTACAGGTAATTAGGCAAACAAAAGGCACGGTTGTAAAAAAAAAAAAAAAAAAAAAAAGAAAGGGTTCAGCTGTGTTTCTATTCATGACATTCGGCTTTGATCCCTGACCTCTGTTCTTTTCTGGATTCTTTAGACGACGGTGCGTTGGTCAAATCAGAGCTAACGGGAACGCATGATGTATCAGATGTGCTGCAAAGCGAGTCTTCATCGCTATCTAGAAAGTCAGTCTCCAGTTCGCAGCAATATCAACCAGAACAGCCGCAATCACAACAAAGCCGACCTAATATTTCAGGACAGGAGCCAGCTCCTCAACATAATAAAAATCATATGCAAAGCACCTCTACCGCCTCTACTTCCTTTAACTCGTCCCCGCCTCTATCATCTTCATCTTCGTCCGCATCTTCATCTTCACCACCAGAAATCCACTCTTCTTTACACTTGGGAATTCCTCCCCTAACATCGTCATCTGCATCTACATCCAGCTCTATAACCCCGATCCATCTCGCCAACAATCAATCTTCCGCATCAAACCCCCTATCTTCAGATCCCTCAGTAATGAGGTCAGCATTGGTATCGGTCTCTGATAATATTTACTTTGAGTCTAAATCATCGTCATATGGAAGCCAGGATGCCTACCAGCACTCCCTGATGTGCCAAGATCCTAACCTGGGAGTTACTAATATCACACTGAGCCATCTGACAACCCAGAGACAGCAACAGGATGATTTATCAGGAAACTTTACATCTGGCAAGCCCACTGCTAATAGATCTAATAGTAAGCAGCAGCGTAGTGTGATTGCGAAGCAGAAACAACAGCGACAGAAAGATCACCAGCAACAACAACAACAACAACAACAACAACAACAACAACAACAACAACAACAACAACAACAACAACAACAACAGCAACAGCAACAGCAACAGCAACAGCAACAGCAACAGCAACAACAACAACAACAACAACAACAACAGCAACAACAACAACAGCAACAACAACAACAACAACAACAACAACAACAGCAGCAGCAGCAGCAGCAGCAACAATTCATATCCGACATAGGCTCAAATGACCCTAATATTACAGCTCAACGACCTAACATGGTAATCCCAAGCTGGGCTATGCCGCCAAAAGTCTTGCTGGTTGAGGATGATGATACGTGTCGACGACTTAGTTCACGCCTGCTGCAGATCTTTGGCTGCCCATTCGATGTTGCGGAAGATGGCATGGCTGCAGTCGGAAAGATGAGTCATCAGAAATATGATATTGTTTTGATGGTAGGTAGACTTGGGAATGCTGCTGCGGTTCAGCCTGATGCAATGTCGGCGTTTTTTTTTTTTTTTTCTTACGTTTTATTTTTTTTCTGAACAAAAACAAATTCAATTTGATAGGATATCGTAATGCCGAAGCTTGATGGCGTCTCCGCGACAACGCAGATTCGACGGTTTGACGCCATGACACCTATTATTAGTATGACATCCAACATTACAACTAACGACATCCTAACTTATTTTGCCAATGGTATGAATGACATCCTGCCAAAACCCTTTTCTAAGGTTGGATTGCTCAACATGCTAGAAAAGCATTGTCAGCACCTTCGGTATATCAAACTCAGCCCCAGTGGTCTCATATCCGCCACCACAGTTAATGGTGCAAGTGCTAGCTGTGGTCAGGATACTAATCGGTTACAAATTCTGTATCGAGGCATCAGCGGTGTTGGTCCTGATATGAGCAACGAAAGTGGCATTGTCAACGTCAATGTTAATGGGGATAGGCAAAATGGTGGAAGCATCATGGAACTTCCGCTGGCCGGATTCCAGAATGGATCATCTCCCTCGCACAAGGCTCTCCAACTTGTAAATACTGAAAAAAGGAGGCTTAATAGCACAGGCAACGGTTTAGGCAACGGAAGCGGGATTAGCAATGGCGATCAGGACGAGTCTCAAAGAGATGGGATGAATGCAGCATTGGATCTAGGGCTACAATTGGGTATAGGAGGTATGTTGATAGTGAGCGGTATGGATTCTGCGACTGCCGACGGTTCGATGTTGTCCTCGAACATACAACAACAGCAGCACTCGCAACAGCAGCAGCACCATATTCAAATGATAAATCCTCATCATCACAGTAGTCTGTCCTCAACAACTTCAGGATCTAGACCGCATACATCAATACCTTTGTCCTTGCCAGGCTCAGTTGCTGCACCTTCTTCAGGGCTTATGTCCCCGATCGGCAGTAGGACTCCATTCTCATCCTCAATGATGACATATCCCATTGTATCAGCAAGCGTGTCTCCCATCTCTCAGCAGCATCCTTCTCATTTGTCACATCCACCATCGTTCCAGCACTCTATGCATCCTCCATCACATCAGCCGTATCAACAACAAGGGCCCACCATGACTCTGCTTTCGATCAGGCCTGAAGGTCCGATCATGATGACTGCTGGTGGAGCTATCGGAGATCATGGTGGGATAGATCTAAGCAATTCTACCGAGCTTGGTGACACTATGGGACTGAGATTTGCTGCATTTGGAGGTATGGGAGCCGATTTGACTGGAACTGAGGGGCTACGCGGCCGAAAGCGTGCTAAAATCGAGGCGATCGAGTAACCTTTAATATTTTTTACATTGTTTTATTTATTTTTTTTGTTTCTATTTCTATACACTCTATTTTGTATTTTATTTTATTTTATTTTTTTTTTGTCTTGCTTTTGCATATTATGTTTCCTTGTAATGTTATTAAACGAAAGCGCATATTTTCATTCATACATGGTAAAGATAAAAAATATATTTTTACAAGAGATGTTTGTACTGCCATTAATGTGTAGAATATATACAGAGGGGAAAAAAGAATTCCCTCGTCATGCACTCTATGATGGAGATTTTATTGGGAGCCAAAACGAGTCTGTCTCGTTATAATGGATTGGGTTTCAAAATCGAGTGAAATATAAACCTAGAACGAGGGGCGGAATTGCTGTTGCTGCTGCTGCTGCTGCTGCTGTTGTTGATGCATCTCTTTAAACATGGCTTTGGTCGCCATCTTGGCAGGGACTCGTCGCATCTTGTGAACAAGACCTGTCCCACCCGATAGAGATGTAGTAACAGGGGTAGAGGCTGTTGACGTTGATGTACATGGTAAATTCGAAGATGTGGAACGCAACCGATCAACTTGCTGCTGCTCTTCTTCCTTAACCTCCTTCAATCCCATCTCCTCTCTATCCTTCTCCAATTTGACTGGCAGGGTATCTGTTGATGGGCTTGTTTCTTCCATGCTTTCAGAAGGCCCTTCATCCTCATACCCAATATCCAACATAATCGTCATCATACTTTCAGCAAGCTGTGAATAATCCCGCCGGATCACCTCCAAAACCTCTTCCAGTCGAATAAAATACAGTTCACATCCAAGAAACTTTTGCTTTTCATGTTCCTTGAGCCGACTCATTGCGTTTGACGCTGTTGTCCAGTTTGAGAACTGACATTCTACAACAGGCATAGGAAGGACCTCAAAGTTCAACTTTACAGCTGCTGCACACCGATCTGATACCATTGATGACAAGGGTGACCAAAGACGTGCCTTTTCCTGCTTGCTGATCAGACGACGATGTCGATGAAGATGTGGATACCGTGAAAAGAGTGCCTCTGGCGACAATCCCAAGAGCAATTGAATCTGTCGATCAACAACACAGAAATGCTGAAAAGACGGAAGACCATTGCTTTGAAGGGTAGCATCTTGATCTGCGCTCCCAGATGAAAGCTGGACGGTATACAAGGGCAAGTAACGCTGTGCATCCTGAATTGACCTTTGAGATGGGCTACAAATCTCGAACGGCTCCTCTTTCTTTACTACATCATGAGTAGCCGATAATGGTACAGATCTGGTCTTATCTCCTAGTTCAGTCACTGTAGACGCATTCGATGCCAAGGTCTCATTTGCCGACACAAGCTCCACAGCGGATGGCTTTGCGCCATTTAAATGCTCTGTTACAACATCAGTCGCTTCAGAAAAACTAGTTTTAGCTTTCTTCCTGGATACATCTGCATCACCTATCGTCATCACATCAGAAGGCATATCCATGTTATTGGATCCAGTAAGTGCTGTTGCCTGCACGCCAAAATTCACTGATAAACGTGAAGTTGAAGCCGAGCTTATGCTTCGCTGTCGATGATGCTGGGAAGTTGCACTACCAAATTTAAGATCTTCGGCAAACTTCTGATACCCGCTTGTTGAAGCAAACGTTTGACTGCTGCGCTTTCGATTCTTTTGACTTTCCTGCTCTTGTGTTGCAGATGGTGGTAGGGCAGTCGAGGACGGAGGAGGTGAAGACGATGCCTCAGTCAGGGGTGGTGAGATCGATGCAATTGTAGATCCGGACGCCATTCCCAATGCAGACATTGGCCTTGAAAAGAATAGTGACGGTTTTGAGGCATGACGGCTAGGTTTACTAGTAGCGCTGGAGTTATTGGCGTCTTTTGAAAAGGATGGCAATGAAGCTACTCTTCGCAAGTCTTCTACTTTGTTATTTGAAAAACTCGGCGTCCTAAAGTTTTGGCCGTCATCCTCACGCTCCTTCTTGATCTTGACTTTACCGCCATATCCATCATTATGCCGGTCAGATTCTCGCCGCTTTTTGCTGGACGACCCTGTGGATGATAATGCTTTCATCTCTACATCTTCACTCCCTTCTTGAATACTTGAGCTCGTTCCGGACGAGGACATGCGGCGGGAGTGAGGTTTTTGCTTTTTGAGAGGTATTGATGGGTGCTCGTCGGTTAATTCTGAATTATTGTGCTTCCAGGAAGTATTTGCTACAGAAGTCCCCATAGCTGAGGTCGTTGCTTTTGCTGCGGCTGGTGATACCACTGCAGAGGCATCAGAGGTTGAAGATGTAGGTGCAAGCGTTGATTGCGAAGCATTCATTATTGGCATGGATATTGATTTAATAACCCCCGATCCAGAGTCACTCCTGGAATGCTGCTGCTGCTGCTGCTGCTGCTGGCGCTTCTCGTCGACATCTTTCCATTCAGAGTCCTTGATCTTCGACTTTACAGATTCATCACTATCGCTATGGCGACTTGTTTTCCGCTCCTTATGCTTTGGAGATCCACGAGCTGGAGTAAATAAATAAAAGAAAGGAAAGAAATTAGTAAGTTGCTCAAAATATTGAATGATGTTGAGACTTCAATTTAAACTTTTTTTGATAGAGCACTCACATTCAATTGATTGGGAGAGTCGCTTCTTGCTTTTCTCTTTTGTTTTCAACTCTGCCTGATCCATTGATGATTTAATAAGTGAACGGATCTCAGTATCTTTTGGCGATACAAGCTCCAAGCAAGTGCGTTTCTTTGAATCTCGGAGATTCACAAGTGCATTGTTTTGTAGCAACAACTTCACAGCTTCAACATGACGATTTCGCACAGCTTCATGCAGCGCAGTTGTTTTGTCCTGGTCCTGAGCGTTGACATTGCAGCCATAGGCAAGCAATAGGACTAAAACATCGATGTTACCAGTCTTTGCAGCAAGATGCAATGGGGTCATGCCTTCATGATCCTTTGGATCCCGTTCTGCTCCACCCTCTAAAAGAGTCCCAACCATCTCAATGTCGCCTGTCTCTGCCCATTGATGAAGTTGTGTCCGACCCAATGCGTCTTTATACCGATGATCGATGCGAAATCGGTCTCCAGCTGAACGTTGTACAGATCTTCTAGACTGCCTTGATTTTGTTGGTTCTGAATCTGATTCATCTCTTTCTTCTGATCGGGAGGATCGTCGTTTTGAGACTCCCTTAATTTTAGTAAGAGACTTACTCGACAGAGATCTCTGTTTGGAATGATGTGACTTGGAAGAGGCTTGCTTCCATTCTGACGATGTGGATGTTGAGTTGGATGAGCGTGATGGCTTTCTATTGTGGCCGCCATCATTATCATCATCAGATACCATTTTCGATGTCTTCTTCTTGGCCTTCTTACGTTCTTCCATCTGCTCTTGCATACGGATTGTTGAAAGCAACTGCTGCATTTTGCGCTCATCTCTAGATAGTTGTGTCGGTCTTTCTTCACTCGCGCTCTTACCTTCATCACTCATACTAATATCCGCGCTGCCTTCTTTGTGCCGCTTTGCTTTACCATCATTGGAAGACCCGACATTGGCTAGGATAGACGTATGAGTGAGGTGCGCTGATCTTTTGGAAGACTGTAAGGAAGATGAAGATAATGACGAGCTCAGAGAAATCATAGATCCAGTAGACTTTGGAATTGGTTTCTTGGTTCCTCTGGCCCCTGTCCTTAATAGCTCCAAGATGTTTTCATCTTCAGTTACATCACAAGGCCGTTCACCCTTTAAGTTTTTATAATCTGGATCGGCGCCGTATTCTAGCAACAGCCGAACGACATCTTCGTGTTCATTTTGTGCTGAATCGTGCAATGCAGTATCGTCACCATGGCCACGAGCGTTCGGGTCTGCTCCTTTTGATAACAGCAGTTCCACAATTTCGGTATGGCCTTCGAGTGATGCTTCATGTAAAGGGGTCCAGTTTGCATTGTCTTTAGCGTTGATGTCAGCGCCCTGATTGAGGAGCTCGACCACATTGTTGTACGAGCCTGAACTACATGATCGATGAAGGAGGGTCTGTCCGGCTTGGTTCCGTCCAGTTAGCATATTTACAAGCGCTTGTCGCCGCTGCAGAAGGTCAATCACTTCTTTATCGTCAGTGACGTCAAGTGGAATAACACCCTTTGCGTTTTTGGCCATCACATTTGCACCATGCGCTAGCAGCAACTTGACAACTTCAACATGTCCATTCTGAGCAGCATCATGTAATGGTGTGTCCATATGGCCCCCTCGCGCATTCACATCTGCATGATGCTCAATTAATAGCTTTGCAACTTTCTCATGCCCTGTTACACATGCTTCGTGCAATGGGGTCCACTCTGCATAGTCACGATCATTGACTTCAGCTCCAGCCTCGATGAGCTTTCGACATGTCTCCAAGTCGCCCATTGCCGTGTACTTGAATAACTGCGTCCTTCCTGACCGATCTCGTTTTCCAATATTTACAAAGTCAGGTTGTTTGGTCTTCCTCTTGGATTGATATCCGCCGCTTGTTTGTTGGTGAGCAGGCTCTGTTGGAGTAAAATTTAAGGTATTCTGGCCATCCTGATCATCCTGACCTGGACTTTTGGGTAATGTGGAGGAGACAGGGGATGACGGCGAGAGTGTTGTTCTTGGTCTGACAGGATGTTTCTTCAATTTAGGTGGCCGACCTGGCTTTCTTTTAGGTACTTCAAGAGGCGCTCGTTCGCCGTCAGAGCTGTCAGACTCTATCCGGCGAATATGTTTTGAACGGAGTTTCTTTGATGTTGGTCTTTTGATACGCCTAGGTGTTGAACGTGAATCCGAGTCATCTTCATCCTCGTCATCGTCTTTGCTTCCTGAGCTGACATTGTCGTCAGCATTCGAGTCCTCCATGTCTTCTGAACCGGATTCATGATCAGTTCCGCTTGGGCTAGAGGCACTGCTAAGATCAGAAAGGTCTGATCCGTCAAAGTCGCTAAGTGCACCGTCAATAAGATCTATTGTAGAGCTTGTCGGTTTGGATTGGGCGACAGGGATTGACTTTGTGGATATAATCTGAGGTTCTTTAGAACTATTTGCGCCAGTTTTCCCTGTTGACTTGCTTTCTGAGGTCAAGGATGGATGACTAAGTGACATACTGTTCATGATAGGTTTCGAGGCTTCTGGATTCTCTATAAAGCTTTTTTGGCGTATTCCTGATTCCTCTGAATTTGACTTTTGTGAAGTTAAAATTGAATCCCCTGCAGATTCCTTGCCTGACAATAACGCCTCAGACCCTTTGAGTATTGGATCCGAATCTGAATCCAGATATGAAAAGACTGATCCCGATATTTTGTTCCCGTTAGTCATTAGAATAGGTAAATAATGACGTGAGGTTTGTTCGATACCAGTCGTGGAGTTTAGACGGGAAATGGTCCCATTTTCCATGTTGAATTGAGTCCTATATTGTGAGAGCCTAATGATTTAACAATGAGAGTTGAGACAGCGAGAAAAAGAGGAAATAAAAAAAATAAATTTTCGATATTAACATACTTTGATCAGAAGAGTTCTCGATATATAGGCGGAGCTTTAGGCGATAAGGATAAGGGAGCCAAGAGCTTGCCAGGAAAGTCTATTTATTGATGATGAAACAGATAGAGATTAATTCAAATGATTTGATTGATATTCCTTAATCCTGGGTGATATGATGATTGTTCTTTTTACAATGAAATAATCACAAGCAAGAAAAAACAAGGCGGTAGTAAGAGAAATGAGAGCAGAATCTGAACATGGGTCTTCAGTGTGATTTCGATAGTGTGGAATATTTTGCATGTGCAGACACGACATCATGCGATATTTCGTTGAGACTGCACAGACGGGAAACCAAAAGAGAAAGAGGATAGAGTACAGAAGAGCGAAAATAATAATAAATAAAGGTTGTGTTGCCATTCTCATATCGACCTGCCTTTCCATGTGTATCCATCATTAGATAGAGATAGAGAAAGTTGATGCTTGTGCTAGTAGTGTGGTGTCATTTTACAGAGTATCTTTCCAGTAACTCTTGTGACAGCCTCAAAACATACCTCGACAAATGTTGGAGTGGTGGATTTGCACTATATTTCCTGCCAGGCTTGTAATAAATGTTATGGGAAAGGAACAATAATGGTAATAAAAAAAAGTCAGCCCCTATTGGTCAAAGTCTAGGCAAAGAAGAATGAGAAGAAAAAAAAAAAAAAAAAAAAAAAAAAGCATCAGGTCATTAGGACACATTGACCATGAAAAAAAAAATAAACATATTTTTTTATAGCATGAACACCATACCCAAAAACGCTGAATCCACAGGATGTGAGGGGGAAAAAATAAAATAAGGACAGAAAGGATAGACAGGACAAAACAGTAGAGGGGTGGAATTCAAACTTGGGATAACATGCGAAATGAATGAATGCAGAATGTGAGAGTGAGAGAAAGAAAGAGAGAAAGAGAAAAAGAAAGAGAGAAAAAGAGGTAAAGAGACAAACTGTACAAAAGGGCTTTGAGGACGGGAAGACGGGAAAGAGGCGAGTAACAGAAAGAGAGAAAGAGAAAAGAAAAAAAGTGTGGTGTGGAGTGTGAAGAGTGTATAAGAAAAAAAAAAAAAAGCATGAAACAAGTACACACAAAAAATGAGAATTGGTTTTATCACTGTCAAAAAAGATATGTTGTACATGTACATATTTTTTTTTTTTTCTTGTTGCAAATGAGGAGAGAAGGGGTGCCATCTAAGCCACAGCATATCCCCCCCTTTTAAATCTTGTACGTGCAACGCAACACACAACCTTTTTCCTTTTTTTTTTTTATTTTATTTGAATGCAACTCCAGAAAAAGCCTGGGCCAACTCAACTCTTTTTCTCTCGCAAAGTCTCTCTTACGCCCTTATTCACATTCACAATCCCGGGCGCATGTCACAAAAGAATCTACAGTTGCATCGCCTGAGCGATTCTACTCTTTTGACAGGTCTAATCCTCTTTCGTGCTCTGAACGCTTGTCTTGTCCAGACTTATTTTAGTCCTGACGAATATTGGCAGGCACTCGAAGTTGGCCATAAGATCGCATTTGGCTCTGGTTACTTGACTTGGGAATGGGATGTAGGATTGCGCTCAGTTCTCCACCCGGTCCTCTTTGCTGCCCTATACAAAACCCTTGCTGTTCTAGGTCTTGATGATGGACCCTTGATTGTAATGAATTGATCCACGATAATATTAATAATCTTTTTATTTAATCCATCCAGCCCATTCATTAACTACAACATTTTTTATTTAAATATCTTGTGCCTCATGTGTATATTGATCTACCATTCCTTACCTTGCTATCCTAAATTACTCAATTGAAGTTAGGAACCTGAGCTCCTTCCTTTATTTGGTTGTCTCAAGTCAATTACAAGAATCTTGTAAAGTAAAAAAAAAAACTTTTAATTGACTCGAATCTATCCAAATAAAGGAAAGCAGCTCAAGTTCCTAATCGACTAATTTCTTTCTTCTTCTTCTTCTTCCATATAGATGTATGCTCCACGACTATTACAGTCGATCTTTGCAGCCATCGCTGACTTTTACGCGTATCGATTTGCAGATCGTCTGTTTCAGAACCAAGTGACTGCTAACTGGACGGTACATTTTTTTTTTTCTTCTCTTCTTTCCTCAACAGATATTTATTTATTTATTTATTTATTTTTCTTATCATTGATTTAGCTTTTCTTGTCCATAGCGAGCTGGTGGAATTTCTTTTGTTCAACCAGAACATTAGCCAACTCCATGGAGGCTGCACTGACGATTGTAGCCCTCTATTACTGGCCTTTTGCTACATTCTCAGCTGAATCTACGATTCATTCTTTTGGGTATGAACGCTCATCAACACCACAGCAGAGACTATCGCTAATGCTTGCCTTCTTAACTTGCATCTTTCGCCCGACAGCCGCCATCATCTGGGTTTTCTTGGGCGTATCTTTGCTCATTGGATATATCAAGAAGAAGGATTGGTCATCCGTATTTACTACTATGGTGAATGTCATCATGATCGGGTATAAGGCTTTGCAACAGAAAGAAACATCTTATAGTTTATACCATTCAAACTTTCTTAAGCTAGGAAGGACTCCAAACTTACAAATGTCTCTTTTGTTACATCTCTACAGGGGAACGGCAATGTTAGCATCTGCGATTTTGGATTCTACGCTTTTATACCACCAATGGATCTTAACGCCACTCAACTTCTTACGAGTTAACGTGCTCGAGGGGATATCACTTTTTTACGGATCTTCACCTTGGCATTGGTATCTCTCGCAAGGTCTTCCATTGCTGTTCGGTATATATGTCCCTTTTGTGGCCGTCGGATCATGGCGCGCCTGGATTGCCACCACTGGACACAATGCTTCATTAAAACGACAAGTACTTGGTCTCAGCCTTTGGACGCTAGTCATTTACAGCAGTCTACAGCACAAAGAATGGCGGTTTCTATATCCGATCCTATATCCCCTCCTTCCCTTTGCTGCTGACACTCTCTATCGGTTATCCCAATCAGCCCATGGGTGGAGACGATCCAAGCCCACGGTTGCGATTATAATTGCCTTAGTAACCGTGAATGTCATCATGGCATGGTATACAACACTTGTACACCAACGCGGTGTAATCGATGTTATGGAATGGATCCGACAAGAAGCAAAAAGTCAGCAGATCGGACAGATAGGCTTCATTATGCCGTGCCACTCAACACCTTGGCAAAACAGCGTTCATCGTCAGAGCTCTGGACCATTAAATATGTGGTTCATCACTTGTGACCCACCGCTCGGGTAAGTGTACAGGTGTTCAACTCTATTAGCTCCTTGATCGCTAGATTTGACAATAGTATTTTAAGACAGATTCGAGATGTCAATACTTTTTATTTTTTACCTTTCTTTCTTCCTTCCTTGCTGTAGTAACGCCGATATTACCAATTATAAGGACGAATCTGATGTTTTTTATGCAGACCCAGTCACATTCATGAACGAACGAATCCCAAAGTTATGCAAGGGAAAAATGGATGAGAACACTCATCTTGTACTCTTTGAAGATCTTGTCAATTCATGGCCTGGAATATTAAGTTGGCTTCAAATACATGGATATCATGAGGTAAACTCTCTTTTTTTTTTTTCTTTTTTTTCTGGACGACCAACAACGAACTTATTCTTTTATTATTTTTTTTTCCCTTTTTCTTTTTTTCTTTCCCATAGTGTGCAAGATTCTTTAACTCACATTTTCATGACGATAGTAGGCGGCGCGGGGATGTCCTGGTCTATTGTAGGGTTTTTAAATAGGATTATAATCTCTTGAGTTCGATAGCATGGATCAGTTAAAGACAATGTTAGTAAGGCATTTTATTTGAAAGTTGTTCAAGTACTGTTTGAACCTATTCTGGTACAGGCAAGACAAACATCTAAAGACCATTGATCTACCACCGATATATTTAAAAGAACCCGTGAATATGGTTATTATGTTGACCTTGGCAGTGAGGAAAGATCTAAGGATAGCTCCAAGTCTATTTAGAATGACAGGTTGATCAACGTTCATGTAATATTTATAATAAAGGAGCGCACTAAAACCTTTCTGCCCTTTTATACTATTAAACATTCAAAATATTTATTACTGTTATTTACATATTGTAATGCACTACCTTTTTTTTTTTTTTTTTTTTTTTTTTTTTTTTATTATTAGAATTATCATTCTTCGACCAAAAAAAAAAAAAAAAAAAAAAAAAAAAAAAAATTGCATTAATTGGAGCCTGCAAACGCTCCTACAGCCAAACACAAGTTTCTCTTTGTAAATTGAACCTTGTAGACTGGCGTCCGCTTGGTCGGAAATGTTGCCAAGAGGTCCTCAGACTCCAATGGACTAGAGAGCAGAGCCTTCTTTTGTAGTCTATCTAAAGCGGGTGAATGTGAACGGCCATAGGTTACTGTAGGAGATGATATCGCAGATGCACTCGCTGGGCCATTTATACTTGTCACACCATCACGGCCATCGTGCAGAATACGATGCTGTGATGACGAAGTATCCTTTTTAATATCCCAAGTCCTAACTGTTGAATCTGCACTACCGGAGACCAACAGACTCCCATCTTGGCTAAATGCGAGAGAATAAACGAGACCCTGGTGTCCTGTCATCTTTTTCATACGCTTCCCTGAGCCAAGATCCCATAATTGAATCGATTTGTCTACTCCTGCAGAAGCCATCATACGACCATCAGGTGACATAGCAATTGCCTGAACAGCGCCCATGTGTCCTGTAAATACGCGCACACAGGTTCCTCGTTGAATGTCCCACAACCTTGCAGTCTTGTCACTTGATCCTGTCACAATATATTTTGAATTTGGATGAAATTTCACTGCCTAAACACCATTAGAAAGTTAGGAAACGTATTTTTACTGTTCTCACTTCCCCCTCTCCTCTTCCTCCAAAAAAAAAAAAAAAAAAAAAAAAAAGCTTACATCCACGTCTGAAAGATGTCCAGCGAAAATACGTAATGGGTAGATATGATCACAACTCCAAAGACGAGCAGTTCTATCATGTGAAGCAGTAGCGAAATAGAATCCTTGGGGTCCAAAATCCACATCCCATACTGGATAATTATGCCCCTTATAGCACACAAGATTGGTCAGTGTGTTGGTGCTCCAGAGGCGTGCTATATTTTGCATTGCCATTTCGTTAGAAGCTCACATTGATGAAAGAATATTCAATAACGCCCTTATAAAAAGCTTCTCGACATACCAGTCTTATCTTCGGAGCATGTAATGAGATATTTGTTGTCTGGACTAAAGCTGGCCCCAAAGACAGGTCCTGCATGTCCAATTAATTTTTTTGAGTCTGAGCCATTCTTCTCTCGGACCCTGTTCAGGTCATTAGCTATGATAAAGGACAAAGATGAAGAAGTTAGCCTTTATCCAGATTAGCGTGGAAACATAAAAATGAACAAAATAAAATAAAAAGCTTACAGTCGTTAATATGTGCCGGGTTGAAATTACTCTTGAATCCCCGTAGCTTTTCACCATTCAAACTCCAGAGTTTGACAAAAGACTCTGAAAATCCTGCCGCCATTAATGTTGCATCCTCGGAGACTGCCACACAGTTAATATTCTCATGCGCGTTATGAAAAGTGTACATGCATATTGAAGGAAGACTAGTAGGCCCTAAAGCCGCACGTTTTCGAGAATCACGAAGCGCTTCAACTTCTGCCTGAATGTCGCTGCCCTTGCTATTTCGAAACATATCGCCATTGAGATGATAAAGTACCCATGTTAGCAAATAAATCTTCAAATCCTCTGAAACACATATCATTCAATGATCGTTAATTAACACAAATATATATACATATATATGAGTACGTACAAAGGTGGCAAAGGAACATCATCCCGTGATGGTGAGTCAACGCCCGCCTCTGTCTTCACTTTTCTGTACTCTTCCATGAGGGATGTCGGGGCTTCGCTACCCATAACTGCATCACCACTCGCTGCTGCTTGGAGTTCCTCTTCCTTCAAGCTTTGTTCTACCTGTTCCCGTAGTCCGGCATCCGGAGGCATAGGTCCCAATGTAACGCTCTGTTGGTTAAAAGTTGACAGCTGATGTGTCCCATGCCCAACAATGCCGATGACATCATCCTCATTTGCGTTTGCTGCTCCAACTAGGGTAGAGAGAAAATAACATCAAAATCTCCTTGAGTACCATGAGTAAATCCTACTGTTTCAAACATTTTTGCTCCAATATTCTTTTTTTTTTTTTTTTTTTTTTTTTTCCTTCATCCTTACCATGGATATCTAGATGCTGGTTTACAATTCTGAGTAACACAATGAATTTGTTGTCTTCCAAAAACGCGATAAGGAGCTCAAATGAAACAGGAGCCATGCGTAGATGATATTTGTTAGTTTTATACATCTGTGCTAATTCATTCTCCGCCACGTGTTGTGCATCCGTGATAGTGGCCAGCCGAGCTATATCCTGTGGATGCATTTCCAAATGATCGGCGCGAAAGTTGTTCATGAATGTACTTGCTATCATCACATTAAACAATAATGACAATAGTAGCAATAAAAACTAATTTCCATTAGTCTCCCTGCTTGTGCCTTTTAAAATAAAATAAGAGTATGTATCTTTTTTTTTTTTTTTTTTTTTTTTTTTTTATTTCATAAAGAATTCATTTTGTTACCTTGGTCTTTCAATCCTCGGCTCACAAGATTCAAGTAACTATGCACGAATAATGGAAACAAGATCGAAATAAGCTCTGGCTATAAATCAGATCATAACATTCAGGGAAATTAATCAGTTAGTTACAGGATCGAATAAACAACGGGACCACTTTTCAAATTAGCAAGACTACATCTGACCTTGTATAAATCCAATGAGCTCTCAACCCATCGTCTGAGGGATGAGTATGCTTGTTCATAAGCGTCTGGGCTTGCCAAATCGTCCTTATCATGTTTCTTGGGTTGAGTGGCTGTAGCGGTCCTAGATGCGCCTGCATTAAAAGTGCCCTCTTGTTCTACTCCCGAGGCAAATGACGCCTCCAGTTCCTCAAGAGTCATGAGATTTGCCTCCCGCTTAAGTGCGATCTCTGCTTGCCTATAGCCCTTCTGATTCAAGTAATTCAAAACGATCCTGTCTACGTCCTGCTGCGTCTGTGGCGTTTGAGATGGTGCTGTAGTCTGTTGTTGCTGCTGTGGCTGCGGGGGCAGATTGGTTGTGCTAGCTGTGGTCTGTGCTGGAGCTGAAGAATTAGCTCCAGTGCCGTTCGCGCCATCGACAGCAGAGTCGGACATGATGTGTAGAATGGGTTAGTTGGGAATCGCATTTTGCTGCGATTATTGACAATGACAACCTGTCTCAAACCCCTTAAGTTGCTCTTTATAGTCACATAAAATTGAAATTCTTCAAGATGTGAAATTTAAAGTCAAATATTGGCGCACATCACACATCAACTTTATGCTCCCTTTTGGCAGTATTCGGAAGGTCATTACATCGTTTGAATTCCTTCAAGTTCGTGTTTGGAAGAGAGGAAAGGGGGACAGGCCTCAGTTTTTTGACTCGTGCCTTCACCTCAATCGGGAACGACTGGCGTCTTTTGTTAACAACCTTTTTGATCCTTGTGTTAATTGTTTGAATGGAGTGAGGACACGTGTTTTGTTTATTTGTATCCATGAATGCCAATATTGTTATGACCAATTTCACTATGAATTTGATCGTAAAAACCACTTTTGCAGAGCAGCATGGGCGAGGCTGCCCTTAAAGGGGGAGACAATTCATATATTGCCAGTCTTGAATATGTCAAGTCAAAGGGTAGAAAATGGTTAAAGAGATATAGATGGCCCATTGTTGTGAGGAATGTACGATAAGTCAGAGAAACCAAATGGTTCCTGGGGAAATTAGAGCCATGGAAGGATTTAAACTGTTTATTTGAAAAAATGAATTGTGACTTTTGTCCACGGCATGGGCGTGCTTTCATTTCACTTGCTTCTTCTGAGTGAATGGGAATTGCTCGCTTCGCCCTTCACGATCGTGCCTGGACTTTAGTCATTGGACTTGAGAGTGTTCAAACGCTGTCAAACATTAATTGAGAAAGAGAGAGAAAAAATAATATATTTATAAAGCCATAATCTGGAATGGAACCTGCCAAGACTCATGCGAACGATGACGCACACAACTCTTCGCCTCACAACAATTCAGAAGCTGCTCAGTCATATAAGGAGAATACGCTAATGGTTCCCGATATTCAACCTGTTGACAACGCCATCTCGACCGACTCTCGAGAATCAGGATCGGATAGTACAGCAACAACCAGAGAAGGTAAAAGATGCCCGGAAAAAATGATCAATTATTCAATCAAGCAAAACTATCTAGTTCAGATACAATCCAGTCTGGATCAAGAAAGAAAACACTATGCAAACGCCCTTAAAAGATCTATGCAAATGACATGAAAGGCATCTTAGAGTGGATTCGGGGCTAAAGGAGGAGTGTTGAGAATGGACTATCTGAAAACATTGTACCCTAAAGTTTCGGACCAATACCAGCAATTTGTTAATGGCAAGATAGCCAGAAGTAAAGCAATCGAATACTATCTTCTTGGAGCTGAACAAGGCCAGGAAAATAGCAATGGACATGGCTTGGACGCGTCACTTCTATACCCGCTACAGCTTTTATGGCCGCGCAAACCTCTTTATTAAATTCATTTCAGCAAGCACAACTTGATTATTTCCGGTCTGTTATATCTTCAACAGAACAGGAACGCATGCAGCTGCAGTTGCACGAGCAAATAAACAAACAAACGGAGCCATAATCAAAGTTGTTTTTCAATCGCAAGAGGCGACAGTTCAACAGATTCATCGAGAGCAGGATCTATCTAAATTACAACTTCCTCCTCCAATTGGCCTGTATATCAGCCAACACTCTTCCTGAGGAATGGCACATGCGCCAATTAAAGCATCTGCTTCGCTAAAAAGATCGTTTCAATCATTGCCAAGCGCAGCTCCGTAACCACTGCACCTTCGTTCACTACAAATACAGGGTTGGAATCGTTTTTATTTTTTATTTATTTATTTATTTTTATTTTTTTTTTTTTTTTGTTCCCCTAGTCTACTGCTGTTCACGACTGCTCTACCTTACTATTTATCGCTATAGATGCTTTCCCTTCCTTTCTTTTTTTCTTCCACTAAAACATCTTTGATCCTAACCTTACCGTTTACTTCTTACCGTCGTAGAAAGCATGACATCTGTCTTAAATCCCATAAAGGTTACAGATACTCTCGGAACCCCAGATTCAGTTAACAGCAATAGCTATATGGGTAGTAGCAACCCTAATAATAGTGATAATGGTGTCACGAATAATAATCAGCCAAGTCTTCCAAATCATCCTCCTATGATCCCAAGTATATCCATTCCAAAACCTATGATGACAGATAACCTGGATATAGCCGAGTCTCTCTCATACCCAGAGGATCTCTGTCCTCCTGATAACTTTAATATGGTCTCCACATGGATCTATCGGAGCAGTTTCCCAAAGAAGAAAAACTTTTCCTTCTTGAAAAAGTTGGGATTGAAAAGTATCCTGTAAGTAGATCGACCTACCACCCGCACATTCACAAAAAGAAAGAAGAAGTAAAGAGAAGAAGAAGAAGAGGAAAAAAAAAAAAAAAAATCGATGTTTTTTTTTTTCCTTGGCTTTAACTTTGGCAGGACCTCCTTCACTATAGCACTCTCATCTTGGAGGATTATCCTGATCAGAATATGAAATTTCTGAAAGAAAACGATATAACTCTCTTTCAGTTCGGCATTGCTGGAAACAAGGTAAATACTGCATTTCCTTTTTTTTTTTTTTTTTTTTTTTTTTAAGAAAAATTGGATTACTTGTAAATGTGAACTTCAAGGCTGCTCCACCATCTAGAGTTTTATCAAGAGAGTTCACCAATTTTTTTTTTCTTTTTTCTTTTTTCTTTCGTACAATCGAACATTAATCGATCATTTGGCTCGTCGGTGGTTCCCCTTGTCGTCCAATGGTTTCTCGGGTGTACCTATTTTTTTTTTTTCTTGCATATGGCTTGTCATTATCTCTAGGAACCTTTCGTTCAAAGTAAGCTATACTACAACAACAACAACAACAACAAAAAAAATAGTAATCCAGCACTTACACCCACTCTTTTTTTATACCCTATAAGACCGCATGCCCTTTTATCATTACTACTAATTGTTTTTTATTTTTTATCATTATTATTATTATTATTATTATTATTATTATTATTATTATTATTGTTATTATTATTATTATTATTATTATTATTTTATCCAATCTGCAATGCTAATGGAGAGGAGTATCTGATAATAATGACTTTTTTTTTTTGAAAAAAAAAAAAAATAGTTCCTGACGACAAGATCTGTGCCGCATTAGCCGTCCTTCTCGATCGACGTAATCATCCCATTCTGATCCATTGTAATAAGGGCAAACATCGCACTGGATGCCTAATTGGCTGTCTCCGGAAACTCCAGCAATGGAGCCACACATCCATTTTTGATGAGTACCGCCGCTTCTCCCATCCAAAGTCTCGGTCTATGGATCAGCAATTTATCGAGCTGTTTGATAGTCGTGAAGCTTGGAAGGTCATTGATCCAAAATGGATTCCAGACTGGAAGACATTAGGCCACCACGCAGGGATATAGATCGTTCTTTCTTTTTCTTTTTTTTTTTATTTTGTTTTGTTTTTGGCCACAGCAATGAACTTATATATATATATTATTATATACAACATGCCTTCTACACACCATAAATATAATTATTAATGATCATCAATTATTTTTGAATCAATTTAAAGTAGAAATAGAAAATAGATGTGGGGTATAGATTTTTATTCATGATATTGTTCAAAAAGATTATATGGTGCTTTGATGTCTCTATAAGAGGCAACGTCTATTGTTTTGTTCATCCGTACCTTTTTTTTTTTTTTTTTTTTTTTTTCAGATTAGGTCAACAATAAGAAAGTTTGTCTTCTGGACAAAACTGGGGCCATACGAAGGAATTAAACCCTCTCAGTCCATGGGCTCTGCCTTGATATATACCTCTATAGGCTCTTCCTTAATAGAGCTCAAAGGCATGGACTGCTGACTAAGCAACGCTTCTGAAGCTGCCTGAGCAGCTGCAGCCGCTGCGCTCGAACGTTTGAGGACCCTGGAATTATATGTACGTCTGATCTTGCCTTGCGCATCAACGCGGCTAGATCGAATACGACGGGTGATCTTGTTCTGGGGCGAATCGGCTATGGTGTTGGTAGGGGTCGGTGCAGCCACTTTGGAGGATGCCAGACTAGTGGTAGAGTTATCAAAGACACTGAAGGGAATGATGGGGAAGCGGATCACCTGCTCATGATCTTCCAAGCCCTTGCCACTGACCACACGGGACGACGTGACTTCGACATCCAGACGAAGATATCTCTGTTCGGATCCGTTCTCTGCAGTGTTTGAGTTGGGCATCCACGGTGGCAATTGATCCTTTTTAGCGTCGGTAGTAGATCCAATGACTCCATCAAGAGGCGAGATGATCGACATGCGAGGACGACGGATCTCACCATTCGTAGCCTGGGCTGGACCACCGGTCTTGGACACACTTGAGGAACGGAGCGAGTACAGTAGATTGGAACAGTACAACCAGGCATCACGATCAGGCTCGTTCATTTCCTGATGGATATGGGGCGGGGTCCAAGGTAATTGGTCATGGTTTTGTGCCAAGAAACCAACACTTTTTGTATCTAAATCAACAACTGGGACAGGCTCATTGATGGCCTCCTTATTGATCACTGGGCTTGATGTGATGGGCAAAGATGAATCGGATGCTCCAGTCGCAACGTCAGAGGGGACGGTGACGGGTTGATGTCCAAGCCAAGTCTGCAAAGCGCGATTATCGGAAAATACGACCAAGTCAGTCATGTTTTGGAGCTCTTGTGTGCTGGCGGGGGGAGCACGGACCTGTCCAGAGATTGTAGGGTTCTTGTTGTATGAACCAAGAGCTCTTCCAACAATACTAAATAAAGCAAACGATGAGGAGTTTTTTTTTTTTTTTTTTTTTTAAGAATATGAATGAATAAAATGAAGGGAGCTATACTGGATTTTCATATCCTATTACAAACAAATGCAGTGGATTTGCAAGCTTACCTTGAGCCGATTCTTGCGCGGTCTAAAGATCCGCCGACCATGAGCGTTTCAAGTTTACCGCCTGGCAAATTGAATAATGCGAATGAAAAGAGAATGATCTAAAGTGACGAGAAGGGGTGGAATTTTGATATTTTATCAGTATAAAGGAGATGGATACTATGACGATTCACGGAGGGATTGACAATAATTATAATAATAATAATCGTAATAACGACAAGTTTAGATACATTTGTATATATAAAAATTATTAGGGCCATAAAGAAGGATGACCTACCATGAAGACAACACCAGTGGCCTTTGAGTTGAGTCCACGATCTGTATCGACGGAGGTGCGGATGTTACGTTCCAGATCCATGTCCATATGAAAGGCGTCAGTCTGTGGTTGATGATGAGTAAGGACTTTAATTTGGCGCTGGAGTGATTCACATTCTTTCCTCGCAGAGTCACGCTCCTCACGGGCGGTATCGCGCTCGGTCGTCAACACTCTGACGTTCTCTTCAAGCTCGGAGACGCGTTCGGTCAATTCCTGGTTCGTGGTCTTGAGAAGATCGGTATGGGTCTCAAGTAAGTTGATATGCTCGCGCTTGCGTTTGCGGGAGAGTAGAGCGGCGGCGCGGTTTTTAATAAGACGCTCCTGTCGCTTGGCCTGTGCAGTCAAAGCCGCCTCCGATTGTGGTTTCTCCTCAGGGATGAGAGTCGACTTTACGAGCACAGGATTGGATCGGGTGCCGTTTTGGGCTGGTGCGGGGATGATGGATGGTCTGCGGAGAGCATTGGTGTTGTTGGATGCAGGTGGTGGGGGAGGGGCAGCGATGATACGGGGAGAGAGTGAGGGCGACTTTTTAATAAAGACTTCGTTGGGTGGAGAGAGTGGTGCGGGATTGGGGGCTATCTGGGCTAGGGAGCCTAAGGGCATGAGAGGCTTTAGAGGGGCAAGGGGCGCTAGTACGGGCTGAGGGGGAGCAGAGTGCTTCTTGGCTCTTTTTGTTCTCTTCTCTGTCTTGACGGAGGAGGCAGGGGAAGGTGGAGTGTTGGTGTTGGTACGGTTATTAACAGGGTTCGAAGTATCGATAGTGGGGTTGATAATGGCTGGGCTATTAGGATGAAGAGGACTGTTTGAGTTGAGAAGAGCGTCCGTTGGGAATGCAAGGACCGATGGCTGTAATAAAGATCCATCAACGTTGGATAGGATTGGCCAAGCACCGGGCTGCTGTTGCTGTTGCTGTTGAGAAGTGTCTGTCAGGAGGGGGAAGGTCGAGTTGGGGGTGAGGTCAGAATAAATGTATTGCCAGTACTCGAGTGAGGTGCTGTCCATTGGTACGTCTGAAGTTGAGCCTTCGTCGCACGAGTCCATGTTGGAGTGCTGAGGAGAGCCGGAGGATTCGGAGAAGGTGCCAACAGAGGTCGGTGGAGAGGGAGGGTGTAGGAGATCTTGGTACTTTAGAGTGTTGTCATTGTCAGTTGGGAGCGTGTCAAAGAACTGTTGATCGAAATCAGAAGGATGGGTTGTTTGGGATTCAAGAAAGTCTGTGGTAAGGAAAGACAGGATTGATTCCTCGGGCGTGGAGATGTGGGATGAGTCTTCCATATTGGCATCAACTGCGTTGGCAGTGGAGGTTGTGTTGATGGCAGCCATTAAGGATGGGAAAGAGAAGAAGTAAAAAAAAAAAAAAAAAAAAAAAAAAAAAAATTAAAAGTAAAGCAAAAGCAAAAGCAAGAGCAATTGAGGAAAGAAGAAAATAGAAAAATAGAAGAAAAGAAAAGAAAAGAAAAGAAAAAGCCCAAAATCCTTTTTTAGTCTCTTTGTCTCCTTCTATCGATCTTTTTCTTTCGGACTAGAGCTTTTAGTTCTCTGGTTTCTCAATGCATACAGACAGGGTGTAGAGAAAGGAAAGAGAAAAAAAAAGGAGGGGGAGGAGGAGGAGGAGGAGGAAGAGAAAAAAATAATAAAAAATATAAAATAAAAAATAAAAAATAAAAAATAAATGTATTCAAAGGGGTCAAGTAGCTTTTAAAATGGGGGAGAAAGAGGGATAAGCGTTAATGCCTTAATGGAAAAAGGAAGGATGGGATGAGATGGAATGGAATGGAATAGCGGAATGGCGTAGGATGTGGATGGGAAAGAAAAGTAAAGTGAAAAGAAAGAAAAGTGGAAAAGTGGAGCGAAAGACAAAGAAAGACAACATCACCTGTGGGAGATTATACATATACGTATATGTATATGTATATAATACAAATATTGTAAATATGTATACAATAGCATTTAGTAAACAAGATATATATATATATTCATGTACATGTATTTTTATAAACATGTCGAGTGTATTCAGAGTGGAATGATCAGTGCTCGAATTGACTTTATCGATCCAAACCAAATCCATTTTCCCTCTCCGTCAAATTACAATTATTCACACGTTGTATAGGAAAAAAAGATTCGGGTGTGGATGTGGATGTTGAATATCCTCCTTTTCCTTTCCCCCCCCCCCCCCCCTCAGCACCAAAGCAACAGGCTGAAAGTGCATTCGTTGTGATAATCCCAGCACATCCCGTGCATGCGTTATTTTGCCTCTTGCTTTTTGCTTGCCTCTATTTATCTTTTGTCTTGCTTGAACTGATTATTATAAAGATCGTCCTGATCGATGGATTGCAAGTTGAATCAAGAAAAAAGAAAAACCTTTTGGATAAACCAAGTCCCACCGTCGACCTGAACCAATTAGTCTAATGGCAATAATATGTACATGTACACAAACAAACATGTTTACATCCACAAGTCCTCAGTCCGTGGACAAATGCATCGTACAAATGTAAGGTGTATTCAGCTCTATACAAATAACACAAAATATCAAGAAACGCATGTGCTTGCATTAGATTGTGCCACGTATTCCATTTATTTCATTCTGCTCTTATCACTCTCTGTTTAAAGTCAAGGCAATGTCTTTGCTCATCTCCCCTGTTTGAAAGTGACTAATCAATATCCTCCTAAACAAAACTTTTTTAAAATTTAAATCCATCTTTACTGCCATTGCATCCCTTACCCGCTTCTTGCAGACTGTTCTTCAATCACAGCCTCAGCTCAAAATAAACCAGAACTGCCACAATCTTACACAAACTCATAAACTCACCTCACTATCATGGCCGTAACTGCCTCTACAACGATCACGAATCAGAAACACCTTTTGACTCCCCCCCCCAATAGTTTCTTTTCACTACCCACTAAGGGGGGCCCTCGACTCTGGAAATAATGAACTTCGACTCTGGCAATGCTTTTTTTTTTTTCTTTTTTTTCTTTTTCCTTTTTCCTTTTTCCTTTTTCTTTTTTTGTAACCTAGACCCTGTTTGTCTTTATCTTTTTTTTTTTTTTTTTTTTTTTTTTAAAAAAAAAAAATTAAGAACAACGGCACTACTTGTGCGGCAGTGCAGAATTTGAAAACTCTTGACAGACGCCGTCTTTTTTCTTTCCTTTCGGAATTGGAAAAAATTCAACACTGTGCACCAGCCACGATAAACCTCGACTTTGACATCCTTTGTCCAATTAATAAATCCTCAATGTCTTGGTAAACCAGTCCTCTTTCAACATCAAAGCAAAGCAAAGCAAAGCAAAGCATGGCATAGCATGGCATAGCTTTTTCCCTTTTCCTTTTCTACAACTTTATTTTATGTCTTGTTCTGGACTAGAAATCCTCAATCAGAGATACAAAAGCTCAAACTTCAAAAAATTACATACGCGAGACTCCGTAGAGGTTGCCACCCTTGACCTCAGTGTTGTAGCACACCGATAAACAGAAGCCTAGAATGGTGCGTGTCTCTCGTGGATCGATGACACCATCATCAATACATCTTGAGCTGGTCCAGTATACATCCGATTCGTTTTCAACCATCTCCTGGAACATCGCCATCGAGGCCTTGGCCATCTCTTCATCAATCGCCTTCCCCTTCTTCTTGGCCGAGTCGCGCATCACAATATCGAGCACTCCCGTCAACTGTTCTGCTCCCATCACAGAGCATCTGCTGTTTGGCCACGAGAACAAAAACCGTGGGTTATATGCACGTCCAGCCATGGCATAGTTGCCCGCACCATAACTAGCTCCCATCACAATCGTAATACAAGGCACTTGCGAATTCGATACCGCATTAATGAATCGTGATCCAGCCTTGATGATACCCTCTTCCTCATACTTCTTCCCGACCATAAAACCAGTGATATTATGAAGATACAGGATCGGTGTATCACGCATGTTACACAGCTGGATGAACTGTGTTGCCTTGTTGGCCTCTGGTGGGAAAATAACATTGTTGTTGGCAAGAATACCGACAGGGATACCGTGGATCGTAGCCCAACCACAGATCAAGTTCGGTCCATACAAAGGCTTGAACTGCGTAAAACGAGAGCCGTCGACCAAACGAATGATAACTTCGAGTGCATCAAAGGGAATACGGATGTTGGCACTAACAATACCCAAAATCTCGTCAGGGTCGTACAAAGGCTGATCAAAGAGCCCCTTCAAGTGGCGGATGGGTAACTGGCCCTGCTTAGTCCAGTTGAGCCCAGACACGAATTCTCGGGCCATGGCAATTGCGTGATACTCATCCATGGCCAGTTGATCTGACACTCCAGACTTACGGCTGTGCATATCGGCCCCTCCGAGCGACTCGGCATCAGTAATCTCTCCTGTGGCCATCTTGACCAGTGGAGGTCCACCCAAAAAGACTTGAGCTTTACCCTGTTCACATCATGAATACACATTTAGAACCCAAGCATTTAAGCCCGCTCCAAGTAACAAGAAAACAATAAAATAGAATAACAATGCCGTCTCGATTATTACCTTGACCATAATGCTATAGTCACTCATCCCTGGGATGTAAGCGCCACCAGCAGTGGAGTTTCCAAACACAACAGCGACTGAGGGTAAGCCGGCCTTGGATCTATGAAGAAAAAAAATATATTTATATAAAAAAATAAAAAATAAAAAATAAAAAAAAAAAAAAAGAGAATTAAAAAAAGAGAATTAAAACAGAGAGCGCGTGGAACGTGTACGACATTGTCTGAAATGCTGTTGATTGAGACTCAGCTTACCTCTCTGCTAAATGGCGGAAGACAGCACCGCCTGGGTGAAATACGCGGGACTGCTGGGCCAAGTTTGCACCAGCCTATTTCGCACAAGGATTATAGCCAACGACGCGTAACAGCGAGAGGTAGTACAAAATATGAAAATTTGAACCACTGTAGTTTAAACATGCCTGGAGCACTTTTCAATACATTGATGCATTCACTTACTGATTGGACCAATTGGATATGTGGAAGACGGTTTTCCCAGGCAATACGGCCAAGACGCTCGCCACGAGCCAACGTCGTGGCATTGGAAGCGCCTCCTTGGAGAGTTGGAATATTAGCGGACACCATACACTCAACGCCGCTATCAGAGCACACGTTAAGTAACGAAAATGAATGAAAATGTAATGTTAGAAAATGTAATACTTTTTTTTTTCTTTTTTTTTTTTTTTTTTTTTTTTTTTTTGGGTATATAACTTGTTCAATTGTAAATATGATCTTACCAAACAAGACCAATACCGGCGACTTGAGAACCTCCAACGGTCATGTCGTCTTGACCATATCCAGCCAGAGGACAGAGCTCAAGGAATGGAGAGTCATCATCCAAGAGTAAATCTAAACGATCTCGGGCTATAAAAAAAATAAAAAAAAAAAAAAAAAAAAAAAGTCAGAGGCACATCTCGGATCAAACATGGATAAAATGCAATTGTCAAGGATTGCAATGAAAAATATACCAAGGAGATATCCGCGCTTGTGGTGCAAAGCCAGGAGGCGGTCCTCGCCTTGAAAAGTAGCTTCCTGAAGACGCTCATTGAGCTGGTCGACCAGCGCGAGCATCTCCTTATAGTTGGCGATGTATTCAGGAGACTTTGTGTTGATTTTGGTCTTTACAGCTTTGGTGTAGTGACCAAGGTGAGGGGCAACACTAGGCTGCTTCGAGCTGAACTCGTCCCCATTGGTTCTCCTGTTGGGAGGGGGGTTTCTGTGAGAAGGGTCAATGATGTGGCTCATTATGCCGAGTGATGGGGAATAATGAGAGGAAAGAAGAGAGGAGAGAGTAGAGGAGAGAAGGAAAAGAATGAATGGGGAAAGACAAAAAAAAAAAAAAAAAAAAAAGATTTATAAATGGTACAAAGTGACAAAGTGATCTCATGGGGAAGAACCCTGCAGACTTTCTCTGGCCTAAACCGCGCGTGTCATTCTACAAATATCCTATGTGTTCAAGGGTTCAAGTTCTGTTCGATTCGGGTTGTTGCCAAAGACTTTTGGATCTTTAGATATTATTCAGAGATAATGCGTTTTTTTTTTTTATTTCACTTTCTTCTCTTCCTGGACTGTCCGTCGGTGTTTCTATCTCTTTTGACTATTAAAAGTGTCCACCGATCCATTACTGTTACTCCACATTGTAATTCTGACAACCAAGAGAGAGCCGAAGTGAACACAGGGCCGAAAAATGTGGAGAAAAAAAGGATGATGTCACGTGGCGCGAAGGGTTGTCTAAAGTGTCTTCTCCCATTCACCTCCCCTCTTCCCCTCATTTCATCCTTTACAACTCATTCGCTTCCTCATTCGCCATTAAGTTATAAAGAAAAAGAAAAGAAAAAAAAAAAAAATGTCTGAAAAAGAGGTTCTCTATGCACGGCAAGGAGCTGTTGGTACTATCACTCTGAACCGTCCAAAGCGTGGAAACGCCTTGTCGGGTCCAATGGTCAACCAATTCGTTGATATCCTCAATGCAGCCATTGACGACCCTGCTGTCCGCGTGATCGTTGTCACTGGCAACGGCAAGTACTTTTGCACAGGAATGGACTTGACTCCTCAGGACGATACTCCCTCAGCTTCGGATCCTGTCGCAGTCACACAGACAATGTTTACCACATTGGCCAAATCACCTAAACCAACGATTGCACGTGTGAACGGACCAGCCCTTGGAGGAGGGGTCGGCATTGTCTTTGCTTGCAACTTTAGGATCGTTCACCCCTCTGCATACTTCAGTATGCCAGAGGTCCACCGTGGATTGATCCCAGCCTTGATCTCCGAGGTGATCGTCCCCCAACTGGGAGCCTTCCGATCCAAGCAATACATGCTTTCTGGAGAACGCGTCTCGGCTCAGGAGAGCTACCGTGTCGGATTCGTCACAGCTGTAGTTGAAGATGAAGAGTCGCTCGATAAGAAAGTCAAGGAGTATGTGGATTTGTTACTACAGAGTGGACCCGGAGCCATGAGAGACGTCAAGCTCTTGATTGACGCGGTGGATCTGCGCGGTGGAGACCAAAAGGTAGTCGCAAGCTATGTCCGCGAAGCTTTTGGCAAAATGATTACTTCAGAGGAGGCTGCACACGGCATTGGTGCATTTGCCAGTCGTGAGAAACCCAATTGGGATGAATTTGGCCTTGGTTCAAAACAATTGAAGCCCAAGCTTTAAATGTAAAATAAATTAGGAAGATTGAGTTAATTTGGTGGCAAAGAAGGATCACGTAAATATTCAGGCTCAAAAGATATTCTCAACCGCAAGGGCTTTTAAACAAGCAAAAAAAAAAAAAAAAAAAAAAAAAATCAACCGCAATGGGGGCCTTTCCCTTGACCCAGTATATTTAAGATTATAAATGTAACCTCTACCTCTCCCTTCAAGGACAGTTTTGCTTAAGCTGCTTTGCATGTTGTTGAATAAACCTAGGGACTCTCTTGAATGACAAAATTATCGTACATCACTGTTAGATCCGTTAATTTGTTTATGGCTGCTTTATTACAGATCGCACGGCAGCCGCGTTGTCAATTTGCAATAAAACGCAACTCCAGGGTAGGATTGACAAATACGAGGTGACAATCTGGCTAGCAAATAGATCAACTCTTATATTTACTAAGGGACAGTTTCTTATAGTTGGGTGGTCGGGATTATGGTAGAAAAACAATTCTAAGAAGACCTCTAGACCTTAGACTTTTTTTTTTTTTTTTTTTTTTTTTTGGAAGGTGGTGGGGGGCTAAATGTTCTGCATTCTACGATCTTACATAATTGTTTTACACGGCTGAGTGTAAGCTATTTATTCTTGAAGGCTCGCTTACGGATAGCAGCCTTGAATGCTGGTAGCAAGAGGCCGATATTCTCAATCCACCATTGTCGGTTATAATTCATTTGTCGCTCATATGCCTTATCCAGAAAGTCTTTATAGAAGATAGATAACTCTTCTGTCGTCACAGGTTGGTTGCCATTTTGTGCACGAACTAGAACGTGAGATCGAAGGGGGTTATAAATATAAGGACAGTATCCGAATCAATACCACCAAAAAAAAAAAAAAAAAAAAAAAGGAGAGCGCACTAAAATGATGGTCATAAAAGAAGAAGTTCTAAAAAAAAAAAAAAAAAAAAAAAAAACTTACTCTTCTCTTCGTAATTCGCCTTGGCTTTATTGAACATTGCATTATTGTTGACCCAAAAATTTTGGTTGAACGCATCAACACGCTCACATCTTTCTCGGAAAGCACGGTCTTCTTGGGACTCATTCTCGGGAACAGGATATTTGATGGGACGAAGATTAGAAACTGGGTGAGGGGTCCCTACTAGGTACTTGTCAGTATGAAGTGCTGGATCAAGGCTCTCCCGCTTCCTGGAAGCGGTTAGCGTTGACATGTAGACTGTAGAGAGAGCCAATTTATTAACTGAGATATAAGCATGCTGTCTGCTGATACCTAAGGAACGTGCTGTAGATTTCTAGGCCACAATGGAAGCATGAAAATAAAATCAGAAACAATGAATTCGAATCAACAAAGGAAAAAATCGGAATCTCGGGTCAATACCTGGAGTAGGCTCATAGTAGAGATTCAGGTGAGGTGATGCCCAGCATGCTCTGGATGTCTTTGAAGTAGAATGTTATTCGCGGATTGTATCACGTGCTGTGGCTCACTCAGTTACAGATAATTACCTAATTGACGACGACAATCCTCGGGCGAAGCTCCAGATATGTCGACATGCAGACGCGTTTTGATTCGCTAAATTAAAAGACAAAACAAAAAACATGTCAACAGATGGGACATGATATTTATTTATTTGGCACTTCTTGAAGGAGAAAAGAGAGATGGACATTTCAAAGTATATTGATGAACGAAAGGACTTTTACCAGGAAGGGCATAGAAAGAGTTCAGTTAGAGTAACTGTCTGTGCATAGTTGCTCAACATGAACTGTGTTCTGGCACAACTTTTTTATTTTTTTGTTCACTCCGTCTGTTCCTTTTGTGCGCGCACAAATGCATGCACAAGCTTTTTTTTTTTTTTTTTTTTGATATTTTCCTACTTTCCTCATTCCTTAACTTTCTTCCATTTCAGATTCATTGTTCACATTCAACCCCTCTCAAGTCTGTTTTACGGAACTCGAATAGTTCAAAACACGTTTATCATCCCATCCTCTCTCCTTCCTTTTCCTCCGTTTTCCTTGCCTCTTGGATCATCACTATGCCGATATTACGATCCCTACCTTTGAATTACACTCTTCGTCAACCTGCAATAGAAACACGGGAAGTACCAGTAATAGAGCAACAGCTTTCCGCTTCTGAACAAGCTCAAGAGGCTGAACGTGGTCATGCTGTCCGTTTGGAAGAGCAGGACCTAGGTGAATACTCTCTTGAACTCTTTCAGCTGCGCCTGCAGGCCTTACAAGATCATATTACTCAACATTATCCTCCGACCTTCGTTTATATTGGCTCGTTGGTGTCAATTCTGGTGATCCTGTTGGTCTTTCTGACCACCCTCCTAACTCTTCATGTCGAGGATGGTAAACCATGGGTGTTGGGATTGATCGTTATTCTTATCCTCTTGTTCGTCGCCAAGATGTTGTTTCTTTCGAGGATCGAGCAGGTAACACTACTCTTTGCATATTTGGTATTCGTGATGGAAGGCAAAGTAAGATGTATGGAACACTCTGATTGATCCTTTTGTTTTCTTTTTTAAACATTTATTATATAAGGCTCATAAACATATAACTACGTTCCTGCAGTCCTTTAATGATCAGGACATGTCTCATTACGGCGTACTCTACCGTATCCGACCTAGCAGCATTCAATATCCCTCATCATCCTCTCGTTGGATTATCCGACTTGTATACCGTCTCAACCTTGGCCTTCCTTTATGGACAATAGATTTGATAACCTTTGATCACATTGATCAGTATTCCTTTCAGGATCATCCTGCACAAAATCCACATGCTTCAATTGAAGAAATTTTGGCTAGAGAAAATGAGCTTCCTTCTTATCGCTCCAAAGCCAACGAAGGTATCATCTCCGCGCATCAACAATCACATCTGGAAATTGTCCTGAGTGAGGCTCAACCTCCTCAGTATAATGAAGTTGTTTTGGAAGTGGAAACGCCTCCAGTGTCATTACCGGCATTGACATCAACATCAACATCAACATCAACATCAACATCAACATCAACATCAGCATCAGTATCGGTATCGGCACCTGGTGCATCAGCTAGATCAGCTTGAGCTCTTCAGCACCCCCTTGACTTGACCTGGCTAATTTTTGTATATACCCAACACAACAGCTCATATCGAGTAATGGATTCGTTAAAAACACAATATGTAAACTATAGTAAATAAATCTTTCGCCTTGATTCCTTTATCATTATTATTACTACTACTATTATTATTATTATTATTGTTGTTGTTGTTGTTGTTGCTGATGTTATATCTTATGACTTGTCTTCATTTGCATCTTCGAATGCATCACAATTATCAACAATAGGGACGAGTCCATGAGGATCTTGGATCAAGCTCTCCATTTTTGCCAAAACAGCCTACTCCAAAAAAAAAAAAAAAAAAAAAAAGTAAGATAGAGTCTTTTGACAAAGAGATTCTTTTATTATTACGATTTGTTGTTTTTGAAAATGACACTGTAAGAAGTTGCGGATGTGTTTTTTTTTCTATTCATTAATGAATGCGCCACATCTTCGACCGTGCTTCTTGTGATTCTTCCTCTGTATACTCTTTTGCGTCTTCATTCTCTCCTTCTCCCACTGGATCCATATCCTGATCATTTCCACCTTCAGCCTCCTCCCGTACACGCTTTCCTGGTATTGCTACGGCCGTTTTGCCAGACACATTCTCCTGTTGTTGGTGTTCTTTTTCATTCTGACGCCATTGATTGACTATTACCTGGCCTTGTTCACTCAGCTCGAACTTGGCATCGACCTCGGGATTACCTGTGTACCACTCTCCATTCTGCAGATCTACAGCTGGAATTGACTCTACTATTTGATCGTCAGTTGGCTCTGACGCTATTGCGGCTGCGCTTGTGGACGATGGCGTAACTTCAGTAACTGTAGGGCCATTTGGCTTTGGAACATAACCCCCTTGAATATCTGCATCCGCATAGAGCCCGTCGTGATCATTCTCATCGTCGTACATTTCATCCTCATCCATGTTGTAGTCCTCAGCGTCCTCATCCTGATGAAGCGAAGCACAATACGATAGGCTTTCATAGATCGTGTCCACTATTAAAATACATGCATCATAAATGAAACCACATTCAATTAGAACATGATACGCTTCAAGTCAGCATCGGAAAAGCTAAAAGAAAAAAGAAAATCGAATATAAAAAAAAAAATTACATGTAGACACATCAGCTGGTGCAAAGCTAAGTTCTAGGACAGGATCCTCCTCATCGTCTTCCTCCTCACCATCCCCAGTCGTGGAGTTATTGTTAGTGTGGCCATTCCCATTTAAGGACGGCCCAGACGATGCCAGAGAACCCTCAAGCTGACAATAAATACTTGGTCCAACATGTGACTCACGCGCGATAGCGTGGATAATAATGGATGGATAGGGGATCGAGAATCCAGTATTAGATTCAGTAGAGAAGAAAGAAAGACATCTTTATGACACGGTTGAGGACCAAAAATTAAAATAAAAGTTAGAGAAAGCTTTGCTTGAAGATCAAGAGGATCGCCCTTAATACTCTTGCAGGTTATTCACATACTCATCAGCAATATAAAGAGTGCCAGGATTCTGGATCAGTGTTGATGGCGGGGTAACATGGAGCGAAATGTTTTGCTGGGTATAGCGGATACGTGTCTCACCAATGGACGGTGCCTGACGGATAATTGTGATGGTCATGGTTGATCAGATTGATGTTGAAAAAATGAATTTTCTCTCTCTCTCTCTCTCTCTCTCTCTCTCTTTCTTTCTTTTTTTTTAATGTGACTGTTTATGCAATCGCATTGTCATGACAAAGTGGCTGTGCGATTATTGAGTGTTGGACAGATTGACAGAGCCTTTTTCTTTTTTTATTACTCGTCGTCAGTATACTACTTCCCAACCATTACCACTACTCCCGCCATCAGGCTCCAACAGACCTTCCATGAATCCTCTATGGATTTTTTCGAAATCTTGTAAATGTTCATCCTGCAGACCGAGATAAACATCAACCCCCGTTTCACTAATGGCCTGTGACTGGCTACTTCCCATATCCCTTCCCATGGCTGTAGAAGGTTCGCTACCCATGATAACACACATGCCTTCACCACCCCCGAAGCCCCCTCGTCCAATCCGGACCTTGCAAGGACGTCCCTGTCCAAAATCTGGTGAATACATATCGAGTTTGCGGAACGACCAAACCATAAAATCATGTCCAAAAGGGTTGTTACTATCTGTCTCAATCAGCTGTGGATTATCCTGCTTTTGAATCCAATTAATGGCCGACTGTATTTGCTCCGGTGTTTGTAGTAAAAGTTCATCGCGCAGCAGTCGCGACGGCAATGACAGTGGTGTCGTCAGCAGCGAATGCACGGGCATTTGTACAAAAATCGATCTGCAAAATCGAAACATTACACAGAAATGTGAGAAAATACATAATTTTGTACCACAATTAAAAAAAAAAAAAAAAAAAAAAAAAAAAAAGAGAGAGAGAAAAAACACCTACAGAATAGCATTGCCAATAAATCCTTCTGGGATGGCAGGTACGACTCGGTTTCGAATATCCATAACAACACCACACATCAGCTTACAATCTGGCTCCATCCTTCGTGCGATCGTCGACATCTTCCACAGATATGCTATTAGAGAGTCACCTGTCGAGACCCACTTATCATTAATTTCTTTGTCATCTGCCGCACAAGCTGCCGCTGCAATATTTTGTTCAGACGCCAATTTTTTGATTCGCTCCAATTGTTCCGGCGAGAAATGGAAGAGGCGGAAACTGGAGCCTTCACGATCAGTAGACGCTGCCTCTGATATATCTTCGATCGGTACCTTGGGTTGCTGTTGCTGTAGATGTGGCTCTTGATTTTCAGCATGATCAATCTTAAAGGTTGGGATGCCTAGGGTACCATTACTAGGATGTAAATGCAACGATTGCATCCGTTGCTGTACTCGCTCGAGAGCTGCAGGATCCCTAGGCATGCCTCCCTTGCTTTCATCTGTCAGATCGTTATATTGCTCAATATCTCTATCATGCTCTTCATCATCCTCATCGGCATTGTCATCATCGTCTTCTGAGTGTAAATCTGAGTCCCCCAGACCTTTATCAATAAGATCGCTGTTACCCAGATTGTTATCAAACAAGATAGGTGGTGGCGGAGAGTTGTTGATTCGCTGATGTCGATAGACACCTCCGCTACCTGTATGCTCCTCTCCGTACTTTTCCAGAAACGCGCGATCCAAAATAGGATACGGTGAGAAATCCTTCCCCTGAGTAATATTTGACCATGCGTCCATGAATGAAACTAATGAGGTGGCATCCATAATGGAGGAATCCATTGCTACGCCCATAATCAACGAGTGATCTGAAGTGTAGGTAAGCTGGATGCCCAATAGAGGAGGATCTCGCAGTGAAGCAGGATACAATCCCACGGGGAAGAGTTGAGGGGGTAAAACAGTATCCTGATAACCTCCTTGACGGATCTGCATCATAGTGACAGTGGTATCGGCTACTGCAAAAAGGACACCGCGGTCATTGCATTCGATGTACTGCCCCTTGCTTGTGCTTTTATTGTTGTTAACTGATGCGGCCGATGATGTCGAGATGGATGGTTGGTCGTTGCTGTTGTTGTAGAGTCGTCCTGCCAATGGAAAGAAATCATTCAGGACCAAAGCCAAGGAGGCTTGCAGTAGCATGGGATCCATGAAAGGTGACTGATGATAATGGTAGTGATGGCGACCTTTGAAGTCTCCCTTCTTTTGGGAACCTACAGGCGAAGAGAATATCTGCGGGGAAGGCGGGGAAGATAAACCTGATGCTATTCCTTCCTCTCGTCCTAAAGCAAAGGACGATGCTGAGGGTAAAAGATCACTCTGCTTGTTTATGTCGAAAAAGTACAGTAAACGGGTATAGATACGTGGTTTCGCAAGATCAAGACTCGATAGTTGCACACGTGGATATTGCATGGTGACGGGCGACACATTGGCGTCATCAGAGGCATGCTCGCCTATCTTTGCTTCGCCTTCTGTGTTTACCAGCTCAGGCTCTGTTGGAGTGATAGGCTGGACTAACTGACGGTATCGAAGCCTAGTGACTGAGGTTGGCCGGGTTGAATGCAACGAAGACGAGGACGGTGACCTACTAGTCATAAAGGTTGCAGTACCCACTGTAGAAGGACTTGAGGCAGAATCAAGAGACCTTGTGCCATTTTTCTCAGCCTCTTGTCGCATGTGTTCCAACGTCATGAAAATAGTATTTATGAATAAAAAAAGAAAAAAAAGAAAAAAAAAAAAGTAAGAGAGAAAGAAAGAAAGAGATAAAGATATAGTGTGTACGATATTGTTATATGAATGTGTTTTTCTAAGAGGGAGAAAGAAAGAGAGGAGGACAGACAGAAAGAGGGATGGATGAATGGATGGATGGATGGTTGGATGGATGGTTGGATGGTTGGAATGGGATGAGATCAAGAAAATGAAGCCAGGAGATTCAAAACATTTTTCTAATGCACAATGCTTCGACATTCCAACTCTCCAACTCTTGACTCTGTCAGTGTTGTCAGCTCCGAAATGATGTTGATGCTCCTATTTTGTTACTCCTTTTTTTTTTTTTTTTTTTTTTTTTTTTAAATGGGTAATACTAACTCTCTATTCAGTGCTCATTCTATTCATAAGTATTGCCTCCCTAGGTATTGGTATATTATTTTTATTATTTATCGTGTTTTATTCACCATTGATCATTGATCATTGACTCCATAACCGAACTGTCGAGTCCTGTCCGCCAGATGCCAGCACTGAGTCACTAAACCGTACGCAATTCACTGCATTCGTGTGTCCCGTATAGTACGAGTGCTGTTGTGCAACACGGTCGTAAATCTATTACATCGAGTGATATCCATCTTCATTAGTAAATATCTCAATGATATCAGAATGTACTCCATATTAGCTCAATAATGACACCAAACTCCTTACCTTAAGGCTCTTTCCAGAGGCGGCAACTATCTTAGACATGTCAAACTGTAAACTGTTGACAGAATCCTCGTACTGCAAAATCTCCTGTGTACCTCCGGTTCTGAGATCCCATAACTAATAATAAATCAATCAAACTTTAGCAAATCGACAACGCCAGAGACTATTTCATAATGGCAAACAGAATCAAAAGCTGCAACTTTATACCCTAATACTCTTGTCCATGCTGGCACTAACAACATGATATTCATCAAACTGCAATGAGGTTACAGGCCCCGTGTGACCAATAAGCGTGCGATGCGATTGGCCAGTGCGGACTAAATTAAAAAATAAAATAAAACAAAACTGACATTTCAGTACACTCTACTTTGCTCATAGTCCTTATAATATATACTTTTTTTTTTTTTTTTTTTTTTTTGACTTACGATCCCACATACGAAGACCACCATCAATCGTGCCGCTACAAAGCGCATATTGCCAGAACTGCAGACTTCCCACAAAGTTGTGATTCTGAAGGTCATAATCCATCCAATCTGCCCGCGAGTTGGAAGACCCCATTGCCCAGAGCAAGTCCATTGTTAATACACATTGTCCAGTTGTCAAATCCCATTCCTTAATTGTTTTATCATTGGATCCAGAAAGCTATTGGATTGGGAGGGGAAAAGAAAGTTAAAGGCAGTCAAAACAGCATGAGACAAGGCCAAATCCGATTTTAACGGGACTATTACCAGTTTATTATCTTCGAAATATAAGCAGCTCACTGGCCCAGTATGTCCACTAATTGTGTTTGTCCAGCAATCGTTCAATACCACTAATGCGCCCATTGGTGGACTGGAATGCTCTCCGGCAATAATAGATGAGGCCCCATTAGTTTTGTCGGATCGATAGTTAGTTTCGGACGACAATGCAGACCTGTCTTGAACCACCTGTGTATGGTGAATATCGGTAAGATCCCATATTTTGATAGTATTATCTCTGGAACCTGTTACAAGTGTATTCTGGACGAGTTGCATGCATTGAACATAGTCTTCATGACCTGGTAATTGACCCAAGCACTTCAAAGTGGAGAGATCCCAAATGCGCGTCGTATTGTCCTTCGATGCAGTTACCAATGTACTATAGGGGCCATTCAAATCCAAAGATGTGATGATCCCGTCATGTCCATAAAATACGTGCATGCATGTCCCAGAGTCGTGACACTCCCCTCTATACTCCAATTCCAAAGCTATATCAAGACATAGACTTCATTGATAAGTATACATGAAGCTCTCGACAAGTTAATTCCGCAAGCATAATCCACCATTGGCTTACGTCCAACATTCTGTGCATTTGTCCTCTCTGAAATCGAAGCCAGCGTCCCATTCAAATCTTCCACTACACAACAAAAAAAAAAAAAAAGAAAAGAAAAGAAAAAAAAATTATGGTCACAATTTAAGTATTAAAAGCCAAATGTACTTCTAAAATGGTGAAGATAGTCTGGCGGCTACTTACAGGTGTCAGCCAAATCATCTTCACGCTCTGTTAATTTACTAAGTTTGTACTCAAGGTTGGTTTGCTTAGCCATCAGTGTCTTGATAGATGCAGTCACTTGTGCTAGTTCTGACTGAACGAGAGCCTAACAAACATTAATCCAAAAGAGAAAGAGATAAGTCCTTTCATTAATTCTTATGCTTTCATTTCATCACTTATAAACTGATTAAACCGTGTTGGTTCCTGAAAAATAGACATGTCTGTATATCTCTATATCTCAAGACACCTTTTGGGTCTGCAATTTGACCTGCTCTTTGATCGTTCGCTCTCGTTCGTTCAACAATGACGAAAACGCTTTGCTCGGATCATCCTCGTCCACTATTGGACGCGACATCAACAATGGATGCAGAGATATCAGCAACCATGACAATAGCAGAAAGAGCGGCAACCAACAAGGATTAGCCACTAGCAACTAAGCATTCTACCCTGCTTCGATATTCCAAAAAATAAAAAATAAAAATAAAAAATAAGTCTCGTACCTTCCCCAAAACCATTTTTTCTTCCTCTGTGTTGACTATTGCCCTTCTTTCGATCCTTCGAATATGGTTGATGATGTCTTGGATATGTCGCTTTGAACCCTTGGAACAAGGATACCCTCGATGCTGAATCTGGAATTTCCTCTTTCAGTAGTTGCTCTGCAGGGATGAGTGTTGCCTGACGTGATCCTGTAAGGGCTAATGCCTGAGCATTGGCGGTAGCACGTCGTAAATATTGTGTTGCCATCAAATGTGGTGCCATACTTGACAGACCTGTCAGGGATGCAATTCCTGTCAAGTCCCCTTTTACCGCCTGTGCAGTCAGAGGAGAAAAAACTATATCGCTAGTAGTGGAGAATGTGTTACGAGCAGACGAAACAAAGCCAGAGGCGTCAAATGTATGAAGCAATTCCATGATTCTATGTCGAGGTCTCTGTAGCCCTGAAGAGACTATAGAGGAGAGTGATCTTCCTGTGGATGAGATTCCAGAAATGGTATGAAAAATCACTGAGGAAGACTGTTGTTGCTGTCGCTGCTGCTGCTGTTGCATGGGTATTTCAGTAATGGATCCTGAGGGTGCCATGGAGTCTATCCTTGCCAGAGAAAAGTCCGTTGCCGATGTTTTGTGATGAGGGGCTGAATTACGAGAAGTCGTAGCCGAAGTTGATGAAGAAGAGGGGGAGGCCGAATGATGCATAGTTCGCTCTGCATCAGAAGGAAGGCTGGAAACAAATGGCCTTCTGGTGGACACGGCGGATCCAGTAGAATGCCGAAGGGGACAACCAACGCAGGTGACACAGATACTTTTAGTTAATGTAATGTTCCCTTACACCTCTTCCTTTATGAATGCATTTCATTCAAAATAATGCTCCACATGCAAACATTCATTTGTGGATATGCAACTCATCCCCTTCACGCATACTGATTTGTAAATTCATGCATGATAGACGAACTGTAATGCGTCTTTAGCTCTTTAACTCCATTAGTCCCTTTTGTAGTTTAATTATTATCATCGCCATTTAACTTATATCGTGAGGTGCTCAAGAATCCAGAATTGGTGCTCTACGGCGCGTATTCCTCTCTCTCCGTGGACGAGTTGCCAAACTATTGCTTGCCTTCCATTCCGCTGGCAGTTGAAATCTAAAGCTTGGATTCAGGACTTCCGGTGGGAATTTCCAGTATTTCTGCTGATATTTAAGGACTTGATGGAGAGACGACACAGCCATAGAGTTTGGCTTGACGCTATTTAATGTCCCCTGGAATGATGCGAATGGGAATGCACGCGTTGAAGCAGTTGCGGGCAGTAAAGAATGAGGAAGTAACTCCTCCAGACACGCGGTTGCTGACAAGGCCAAAGGCTCAAATTCATAGCCACCCTCCAATGACAATATGACGCGACCTCCCGCTAGCGTCTGGACTAGACGTGTCAGCATCGCAAATCCCTGTGGCGAGACTGTGTATCCACCAATCTAAAGTGATTTCATTCCATTATCCAGTCAATTAAGTAAAGACGTGCGAAAAATCTATGATTTTATCACTCAAAAGAGAGCGCATCTAATACTTACATTGGCAGCATGTCCGTCAGCTGCATCAAATCCTGCAGACACAAAAACAAGGTCTGGCTGGAACTGCCTTGCTATTGGTAAGAGAACATACCAAAACGCAGCAATATACTCGACGTCGCCCATTGCTTGTCCTACACGAAGTCAAAAAGTTAATTACAAATTAACAGCCATGACACCACATAATAAGCTAATGAGTATGTGTCCATGATCTAAAAACCTGTTACCTCGACCATATGAAGACCAAGCAATATTCACATTTGTGCCCTCCCCTGCCTCCTCGCCACATTCATCGGGGGCTCCTGTAAAGGGATAAAAGTGTCCATTATCCCACCGATGAAGTGAAATATACAGGACATTGGGATTTTCGTAAAAGATTTGCTGTGTGCCATTCCCATGGCTTTTAAAAAAGAAGCACAAATGGTGAGGATCTCATTTAAAGAAAGAAAGAAAGAAAGTATTACAATGGCTAAATCCCTTACTGAACATCCCAATCGATAATCAAGATCTTTTGAATAGTTAGCGGGTATCTTGATAACGTTAAGTTGACAGCAACGCCAACATTATTAAAAAAGCAGAACCCCCTATAGTTTCAACAACATAGATAATCAGTTACTTCAGTATGAGCTTACGAAACAATTCAAATGAAAGTGGAAACAAAAAAAAGAAGAAGAAAAAAGAAAAGGCCACATACATAGCCTCGTCCTCCTCAGCATGATGCCCTGGGGGTCGGATGATCGCAAACCCATTTTTGCACCGTCCGGTCACAACTTGGTCCACTAGGTTGATTAAACAGCCTGCAGCAACCTTGGCTGCAGTGCTTGAATGGAATGGATTCCATGTCGTGTCAACGGCAATACCCAGCTGTCCACAACTCATGGTAAATGTTAGCCCTGGTGGTTTAATGATCGAAGTCTCATTCGTAGGCTCAGGTGCAGGCGACAAAGCCTGATGCCCTTTCTTCTTCGTTGGCGACTTGGTTGCTCCAGGATCCTTTTGAGTTTTGTCGAATTTTTCGAGTTCATCATATTTCTTATCCTTGCTCTTATCGATGGATATAGACTTTAGACCTCCTTCAGCCTGCGACTCTGGATCCTGGTTATCCTGGCCCCTTAAGGCAACTACATTCGGGACAGCTGATACCCCCGATTGCCCTTGCATACTCCTCGATGCTCTCCTTTCGCCTACAGTAAGATTCGCAGTTGAAATACCAGACGGAAAGCGCGCTTTTTCAATGGTTTCGTCATTCACACTCTTTGTCATTGAAACGTTCCTCTCTTGTTCACGCACAGTGCCCTCGGCAGCCCTCAAACTTAAAGGAGAGATATGCTTATCGTCACCCTCAAGTTTGGACATTATACGCGGCGAACCTGAAAGTTGACCCGCAAGAGTTGGGTCCATTCCACCAGCTACAGCAAGAGCCGCCTCGCTGGGGGCAGGACCAGGCTGGACTGGTTTATCATCATCATCATCATCATCATCGTCGTCGACCACCAAAGCGGCCTTCTCTGCATCATCAGGGGCCATATCCTCTTCTTTTTGTGCAAATAATGTCGAAGACATGCTGACCAGAGATGACATCCTGATAGCTGAGCCTCGCATACTTGAGCGCCGCCTTCCAAGAGCTGGTGAATGTACATCCACTTCCATAGGATCTCTGATGATCTCGGAGGGTGTCTGCACTATTTCCTTGTCACCCGTCCCCACAACTACTGGTGAGATTTCAGATGCCTCAGAAAGCATAGTGGGATTTAAATCAGCTCCAACTGTTGGGACAAGAATACTGCCTCGATGGCTTTTTCTCGGACGGCCACGCCGCACGGGTGTTTTGGCTGCAGTGGCCTCTTTATCATCTCCATCGTCCCCCTCTCCTTCGTCTGCCTCATCCTCTTCATCCTCTATATCGTCTTCAGTTTGCAATTCTGGGTCCTCGATTCCATTTTCGAGTGCATACTTCTTGTTCTGAGCTGCTGTGCAGCAATAGTTACGCACATGCGTATCCGTATGCGCCGCCACCAATTCCCCGATAGTGGCCTCTCTTCCTTGGATCCATTTGACGAGGCTGAGCATCCCGTGTTTCTGGAATTGGCATAAAATTTCGACCAACCTTTCAGGTTGCTCTGGGTGGTGTCTTTCCTCTGGGTTTGTGCCGCATTGGCATTTATGCAAAAGCATGCGGCGGTCATATGCAAGTCCTGTGTGTCGTCGGGCTATCCGGCCAAGGTCAGAGTAGTAGAACTTTTCATAAGCGATCCAGTTCTCGGGGGGCTCATGACCATTAGGCCCGTATCTTAAGAAGCTACTGCCAGTAGAACAGGCACGAAGTTGACTGGGTTTAACCCATTCATCATGATGTGGTGAAAATCCCTCAAAGTGAATAAGGACGGATTTAGGGTTGATGTGGTCGTGCGGATCGTCTTCAAGATCAAGAACACGCCCTGCAAACCACGTTCCGTTTGTGTCAGATTTCATGGATTCCACTAATTCCCCGATTTTGAAAGGCCGTTCAGTCTTTGTCCGTGATTTTTTAGAACGATCCATTCCTAAAATAAGCAACAGCGTTATAAGCATAAATAGAATGCAAATAACATTTACAGAATATAATAGTATATCGAACGTGTCAACTGTACCTGGCGATTTTGACTTTTGCAAGTTTAAGTCTTGCAGCCCATTCCTGACATCAAAATGATCGTCATCCAGTGAATCGTCATCATCATCATAAAAGTTCTGACCCTCTAAAGATCCATGAGAAGATGTCCTTGACATCTGATGACCCAATCCCGCATGTGACGAGCTTAGAGCAGAACCGGGTAACAAAGATTTTTTGCCGCCACTTGCTTTAGTAGGTCGTCGCCTGCGTTTATGACTGCCACTTGAAGAAGCACTAGCGTTGCCATCACTATCCTCAGCAGAAGTATGTCGTAAGGCTGAAATATTCGAGTTCGCAAAACGCGGCCTATCTAAGAAGCTAGGACTCATGGCTCTATTGTGATAAAGGTGTTGGTGTTGGTATTGATGCTGAGGTGAAAACATGGCGTGAGATTGGTATGGTCCTGACCCATGTGGATCAGAGGTATATTCCTAAATGAAATAGACAAATATCAACAATATACTTTTTAGTCGTGAAAATGTACCCAAAAGGGGAAACAAGGGGTTTGAAATAGTGCGTTCGGCAGAAGTGACAACAAATGAAAAGACATCCAACAGAAAGGATTGGTTCATTTAAAAATGCAACTACTTCGTACAAAGGAAAGCATGAGCTGTGTACGTGACGATGTGTCAAGAAAAATGCATGGATTCAGTCAAGATCAAGGATAAAGCCTTACCTGCTGCCGGCTGAAAAGTTGATCCTGTCCATTGTTAGTACTGCTGGTGCTAGGATAGTAGTGGGTATGAGGATATGATTGCTGGTACTGATATTGAGATGGATGGTTGGAATAGCCATGTTGGGAGGGTGGTGAATAGGGGGAACTATATCCTTGATGATGCTGTTGCTGGTATGATCCAGAGCCATGATATTGCGAGGATGATCCATCATAACCCTGTGAAAGATTAAGCGGAGCATCAGGTGGATATACGTAAGCGTGCCTTTCGGATCCTGACTGCCGTACATCAGATTTCTGGCTTCCATGCTCCATATGCTGTGCCGGCTCAATCCTTGGAGAAGGAGCACTCGCTGTGTGATGAATAATGGGAGATGATGGTGCGGACCCGTTCTTGATTGATGGTGCCTCGCCCATCAGGTAGCCTCTGTTTGCTCGTTCCATAGCCTCCCTTTCACGGTCTCTTTTTTCCATTAGCAGAAAACTGTAAGAAGAAAGATTAAGTCCCGAAGGTGGCGGGACAACAGGGGGAGGGGCGCGGTGGGTGGGAGCAAAGTACTGTTGGGACTGCGGCGCTTCTCCAGGCAAGGGCGTCGCGGCAGAGGCCGACAAGATAGGTGACGCCGCGGCTAAAAGGGTAGGCAAGGCAAATTACATGTTTCAGTACAAAGGCATGGATTTGCAGTGGCACACAAAATGACCTACAGATTTCAAGGTGAGCAACTATAACTTGATTCATCGCGTCACTTACGTTGAGGTGAATAGTGTCCTTGGCATGTGTTATAAGGGGGCTGTAGTTGTTGCTGGACATGAGGCCGATTCTGTGGTCCGGCGTGCTCAAGGTAAGGTTCATGAGATTGGGCATGATGCTGCTGGGGATATGGCTCTTGTTGACGGTGATACTGATGTTCTTCGTGCTGAGATGGCTGCTCGAACGGACGTTCCCTAGAGTGATATTGCCAGTTGGGCATATCTCTTTCGTTCGTCGCGTGCTCTTCGCGATCAATACCCTGAGTGGACGCTCTATCGGGGTCAGGATCCTTTTGTGCGGGAGACAGCAGGAGTTTCAGGTCCATGAGGCAATTTGTAAAAAAAAAACGAATGGGATTCTCTGATGACAATGATTTCTCTGTCGCGTAAAAAAAAAAAAAAAAAAAAAAAAAAAAGATACAATTATTAGATAATAACAATATAATGGTAAAAGGGAATGAGGGATGACGCGAGGGAGTAATGGAAAGGGAATGGAGACAAAGAAGGAGGGAATGACAATTACCAATCCATGTAGCCAAGGCGAAGGCGAAAAAAAAAAAAAAAAAAAAAAAAAAAAAGTGAGAGAAAAGAAAGTTTTAGGATGTGAGTGTGTGATGTATAATGACGACCAAGACACCATAGACTAGGTCTGAACATCCAAGACTACAACCTGGCTTATTAAGATCAAGATTTGTTGCTCCGTTCCATAATTGTTTTCAAAGGAAAAAGAGATCTTTTTATGTCATTGACGTAAAATAGAACTATGGATGCAGAGAGGATTCCATGACATGGATGTGAACATGGATACCTTTCTATTGCTAATAACACAGACCATCATCCAAAAAAAAAAAAAAAAAGGGCACATCGCTGTGCTTCTAGACATTGATACAAAGGCCATTTGTATGTTGAACGATCCATTGCCGTAGACAAACAGTTCATGCGTCGCCTTCATACTTTCTTTTCATCACATTCGAACTAAAGAATCCATTGAGATATCATCTAGGTAATGGAAGCGACTAAGTTCTTCTTATTCACCTATAGTGTCGAAGCTCCCGGTTGGAGTATACTCTAACTATGCTGTACTGAATCCATTGCTCAGTCCAAATCGAAATGCGAGGTATTGATCTTCATTTAGCAGGCTCGATAGTGCCACCTGTTGAGATCGAAACTTCCCGCCTCTTAGTCTTCTCCGTAGTTCGTCGATAGACGTGAATTGGTGTGTAAAGGACAAGTTTGAAAGGGTTTGCCATTTTCTAAAGAAGCATGATCATGCCTATTTTTGCAGAACTACCCCTCACAATTGTATCAGAGCACTCTCGTCTTCAGGTCATGCAACCAAATTCACCTCTAGTTCATTGGCTGTCAGAAAATTGGATGCGTTCTGTCGCTGATTGTTGGTAATGTGTGGGGGTTTTGAGGATTAAGGTTTGTATGTGACCCACTACCTTGGACATGAACGTCCTTGCCTGACTGAGTACGTGGCCTGTATTAGGGATGTGGGTTGCAGCCCTATTCGCTTGTTACGAGACGGCAGAGGCTACAGCTTAAAATGCTGCACCAAAGAGATTCTTGGATTCCATGGTTTTAATCTCTTTTTATTATTACCGGAACCGCACCTCTTGCTTTCTCCTCATGAGCCTTTCCCTTTGGTAGAGGATGCCAGAGTCTTCTAACGTTTGGAGCAAATCCACGGCCAGGTAGTGGATGTACGCCTCCGAGAAGAGTATTGTGACACTTCACAAATTCCGAAACAATATCTATTTTGTGGTCGCTTCCAGCGTGTAGCCTTGGCCTGTCGCAGGTTCAGCGATTTCTATAGACGAAACAGCATTGCATTGAATATTATCATAACCTAGATGTGGCATGTAAAAAGTGCGCTTTCAATCTCGCATGAGTATTTATTTTTATTGAGGAAATCTCTTTCATTATTGTTATTCAATGTAATGACACCAGTTGCGTACAAAGTTACAAACCTCACATAGGCAGTTTTACGGTGTAGTTCCACCAAGCCTATTTTCTTTCAGGGGTTCTAGAGGTTTACCCATTTTTACGGGTCTGAAGAAAACTGGACAAACTATAAAAACAAGCTATTGTTCAACAGCCTATTAATGCGCTCATCTTAGTTGAGATCTATACGGCAGTTCTTCGACAAGATGCTCTGCTACATATTTACGAGAGGGGCAGATCTGTTAGAGGTGATGTTAGTGTCAAGCCATACTCCTTAAAAATGGGGCCCCAAGATCACGAACATGGGCAAGCTAACCTGTATTGATTAATGGAAAAGAAATCAGAAATAGGCACGTGTGTGTATGATAAAAACCAGTGGACTAGATTGGTGGCGCCTTCACAATAAAAGAAAGGAATCATTGATGGATTTCAAGAATTACAGTGGAAATGATGAGGGCACACACTCTGTGCATCAACAATCAATTATGTTTTCGGGGGAATGGATGACTTTTCCGACAATGAGTGTGCCTGTCGGAAACGATAAAAATAAAAACGGTGAAAGAAGCTCTAGCAACAAAGAACATGGACCCTCAGACAGTCTCCAAGTCAAGCAAACGTCTATAAATGATAGTGATCGACGTCTACACCTTGATAATATGCGATCTTTACTTCATCCAATAACCCAATTAACATCAATGAATCCATGTTCGCAATCTATTGATGGTAATGCCAATGTCAATGGCTATCCACCGGTCAGCATACAGGACGCGAAGCTTTTCATCGACTTTTATGACATCTGCTTTCCTACCCTATCACAGGTTAGTAATGATCGACGTCTCTTGCCACAACTCAAGCAGGAAATGGGGGTCCAGATGCTTGAAGATTTTGGGGGACAGCTGCTTTCCCTGCAGACGATAGATCCGACCGTGAGTATTATATTATAATAACTAAATTGACTAGGAAAACGCAATTTAAACTGAATAATGAGCTTTCCACTTTCTTCTACGTAATAGCATACGGAGCATTTGCGAAAGACTATCCAGCGATGGAGCTATAGTTCTGTTGAATAAATTGGATATGTTTCTATCGCATGAAACATCAAATAGCTGGGTTCGCACTGTCTTTGATTGAATATCTCTCTTTTTTTTTAGGAGAAAATTATATTTGCGTTTCTTCCTTGGAACTGTTGAAAGTTGACCTTGAAATACATGAGCAGCTTTCTGAAAAAGCAAAGCATAGCGGAAGTAATGGCAATGAAAAAAAGGAAACGAATGATGAAAGTCGATGCCCATTGAATGAGGGACACGGGCCATCTCTTTTCAAATGTGATTTCAAACCGCAATTGCAATTCACAGCAATTCACAGCAATTCACAGCCAACCGTCGCTCAGTCCGTGTCCGTGTCCTTTTTTTTTTTTTTTATTTTTTTTTTTTTTTATTTTTTTCTTCTTTCCATTCTTTTTTCCTTTCTGCTTCTTTGCCTTTTCTTGATCACTGTCATCATTTATCAACTAGTTAGTTTGTGCTTTTGTTCAAAGTAGTGTAACTCTCCTTAGCTCATGACAATCCATAATACAAATATCCCAAACAGGGATAGTGGCGATACCAATGGTCAGCCGCAAAGGAATAATATGAAAAACACATCAATGTCGGAGGCAACTTTCGCAAACGCTGCTCTTACCTCTAATCCTCAAGATAGCAAAGAAGCATCGACAACCAAATCCTCGTTTCCAATGACCTTATCCTCTTCCTATTCTTCTTTATCTTCTGACCCCCTATCATCTTCAATTGGATCACCCTTCTCTAACCGATCGCGAAAACTTCCTAGACACGACGATCGGGCCAATTGGGTCAATGGCAAGCGTCCTAAAGGCTATCGTACTCCTGAGGGCAGAGAAGCAGCAGAAAAATCTAAAAAGTTCAAGTCTGGCACAACCATCCCTCACCTTGTTTACTCTTGCAATACCTATGAAGGAGTACTCAAACATGCGCTATTGGGTGCAATCCGTATGTCTCTCTTTTTTTTTTTTTGCTCTAAGAATGAGTTTTATCTATCAAATTAGGTGTAGTATTAATATGTCTCGAGGTGGTCGTCCATTATATTAGGCTCTGGAGGTGTGTCATATGGAGCCAAGGCTTTGGTAAACCTCTGCTTGGGCATGTTGAAAGTGATGAATGGAAAGTAAGGGACAAACTTTATATTTTTATCTGGCAATTTTTTGTTTTGTTTTTGCTTTTGTTTTTTGACTGACAATAAATGGTATTTAAATATCAGGACTTCTTTCGCCAAAGTATTCAAAGATGCGTTCGTTGGCGCTGATGCCATGCGTTTTGGGGCCTTCTTCGGCGCGTTTTCTTTCTTGTGGAAATTCGTAAATAACGGCTTAAAGCTGTATCGTGGCACGGATGACAGGATCAATGGCGCTATTGCTGGTAAAGTCTTTTTTCTTGTTTAAAAGCTAAAAGGAAAAAGAAAAAAGCTTGAATGCTTTATTAAACACATTGTGAACCTTTCCACAGGTGCAATTGCTGGTCTTGCTATCCTGATTGAGAACCACGAAAGACGGGTGACTTTTGCACAACAGATGTTTATGAGGTAAAGTTTAATGCACTAGTAGAGAAGCAGGTGAAAAAAATCATTCATGCAAGTAGATCGGCAATAAATTTTTTTTTTTTTTTTGCGCAAACAAACAGATCTATCCAAGGGATCTACAATGCTGGGAAGCATAGGGGTCAACTATCATTGCGCCATGGAGATGCTCTTCTGTTCGCCATCGGATCTGCACAGATCATGTATGCTTACACGGTAAGGAACGCGACAAGAGCAATTCAAAAATTGGACATGATAAGAATAGTGATGTGTCTAGGAAACTATCTATTACTGGATATCCCATTTGACGACTTGGACGTATTTCCTATGTAAACGTAGATGCATCCCGATACGATCCCGAAAGAGTTCCTGGGCTTCATGATTAAGACCGCTCGTGTACCAGCAGAATCCCTAGCCTTCAATCGTCTTAATGTCCGTGGCTTTCCTTTAGATTTGAAACAGGCTCGTGCTCTCATAGACCGGCACAGGCCAACAGCGCGAGCCATTCAAACAATGTCTACAATGACAGAGAATGTGAGTGTGATTCCTTGTGAGCTTCTTCACCCTTGGGTCGATTCTTGCAAACAAACAAACACGGAGCGCTTCGCCCAGGTGACAAAAGAAATCTTTCCAGTCTATGCGACCCTAAACTTTGTGCCGCTCTTGGTCCTGAGGATGAAAAGATTGCTCAAAGAGTAAGTTATGTGTTTGCATAGGCTTCTTAATGCAATCCTATTGTAACATCCTAATTTTCTTTTTTTTTTTTTTTAAAAAAAAAAAAAAAAAACGTATACACATAGTCCTGCTAAAGTAATATCAAAAACCACATTCAACGCTCTCCGCTCGTCTGTCTTTCTGGCTATCTTCGTCGCAGGCTACCAAACACAAATTTGTACACACCGTAATCTCTTGAAAGCCGGGTGGCCTTTAGGCAATAGCAAGTACCTTTATTGGCTCTTTGGTCTGGTATGTGCGGGTGTCTCTATCATGGTAGAACAAGAGAGTCGCCGTTCAGAGTTAGCTATGTATGTACTTCCGAAGGCTGCTACAAGTCTCTACAAGATACTATATCGAAAGAATTGGGTGAAAGGCGTCAAGTACTGGGAAGTCATGACGTTCTCCTTTGCTATGTCACTCATTATGGTAATCGGCCTAAAACGATGCTACTTTCCCGTATTTGAGTGTATTCTATATGACTTGAGTTCACTAACGTTAATATTATACCGAATTGCCCGTTTCATAATAGTCGTTTTATCAGCAGGAGGAACAAGTCTTATCGCCATTTGTAACAAGATTGATCTATCATGTTCTCGGTCGGAGCTAAATACCCGAGAAATGCTCTTATGTACTCTCTTTGTTCACCCATACCCTTATTGCCCTCAGCATATTTTTTTTTTTATTTTTATTCCTCATAAAAATAAAGAAAGGTGTTCACCCTAAAACGTAAATGAGTATCCTAGGGATACCCTGTTTGGGGGGGGGGGGGGTTATATGTACAGAGTTGGTCTTGAAGCCCTTACTAATGAATGCGTCTGACTCAAAGATCTTACTGTCTCTCATCCTCAGAACAAAAATCCATGACAGATGAAAGCTCACTTCCTGAAGTTGAAACCGCAGTTATGACAGCACCTTGATCAGATTCCTCAGCCCCCTGACCCTCTTCATGCGCCTCGATGGTCTCCATAGCTGTATGCGAGGATGCCAACAGGGGCCCGCTCTCTTTAGCTTGGTTCGCCATCTGGCTGTTCTTACTTTTGGAACTATCAGAGGACGTCTTGGGATGAATATGTTCGCTATATTTGCTTCTATTCATCGATTCTTCCTCTGACATAAGCGTTGGTGTGTGAGTAGAGGAGGGCATGTCCGACGACGAAATAGTGGTATAAGGTGTAAAAGCCATGGCGGGTGTTGTAGTTGCTTCATGCCTGTATGGCAGCGGAAGAAGGGGTGAGGAGTGAAGCATTGTGACAGGAGAATACGTCTCAGGCGCATGAAAATCGCCATGGTAGTGGTTACCATCAGAAAAATTATTACGAAAGGAGCACTCTAGTCCCGGAAAGCGCGGCCTATGCTCATAAGTATCCTGGTAACGCGAATGAAGCTCTCCATTGGGTCCTTGATATTCCTGAGCTTGAGGCAAAGCTAATTGCAGCTGGGATGATGAAAAGCCATCTTGCTGCGAAAATTGGTAGGGCTCAGGGTTGTAGCTGTTCTCGTGAAACCTGCTGTCACTACTTTTTTGTACATTCTGCTCATGATATAGGGCTGCTTGTTCCAGCAGCTCTGACTGGGATTGTTGGCTCATTGGCTGCTGCCCCCCATAATGTGAAGCATACCATTCAATGCCCATAGCACTTGTTGAAATAGCATCCATGCCCAACCGGGGGCTAAAACCTAATCCTTCTTCGGGGACTGATTCTTGGACGTCTGACCTATATGTGCCTGAGAAAGCTGATGGAAGTGATGAAGTCCCTTCAATTGCTTTCGTCGTAGCAGCTGCTTTGCGCCTCCCTCTATCAGTTTTGGCTATCGTAATGGCTCTAGGGGATTGACCTAGGTCAGGATCAACGCGGTGGGCTCTCGATCTTGCTGGTCGTTCCAGTTGCTGATGCGTATGGGTATGCGTATGAGACATTGGCCCCTCGCAGCTGAAGTTACTAAGTTGGCCCTGATGACCCTTATGGATCCTAGATGCTCTACTTCGGCTACCAGCAGCAACTGGTCGCGACCGCGAGTGCGGCCCACCAGATTCTTCAGCAATATCCGATGAACTGGACGAGGCAGCTGGACCAGATGAGTGCCTGGAGACCAGACTACAACTTAAGCAAATCGTCTTATTTTCTGGGTCCTTTTTCCAAGTAGATGCCTTGGTGGTCCCGCATACCACGCATGGATCGTGTTCAGGCAAAGTACGGTGGATCTTGATGGTTCCATCACGAGCCTTGAAAAAAGGCCGAGGTCTGTTGTGAAGTTTTTGACTGAATGTAGTGAAAAATGTAATGATGTTGTAGAGTCATAAATAGAATATGGGAGTAATGACCGCATCGATATCCAAGGTATAGTTCTGGAAGCTCAACGCCATAGAAAAAAATAAAAAACAAAATCAAATAAAAAATAAAAAACCACTTACTAAAGCCCACATGCATTGCAAAGCAAGATACGGCCTTGAGGACATCGTCTCCAGCTAGGAGTTGCCATTGTCTTGCAGTTATCGCAAAACTTAGGGTCGGGATCCATGGCATGGAGTAAATGCTTGCTTAAAGGGCGGCGGCTTGGCTGCTTTGTTGACTGCAGTTCAGACCTCTGGACTTGCGAAGGCGGCCCTTGCCCATGTAGCAACGGAGATGGCATAGACGATGTCTCTTTAAGAAAGGACTGGGAATGCTCTAATAAAGGTAATGACTCCTTATCTGTAGCCATCGGGCGCGCTGACAATCGGCTGAAAGAAGGACCGGTGTCGGGAGCAGCAAGAACGCTAGTCGCCCATGGCATATTACTACTTAGATGAAATGAAGCATCATAGCACGCAGGAATGTTACTGTATGTATCAGGACTAATGAATCTATAATCAGGAGAAGCACTGATGGCGCACTGGTTGCTGCTATTGCATGCACACTGACGATCCAAAACAACAGAGCTATCGACCATAGATGCCCTCGTCGATGGCTGCTGTCGCATCACTTCAGCAAAGCTGCTTTCTTGCGGCTGGAAGTAGGATGTAAGCCCTGGTGGAGGAAGACTTAATGCATATGGGTCAGACGCCGGAGCAGCCATTCCGAAAGGGTAGTGTGAGTATGCTGAATGTGCGTGGCTTAGTTTCCACATATTGGGGGGATACTCAGTAGCAGATGGTGTAGAGTCACTCCCAATAGTGTGCTCATTGGCATTGCCAGAAGCTGGGGGGTTTGCAACATTAGACTTCTGATAATGAAATGAATTCCGAACTCTCATTGGCACTAGGGAAGGTAAAATTGTAGGCTGCGGTTGGCTGGCGCTCAAATGAGGCAAACTTGTGGACAAAATAACTGGAGGCGACTTGAGATTCCAGATGGAGAGGCAATTGGAAGTGCTGTCGCTTGAGGACTGGCCAGTTTGCCAGCTGTTAGCATACACTGCAGACGAATAGACGTCAGAAAGGGCTTTTGTGAGAGTAAATGTGTTCGTTTTCCCATCTTCGGGTGGATTTTCCAACTTATCTCTTGATAGAACCTCGGTAGCCGAGGACGGGGCAGAAGACAGCGGCCGTGGGGAAGCGGGCATTCGCTCTTCGGGTAGGGGGCCAGTGGTGAGCAGTGTCAGCCCGTTAGAGTGCTCTGTAGACCGCACCTCGCCTGACTGACGATCAGAACCGAGCGGCATCAACGGTAGGCTTCCATTGGCGCCTCCACCGTCCTCGCCATCGCTTGGTGGTTTCGCGTCGCGATGGCTGTGGTTGTTGTCATCAACGTGAATTTGATAGGTAGGGTCGCCCCCATTCCCAAGGCGTGGGTTGCTCGAATGACCAGGCCAATTGTCCTCGTGCTGCCACGATGGCGTATGGTGCCAAGGCGTGTCGGCATCGGACTGTCCGTGCATTGGGCCCATGACTAAATGTTTTATGCGTTTTCTTCTCTCTAATATTTGAATACGGGTATAAAGGATTTGTGAGGAAATCAAAGAAACGGATTAAAGGCGAGCTCGCGGAGCGGATTGGAAGGGAAGAACAAGGTCGGTGGTGATGAGGGGAGCAAGCAAGGTTTTTTATACTGGCTTGCTTGCACTGCGTCTAAGCTGCTTTTGTTGATGTATTTTTCAGCTTTTTTATTTTTTTTATTTAACCAAGATGTATTCTAATACGCAGACTTTATTTTAGCTACTTAATTGCGTCCTTTTATTATCTTCAGATTTCGATTGATGGTTCTGTTTTTACAGTACCCAATACGAAAGGAATCAACCGCAAGGCCTCCCTGGCTATGCGTCACGCCTGTTCAATTTCTCTTGGTTAGTGATCATTTTACAATGGCCATCGCTAATACTTAGAGGGCTTCTTTATTCCCTTCCATATAATCTGCATAATAATAACTTTTCTCCTGCTTATAAATACCGTCACCCACACTCATATCGAGGTATGGGCCATAGTCTAAGCTCAGCACTGGTAGCGCTCAACCTTGAGCATACCTGAAACTATTAGCATTTTTACTCCATCTGACTAGGCACTCGTCTTGTAGGAATATATGTATTTATTATTTCCGTCGGTATAGATGAAAACTTCGGCGCGCTTGGTATAAGGAACAGAATTTGATAAAGTCTAGAGACTGATGTGGTTAACTACCATTGGCGACATTGAGCAGCTATATTAAGGCCGCCAAAGATAATGATGTATGGCTCTTTCTGGCTTACGCATGTGTGAATGGTAGGGGAAGAAGCGGCCGAGCGGTATATAGCACCCTATTTTTATTTTCTTTTATTCATGCTATTCATGATAATACCAAGCCTCGTCCTGGAAAGTCACTCGCAACCAGCTCAGCTCCGGGTCTGCTCCACTCCCTGCCCATTCCAAATTTTCGTGCGCTAAAAATTGAATTGTTGCTAAGGAAAGCCTTTGCCAAGGCCCTTGATCTATCATGTCATCACATTCCTCTAGCCCATGCCGCCCTGGGGACAGGCTAAAAAGTTCACTCATCCTCGCCTGGGCTTCATTGGGCGATAACCCTTGATGACTAAGCAGCCCGGACTCGAACCTGTATTCTTGCTCTAAATGAAGACGACGGGACATTGCGATTTCATCAATATCATGGTCCAAATCGACGGGAGTACTTCGCCATTCCCCCTCACGCCATGCGCCGACGCCCCATGGGCTACCTCTCCGTAAAAGCGCTACAATTGACAGGGGACTGGATGATTCGCCCGGCAGATAAAAATCTCGGATTTTGAACAAACCGCACGCCATATGACAAATAGATAACAGCTCTTCTTTGACTAGTCTATCTCGGCGAATACGTTCCTTCATCATAAACCGTTTCCGTGTAAACGCTTGATCATGTGCTTCGTGCACCCGCTGATTAAGTTGCTTCTCTCGGCTTTTCATTCTCTGTTCTATACCTGAAGGACATGCACTCGAGGAGGATTGGCATGCCGATACACCCGCTGTTCCGCTGAATACAAATATATCCTCTAACTCCTGGTATCTTCGCAATGCACTGTAGCTTGTGTTTAAAAGTGAATCTGAATATGTTCTTAAATTGAGAACAGAAGGGCGAGTGTGTAGCTCTTGGATAAAATTATACAAGCGGATAAGGTTACTAATACAGCCATGCCATAACATTTGCTTGAAGCAATTGTTCAATTTTGGCGATGGCAATATTAACGTCTCCTTCGTCATAGTCATAGTCTCAGGTGGGACTGCAACTGCTGGAGCCCCGCCTTGCGGCGCAAGCATCTCCAGGCGTAATCCAGTGGCTGCCTTGGTGGCTGTTGTAACTGAAAGTAATGTCGTGGGGTCGATGGGCAAGCGGCCCTCGATTGTCCTCCCAAAAACTGACTCAATTGCTGCTGCGGTATACCGTGCGCAATTGATAATGGCTCTACGCCGGTCGAGTCGTACTAGGTTGGCGTCGAAAATGACATTGACCATGGATTGAAATCGCTGAAGTGGGAGAGGTGGTGGGTTTAGATGCGAATCTAGCACTGCCTTCCTGATCAGCTGTATATGCGTTAAAGGCATGGCAGCGTTCAGGCCCTTGGCCGCCACATGATTGTTCTCATTAGTGCCTTGGCTATTGATTCCTCCAACGATATCATTCTCTTCTATCACGGGGCCCTCGCCCTGGGCTGTTTCTTCCTCGGTTTTGAAGCCAGTATTCGGGAGAACGGCGCTTGGTAGGGTTCTATGGTGCTCTGGTGACTTACCGTATGGCATCTCCTCCGTCAAAGTGATCATCAGGAGTTCGCTTTGAGCCTCCCAGTACTGGCCCCGTACCTGGCCTCGATTTGGCTGTGTATCTGGGAAATCGGCGTAGCCTGGCCCAAATACTGGGCTTGGAAGTGACTCTCCTTCTAGCGAAGGCTCCGGAGGGGGCGGCGGGATAGGTAGATGTAAGCGTGATCGAAATGTCGCCCAATAGTTGTCCATAATGCTCTCAAACTGCATCACATGCGCCACTCGAAGCCATTCGGACGGTGTGTACCAATTTTCTTGACGCAGGACCCGGACAATCTCAAACTCAATTCTCTTAGGCGCTGACATGTAACTCAACACTGCAGTTCGCATATCTCTGGACACCTCACACAGCCTCCACAGATCACCAGGGGCCAGGAACTGTAGGAAATGAACAAACACGTCGGTGGGTAGTTTTGTGGGTGAGAAGCAGGCGACAAAATAAGGTAGTAGAGGAAGGACAGGCTCATAGCGCTTAGGCATACATAACTCTAGCTTATAGGGGCCATGGTTACTTGTGATACAGAGTTGGCTATTGCAAGTTAACATTTGCCTTTGCAGTTGCGCCTGAGTGGTCAGATGGTAGTTTTGATCAACATTGCTGCGTGCGTCATGCTGAGGGTTATGACCATCGATGCTATCGCTCATCACGCTCCCGCTGCCATCTATATCACCTAGGGTCTCCTTCTCCAGAGCTTTGTCGCTGGTGGTGATGCGCTCATTCGTCTGGATACTTTTTTTATGCTGTAGGTTATAACTCCTAGACCCGCTGAAGGCCACACAGGCGCATCCCTCGAAAATGAATCGCTCAATCTGACTGTGTCGGCGACATGTCTTGATGATTTTTCGGCACGACATACTTTACCTTAGCCTTTGTGCTTCTTGTTACAAAGTGAGAGGGACTTTAAATGAAAAGTGATGTTTGACTCGGCGAAAAAAAAGAAAAAAAAAAAAAAGGTGCAGCGAGAAGAGACCTGTTAAGAGACTGTAAGGCACCTCAATGGCATATACAGGAGGTGTGGTAACTAAAACGGCTTTGCCTGCATTCAATATCAGAGGTGCACAGCGCCAGCAGCTATTATCAAAAAAAGAGAGTTTAATAATCCTTTAATCCGCATAGAATATTGTAATCCAAGACCACAACGGATAGCTCCTCGTTGAACTTTGACAGGGCTGTAAACAACATAACTCTCTTGTGGCCCTTATAATGTATTCCTTTGCATATCTTTGTTTAGGGAAGTGTGGGCAATAGCCGTGTGATGGCCTCTGTCCCTATCTAAACCATCCTAATATTTTTTCTCCTCTTTTAGGTGCATGACCACACTTCTTTGCTCCATCTATGGCTCTTTAATGTAAAATAACAGAATGACCACTGGATATTTCCCAGTGCAGTTGTTTATGAACTCACATAACATGAATACTAAATAAAAGATGAGCGCCAACCGCAATAGTTTCCAGCAAAAAAGCCCCGAAAGGGCCGCGAAGCGAAGATGACTTGACGTCCGTGCTGACTACACCATGTACTGTTATGCCTATCTTTGCGCGTGTGAGGTCCTTTCTCTGCCAAGCCATCTTCTTCAACTTCTTAGAGCCGTAAAAACAGATCGGCCTGCATTGAACAGAGTGATAGCAAGGAACCTTTCTTGTAAGAGTTAAGAGATTGGTGCTAAGAACAGCTTAATGTCTGAAATTAAGCGTAGTCCAAAGCTCGATATCGACTACGGCTGTTCGCCTTACCTGACCCTGACTCCGGGCGCCACAGCTCCACTAACCCCCACTCGCTATCGTCTTGTCCTTCGTTCACTCCTAAGTGAGCCGACAAGGCAACACAGGCGAATAGAAGGCAGCTATTCTGATGTACATGTTCGCGATCTGGCTCAGTCCATAGATCCCCTTGCTACAGAAAGAGGTGAAGACGGTTTCCTCGGGAACGATACAGCCTATGATAGCTGCCACTAAACGCTTCCTTACTCGGCATTTTATATGATTGCCTGTTGGCTATATCTTTCAAGCCAACCCTTGCCGTCCTGGACACATTATTTTTACATAACAGTATCCCCGCTTTTACCTTACTACGCGTTTCGCGTCAAATGCGTCTTTATGCTAAATACCTTCCAGAATGTCTTAAAACTTCTTTTTTCTATAAAAAAAAAAAAAAAAAAAAAAAAAAAAGAAGGATGAAGTTACTTGCACGGGCCCGTACACCTTATTCATACGGCTCCCGTACAATAAATTTTTACTTAAAAAGAAATTGCCCGTACGCATCTTATTTACACTGCACCCCATGCAAATAAAAAAATCAATTGCATGGGAGTTTTTTATGTCGTTACCCTTAGTTCTATAGGCAAAGTCACTCATTTCAAACCTAATTGGCCCCGCTTCACCTGGGCTGCTAGCAGGTGCTGAAGCGCAACTTATTCAAGTATATTTTACGCTTTCTGACGAATGCTAATTGTTGTAATTATGTGATGATTTCAACACCTGGCTGGGTATTGTACCGTTCCCTTTGGCGTTGAATTTTCTCCTCGGTATTGGCACTAATGATAACTCCATTTGTGTCCTTGGCTAGGCCTCTGTTGACTTCAGGGATCACTTTTAGGCACGGCGTCTCGTTGGAATCCAGGTCGACTTTTGCTCTCCTTAGCAGAGCTTGCTCGCTCAGACCCTCATATCTCCTTGTGTTCTGGGTCCGGCGTCTCCTCGCTTCTTCGCGGGCTCGCATGCGTTCACCATGCCTTCGCTCTCGGTCCTGGTGGCGTTCTGCTCTTCTGACTATGGTATCTAACTTTGCTCTTTGTCGCCTAAGATTATGTTCTCTGGTTGCTCTGCGCGCCTCTTTCATAACAGCTTCTCGTCTCTTTTTCCGCTCCTTCTGTTGATCCAGAATCCACTTCATTCCAATTGGTGGCTCAACAGCTTGATTAGCCGGTGATACTGTCAAGGTTCTGTTCGCTGCCTCATCCTTTATGAATTGGTTGAGTGCATGAATCGCTTCTCGATCTTCGTCTTCCGTATCCCCGTCTACCGAGCTGACATAACTACTGTCGCTGTTGCTGTCATCATCACTGACGTCTAAGAGTGCCAGTTTCCTCCTGTTCCATTCTCTTGCATGCCTACCCACATAATCATTGTCGAAGCAAAAATTTTGAAGTTGGTTGAACCAGAATGGCGAAACTTTAGGCCCTCCGTAACGGGTCCTGAATGCGTGCCATGAGATCATGTCCTCCTTATCATCCGTAAGTATTTGATCCACAAAGTATACCATACGCTTGGTGAGCGCCTTCCATACGTGTGGTAATTCTCCGTTTAGCCATTTCCATGTCGAGAGAGCGTTGTGTGGGAGACCAAATTCGGCTGCGATCGATAGGTCGAAAGTAATGTTACGATTCTTCATTTCTTCACAAACATTCGATATAAAGTTGTGGCGATACTTTTTGACACGATGTGGCTCCAAAGTTGGCGAGACTTCCATCTTATTCCTGTGCTGCAGCATCAGTACTCGTGTCCGACATATCCGTCCCATTACATTGCTGTCATTAAGTCGAAGCGCCAGGGTAGATATTTGTTCTTCCGCTTGAGCGTTCGCCAAGTCTTTAATGGCATACAATCTATTGTGGTTCATAATGCTGTTTGGCGTAGTTGATGGCATACGTGCTTTCCGCTTACACAGTGACATATACTTACCAGTCATCTTCTGTAGGAACGTTGGTGGCAACATTTAGGCCGAAATCCTATACAGCACCTTTGGGATGAGCACATTGTTGACAATATACGTTGTCTGCCGATCTGTCAGGGCTTTGGACCGGAGAATGTTACAGGTCGTTTCTATTTCCTGCTCCACTATTTGCTGTGTTGCTGTTGGATTTCCTGTTGCTGTGGCCCAAACACCAAGAATCCGTACCGATTCATTCTTTTCCACTGGTCGGATCTCTTCTGTAGGTGTCCCAAATTTCAGCGTGCTCCTCCTATCCTGCTTGCTGTTGATACAGATGACCTGCGTTTTCTTGGCGTTCACTTCCACCCCGTTAAGAATGAAGAATGTCGTTGCAATGTCAAGTATCTCCTGCATATGTGCTTTGGAGTCTGATATCCATGTAGTATCATCCACGAAAGCAAGGCCAGCAACTGATGGTGTCCCTCTTGGTCCCTCTAGACTATATCCAGTGCTATTGTCCATAATTTCACACAGGAGTGCATCATATGCTATTCTCCATAAAAGCGGACATTCTACTCCACCTTGATCCAAACCGCACTCTGGATGATACTCGTCCGTTGGTCCGTACTCAGTAATCACCCTGTTCACTTTGGAAATGGCGATGTTTTCACATAGGCGTATGAACTGTTCAGGGACCTGGAGCCGTCTTAGTCCGCGAGAAAGCATCCCATCGGGCGCGCAGTTGACAGAGTCGAAACACCGTTTCATGTCTTGAAACACAATCCACTGTTCTTTCTTGAACTCTCTTGCGTCTTCCATTGCCGCTTGCAGGATATGGATCGGATCCTTAGTGGTAGTGCCTTTAAGAACAGAGAAGTTTGGTCCTCGTAAAATATCGTGCCTGGCCATGATCGCGCTTAACCTATTTGTTATTACTGCAAACATTATTTTTCGTGCGTGCTCCAACAGGCTATCGGCCTTACCTCTGCCATGTTTCCTGACCATTCTGGAGCTTTTGGTATGCAATAGAGGAGCCCCGTCTTCCAATCCTTGGGGACATCTTCTTGCACGATAGTGGCACTTATGATTTGGAAGAGGATAAAGAGCCCCTGCGGTCCTTGGTGTTGAATCATTTCGTTCGTAATGCCTGACACACCAGCTGCCTTGTTTTTGGGTGCATCCAGGACCACAGCTGAAAACTCATTTCTGCTTGGTGGATCCATCAGGTCGTCGTACCATTCACTCTTGATCCACCTCTGAGGTCTATATTGCCTCTGCCATCTCGAACCCGGCTCTAGTGGTTTTGACGGCCTAGGTCCGTGCCACTTGTCGAACCATGCCCGTACCTTCTCTTTAACTTGCTGTGGCTCTAGAATATTCACTGTGACACCACCTTCGTCGTCCTGAATCCGGTCTATTGTCACTTTACCGCCACCACGTCCCAGCACTTTGTCTATCATTTTCCCTGTTGCCGACTTCAACTCTCCACAGCGTTTCTCTATCAGGTCATTCATCGTCCTTGCCTTTTCCAGCTTCCTTGTCGCCTGTAAGAATGATATTGACTCTGTCCATCTGTGCTGCTTTACTCCTCTTACCCAATCTTTCCATACATTGTCGCTATCTTTCGTGTCCGGTATAGTAGTGAGGCCTTCGATCTCCCCTTGTCCTTGCAGCCTCAACCACTCAGCATTCTTATTGAATTTTTTCCGCTGCTCTACCAGTGTTGTCCATCTTGCGTCTCTTTGTACTGTTGATAATCCTCTGCGGATTTGATTTGCCAATTTTTTAATTTTAGCGAGATCACGTATGAGGTAGCGGAGACACAATTCTTGTTCTGGCTTCACTCCAGACCGACCAACCACTCTTCCTGGCAAGTTTTCTTTGGCGCTTTCTATGAGCAGCTTTGAATACCATTTCCATGCAAGGTCAATGTCGATTCTTTGAAGGTCTTCTGGCGTCAAGAGATCCTTTTCATCGTCGTTCTGGGCTCTCCGTAGGCCCATTGTAGAAGATTCACTGCCGTCTCCAATTCTTATATTCACACCGTTCTCAAAATTCTCCCAATCGTCGTTGCTGGCATCGCGAAGTAAGAATTTGTAGCCCTTGGTTTTTTTGTAAATGATGTGATGAAGTGGTTGTTGAATAAGGCGGTGCAGTGTCATTTCTAGAGTGACCATTTTGTGGTCTGACGCCACAATACCAT